TTTCTATAGGTCTAGCGTGTGTCTCGCGTGAGTGTCGCGTTGGTTCGTTACACGTAGCGCTCGCCGGTCAAGTGCAGGTCCTCGGGGTGCGCCTCTGACGCTCGAACCTCGGCTTTGACGTTCACAAGGGGGAACTTATGGCCTTTCGCCATGGCTCCATAGACGTTGACGCTGTATCGGGAGCCGCAGAGAGCAGCCTTGGTGTAGCGCTTCTTGTTGCCGAGGCCGAGGGGGCGTATACAGCGCACAGGTTGGTAGTTCTTGTTGCTAAACGTGCTCTCGTCGCAATAAATGACGCGATCCCAACAAAAACCGCGGTACTGGATAGCCCAGACAATGCGGCGGTTGATGTGCTCATCCGTGAGATACGGCGTACGGCGTACGATGCAGGAATAGTACCCTGCTTCTCGGAGTTGGTTGGACATGGTGGTACGATGGATCTCGAAGTCGTCGGCAAGCTCGTTGATCGACAAGAACGGGTTACTTTCCACGCGCTGGAGTACTTCGGCTTTCTTCTCTGGGCTGAGAGATGATCGACGACCCTTGTACTCGGTTCGGATGTGGCCAACACTGCGGAACTTGGCCACCAAGTTGCGCACGGTAGAAAAGGACATCTCAAAGTGGCGATGTGTCTCGCGCACCGATTTGCACCTCTCCCAATAGCCTATGATGCGTCCTCTTTTGGTGGGTGTGACAGGGATGGGCATAGTGTCGATTGAGGAGGTCAAACTGCATGCATGCAACTTAAATATGCGGAGAAAACGGGCCATGTTTCAGCTTCGCGTTTGGAGGATCACTGATCTCGTTAAGATCACTATGGCGTTGCTGATCCTTTCACGTGACTTGCACGCTGACGTAACGTGTCTTACGTTGATCCAAACTCAGATCTCTCAACTGTAACGGGGATGCTGGCCATCGCCACTTTCAGGCACGGGGGGCACAGGTGCCGCTCACTCCCACTCCTTCACCACGCGACGGGACTAATATCGCAATCCTGGCACTCGCACATCCACCATCACCTTTCCTTGTTTACGATGGACATCCCCAAGAACGGGGAGAGCAGCCGACCGCCGACGCAAGGGTCAGCGCCGGGCGCGCTCATTCTTCCCGAGTGGGATGGTGAGTCGGCGAGCTTAGAGGTCTCAGAAAGTAGCTGACATGCAGTTCTTCCACAAAAGCATCTGCACTCGTCTCTCGATATGATCTCGCTCCTGCATCTCGATGGCCTGTACAACACATATGTCCGTCCGTACTTTGACCCGATTCCCGAGACGGACGACGAGGGCAACGAGAAGCCGACCCGGCAGAAGAAGAAGCAAGGTCTGAGCAAGGGCTACGGTGTGCTGCTCGAGGACTGCATCGGTATGGTAACATCCAGACCGCCAATGCTGACGTGAAAGACCCGGTACCGATGGGCGACCAGGCGGGGCAGTCGTTGCTGCCGTTGATTGGCGACTTTCTCGACCCTCCGGAGCCGGTTGCGCAGCTTTACGAGGATGCGCTGACCGCGCTGCCGGCGGAGGCGTTCCGGAGTGCGCGGCTCGAGGTGGGCCTCAAGACCGAGGGCTACGCTGGTGGCGAGAAGGTCGGTGTGCGTGAGGCCGAGGAGAGGCGAAGGAGGAAGAAGGCTCGTATGTCGCAGAGCGTCGCGCCCGACCTCCCCGAACTCGCGAACCCCGGTGGTGCGATGCCGAGCCCCGCTCCACCGCGCCCCGGCCGCCCTTTCACCCCAGGCCAGCGCCGACCATTCGGCACGCCGGGCCCAGGCATGAAGCCCCCGTTCCCGCGAGCAAGCGCACCGCCAGGTTATCGTCCTGGTACCCCTGGACGACCTGGTACACCAGGAGCAACACCTGGCACCCCCGGCTACGCTCCGCACGGCGTATCGCATGCCCCTGGCACACCGAACAAGCGGCCAGGCAGCGAGCAACCACATGGCGCAGTCAAGCGTGTCAAGCACGGCGGTGGCAGCCGCAGCGCCAGTCCTGCCGATGTTGGCGTTAGAGCCGTCTTCAAGAGGTAATCTCCTGCAAGAGCGCCGAGGCGTGCGTGCGCTGGGGCGTCGGCCGTCTTGCCTTGTTCGTCAGTTACGTCGATCCTCGAGCCCAGCCGCAGGGCCGTGCTCCAATCCAGGAAGGCACACTCCAGCCACGATCGTGTACGCCTGGCGCCATGACTCTTCATCCGAGCAGATCGAACTTGAGCGGTTCTGCTGCACGAGTGGACCGTATCGTGTGAATAAACCAATCTAGATCATCAATACACAAGCAAACACCAGTGGATAGCAAATCAAGTACATGTAACAATATAAGAAACACTCTGTCTAGATACGCGCGGGTGACTGTAACTAATGGCCCTCAAACTCGTAATCGATGCCGGCGTCCTTGATCTTGCGCCTGCGCTCCTCTTGCCGCTTGAGGACCTTCTCGTCGGCCTTGGCCTGCTGCTCCTTTGTTCGGGGCTACGATGTTAGCTGGGCACCTCAAAAGCTTCGGCCTGTACTCACCTTGTCCTGGCGGACCTTCTCGAGACGGGCGCGCGGCACCTTGCGGAACTTCTTGTTGGCTCCGACCCAGAGTTCGGGGTGGATCTCGTCCTGAGGGATAACGTTGCACTTGAGAATGTGTCCCATGAGGAGGTAGTTGTTCATGGTCTCAGCGACGACCTCAGCGACGGGCAGGGATGAGAACTCGATGTAGGCGTAGTGCCTGCTAGCGCCAGACTTGGGGTTGCGCGCAAGACGGAGACGGGTGACGTCGCCGAACTGGCCAAAGTACTCGCGCATCTGGTCCTCGTAGAAACCGTGCGGGATGCGGCCGAGGTAAATCGTACCGCGCGCGGCCGTCTTCTGCTTCTGCGCACGCGCGAGACGCTTCGCAACGCTCTTGTCGTCCTTGGGCTTGGCGAGGGTCGAGACGTCGACCTTCTTGCCGGCCTCGCGGACGGCGACGTCCTCGGCGTCACTGTCGTCGTCGGACGAGTCGGCGCCGCCGTCCTCGCTCTCGGTCTCGAAGCCGAGAACCTCCTCCCCGTCATCCTCCTCCTCCTCGGGCTCGGGCGAAGGCTCCTTGGCAGCCTTCTTGCCCTTGGTAGCCTTGGCCGGAGCAGCCTTGACGACAGCCTTGGTAGCCTTGGCAGCGGGCTTCTTGGCCGTCGGCTCCTCATCGATAAAGTCCTCGGCGGTCTTGCGCTTCTTGCCCTTGCTGGCCGGCTTGTCCTCAACATCGTCGATCAGGAGGTCGCCCGCGTTCTCGATGACCTCGTCAGCCTTAGCCTTGACCTTGGCAGCGGCCTTCTTTCCCTTCGCAAGCGCCTTCTGGCCGCGGCTGGCGGCGGCAGTGACCTCGGGCTCGACATCGTCAATCAGCAGCTCGGACGCGTTCGTGAGCACCTCGTCGACCTTGGCCTTGGCCTTGGACGCAGCCTTCTTGACAGAGGCACCGAGCTTCTGGGCCTTCTCGGCGACAGTCTCGGCGGCGGTCTCGGCGGCGGCTTCGGCATCAGCCTCGACCTCAGCAAGCTTGACCTTCGCGGTCTTCGTCGCCTTAGCAGTCGCGGCCTTGGTAGCCTTCGCGGGAGAGGCTTTGGCCTTGGCGGGGGAAGCCTTCGCCTTTGAGCCGGCGACGGCCTTGACCTTCTTCGACACGGCGGGCGCGGCCTCGGACGGGGCAGCGCGTTTCGGCATCGTGGGTGGTGTTGTTGTGGAACGGAGTCGGAGTGGTGAGATCCAAATTCCTCATGTGAGCCGCGCTCATGAGCCTAGCGCACTGAGGTCAGATGGCCTGCCAAAATCCAAAATTTCATGTTACGTAACGCAGTGTCTAATCTCGAGGCATTTCAGGAGTAGCTAATACCTTGATTAGGACCCTGATTAGGACATGGATCGCTGCGCGTCTTGACGCAGCAGTACACCCTTGTTTGCCTTCCCTCTTGGAACAGAGATGTCATGCTTGAAGAGGACGAGCTTACAGATATCTCCCGAGGCACAGTCTTGCTTTATGCGGTTTTGTGAGAGTTCACGGGACGGCGTTGCGTCATGCTCTGGCGGCCTCCACCGACCTCCACCGACTGGGACTGGGGCCGGCGGTGAAGCGGTCGCTCACCCGGCCGGGCCGCTGCCGCCCTTCTCCGGCCTGCTTATGCAGCATTTTCGGCAAGCCCCTCGCATGCTTCGTTCGCGACCACACTGACCCCTGCCTCTACTCGTCCTCTTGTCAATAACAACTTTGGTCACTGAGACCCACACGTTCAGGCTCGCGGCGACTTGAGCTTCCTAGTCTGGTTTTCTCGCCCACCGCTCCAAAACTTTAGCCTCGTGGCCCCGCCTTCGAGCCCCATTCCGCAAGAGTCTGCAAGTCCGAGGCGCGGCGCCCACCACCACCATGGCTGGCATGCAGTGGTACGCTGCCGCTGAGCTCGCACAGCTCGCAGCGGCGGCCAAGGGCCACGGCAAGGACCGTCCGCCCGGAAAGCCGACGTGCCGTTGGCCCCCGCAGGTCGTGTCAGGCGACCGTCAGGTCGACTTCACCGAGTGCTTCGAGCTCACCGTCCTCCTCCCGCTGCCGATCATGATTGCTCTGATCTCGTCGTCAATCAGCATTGTGTCGACCTCCAAGAGGCTGCGAAGGGTCGGACCTGACGGTATCGATTGGATCAAGCGGAGCCCTCGGAGCGAGCGTGTCGCTAAGATCAAGACTGTAGGTATCGATTGATTGGCTTAACCTGACAACAGTTCCTCTTTGCGTTCGCCTCGATTCTGGCGGCCGCTTGCGCTGGTCTCTCGGTTCCGCAGATCAAGACGTCGCCCTACCCCTTCGCCCACTACGTTCTTCTGTCTCTGACCCTGGCGCTGTTCGCTAAGCTCGTCTGGATCAACCACCACACCTCGCGCACGTCGTCGACGGTCGTTCTCCTGTTTATCCCCCTGTACTGGATTGTGACCGCCATTGCTATTCGCACGCAGATCCTGACCGGTGTCTTCGACAGCCACACGAAGGGTTCAACGTCCGGCCGCCTCGTGATCGCCCGTGAGGCGCTCTGGATCGCCGCGATCGGAACCGCTACCTTTGCGTTCTTCCTGGAGCTGTTCTCGCCCGAGAAGAAGTGGAAGGCACTCCGCGCCCCGTGGTCTCCACGCAAGATTGAGCTTGACGAGGAGGAGGAGCCCGACACCGTCGACGGCGAGGTCATCGTCAAGGAGAACGACGAGGTCGAGTCTCCCGTCAACACCGCCAACATCTACGAGCGCCTCACCTTCTCGTGGCTCACGCCGCTGCTCTCTCTTGGCACCAAGAAGTACCTCGGAGAGGAGGACATGTGGCAGGTCCCGCCGCAGGACTCGGCCGAGGCGCTGTCTGACCGCCTCGCCGCCGCTTGGGAGGAGCAGGTTCAGCTCGTGAAGCAGGGCAAGAAGAAGGAGCCTTCCCTTAAGGTCGCCCTCTTCAAGGCGTACGGTCTCACGTACGTCGTCGCCGCGTTCATGAAGGGTATCTACGACTGCCTCAGCTTTGCGCAGCCCCAACTGCTCCGTCTGCTCCTGATCTACGTCTCGAGCTACGGCACCGACAAGCCCATGAGCCCCACCGTCGGCTTCGGTATCACGATTCTCATGTTCCTGACCGCCAACCTCGCCACGGCGCTCCTGCACCAGTACTTTGACCGCTGCTTCATGACGACGATGCGTGTTAAGACCGGACTCATCACGCTAATCTACCGCAAGTCTCTTCGCCTCAGCCTCAGCGAGAAGTCTGGTCGCACCTCAGGCGACATTGTCAACCTCCAGAGCGTTGACGCCGTGCGTATCGCCGACATTGCGCAGTACGGCAACATTGCCTGGTCTGGTCCCTTCCAGATCATCCTCGCATTTGTGTCCCTTTACCAGCTCGTCGGCTGGCAGGCGTTCATGGGTGTCGCCGTCATGGTCATCTCCCTCCCGATTAACACGTTCCTGAGCCGCATTCAGAAGCGTCTTCAGCGCCAGCTTATGGGAATCAAGGACGTGCGCACGCGTCTGATGAGCGAGATTCTGAACAACATCAAATCGATCAAGCTGTACGGATGGGAGAAGGCGTTCGCCGACAAGGTCTTCACGGCCCGCAATGACATGGAGCTGCGCATGCTCCGCCGTATTGGCATCGTCTTCTCGTGCAGCAACTTCTTCTGGGCGACGATTCCCTTCCTTGTCGCCTTCGCGACGTTCAGCACCTTCGTCTTCACCGCCGACCGCCCTCTCACGTCCGAGATCATCTTCCCCGCCATCTCGCTCTTCACCCTGCTCTCGTTCCCGATGAGCGTGTTCAGCAACATCATCAACAGCATCATCGAGGCGACGGTCTCGGTTGGTCGTCTTGAGAAGTTCCTGAACGCGGACGAGCTCGACCCCAACGCCCGCAAGCAGATTGCCCCCGAGGACGACCCCAAGGGCGAGCCCACGCTCGGCGACAAGGCCGTCAGCATCAAGAACGGCGAGTTCCGCTGGATCAAGGACTCGACTGTCCCGACGCTCGAGGACATTGACCTCGAGGTCAAGATGGGCGAGCTCGTCGCTGTCATCGGCCGCGTTGGAGACGGCAAGTCGTCGCTCCTGAACGCGATTCTCGGCGAGATGAACCGCTGCGAGGGTACTGTTGTCGATCGCGGTGAGATTGCGTACTTCTCGCAAAACTCGTGGATCATGTCCGCTACCGTCAAGGACAACATCGTGTTCGGCCACCGTTTCGACCCCGTCTACTACGACAAGGTGCTTGACGCATGTGCGCTGCGTGCCGACCTCGCCGTCCTGCCGATGGGCCACATGACGGAGGTTGGCGAGAAGGGTGTGTCTTTGTCTGGTGGCCAGAAGGCTCGTATCTGTCTCGCCCGTGCTGTCTACGCTCGCGCGGACATCTACCTGCTGGACGACCCGCTCAGTGCCGTCGACGCTCACGTTGGCCGCCACATCTTCGATCACGTCATCGGCCCCCACGGCATGCTGAAGAACAAGGCGCGTATTCTGTGTACGAACGCGGTCAACACGCTGCAGCAGACGGATCAGATCCTTATGCTGCGCCGCGGCATTATTGTCGAGCGCGGGTCGTACGAGCACTGCATGTCCAACCCCAACTCGGAGGTGTACAAGCTGATCACTGGTCTTGGAAAGCAGTCTGCCGATGGCAGCGAAGAGTCCTCGGACCAGATCACGCTCGTCCCCAGCGACAGCGACAGTGTCGAGATCGAGGAGGACGGCATTGGTGGTTCGGGCGCCGAGCTTAAGAAGCGTCGCACGAGCGCCAGCGACCGCCGTGCCTCCGTCCTCTCCATCGGCCAGGCGAAGCGTGCCATCATCCGCGACCTCCGCGAGAGCGCCAAGCCCAAGGAGCACGTCGAGAAGGGCAGCGTCAAGAAGACGATCTACAAGAAGTACATCGGTGCCGCGGGTATTGCGGGTATTTTCATCTTTGTCGTCTCGCTGTCGCTTGGCCAGGGATCTGGCGTTTTGTCGAACTACGTGCTGCGTGACTGGGGCCGTGCCAACACGCGTGCCGGCCACAACGTCCGCGTCCCCTTCTACCTGACGCTGTACGGCATCACGGGCTTCTCGTCTGCCGCACTCAACGTTCTTGCCAACGTCACGCTCAAGCTGTACTCTGGTCTTCGCGCCGCGCGTATCATGCACGACGCGAGTTTCGCTGCGCTGATGCGCTCGCCCCTGTCGTTCTTCGAGCAGACCCCGACGGGCCGCATCCTGAACCTGTTCTCGCGCGACATCTTCGTCATTGACGAGGTGCTGGTTCAGGCTCTCGGTGCGTTCATGCGTACGTTCATCCAGGTGCTCGGTGTCGTTGTCGTTGTCGGACTCGGCGCCCCGCCCGTGCTCATCGTCTTCATCCCCCTCGCTTTCATCTACCGCATGGTCATGCGCTACTACCTCGCGACATCGCGCGAGCTGAAGCGCCTCGACGCCGTCTCTCGTTCGCCCATCTTCTCGTTCTTCGGCGAGACGCTCGCGGGCCTTCCCGTCATTCGCGCGTACAGGCAGCAGAAGCGCTTCAATGCCAACAACGAGGCGCGCGTCGACCGCAACCAGTCCTGCTACATGCCCGCTATGGCGATCAACCGCTGGCTGGCCGTGCGTCTCGAGTTCCTCGGCTCGTGCCTCATGTTCTCGACTGCGCTCGTCTCGGTCACGGCGCTCGTGTACCACTTCCCGATTGACGCCGGTCTCGTCGGTCTCCTCATGACCTACACCATCAGCGTGACTGGATCCCTGAACTGGCTCGTGCGCTCTGCGTCCGAGGTCGAGCAGAACATTGTCTCCGTTGAGCGTGTGCTGGGCTATACCGACCTGCCGTCGGAGGCGCCGATGGAGATCGCGCACACCAAGCCGCCCCCCGACTGGCCGCAGAACGGCAACATCGAGTTCGACCAATTCTCAATGCGTTACCGCCCCGATCTCGACTGCTGCCTGAAGGAGGTCAGTGTCGACATCAAAGGCGGCTCGCGTGTCGGTATCGTCGGCCGCACCGGCGCAGGCAAGTCAAGTATGACCCTTGCTCTGTTCCGTATTCTCGAGGCTGCGGGTGGTCGTGTCATCATTGACGGCATCGACATCAGCACCATCGGCCTCAGCGACCTCCGCCACGCGATCAGTATCATCCCCCAGGACCCCCAGCTGTTCGAGGGCTCTCTTCGCTCCAACGTGGACCCGACTGAGCAATCGAGCGACGCTGCGATCTGGACTGCGCTCGAGCAGGCGCACCTGAAGGACCACGTGATGCGGAACATGGGTGGCACCCTGGATGCTGAGGTGGCGGAGGGTGGCACCAACCTTTCTGCCGGCCAACGTCAACTTGTCTGCTTTGCGCGCGCTCTTCTTCGCAAAACAAAGATTCTTGTGCTTGATGAGGCCACAAGCAGTATCGACTTAGCGACTGACGCTGCCGTGCAGACGATTCTGAGAGGTGCAGACTTCGCCGGAGTGACGACCTTGACGATCGCGCACCGCATCAACACGATCATGGACTCGGACATGGTCTTGGTAATGGACCAGGGCCGTGTGGCAGAGTACGACACGCCCGAGAACCTGCTCCAGAACCCCGAGAGCATCTTCGCGACGCTCGTCGAGGAGGCGGGACTGGGCAAGAGCACCTCGGCGTCGCGTGCGGTCAGCAGGCAGCAGAGCCGGGCGCCGAGCCGCTCCGGCTCCCAGCGCGGCGAGAAGCGCGACGACAGCTCTGCCGCCAAGAAGTGAATCTTGTGAATCTTGAATCCAATAGACATGTTCCTAGAACGTCTTCCGAGCATGGGCTGCACGTATGCATAGTAAATAGTCTTGTGCTGTGAGGTTTCTGCTGCATAAGAATGCTGCGGGCAAGTGGTCGTTAGTGGTGGAGGTTCACGCTGAGCGGGCAGTTTGCTTCCGCCCTGGGTGTTGCCACCGACATCACTTGGTGACCGCGTCAGACCCTTTGGTTTCGGGATCGGGGACGACGAAGATAACTTTGCATACTCTACGACGGGCACAAACAACTCTCGCAACATGCGGCTGTGGGTTGCATTCCTGCTCGCGGTGCTCGGTGCCGTGCAGGTGCGCGCGGGCATGCTCTCCGACTCATCCCTGTACTACTGCAAGTGTGAGTGTCGCGTTCCTCGGTTCTCTGCCTGCCTCTACTCTTCAATCAGGGGACACTGGCTCTCCAGTCTCTCCCAACTGTGGATCCGGCTGAGGCAAACCCGAATCAGCAGTCCGAAGTAGTGGTCTGCAGAGGGACGCATTCATCTGCACTCTTCCTCTCTACTGCTTATCTCCGTACAGACTATTAGCTAACCCCAGGCATCTGTTTCGACAACAGCACGATCATCCCCCTCTGGCGGCCCGAACTGCTTCAGGACCCTTCCAAGCCCTGTCTTTCATGTACGCGGCAATTCTGCCTCGATCAGAAGCTGCCCATCTGCAAGGGTGCTGAGGTACCCGAGCTCGACCCCGACGTCGGCACGGGAACAGAGGGCGACGTCGAGGCGCGCTGCTTCAAGCGTGACTCGAAGCGGGACGAGTTTGTCGTCATTGCCTTTGTGGTGATCACGGCTGGACTGTTGCTCTTCGCCAAGGTGCGGAGTAAGTGAGTATTTCATCCCCTCCACATCTTCTGAATACCAAGGGCTACATCCAGAGCACCTGGATTGAGCACCTGGGACACAGTTCTCGTGTGCCCGCTGTGAGCGCAACGGGCCGTATATGGTGTGAGACACAGGTCTTCAGCTAACTGTCGACGCATGTGCAAGCTGACCGCAGACTCCGCCGCGAGATCGAACGCAATGGACGCCCGAACACGCCGAGAGAGTGGCTCGAGGCCGTGCTGCCCAACTTCATCCGACGGCGGTACTTTGGCGGCGCACCAATGCGACAAGCCTACGCGCCCGTGTCGTTAGGCGGAACGTCGTGAGCGTCCCGTACACGGACGAACGGCGCAGAAGGCCCCGACGACGATGCGCGGTGGCACCTAGATTAGACATCTCCCACGAGGATCCCGATGATCCCCTATGCCCCAGGTACCGGGCGATTCCTCCCACATTAGATTAAGCAGGTCAGCAGAGCTCCAGTGTTCAGAGTATGAGCCGCCCCTGCGGCCTGATGCCCGCCCCGACGGCAGAGTACACTACATATATCTCTATGCATTCAATTCATAATTGTGAGATTCAACTGCAAGGACTACTGATTGAGTGTGCACAACATGAACTGAACCGGTGTTGGCGTGGTCCCAGCGGAACGCTAGGGGCTACATTACGTTGACATGCGGGGCAAGCGGGCTGGGCCAGCGACGAGCCTGCATGTCCGTGGAACGGCGAGCGCGACCGCCGACCAGCAAGCGGGATGCCAGCGACGGTCGTTGCGCCCAACCGGGCTGCGCGCAGACGTCCCGCGCACAGAGAAGGACCCGCTTAGATGTCCGAGTCCTCATCGGAGCCGTAGAACTCGTCGTCAAAGTCCTCAAAGTCGCCCATGTCCTCGAACGCGACCTTGTAGCGGAGCAGACCGCCAATGCCTCCAAAGCCCTTGACGAACTGGGAGCCCTCCTGCGACTTGTTCGTGACAAACTCGAGCGTGGCTCCAAAGTTCTTGTACTCCTCGGCGAACCACTCGAGCAGCGGCTGGGGGTCCTTGACCATCTCCATCTCGTTGCCCGTCGACTTGTCGATGAACTGCTCGCGGTCCTTGTCGTCGGGTTTTGAGAAGACGACAACCTCCTCGCCCGCCGCGTTGCGGAGCGTGTTCCGGATCGTGTCCAGCTGCTCCCACACGATCAGCGTCTCGACGGCACCCATGTCGAGCGCCTTGAGCGTGTCGCTGATGCCGAAGCAGTACTTGCCCGTGTCGAGGGCGATCTCGTCGAAGTACTTCTGGATGAGCTTCTTCTCCTGGACGAACTTGACGTTGGCGAGCGAGTCGGCCGCAAGCTCGATGGCCTGGTTGAAGCCGTTCTCGCCACCGTACGAGACGTCGACGACCTTAACGACCTTAGCGAGCAGTCGGCCGTCGAACAGGTCCGAAGACGACAGGTCCGTCTTCAGTTCGGCGGAACCGGCGAGAACGAGACCGGCAACGTTGACCTTGTCGTTCGTGATGAAGTGCTGGACAGCAAGCTCGGCGACCTTACGGACGTAGTTTCGACGGGCCTCCTCACGGAGACGCGAGAAACGCAGCGCGGACTGACCACCACGGCCGTGCTTCTTCGGGAGGTCGACGTTGAACTTGTACAGCACCTCACGCGTGTTGCCCGACAGCGTACCGAACAGCGATCCGTTACCGTCCATGATGATGAAGCCCCACTTCGAGTCGGTCTCGAGCAGCTCCTCGAGCGCCTCAACGTGGAAGCGCGAGTCACACATGTACAGCGACGTGTTGATCGGCTTGAAGGGCTCGAGGGCGAACGAAATCTTCTTCTCCTTGCCCTCCTCGTTCAGCACCGTTCCGACGAACACACAGAGACCGTTGTCCGGCACACGGTTGTACAGCTTGAGCTTCTGCTGCGTCGACGTAATGGCCGAAAGCACCGACAGTCGGTTCACACGCGACTTGATGTTCGACGCCGTTCCGTACTCGGTGGTAAGCATGTTGCTCGCCTGCGAGATCTGCGAGCCTGTATCGTCAGCTCCTGCCTCCCGAACGTAGCTGTGCCACTATTGTGGGCACTCCGGACTCACGGGGAGGGAGAATAAGAGTGATACACGAGGTACCGGCTCCACGCGATGCGGCAAGCATGTTGAGCATCTTGCGGTAACGCCAGATCTAGTCCGTCAGCTCCTGCGCATGCATTGTGAGGTCGTTGGTGGCGACAGCAGCTTCGTGAGTCGCCTGCGATGTCTTCTTGCGTTGGGGACGTGTCGTTCGGCGCCAAGGGGGCGTCCATACTGCGCGCGCATCGGCCGAAACTCACCTCAATGGCCTGATCGGTCTGGGGGCTGTCAGCGATGTGCTCTGTGCTTACGGCGATCGGCAAGACTCACCTCCTCGGCAGTCGACATGGTGGCTTCTGTGGGTTGTTCGGGGGTGCTGTCGGAGTGTCTAGGGTTGCCGCTGTCGTCTCGCGGCTTTTGGTGCTGTTGTGCTACTACAAACAGCTGCTGGTGATAGTGGACAGGACAATGATGACCTGGTGGCAAGGTCAAAAGTCCAACCCTGGGGGCTTTGCGGATTTTTCACTTGTGGCACCCAAGCCCCGCAGTGTTATAAATACACCCAGACTTGAAAATGCAACGACATTTTGTAATCGCCTTTCATATCATACGACATCATGCATACAAGAAAGTGAGGGGAACAGTGACATTGCAGACATGCGAACCGTGGGTAGCGGGACCGTTGCGCGCATCTAGTTCTTGGGGTTGGCAACATCGGGGTACACGTCGAATCGCCTCTGGATCGTGACGGGCAGGTTTCGGCGAGTGGTCGCCAGCATCTCGGGGTCTGCGCGTTAGATAAGGGCACGGATCGGCTGGGCGCTCGGACGCGCAGGCAGGACTTACCGATGTCCGCGTAGACAATGGCCTCGTTCTCATCAGCCTCCTCCATGACATCTCCAAGAGGGTTGACGACAGACGAGTGGCCGTACTGGGCGTCAGCTCAAACCGCGGCTTGTACAGCTTACAGCCTGATAAGAAGCGTCCGGGTGACGGGAGGGCGAGCACATCGCGACGTAGATCTGGTTGTCGTTGGCACTGCAAGTTAGCTGGCGCATCTGGAATCAAAACTAACCGAGAGCGCTGGAGCAGGGTCCAGTGCATGGGGCCAGTGGTGGTGTTGAAAGCGGCGGGGTAGATCATAGCGATACAGCCTGCGATGTCAGTATGTGTGGCGATCTTGCAACTCACCCTCACGCGCGGCAATCATAGCCATCTCCGGGAAGCGCTGCGTCGTCAGCTTAAGACGGGAAGCGAGCAGCTTACGATGTCATAGCAGATTCCTACTCCGATCTTGCCGAACGGCGCCTCGAACGAGTTGAGCGTCATGCCAGGGGAGAGCGAGTCGGACTCCTGTGCGCGCGGTCAGATACGTTTCGAAACAAGGGTAATCAGCGCATCACAGAAGGGGCGAACGGGTGACAGTGGAGGATCTGCCGTGTCCGCCGCAGACCCGCGCAGGTCAGTAAGGGGGAAGGTGATCCAGGCGCCGGGGCCACAGTGCTTGATTGACGGTATCGACGCTGGTTCCCCGAATGCCCGACGGCGGGGCGTTCGGATGTGAAGGGCGCAGAAGAGTTGTCCGATGCGCCCATCTCTCCGCCGTTCCAACAGACTGTCGACTGATCGACTGACGCCTTCGGTGCATTCGTCTGGAGACCTTCCTCGCCACTCGACTGTGCTGACTCACCTTGAACTTCTGGCGGCCGGGGATGTCGATGTCGAACAGGTGCACCTTGCGGTGCTTCGCGACCATCTCGCCTTCCGGGTTGTACGCCGTGAGCGTGTTGTAGATGTTGTTCGTACCGTCTTCCTTCTCCGGGATGGATCCTGCTTTATTAGCTTACTCCGGGGGCATGGCAGCTAGACGCTAGACTCACCGCCGATGAGCCAGACGCCGTTGTCGCGGGCCATTTCCCTGAGGGCCGTAATGCTCTCTCCCTCCTCGCCCTTGGCGGGCTCCTCCTTGCCGTTCTTGACGTTGGGGACGCGCTCGCTGTACTGCTCAAAGGCGGTGACGGCGTAGGGCGAGTTCCAGATCTCGGGTAACACGATGAGGTCGGGCTTGGGCTTGGACTCGGCTGCCTTCTTGACGGCGGCGCGAGCGACAGAGATGTTGTTCGCCTTGGTCGCGTTCAGACCCGCGAGCTGGAGGAGCGCGAGGCGGAAGGGCTTGGCGACGATCTGGGCCATGGTGTGTGGATGACAGAGAGGATAGGGGAGTGTCACAGAGCGTTAAAGGGGCAGATGTAGGGTAGCGATAGCGGTAGAGCAGTAGTGGGGAACGAGAGGACGACTTGGGTGCGGGCGATGCAAGTCTTGAGAGCGTTCGAGAGCGAGTGAACGGCGAAAGAGCGAAGTGGACGAGAGGAGTGTTGATAAGTCAGGTGCGAGGTGGGCCGGCGTCCTAAATGCCTGGAACGCGGGTTCTGCGGAGTCACTCGTCGATTAACTCGGCCAGTGTATGCCCAGATTCGTTCCATCCGGTCATTTCCCGACCGTCCAAGTCAACCGATCTTTGGGCTGTCCTTCTGTTCGCGGCTTTATGCCAGATGCGTTTCTTTCATTTTGGAGCACTCCATGCAGACACTGCGGGTATCACAGCGCACATCAATCCTTCCATCGGAATATGCACAGGGGTCAGGGGACCCAACGGTCACATAGTAGGGGGAGGAGTTGATCAGCGGTGCAACGGATGAGTCATGAGTCACAGAACGTCACAGGTGGATCAAGACGTCACAAGCGCGACAAAACTGTCACTCCCAGTGCTGGAGTGCGCAGCGAGAAGCTCAGAATGTCCATGAGGGTACACATATTCACAGAGTTCACACACAATTCGTACGACGGAACAAGGGACATATGACTTGATGGGGGCGCGGTGGAGTGCGATAATTAGTGGTTGATAGTACAAACAGCTCGAGATACACGCAGCCGGGCTTCTCTCAGACGCAAGTGTAGCCTCCGTCGATAACCATCTCAGAGCCGGTGGTGTACTTGCTCGCATCGGACGCGAGGTAGATGATGGCGCCCTTGAGGTCAGACGGGTCGCCCATGCGGCCGACGGGGATCTTGGAGATCCACGTGTCGCGCAGAACGGGGTCGTTGTCGAGGATGACCTTGGTCAGGTTCGTGAGCATGTAGCCGGGCCTGGGAGTTAGCTGCGGACAATGACATTGACAGCTTTAGCGACTCACGAGATGCAGTTGACGCGGATCTTCTTCAGCGCCCACTCGACGGCGAGCGAGCGGGCCATGTGACGAACGGCGGCCTTGGAGAAGTTGTACGGAGTCTGGGGCTGGGGGATGTTGACGATCTAGTATGTCAGTTCAGCCCATACGACGGGAACTCACGCTTCCAGACATGGAGCCGATGAAGATCATGCTGCCTCCGTCCTCCATGAGCTCCTTGGCCTTGAGCGCGCAGTACCAGGTACCCATGACGTTGATGTCCATGAGCTTCTTGACCTTGTCGGTGGGGTACTCCTCGGCGATGAAGTTCTCAACGATGCCAGCAGCGGTAATGAGGCAGTCGCAGCGGCCAAACTTAGCCTTGACGGTGTCAAAGGCGGCCTGCACGCTCTCCTCGTCCGAGACGTCGCACGCGACACCGATGCACTCGAGCTCGGACGCGAGGCCCTTCTTCCTCTCCTCCGGCGTCAGGACCTCCTGCTCAAACCACTCCTGGATGTCCTCGACGGCCTTGTCGCACTCCTCCTGGCGCAGGTCGAGGATGACAATCTGCGTAGCGCCCGACTCGATCATGGTGCGCGCCATCATGTTACCGAGACCACGAGCGGCACCAGTCACAACGCACACCTTGTTCGTCATCGAGAACGAGGCGAGCGTGCGCTTGTTGTGACGCGCCACGTTGTGCAGCACGTCGTGGCCGACATCGTTGGCGGGGAAGGTCTGGACCGTCAGTCGCCGATCGATGTGTCACTCATTAAGCGGGAGGGACGGGCGCAGCGACGCACGCAGCTCGCCACTGCACCGCTCACACCTCCAGCTCAAAGACCTCACCTCTGGGTGCTCGAACTGGACGTTCGGGTCGATCATGGCCTCGGTGGGCTCGACCTCGATGCGGAGCTCCTCGTACGCCTGGCGGATCTCCTCGGGCGATTTGTCATCGTCGGGGTGGGGAGGGTGCTCCTGGTCGTCGTGGTGCTCCTGGGCGCTGTGACCGTTCTGGGTCTTGTCCTCGGTGGGAGCGAGGTTGGTGGCGTGGACGTTGATCGCGGCGGACATTGTTGTTGTTGTTGACGCGTTGGAAAGGTACTGGGTTTACGTTTGCTGGGTTCAGGTCCGGTCCTCGGTGGCAAGGGCGCGGTGGGCAGCGGGCGGGGTCAGAGGTGAATCAACAGACGAAGTAGTGATAGTCAACAGTCAAAGAGAGGGAAGAGCGCGCTGTTCTGAGCGGCGAGGGGGACTTTATGGGACTGGGTACGGGCCAGTGTGGGTGACGGGAGCTCGGAGTTAGGCTGTGTGTCGACTGCGAGCAGACTGTCAGCTGGCCAAGCAGGCCAGGAGGGCCGGCCCACCACTGCTACAGTGGGTAAAATATTCAGTCTGGGCATAGGCAGCACGTCGGTGACATGCGGTCCCCGGGTTCAGGACACCGACATACCGCGTACATGCCGGCGGCATCGGCCCGATCTCCCAAGCCTCAAGGGCAGCCCAAGCTGTTCTGGGCCGGTCTGCCGCGATGCAGATCCTGAGCCCCCACCCACTAGCACAAGCAGGAACCAGCTTTGCCCACCCAAGTTCACGGCTGTCGGCGGCAGTAGCGTCCTTTGCATTGGCCCTCTCTGCACCAGATGCGGTCAACCCCTCCATCCCCTCCCGCCATCGACCCCGCAGCTGCCCGCCGCTCGCCAAGCTCGGGTCCCCCATCAGCCTCACTCTCTTATTTCCGGGTCGGACAGAATTCAGTACCCAAAGTTACGGCGTACAGCTCATTCTGTACAAGATCCGTAGCTAGATTCTCAGGACACATTATTCGTGCACGCGCTCCCCCCGTGCGTGACAGCTTGTGGAGCGTGCACATGCGTGTGCCACCTTGCTGCGTACATGTGCGCAGCCTTGTGATAGGTGGCTCATCTCGCTTGACCGGTCGGACTTCAAATCTGCATCAAATCTGCACACTAATGAATCTACGTTTACTATTGAACCCTGAGACGCCGATGACTGCGCGATGCTTATCAGACCCACCATGGCGGGGTAATGGCGGGGTCGATTAGATCTGACCAGTAACCTCAGTCGCCGGCGTGGCTTGCGGCCGAGCACACCGAGGCCGAAGCCGACTCCGTCGGGGTCACCGCATATCGGACATGCGTTGACCTAGGAATTGCTCAGAGGTCGCCGGCGAGGCTGAGTCCGGTAGCCACCGAATCAACGAGCGCGTCGATCACGAAACCCTGCTTTGCCCAGGCTGTTGTCAGCGGCGCTCGCCGCACACACTCACTCTGCAGCGTCTCTCCGAGCTTGTTCAGCGGCACGAGTTCCTTTTCGATGTACTCTCCCTCGTCAGGATGGGCGTCAGGGATTACAGAGGCGTCCTCAACGCTAACATCAACGGTAACGAGCACCATGTTGGCTCCAGTCATGCTGGCAGGTCAGCTAAGATCAACCATAGCAACCTGTTAGCTTTGCGACTTACCCAGGATCCTTGACGAGCACAGGACTAGAGCGGCGCACGCTCACGCCCTCCTTGTACCCCGTCTCCTCGTAGAGCTCGCGCAGCGCAGCCTGCTCGGGCGTCTCTCCCTTGTCGATGAGACCGGCGGGGAATTCTGCGTGTCAGCTGGATTCCGAAGGACTGGTCAGCTGTTCCAATAGCTTCGCGCGACAGTACACTTGTCACGGTGGGCTATCCACCGGGCCACCAACGCCACAATATCACGGCTGTGACACCTTGAAGGTGGCGGACGGACTCTGCGGTCTGCTGATGGCGTCCTGCAGCCTCGGAGCTTGGCTAATGGCACGCAGATTGGTAGCCGCGGGCTTGGCATCGAGCGGAGTAACGCAGCGGAGTTCAGACAAGGACCAGCGGACACTTGGCCCGGAGCGGACTCACCGACGACAACACCAGCAGCCGGGGGACGGTATTGCTTCAGCAGAACCACTTTCTTCTCTTTGTTCTTCTTGTCTGCGACCAGGGCGAGAATGTGACAACCTATGTGTCAGCTAACAAATGGGAACAGGTAGCTAATGGGGAGGTGAATGGTTGAAGAAGGCGGTACGTACTGTCAACACCCGCCTCCGTTCTCGTCTTGCGGTTCGCCGCTTCCCGGATACGCTCCTTCCCTCCCTGGTCCTTCCAGTGGATCTTCTCCAGCTTCAGCCACTTCGCGTCACTCGGGCACTCTTCAGTGCGGACGATCTGAGGCTCGGGCATCTTGCGGCTGACAGCGGTAGAAGAGAGAGGTCGAATGAGGGATGGGATAGCTGTGTGAAGGGTGAATGTTGATGGGGGAAGACGGGCACGACGGACGAGGAAGGACATGAGAGGTTGGGCGAGTGCGAGATGTGTGCTGCGAGTGACTTGGGTCGTGAGGTCATTGTGCAGCGGGGCTCCAGATTTCCAAGGAAGGCACACACCCGGAATGTACTGACAAATGATTAGAAAAGGCTATTTGAAGACACCACAACAGAATTCGACAGAATTAAGGACTGTTGCATTTGGTATTAGAGATGGTATGTAATGATTGTGGGATTATGAGTGCTCGTAATGGGAGTTAAGGCGGCTTTGAGACCAGTAAATTATAAAAGAGAAAAGCGAAGAACCACACAAAGCGCAGAACTGATCAGAACTACGAAGCGGCAATAATTATATGCACGCGAAGCGTGCTTGTAGAACGAAGAGAGACCAGAGAAATCGAAATCATAAGTGCGCCGAGCGCAGAGGCGGGCGAATTATAGACTGCACAGAGGCAAAGAGATTAGGCCGAGATAATGGAGGAAGAGTCGCCTGCTCCAGTCAGCGATGGAGTTCTTAAAAATCTGCCCTGTTCGCGCCGATCCTAGGCAGGGTGGCTAGCAGGGTTGTAACTCACTCGTGGCGTCGCGCAGCTCCTCGAGGACCTTGTTGACCTCGCGCGGGTAGAGCTCCGACTTGGTCACGAGGGACTCGTCGTAGAGCGTCTGTTGCGACTCGAAGGACATGCGGCCGTCCATGGGTGCGGAGCGGAGCTCGACAATCTTGGGCTGCTCGGGCGGGATCATTGGCGTGTTCGCCAGAATCTTGATGGTCCGCTTCACCTTCCAGTACATGCTCGGCTCAGCCATGGTGATTAGATGTGGATGTGGGACAAAGGTATTAGAGGAAGGGTTGCTCGACGCGTTCGGGCGGAGCGGAATTACGAGGGTTGGGTCGGATAAGGTACTATAGGTGGCGGAGGACGTTCGGAATAGCGTCGGGATGATAACAGACGACGTCGAGAGCCGTAGAGGTGATTATTAGCGGGGCGAGACCCAGGTGAAAGCAATTAAACGAATGTAGACGAGAATGATACAGATTGAAGATGCGCCTCGGCTCCTCGGTGAGCTAAGCATGCTCGGGGCGGGTGTTGCGGGTTGCTCGGCCGGCTCGGGGTGGCCGGGGCTGCTGCTTCAGCACTTTGGTCACGAGCACTGAACTCACGGAGGCGAGAGGGGTGAGGGGGATCGGGCAGACCAGGGCGGCTGAAAATCCTCGGGCGATTTGCGTCCTGCGTACGGCGCATGATGTAATCCATCCGCCGCCCTTACGGCCCATATGCCGCCTGTTTGTACGCCGCCTGGGGCAACTGGTCAGACGCACGCGCGATGACGTCGATCGTTTACCGTCCTGCGTTCCTAATCTCGCTGACATCCCGAAGAGCGAACCTTAACTTGCCACTTCCCGATCTGGATGTCTGCACCTCTGACGTAACAACGATGGCGCGGATTGGAGCACTCGCGCCATTGGAGTGGGAGTCGAGCATACCAGGCAGGACTCATCAGCCTAAGCCTTCGACTGTCGAAACGGTCATGAGACACATCTGGGGTGGCAATGAGGAATGCAACAGCGTGGCACGCATATTAGGAAACACTGCATAATCTTCTCAAATTAGCACAGCTCGGGTGAGAGCCGCGCGGAGGTTAGGAATATACCAAGCTTACTTCGGATTGGCTTGAGTGAAGAATATCGAAGTCGAGATGATGGGCGGCGCCGTTGACAAAAGGAAGAGGGATGATGAAAGACAGGGCAATTAAATCGTGTTTTTTATGTATTTGACTTCAAGACTTCTATCTGTTGCTGCCTTCAGATTATGTTAGTCATACAATTTCTTAATCGATACAAATAATCTGAAGGGGGAGGAGCAGCGAGTGAGATGCTCTCGACGTGCTACGCGTCTGTAACCACGAGCACCGGCATCAACACTTCTTTTACTTCTTGTTCTTCTTGCTGCTCCTGCCCGACTGGCCGGTCTGGCCAGTCTGGACGGACGCCTTGTCATCCTGGGCGGGCTCGATCGGGCCAACGACCTGCTCATCGTTGTCGTCAACAGGGACGGGGCCCGGAGCAGTGACGAGGTCGTCGCCCTTGACATTGGACTGCGAACCCGTGTCCGCAGCCTGGCGGGCGTTGTCGTGCTCGGTGTACGCCGGAGTGTCTTCGGCTCCGGCGTTACCCGTGCTCGTGGTCACCGCAGTGACTCGCTGCTCCCCGCTGTTGTCATATCCCTCACCAGTGGTGCTGTCCTGGCGAGCCGGGCCGGCGGGGGCGCCACCCGCGGATCTTGAGTGGCTGCCGGTGTTGGAACCCTGGTCCTCGTTGAAACGGCCCTTGTCCTTCTTCTCAAGCTGGACGTTAGTTTACATTCGTCTCAGCGAGTTCCAAACTTACAGCGTAGCCGTTGGGGCCAACCTCGACCTGGCTGCCCTGGGGGTTCGAGTAGGCGGGAACCTCCTCCTGGTTGTCTTCGTGGGTGTGGTCGTGCTGGCGACCATCCTCGTCCTCGTAGAGGTCGTCGTCGTAGTCGTCCTCGTCCTCCTCGACAGACGAACCCTCCTCAGAGTCCTCGTCCTCATCGGACTGGTATCCGACGCTGCGGACGGCCTGGGCGATGGGTCCGTCGCGCTCCATCTGCTCGGAGGCGACGAGGTAGCGGGCGACGAGCATGCGAAGGTCGTTCCAAACCTCCATCATCTCCTCGTGAGAGCGAGCACGGAAGGTGTAAGCCTCGTTGCCACCGAAGAGCTTGCCGCCAGGAGTCTTGCCGAAGGCCGAAGTGCCGTCCTTGCGGGCCTCGATGTGGAACTTGTGAGACTTGGCAGTAGAAGCAGACGAAGGAGGACCGAGAGTGCAAGCAGGAAGGAACAGAGACCAGATGGGGGCAGCGCACTGGTTGGGGTCAGACGACGAGTACTCGTGCAGGAAACCGGCAGGAGTGAGGACGTAGAATCCCTCCTTGTACGACTTGGTGAAGCGCTTCTTGCGCTCGAGGAGACCGGCGTGGACGGCGGTGACCGAGGGGTCGTTGCGGCCAGGGTAGTCGATGGCGTCGGGGTTGCGGAGAGGAGTCTCGGGGTCGAGGAGGTGGTCCGAACGGGCGGCGAAGGCGATCCACTCGCGGTCGGGCATGAGCTGGGCCATGTTGACACCGAGCTGGCGCCACGACTCCTGGACGGAGACGGACATGCGGGCCTGCCACTCGTCAAAGGTGGCCCAGGCCGACTGGATCGAGCGGACAATACCCTCCTCGAAGTGGGCCGAGTTCTGCTGCATGATGACGATCGACTTCTGGAGAAGGTTCTCCTCGTGGACCTGCTTCTGGAGCTGCTTGTTGACCTGAACGTTGACGGCGTAGGGGTCCTCCTTGGCGTGCACCTGCATGGGGGTGTGGTTGACGGTGCCGATCGCCTTGGCGAGGTCGGCAATCATCTTGGTCGAGAGCTCACGCTCGCGAGCGACAGAGGCAGCGAGCTTGCCGGTGTCGTTCTGGACGTTCTTGATGTGAGCCTTGATCTCGGTGCGGAGCTTCTGGAGGTGCTGGACGATCGAGGACTCGATGGTACGAGCGAGCGATGCGTGCGAGTCGGCGATGACGCGGGTCTTGTCACGGATGGTGTAGAAGACATCCTGCATGCCGCCCTCACCGAGGAACTGGTTTCCGGGGCGGAAAGGAACCTGGATGACGGAGCCAAGCTTCGTGAGCTCCTTCGAGGTGTTGGACTCGATGTCGGCAACACCCTCGAAGTATGAGATGAGCATCTTGACAATCATCTTCCACGCCGTGAAGCGCTCGATGAGAATGTCGGAGGGCTTGAGCTCATGGGCGGCGGTGTTCTTCTTGATCTGGAGACGTTGTCAGCGATTGTGTTCCGAGTTTTGGCAGCGAGTAGCTCCAAAAATACGTACCAGAGACTGAGCACGAGAAACCGAGGTCCCACGCGAGAGGTGGGAACCCCGCGAGGTGGACCTCGACAGGGTCTCAAAGTGAGAATTGGAGTGGTGGGAGTGGTGGGAGGAGGCGACAGACATGATTGTTTGCCTCTAAACTTGAACAGGAAGATCGGAGGTTAACGTTTCGTTGTTGATGCACTGTCGGGTGTATGGAGAGTGATGGAGACGAGGGGACTTGGGACGATGACGAGCGGCTATATTTAAAGAATGGGGAGGGAGAGAAGACTGCAGAAGGACGAGGGGTCGCAGCCGAGAGGTGGGTTGAAGTGGAGAGGCCAAAGGCGGGGTGGATGGAGGGGGAAGGAGGGGTATGAGGGAAGGGGCAGTGACGATTCAAAAACGACGTCGTCATGACACCTTGATCGTGCATCCTTGTCCTGGCCTGGGGCCGGGGGCACGGCAACGTTGATTGGACGTCGTCGCGCGGAGTCGGTCCTCTCGATCTTGTCCCTCTCTCTCCTTCTTGGCCCTCGTGCTCTGCTGCAGGAGATGGATGCCTGCCTGCCTGCCTGCCTGCCTGGTCGCTCGCGGTCTCGCTGTTTGCTGTTTGCTGGACCTGGTCCAAAAGTCCCTGGGCGCTGCACCTGCTCCATTCCAACTATGGCTCGTCTCGCATTGCGCATTCAATGGGCGGCGAGTGATGACGTCTGTGAAGCCTCATTAACGGGATCAAACCCATTACTGACGTCACCAACCTGCCCATTTTGGGTTTTAGTCTGTCCCACGAATCCTTTGCTGAGAACCCGACTCCTGCTTTGCCAGACTCTCCTGACTGCCTGACTGCCTGACCTGACAGACCTCGGCGCGCTACGCCGAGCGCTGCGTACAAGTCCGGTCGAGGTCAGGCCATGCACCTGGCAGACTCACCGGCCTACACCAAGGATCGGCAGATGTGCAGGGGTCGAGGCAGGGTACCAACCGGATAACCGGCTCCCAGAGCCAGGGTCCGGTCATTGTCATCATCATGGTCCTCGCGTCCTCGCCGCATGCTCGATGCTGACTGGTTGTTCACTGTTCGCTGCCCGCCTTCCTCTCTCGGCGCAGTCATGTACGCGCTCGAGCTCGCCGCGAGCTCCAGGACACCGCCGCGCGCGCTAGGTACAACAAACAGCGACACCCTTTCCGTCATTCACGCATTTTCACGCTGTCCTGACGCATCAACCTTCCTTCTTCTCCAATGTTGGCCGAGTGCTTCTGCCGATCGCGAACAATTCAGACTTGGACAGGAAAGAACCCTCCTTGCGCTCTGCATCATTGGCCGCGACACTGCACATGTTGCACCGCTCTACCCATCCTGCCCACCTCATCTCGGACCGCTCCGAGCACCAGCACGTCTTGCCCGGCTCCTAATCCGACACGCTACGGCCAAAGGAGTTCAGGAGTGTCTATGCTGATCTTAGTGGCGGTTTGCACCTGCGAAACCTCGCGGCTACATATGAAGGAAGTAGAGCCTGTGTCACTTCCGTGACGCGCACGAGGAAGACACACGATTCGTGGCGAGGAAGACACTTCTGCCAACAACACGCCAGCCTCAAGTCATGGGTGGCAGTAGGGCTAGTAGGGCGCACCCCAGCCTCACCGGTTCCGTCCGTGCTCACCAATTCCTCGGCCGCCTTCCTCGCCTCCCGGCGCTCCTACTCATGCCTTCCTCACTGACTTCATAAGCACTCACTCCTCCCTAACCCGACTGTACCAGTTATCTCAACCTCAAGCTCTCCAAGCCCACCATTTCCACCTCTGTCGCTCCTTCATCAACAGCCACCACCATGGCCGAAGCCGCCCTCGAATCCGTCGCCAAAGCCCTCACGGTCCGCGCAAACGCGACCGACTCCCAGATCACGCGCGTCCTCGCGTCCATTGCGTCGGCCCTGCTCGGTTTCATTGTGGCCTTCATTGGCCTGGGATTCTTCAAGACGGGCGGCGTCGCGCCCCGTCATCGTCTGACGCAGCCGCAAAAGCGTTAATGGCGGACGAGCCGGTAGTCGCCACCCGCTTCACCCTCGGTTCAATCTGTGTTATGACCGTGTGGCCATGGCCCGAATCTCGGTCCCTTGTCCTCGTGTTCGCCTCCAATCTCCCGGTTATCTCCGTTCCATCATCCAGCAATCAACGCAGTCTCGGTATCGGTCTCCAATCCGGCAGCGCATTCCTTGTATCATGTTCCACCAATTGTTGTGACGGCCCAGTGTCGTGCACTCCAGGCCTTCAGTCTCTGTCGCCGCAGCGTCGTAAGCGTCGAAATCTGGGCGGTCCCTGCACCATCGAAGCATGGACCTAGCGCTCTCCGCCGACGGCGCACTGACAGTCCAGACGTCCCTTCCCCACACCCCACACTCCCACATTCTTTCCAGTAAACCAGATTCCAAGTTGTCCTCCGGATCAGTCATTAGCCCGTGATGTATATGTACCCTCAGTTACCCAAGTGTGTATTCCAGTTGAGCCGATCGCCCAGATCCTCCAAACTCTGCCAGAGGTATCCCACAATGTGCTCGTGTATCATGTGATGAAAGAAATGACATGCTTCTGCATCTCGTCAGCCGACCTTCTCTCCAGCTGCCAGCTCATACTCACAAACAAAATGGAAACTCTATGATCGCCTCAACCAAACCTCTAGTCGACCAGTGTCGAGTCTAGAAGTTCTTCCCCCTCCGGACACGCACCGGTCCGTCCGCCTTCTCGACCACCTCGCCATTAACGACAAACTCGACCTTGCCGATCCGTCCCTCCTCCTTAACCACAGCAGCCATGGCGGGGAGGAGCTTCTCCCAGTCCTTGTACTCCTCGTTGTCGGCGGCGAGCACCCGGGGTACGCGGGAGGGACAGATACTCGCTCCAGCGGGCTCCTTGTCGAGCAGCTGGCGCAGGGTGCGGACCAGGAGCTCGCGGAGCGTCTCGTCGACCTCGGCGAGCTCGAGGGGCGAGACGGCGCGAAGGGCACGAAGGCGCGACTTCTGCACCGCACGCCGGCGCGCAGTCTTGCCCTTCGCTCCCGTAGCGGGGGCGGAGCCGGGGACAGACCGCGCCGGGTTCAGAGCACTCTTGACCGCTTTCGTGATCGGCGTCTCGTCGGCGCCTCCCTTGGGCGACTTGGTGATCGAGTTCTTCAGAGGAGTGCCCTTCGGCGTGCCCTTGGGCGTACCCTTGGGGGTCGACTTGGGAGTTGCCTTCGTACGCTTAGGAGCGGGCGAGCCAAGGGACTCAGACGCAGCACGCGAGCCGGCACGGGTGGTGACCATGATCGTTTGTTTACGTGAAGAGTGTTGGAGTGATGGGGAAGGAGGTGCGCTTTGCTTCGGAGCGCTTCTGTGTTGAGGTCGAGAAGAGTACAGGCGATGTCACTCGGACAGTCGAACGGGGGATAAGGTAATACAAACAAAAGTTGGTAGAGTGAAGGCCGAAGTGAAGGAAGGCGCGTCGAAGCGATGGTTTGATACTGGCAATCGCAGTCCGCTCTAGAAAAATTCGAGCCCGCCGTTTGCCGGTGTTCAGAAATTCAGAAATTTCTAATGACCGGCGGGTGATAAGATGGTCAGGCACGCTCTATTCACCGCCATACGAAGCTTCTCATTACGATTTACAGCCAGACCCATACTCACCGATTAGAAGCCGATTAGAGTCTGGAACAACGCCAGTCAGTCAGGCACAGGAGCGCGCTTCACTTCTTTCGTGCATATCGTGATGGCTTTGTGCCCGCGTCGTTGCGAAGTGTGCGACGCTCAAACGTCTCATGTAACTCGCCGCTCAGGTCTGATGTCTGATTCATGTCTGACTCACAGCCAAGAATCAAACGACGACCAGAGGAGATCCCGGGGCGGTGCCAAGACCAAGGAGAGCTGTGTGATCTCCGGGATCTCATTGTCCACTAAGGGCAGAAGGGGAAGGGCCTGGGTCAAGCATACCGCTCTCCTAGCTCTCCTTGCTCTCCTTGCTCTCCTGCATGCTGCAGGCCAGAACAGCGGTAAGGGGCCCAGACGGGGCTTGGTGGCTTCTGCCCTTCTGTCACCGCCCATCTCGGCACAGCGGCGTCCTTTGTTATCTCTTCTTGGGCTCACACCGCAGAGGTTGCACAGCTGATGCTGACGTCCACTTACTCAGCTTAAACCACGTACTCACCGCTCACCGATGCGCACGCCTTGCAGCGGGTCACAGGACCAGAGCATCAGAGACAGCATCGCACGCCCGCACCACGCTTCGCGCTCGGTGCGCGCTCACATGCCTCCCCAACGCTAGACGTCCGAGCGTACACCGCCGCCAACCCTTGGGTCGTGCACACCGTGCGCTGCGCGCCCCGCCTATCGTGCTCTCTCTCTCTCGCTGCCGCTCTGCCGCCCTGCCGCTCTGCCGAGCACAGCACATCGTGATTACCATGCCTACTCTCGCCTGCTCTCTGGCAGGCCTTGCGCCCAGCAGGCCAGGAGGTGCACACGCCTTGCGTGCTGGCTTTCCGTCCTCGACATGCGCACATGCGCACACTCTTGCTTCATACTCTTGACGCCCTCTCACCTGTCGACGATAACCTGACGCCCCGACAGTGCGTGCAGTGCGTACAGTGCAGCGGTACAGTGCCAAGCCGACCCCTCGCCAGGACCGACAGGAGCGCGACAGGAGCACGAAAGGAGCACAACAGGAGTACAGCGCGATCCGAGGACAGTGTACGAAAGGCGTCGCAGTGGACTGTCGGCGCACATCGTCGGTCGTAACATACCTCACACCGACATCACTCCGACAGCCCAGCATCCCAACGACCCGACACCTCAGCGCCCTCCTCAGTATATATCCCGCGCCTGTCGAGCCCGGCATTGCTTGTTGATTCCATTCGCCTGTGCCTCCCCCCTTACCCCCGCCTGTGCGCTTCTGTCTATCGCTGTCGACACTGGACATTGCCTCCCTCGACTGACTCGACTCGACGTCGTCTCCGATAAGACCCGCGACGACTGAAAGACCCAACAGAGCAATGGCGGCGATGAACATGTGGACCCGCCTGCTCGCCGCTTTCCTCTTCCTCGCACTGGTGCAGACGGTTGACGCGGCCCGCCTCACTACAACGAATAGAGTGAGTCTTCCTTCCCCACTGTGGCCAACTCGCTTCCTACGACTCGTGCTTCTCGCATTCTCGCACAGTGTCGCACAATGTCACATTTCCGGACCGGTCGGGCCGTGGCCTGGCCAGAGATCTGACTCGTGCCGGCCATCGTGCCTCGGCACTGCGCCGTGGTTCGTCCCCATTCCCCGAAACATCTGCGGTAGCTGCAGCACCCGTCTCCATCTGGCCATCTGCGAGCTAGCCAGCTACCTCGTGCGAAGTGAAGAGCTAACCACCCCAGGCGGGCCAGACCTACATCGAGGGCCGGTTCACGAACAAGGGCGGCGGCAAGTTCACCACGATCCTGACAACGCTGCTGCCCGGCGAGACGGCGCCGAACTGGAAGCCGACCGACACGCCGACGCAGACTGCGAGGGAGGCGCCGGCTGGGACGTGAGTACCACTCAAGCAGGCGATGAGTTTTGGGTCATGTGCTGTGTGCGATGAGTGCGTATGGGACTGGCAAGGGTACCACTGTGCGAGTGCGAGTGTGCAAGGTGTGTGCGAGGTGTGCGTGAGCGTGTGTGTGTGCGAGCATGATCGCCCTGCCTGTGCGAGTGTCACTGCACCTCACATTGAGCCCGACTCTCTATCGCCGAACCCCAGCTCATCGCTCCTCATCGCCATGCCAAAGCGTGCTATCGGCGATCTGGTGGAGAGGTGGGGTGGGGTGTCGCCAAGACGCTGGATGGGTAGCGGAGGGCGCCGCACCGATCGCACCGATCAGGCGTATCAGACCTACCCAGAAGTACCCGGCAGCTCAGGAGTCAGGAGAGCTGCACCGCTCTGTCGCACAGAGGTACAGTGGTGTCGCGCATTATCTTGCGTCGAAGCGCCCGCGGTCCGCGCTGCTTACTTGCCTTATGCGTGACTCCTCCCTTCTACCCCCTGGCAATATGGGAACGAGGCGCGCCCAGATCCGCCCTTGCGTGCGATCTGCCCTGCTTGCCTGCTTCGTCGTACCTGCGCTCGGATCTCCGTCTCGCGTACCTCACCTTCCATCAACCACACCCCCTTCCCTCTCCACTCGCGGTCTACCGGAATCTACCCCGGCCGACGGAGCAGACTACATTTCAGACTCAGCTTTCCTGCTCTAGAAGCAGCACAGCTAACATTCAGTATCCAGGCCGCCGGCGACTACTTCTCCGACGCGAGGGAGCACGCTGCCGAGATCCGCGTCGCGCAGGCGCAGTATATGCGCGACCATGGGGCTTCTTCGCGCAATCAGCCCGCTCTGGTTTCCCTCCTCGCCGTCGCCGTCGCCGCCTTCGGCTTCTACCATCTCCATTGACACTCACGTTCCCTGCCTTCTGCTCCATCTCGTTTTCTCTTCAGACCATACAGTTCCTTCGGCCGTCGGCCCGCGCATTCACCATTCCCGCCACCCAAACGTCAAGACACAGTCAGTCGTCAGGTCAGCCTATACCCGCACAGCGTTCACAAAAGTTAGTAGATTCCCAACGGAGCACCGAAAAGTGCTGTAGATAGCCGCTGTAACTCTCTAAGATGTAGTATCATGGAATCAGATTGGGTATGTCGTTGCTGGTGTCAGACACGTCACTCGTCCTGCACGTCGAGAGCACGCTCGAGCTCCTCGTCCTCGTCCTCCCACCACCCGCCGCCTCCACCCTCATCGTCTGTCAGCTCATCAGCGCCGCCCATGACGTATCGCCCTCCGGGACCGTCGCCCTGCGCCCCTTCCTCCGAGGAACGGGGTTTCGGCGCCCCCTTTGGCGGCTTCTCGGGGTAGCTCCGCAGCGGCCAGCTCCACCCGTCGCTAGCGGGAGGAACAACGAAAGGAAACAGGAGTGTTGAGAGGGGGCTGGTTGTTAGCTCATGGAAGGCCGCGTATAGCTTACTATCCGCCCGGCCCGACGTTGAAGAACATCTGCAGGTTACGCTTTGCGCCATAGTCGTACGGGTTCAGATATATCAGACCGTCTTTCTTCGCCTTCTTGCGCAGGTAGTCGTTGTCGTGTCCCTCGATCGAGGTCTCGCCCTGCGACACCATGTACATGTGCCACCCTGCTAGGACGGGCACAGCGAGTCCGATAGCGCAGCACAGAACATATGTCAGCGTGAACGCGACCTTGGGCGTGACTTTGGCAGGGTACTGGATGATCAGCTCAAATCTAACGCGCGATAAGCTCACAGGCAACTTCCAGTCTAGGGTGGCCCAGAAGTAGTCGTAGCCAAGCGCAACGACGAACCACGCCCCAAGCGAGAGCCACGCCATGAAGAGCACGAAGTGGCGCTGGTTGTGCAGCCCGACGCAGCCGTTGATCCCTGCTGTCAGCTCATGATCCAATAGACAGGCTCACAAGGACAGTGGTGATCCATAAGGAGCACGCAGCGCTTGCATACTGAGCAGTGGTGGGTGCGCTGCCGTTAGCTCCTGCTTCGAGTTCAGCGAAGTAGCTCACTGGAGGCTTGGGGCCGTTACATTTCCGACACCGCCGAACGCGGCGCCGTCCTCCGAACGCGTTCCCGCTCACTGCCGTCCCTCTCGTGCGCTTAAAGCCCCATTGCTCTGGCGCGAGCCAGCTGCTGGGGTCGTTGCCGAGGAAGCGCTCCTCCTTCTCGGATTGCGGCAAGGGGTACCCAGACGGCACATGCGTCGCGAGCCAATACTGGCCGTACATGTTGAGCGGCACGAGGGCGTAGAACGGAAGCATGGCTATCGTCGCGAGCCATGACAGGTCACGGGTCACGACGTCGACTGGGGTGTCAGTGAAAGTTAACTACGGGAAGTTATCCTAGCTTACAGAAGGCGAATCCGCCGAGGACGGTTAGAATCCAGGCGAGGCCGATGAAGACTGGCCCCGCCGCGCCGGTCAGGCGGTCCGCGGCGTGCTCAAGCCGCTTGAAGCAGCGTATCACCAACGCCGACGGGCCGCGGGGAGGCATCTGGTGTTGTTGACAAAGTGACGAGTATCACGAGGAAGACGTGTGGAGATGGCAGAGGGCGGTGGAGGTCCAAGGCCGCCAGGGTCAACTTTGCCAGGGTGCACGCGCTAGCTCCTAATGGTCATCCTGTCCAAGCTAATCAGCTCCTAATTGGAAGCGTGCTGGATTCAATTGGAAGCCTTGTCATGTCGTAATGTCCAAAGCCAAGATGAGTGCCAGGCACGGCCACCTCGAATCTTGACACCGCAGCAGCCTGGCGGGCATCCACGACGAGCACTCCTGGCTATGGGTGGGATTACACCAGCCCGACCAGCGACCATCTATTTCCACGTCGTCCGCTTCCACCATCACTTGCCTCCTGCATACACTTTGCACGCCACACCAAAACGGCCTCTCACCTCCTTCGAGTTACGCGCTTAACGATTGGCCGCCCGTCTCATCTTTGCACAACCTGCACGCCCTGCACGACTGACGACCGGCCGACGACCGACGACCCACCACGACGGAGCGCACCGAGAACCAGTTGAGGCCATGAGCGGCACCGAGAACGGGAGCAGCGGGGCGGGGCGGGCGAGCTCTGAGCTTCCCGGCGTGCTGAGTCCGCCGAGTGTGGCGAGCCCTATCCCGCGCTCATCGACGGACTCGGCGCGCGAGAGCGAGAGCGTGGAGGCCCAGCTGGAGCGCGTGAAGGCCGAGAAGGAGCACCTGAACCACCAGTACCGCTCTCTCCTCTCGAAGCTGACCGCGATGCGGCAGTCGCTAGGCGACAAGCTGAAGGAGGACGCCGAGGAGCTCGACCGGCGAGAGCTGCAGATCTCGGAGCTCGAGGAGGAGAAGGAGAAGCTCACCTCCCGAGTAAAGGAGCTCGAGGCTGAGGCCGAGGAACGCGCCGAGCAGGGCCAGAACGATGATCTCATGGGCCTCACGGACGAAATGCGGGAGCTCCGCGGCGAGATCGAGAAGCTCAGAGCCGAGAAGGAGGAGTGGGAGCAGGAGTGCAGCCAGGAGCGCGCGCGGAGAGAGCAGCTCGAAGACGACATACGCGGGTTCGAGATTGCACAGCGCGAAGCCCGCTCCGAGGCCGACAAGGCGATTAAGGATTGCCAGGCGGAGAGGGAGCGCGCGGCGAACCTCCAGGAGGTCCTCGAGGAGTTCCAGCAGGGTGAGTGAACCTCGAATATGGCAGCTACGCTTGGCTTGACGCAGAAGCTGACAACCCAGCGAAGGACTCGGAGCTGAAGCAGGCGACGTCGGAACTCGAATCGCAGCTGAAACTCGCCGCAACCCAGTTGAGCGAGTACAAGCTTCGTGCAGCGAACGCCGAGTCATCGCTGTCACAAGCGACGACGAACGCGACCAAGTCGTCTGCGCTCGAGAAGGAGCTGAAGGACAAGAATGCCCTGATCGCGAAGCTGCGACACGACGCGGTCGTGAACAACGAGCACCTGACGGAAGCCCTGCGCCGACTCCGCAAGTCGACGTCGGACGTGAACGTCGACCGCCGCCTGGTCACGAATGTGCTGTTAAGTTTCCTGACGACGTCACGCGCCGACTCGAAGCGCTTCGAGATGCTCCAGCTCCTCTCGACTATCCTGTGCTGGGACGACGGGGAGAGGGAAAAGGCCGGATTGCAACGACAGGCCAAGCGGCCGCAGCAGAGGAGGAAGAGTAGCTCCAAGGAGGCGACGAGTCCGATCGACGAGGAGATGAATGAGGTGAGTTGGCGGCGAGTGGGCGTAATGAAGCGAGCGGGGTGCGATGCAGGGCCGAGCTTGATGTCGAGCACCGGTCGGGCGTAGACAGAGTGGATGAGGCGCTTGCCGCATCCAGCTTACATGGTGTTTTCCAACAGCTGACAACGCAGTCCTTCTCGAACCTCTTCGTCGAGTTCCTTTTGAAAGAAGCGACACAGGGACAGGAAGACCACCTGCCCACATCTCCGCAATCGCGGCTCATGTCGCCCGGCGCCTCGTCCTCTGCGCTCTCACCGCCAGCCTCCGGTGCCGCGACGCCAGTGGGCTATTCCCGGTCGAGGGCGCTGTCCAACTCGTCCTCGGCGAGCGGGACGCCAGCCACCAGCGGCTCGTTCTCCATCTTTGGTACTGGGGGAGGACAAGGACAGGGAGGAGGAAGTGGACTAGGCCTCTTCAGAGGAAACAGCAACCAGAGCCTCGACCAGATGGTCCGGCCCCAGGGGCAGCGGAAGCCGTCACAGGGCCTCATGGAGGTTATGAAGTAGCGTTATCCGGCCTCTTACCATCCTAGCCCCCGCTCCTCACCCAGCCCCGGACCTAGTCCTTCCCCCATCTCTGACGCCGACGCTCACACTGACGCCGACTCCTAGTCCGAGGGCCCGCGCATATGCATAGTTAGTATTAGCACCACATTTAGGAGAACATTCGAGATGCATTCTATAGGTAGTAGTGAAAACTAGTGATAACGGCTCGTCCGGGCAGGGTATAGGCGCACAGGCTGCGTCGGCTCGGTCATGCTCGCCGACGACGACACTTCGCCACTCCTCTCACCATCCTCGCGCTTCCTCTCGCGCACTCTCGCTCTTCTCCGTCGCTTTTTGTGTTGTGCAGATGCTAGTAGTTAAGGCTAGCAATCAATCTGAGACCCAAATTGTCCGTGCTGGCAGTGCACTTTCCGTTCGTACACTGCCGCACCCAGCGTCGTTCCACGCTTACTCGGACTTCTTGGACTTGGAGGAGACGGGCTTCTCGGCAGCCTTGATCGAGGCGGCGTCGGTCTGGGGACCGGCCTGGGCACCAGTCAGCTGCTCCATGAGGCCAGGGGCGGCCTTGAAGGGACGAGCGAGAGGGCCGTCGGCCTTCTTGTTCCAGAGGTGGAGCTTGGTCTCGTTGGCCTCAAGGACAGCCTTAAGGGTGGTGATCGACTGGACGAAGAGCTGCGGGTTAGCTTGCCCACGGTACCCTAGCTACTCTGCCCCGGCGTAACTCACAGGAGGGATGTAGCCCATGTAGAGGTGGAGGAAGCCCATGAAGGCCATACCGGTGAAGAGGCCCTTCATGGCCTTGGAGGTCTCGGCGAGGTCGTAGTCACGGACAGTGGTCGTGACAAGCTCGTCCTTCGAGTCGGGCTGCATGGGCGACTTGGGCTGAACGTACTTGATGACGGTCAGGTCGTTCTTCTTGCGGATCTGGCTGTCAGCTGCGCATCCGGAATGCCTTGAGCTGCGAGCGTGACGTTGACTGGCGTGCGACCGACGCTGATCACCTCGTGGAATGTTCCAGCCCGATGGTGATTCGGCGTGCACACGCAGCCGGCAGCAGTCACAGCGGCGAGCTTTAGTTGTACTCACCTGAGTCATGACATAGTAGTAGATCAGGATCGAGAGCGCCTGGGCACCGAGGTAGAAGCAACGGAGGTAGAAAACAGTCTGGGGGTCCTCGGTAGGCAGACGACGGGCGACTGTAATGTTAGCTCATGGATGCCAACTGGGAGCTGAAAGGTGGCTGCGCGAGATGCATGGATCAGGCTCCCAGCCTACGCTGGCGTCTCGTGTTGAGCGGCGTCGCCGTTGGCAGAAAAGGACGGCACACAGCTGATCGGACGACCAAGTGTGAGTTGTGACGCGCGTCGCGGTGCGTGGAGAGGTGGCGTGGAAGGCCGAGGAAGGCAGTCGTACTCACTCTGCATAGCACCGAGGGAGACGGCGAGGTTGGTGATGGCGGGGTTCATGGCGACGACGGCAAAGGAGTGTGGTGACGGAGGTGGAAGAAGGATGAGTGGAAGGAAAGATTAGTATGGGATGGAAGTTGAAAGATGAGCACAGGCTGCTGGCTGGCACGGCGCATGCATGTGCGGCCTGCAGATGCCGGCCACCGGTCAGTGTCGACGCACCACTAAGCTCTGCGATAGCGCTGCCCAAGTCCGGCCCCGCGACCTGACCTCAGGGACAGATGTCGCCGGCCACGTTGAAGTCGTGATACGGTGGTGCCTTTCTTGCGGGGAAAGTGCCACACTCAAAAACGCCGGGGGCCGGTCGGCAGCCAGCGTCTCGGAAGAGAATGGACCTGGGTGAGCAAGGGGAGCCGCATGCAGCCTACGGTGGGAGGAGGGAAGGGGGAGACATGAGCTCGCGGATGGTTGGCTGTGAGAGGGAGCCGTTCGGTTGATTCGCTTGAGTTGTTCCCTTCCTGCACATCTACCAAAACCTACGACCTACGACCACCATGTTCCGCCCCCAAGTTGCTCGTTCTGCTCGTACCCTTGGTCGTCGTGCCAACTCGACGACCGCCCAGCAGGCCCAGCAGAAGGCCCAGCAGGCTGCTCAGGACGCCAAGCAGGCTGCCGGAGACGTCGCTGCCAAGGCTAAGGACGCCCTCAACTCGCCCAAGGCCCAGGAGGTCTCCCAGAAGGCCAACGAGCTCTTCGAGTCTGGCGCCCAGGCCGTCCGCAAGGTCACCGGCCCCATCGGCGACAAGGTCGGCAACGCCCTCGGCTGTGAGTATGAATCGACTGCATGCAGGACGCGCAAAAGAAGTCATGGACGAAGGAGACAGGTTCGGATTTCTCGGCTCGGCAGTATCATCGTGCCTACCTTCCTGCCAACTATGGAACGTAGGAGAAACCAACACCGAGGTCGCCGGCACACGACAGCCACCACCTCTGCGCGCAATCTCGTCGACGAAACGATGCACTGCATCGGCGCATTTTCCCGGCACTTGTTATGCTTGGAGGCATGCAGCAGAGCGACCGCGGCATCTCAGACATTGCGAGCGCCACAACTTTTGGCGATCTGCACTGTCGGGCATGCCACTGCCTGCCACTCGCGGGCATGACGTTCGGCATGCCTTGGATAGGCTCGGCGGGGTCTGCACTTGAATCTCGTCTGTCACTTTCGACATTTCTCGACCTGTGCGATGGGAGCTGTTGTCCGAGAGATCCGCCCCTTGTCCCGTCCTTCCGTTCGAAGCGATCTGCATGCAGCTGAAGAAGCTAGTGATAGGAGCTAACCCCACAGCCTACAAGCAGCCCCTCCAGTACAACTGGCAGGTGTTCAAGTCGCTGGTCAAGCAGGTCTACCAGGCCGAGAAGCTCGCTCCCCCCACCCACCTCTCGCAGTGGACCTCGGCCTACTCTGAGATCTTCCACAAGGCCGCGTCCAAGCAGTGGTGGAGCCAGGTTCTGTCGAGCGGATCGTGGGCCAAGCTCGCTGTTGGTGTGAGTAAACTTGAGCGAGCGGGCGTGAATGCGAGCGGGCACAGTTGAGGGATGAGGCGAGAGCAGCATGGGACCGTGATGGGACCGATGGGCTCGCAGATCAAGCTTCTGTGATGTCTGTCGATCCCCATTGCTCTCGCACACACCCCAGTGGCTGCCACTCTTGTCCGAGACCTCCAGTCGCCCCGCTCCTCGCCACGCAAAGCTTGCGGCGACACCTTTGCCATCACAGCTAACATGAACAGGGCCTCGAGGCGTACGGTCTCTACAAGATCGGCGAGATCCTCGGCCGCCGCCACCTGATCGGCTACAACGTCCCGGCCAACGCTGTCGGCCAGCACTAAATACATCATCATCTTAGACGTTTGTAATAAAAAGAGCAAAGAGCTTGGGCAAATGGCAGAGCCGACACTGGGCCGACACTAGAGAGCCGAGCCGGAGCAATGCATATCTGCGGGCGTAGCATCGATAGCGGAGTGAGCAGTGCCGTGTGCGAGCTATGAGGATCTAGGCCCCATGGACAGTGAAGGACAGATGGGATATGAGATGAGGGTGAACGTTAGAGCGTTGCGGGGATAGAGGGGCGTATCGCTCTGATGCTGGGCGAGCAGGCGCGCTGCTCATCGCGGAGTGCACGCGGCGCAGACTGTGTCGTTCAAGGCATCCACAGTTAAAGCACCTCCACGCACATCTGCAGTGATATCGAAGCCGCAGGGCTAGCTACTGGTCGGAGACATGACCATGTTCGACCGAGCTCCGACAGACGTCGGACTTTGAGGCACGCAGTTGTCGTGGGAAATGAATATCAGGCGCGTGTGATCGCGTGTGAGTGTGGCGTCATCATTACTTACCTTTCATCTAAGCTGGTTTGTGTCAATTGTCTCAGAGAGATCCAGTGGGCTCGCATCGGGGTCAGTCCAGCGTTGTGGCAAGAGCAGAGTTGCAAGAGCTTCTTATACATCAACACGAGACCAACACCAATACGAGACTAGAAGGGGCATCATCTTTCTAAACGGGACTGTATACGCAGGAAAACTCAAGACGCAGAGTGGTAGGACGAGCGGGTATAGTTGAGCATAGGACACAAGTTGGGGTTAGAAAGGGGGAGGGGGAGCCTAGTCATCCTCGTCAGACGAGGCGACGAGCTTCCGCCGCTTCGGCGCCGCCTTGGTACTTCCCTTCGACGAACCCTTCGAGCTCGGCTTGCCCTTCGAAGCAGGCTTCTCGCTGCCCTTGGACGAGGGCGCCTTACCCTTCGAAGCAGGCTTGCTCTTCTTCGCGGGCTGGGGTGTTAGCTAGACTCCCGGACCTACAAGCTGTTGGCAGAGGAAAGGACGTACCTTTTCGTCCTCGTCGCTGTCCGGGTCGTCCTTGGCGCGCTTCGATGCCTTCTTCGGCTATCTGTCAGCTCTAGTCCTATGCGAACAGCTTACCTTGACGTCCTCCTCAGAGCTCGCGTCAGAGTCCGACTCCTTCATCGACTTCCTTCCCGCGGCGGCGCGCTTGCTCCGGGGCTGGTTGTCAGCTGCGACGCAAGGTTGAGAGCTCACCCTAGCCTCGACCTTGGACTTCTTCCCCTTCTTCTTCTTCTTGGGGCTGTCGGCGCTCGAGTCTGAGAATTCTGTTTCGGGCTCAGAGGGAGACATCTCGCCCTCGCTCTCCTCCTCAGAAAGCTCGGCCTCGGACTCGTCCGATTCATAGTCGTCCTTTTTCTGTCGTCAGCTGTGTGACTGGGCGGAAGAGCTCACCTTGCCCTTCTTGGCCGGGGCCTTCTTGGCTGGCGTCTTCTTAGGAGCAGCCTTGGCTTTAGGAGGCGCCTTCTCCTTCTTGGCGGCGGGAGACTTGGACGTCGCCTTCTTTCCCTTTGCGGGCTTCTCGTCGTCTTCCTCGCCCTCACCCTCCGAGGCGCTCCAGCCCTCGTCGCGCGGCTTGGCAGTCTCCGGGACGTCCTCCTCCTCAACCTGGCCCTTCTCGAACGCGGTGCGGAACTGAGGTCAGCTTATGGAGAGTAAATATAGCGAACCTTGTCCTGGTACTCCTTCCTGATGATGTCAGCTTTGATCGGCTACCCGACTAAACTCACGGCAGGTCTTCGTAGCCATCCACCTCGGTCGGGTCGTCGAACTCCTCCTTCAGGTGCTTAAACTGCAGCGGCGTCACACCTGTCTGTCAGCTCGCCACGGGTCCCTCAGCTTACATCCCCAGTGTCGCCACTTGAAGGAGCCGTTGCCCATGATCTCGACCCAGGTACCGACACGGAAGTCACCCTTCTGGATCTTGGTACCCTTGCACCACTTGTTGCCGTTGCAGCCGGCGCGCGCTGTCGGCGAGACTTCAAGGCGGTAGACGGGCATGTCGTCTTGCTTAAGCTAGTCTGAGTGATGATGATGTTCAAGGAGGGAAGGCAACAGAGAGGCGCGCGAAACAAGGAAAGCGGCTGAGGATGAGTAGACTGGTGGAGGTCGCAGCTGTTGCATCATAGCCAGTTTAGGCCTGGGGGCGCGTCCTGGATAAATGATGATTAGATGACTCATTATTATTGTTGACTGTGGGGTCTGCGGCACGAGCGGCGCGCACGGAATTTTGGAATGATTCGAATACCGCGATTGTCACGGACTCAAATGCTGTCCTGTCTCACTTTCGCGTGCGAGAGAGCGCCCTCGTACCGTCCTCTTGCCACTATGCTTGGTTGCCCGCACCCGCGCACCCAGCTGATGGTGACGACCTCATGAGGAAAGGATGACGACATAACGAAGGCAGCTGTTAAGCATGTCAAGCTGACATTTACCCCTTCTGAGATCATTCACCTGCCTTTGAGATCTCCGCGGCAAAGGGAGAACAGTGAGCCAGGCTAGGAGTGTTCTGCATGTTCTGGAGCCGGGAAAGACCAAGAGGCGTTGACGATCCAGTCTACCTTGCCTAGCTTTGATCATCCTCGGCGCCCACGGAGGTCAGGCGAGCGGGGTCACAGGCGCCTACGCCCTTGGGGTCCTTTGGTCATCCCGAACGGTCCGAACCCTCCGGAGAGGACGGCGTGGGCTAAGCGAAGTCCGCACTGCGCAGGAACCAGGCGGCGCGCGTTACGATGAGGGCGCCTTTGGGCCTGGGGGGGGGGGGGTCACGAGAGTCTCATGCTTCAACTTTATTACCCCAGCAAATGCAGCCAAGGCGCTTCAGTCAGTCTAACGCAGACTAAATGCACTAATAACGCTATTTGCGCTACGGAGGCCGGACAAGGCTAGCCAGACCCAGAACGGCAGTGCGGCAAACTGCGGCAGAAGGAAGGGCGATCTTGCGAACTTGTTCCACGCATACACATGCAGTTAGTAGCTCGGTGTCACAGACGGACGTGGAGAGACCATGATCACGGCCACGCCAAGCAACTGCGCCGGACGAGAGTCTCATGCTTCAACTTTATTACCCCAGCAAATGCAGCCAAGGCGCTTCAGTCAGTCTAACGCAGACTAAATGCACTAATAACGCTATTTGCGCTACGGAGGCCGGACAAGGCTAGCCAGACCCAGAACGGCAGTGCGGCAAACTGCGGCAGAAGGAAGGGCGATCTTGCGAACTTGTTCCACGCATACACATGCAGTTAGTAGCTCGGTGTCACAGACGGACGTGGAGAGACCATGATCACGGCCACGCCAAGCAACTGCGCCGGCTATGTACATGCGAGACCAGGCGGTATCAAGTGTTGTAGATACGAAACGCAGGCAGTGAGGCGGCGATACGATCGATACGAGAGGCAGTGATCGGCGGTCGAGCGTCTGTGACGAGATTGGCTGGGGCCTGTGCCGCGCAGCTGCATGGAGGCTGTGGACGAACGCGGGATCAGCGGCGAGACCGGCGAGATCGGGCTGTGGACCAAGGAGACGATAGGCCGTACGCCTCAGGGTCTCCGATGCAGGGCGATGTAGGGCCGTAGGGGAATGGCGAGATTGCGAGGGACGCAACTCTGAGACTGTAAACAACGTCGGAGCGTCAAGTGATCATGCAAGCTTTGCTGCGGTGCTTCAGAAGCATCCCCGGTTTCCGGTCGACCTCGTGCGCAGACATGCGGTCGTGACAGATGTCAATTGTGGAACACCTGTCGTCTGACCCGTCTGACCGCCTGACTGACAGCACGGTCGTTCGAGCGTGACCATCTCCCCGGGCCGACCCACGGCAGGAAGCGGCAGGCGGCCAGCGGTATCCAGGCTCGCTAAGCAGCACTAAAGTTGCTGATCGGGGCTCGCCGAGCCATGAATAGTCGCCTCCTACACGTGCGAGATGATTTGACAGGACAAGTCGACGCACCAGATATATCCTGTTCTCCTGGATCCCCTGCTCCTGGCTCTCTCAATGCTCCTGAACCTGAACCTACCCGTCGATTGACCCGGCCACGGCACCGCTTGTACACACTCTGCACTCAGGCTTGCCACTTTGGTCCTTTGAGATCGTAACGTCTGGTTCGTGCTCGGTCAAGAACAACAACAACACTCCCTTATCCATTCCTTTTGCATTTCGCTTTTGCTACCTCTCCCTTGTGTCATTCCTAGTCGTCGAAAGCAAACGTCTCGGACCCACGGACCCTCGCCAGGTTCCTGTCTTGACACACCAACATGTCTGACCACGACCCCGGCCACCAGAACACTTCCAAAAGATCGGAGCGCGAGGGCGAGGGCAACCGCGAGGGACAACGCCGCCCGAGCGCCAGTGCCAGCGCCAGCGCCGGTCCGTCGAATGTCACGTCACCAGCACTCCATGCCCATGCCCATGCACGCCAGTCGCCAGTCATGCTCCCGCGGACCAACTCGTCGGGCGATACACCCCGCCGCGTTGGCCTCAACCTTGGACTCGGGCGGCCCCGGGGTCCTAGCGCAGGCTTTGTGAGTACCTGCAGTTGTGTAGTCCAACCACGGACCAGCCATGTCAGACATGGCGCCTGGGTCAGATCACGAGGGACGAACGGACGGGCGATCCACTTTCTGTCACAATGGACCCGTCTATCAGCTTTCGCAGCGCTCCCTCTCGATCCGGCCCCCACACGGCGCCAGGCGCAACAGCCGCGACCCCCGCCGCCGCTCTTCCGCACCCGACGTCACACTCCAACAATCTGACCCAGTCTCCCCACCGCCGTGCACTAGCCGGTATGCGTGAGAGACCTGCCGACAGAGTGATGGGCGCGAAGGCTCCAAGGTTGCGAGGGCACAATCTTCATGCGTCTACGAGGAGCACGCCCGCTGACACTTTTCCACAGCGTATTTATTCCGGCACACCGCATTCCAACACTCCCGCATCCCCCAACCCACCCGCTATGCCGATTCCTCCAAGGCGGTCGTCCGTCTCGAGTACCGACGACGGCTACGACTCGGATTCGGGCACGACGCCCCGCACGACCAACTACTTTCCGCACACCTCTGGCTCGCAGCGCCCCCCTATCGACGGTCGCCGAACGAGTGACGCTGCGCAACAGCCAACTGTTCCTTCCTCTCCTCACCAGGGTGCTTCCCAACCAGGCTCCTCCGTCCACGGTCGTCGCTCTCGCGTCAACTTAGCACCTTCCGGCCAAGCGCAGCCCGGCTTATCTCGTTCCGGCTCCCGCGCTCGCATTCCTCCACTCGGCATGACGAAGGGCGATCAAGAAGACGACGAAGTCGTCGTGATCGACCGCGGCGAGGATCTGATCCGCCGTCGACTCAAGGAAAGGAAGCGCGCCAAGCGCGAACGTGAACGTCGTCTGGCTGCTGAAGCGGAGGCGGCGGAAGACGAGGAGGACGTGCAGGCCAGCGCACCCCCCTCGGCTACTACAGCTGCCACCGATTCGTCCGGCCCCTATTTCACTGGCTCGTCGTCTCTCCCTCAACGCTCGAGCGCAACCAGCCCTGTCCGTGGCCACCGCTCAGTTTCAGTTTCACGCGCTCGTGCGTCCAGTAGTGCACGCCACCACACTACACACGTCCCCAGCCGGTCCGGGAGTATCAGCAGCGATGTCGGTGCGGCTGACCGCCCGACGTCATCCTTGGCCCCCGGTGGCGATGAGGACGACATGGAGGAGGACGGTGACCACGAGGAGGACGAGGGCGAGGAAGCCGCCCAGCGTAGTGATGATGACGATGAGGACGAGGACGGTAGCGGTGGCGATGAAGAGGGCGTCACCGTCAAGGATCGCCAGGACGTGAGTTCCAAACCCCAGCTGACAGAACTGACCACAGGCCATCAACATCGAGCACCCCTTCGGTCTGCCCATTTGGAAGCCTGCGCTGTACCGCAAATCGCGATCCGTCACGAGGAACGCCGAGTCTGCGCTGCACTCGATCCCCTCGGCTGCTGCGGAGCGTCACCTGCTCGTCGGCAACCTGTTATGGGTCGTCTTGTTCGGCTGGTGGCTCGCCCTGATATGTGCCAATGTTGCCCTGATCGTGACGGCAGCCGAGTTCCTCGTCGGAGGGCGTGGAGGCTACGGCAGGACTATTCGCGGCTTGGCCTGGTACATTGGCTGGCCGTTCGGAAAGTACGTCGAGGGCGAGGGCGCTCCAGAGGACATGTCTAGCGATGACGACGCTTCGCACCATGACGAGGAGTCTGCTCCCCTGGGTACCGACCCGTCCGTCCACAGTAACAACTTCAACTACGGCAGCACGTTGTCGACTGACCCGGTCCACCCTCGTGCCTTCTCGATGTCTACCAACTCGACGGCAACCGTGCGCCCGGGTGACTCGCAGTCGCTCGAGTCGCTTCCTGATGAGCCGCACACCCCGCCTACCCGGTCTCGCACCAATGTTGTCTCGTTTGCGGCCAGTGCGAAGAACGGCAACCCCTCGCCGCCCGAGGGAACGCCTCTGCTGTCTGCCAGGACGGGCCAGCCCTGTTCTCGTCGTGGTGTCCGCCGCCGAGCGCGTCTCGTTGGCTCCATGGCTTACTGGCCACTGTTCTTCTTCGTCCTTGCGCCCGTCATGCTGGTGGTTTGCCTCATCTGTTGGTGTCTGGTCATCACAATCCCGATGGCCAAGCTCACCTGGGAGCTCATCTACTTGCTCTGGACTCGTCCTCTCGAGATTAACTTCTGTCCGGCTCCGAAGGTTCCCGTCCAGGCCCCTGTCGAACGGGACGAGGAGGGCGAGGTCATTGACAATGGCGGCCATCGCGTTGTTCTGAAGCGCGCTCGCCTCCACGCGGGTCAGATCGCGCCTACCGAAGGGCCCACCTCGACCGTGCTCCTGTGTACCTACCGTGCTGTTGGTCTGCAATACTACAAGTACACGGTCGGCGGAGTCAACATCATGTTTATCAACCTGCTGCCGCTGGTGTTCTTCACGATCATTGACGGCATGCTGATCCTGCCGTGGGTTGAACACATGCACGAGAAGGGCAAGCACGTTCCCTAGTTTGTCGATTTCATCTCGTCGCCCGCCCTGATCTTCACGCTCGGTCTCGCCTCTGTCATTCCCCTGTCGTACTTCATCGGCATGGCTGTCGCCTCGATCTCTGCCCAGAGTTCCATCGGAATGGGTGCCGTCATCAACGCCACTTTCGGTTCCATCATCGAGATCGTGCTGTACGCCATCGCCTTGACTCAGGGCAAGGGCCGCCTCGTCGAAGGTTCCATCGTTGGCTCGCTCCTCGCTGGTGTGCTCCTGATGCCGGGCATGTCCATGATCTCGGGTGCCTTTAAGCGCAAGACCCAGAAGTTCAACGCTAAGAGCGCTGGTGTCACGTCCACCATGCTGATCATGGCGATCATTGGCACGCTGACCCCGACCATGTTCTACCAGACGTACGGATCTTTCCAGATCCACTGCGAAGGATGCGCCGAGCCCGACAACGGGAACAAGACGACGTCGGCTGCTCCCAACCTGGCCAAGCCATTCGACAAGTCCTGGGAGTGCGATCGGTGCTACTATACTCACCCGGAGCCGACGACGGACCCCTTCTACCAGTCCCAGGTCAAGACCCTCATGTACGCCTGCGCGTTCATCCTGCTTCTCGTGAGTTGTCCCCTCTGTACGATGAACTGACGTCCAGTCGTATCTCATTGGTCTCTGGTTCTCCCTCCGCACGCACGCCTCTCAGATCTGGCAAAACCCTCAGCAGGTCATGGTCAAGGAGGACCTTCCTCACCAGCACCGCGCTGCTCTGGCGCGCATCACTCCTGCTGCGGTCATGAACCCCATCCTGCCTGTCAGCAAGCCGCCTTCCATCAAAGACCGCCGCACGTCGGACGCTCGCCCCACCCCTTCTCCGCGCCGTGGCAACCTCTCGCCCCGCTCGCTGTCGCCACACGCCACACCGACTCCTGCCAACCCCTTCCCGTCTCAGCAGTTCCACCAGCCGCCGCCGCCGCCATCTTCGCTTCAGCCCCATGGTCAGCACACCCAGCACAACCAGCATGACCCGCACCAGAACCAACAGCCGGTTGATGTCTCTGCCGAGAACGGCTTCCCGCCCAGAACTGGCTACACTCCGTTCCTGCAGTCTATTCAGCAAAAGTCGGGTGGCATGATTGACAATATGCCGCCGCTTCCGGCTACGCTGACCAGCGAGGACGTCCGCACTGCTCTGCACACGCTCGCGACCGTTACTGCCCTGCATGACCGCAAGAAGCCTGAGGAGGAAGAGGAGTCGCATGGTGGCCATGAGGCGCCGTCCTGGACCCGTTTCACGAGTGCCGCCGTCCTGCTCGCCTGTACTCTTCTCTACGCCGGTATTGCCGGTGAGTTATCACACCCGGTCACATATTTAACTGACAACAGAAATCCTGGTCGACGTCGTTGATGTTGTCCTGAAGGGCAGCGGTGTCGACGAGAAGTTCCTCGGCCTGACGCTGTTCGCGCTCGTGCCCAACACGACCGAGTTTATGAACGCCATCTCGTTCGCGATGAACGGCAACATCTCGCTCAGTATGGAGATCGGTTCGGCGTATGCCCTGCAGGTCTGTTTGCTCCAGATCCCCGCCATGGTTGCCTTTAGTGCGGTGTACAACCCGTCCAAGGTGGGCGACGACGTTGATACCTTCACGTAAGTTAGCTGAAAGGAGCTTGAACTGACAACAGGCTGATCTTCCCTCGCTGGGACGTCATCGCGATCATCCTCGCTATCTTCCTGCTGACGTACACGTACATCGAGGCGCGGTCCAACTACCACCGTGGCTCGATGCTCGTGCTCGCGTACATTGTGCTCGTGCTCGGCTTCTACTTTGCACCTGCGCCGGTCGATTCTCCCGACCCGAGCGTCGTTGTCGGCCACGACTCGATCGAGGGCTTCGCGATGTCGGCGTCTGTCGCCTTTTCGCGTCTCTGGGTTTGATCCATGTTGACCTCACGCCTAATCACCACATTCTGTCACGATCTGAACTGTTATTCCTCTGTTTCTCCTCCTCACACCACACATCCATATCATTTGTTGTCCCCTCGTTCGCAATCAAGTCTCATTTCCCCATTCCGCATTCCTAAAAGCTCACTTCCATTCCAACGCCCATCCCACCATGTCACGATCTTTATGAGGTTGCATGGTCAATCGCATTCACATACCCACGTAGATAAGACCTAATGAATCATGAAGTACATTTAGCACCGGCGTTGCAAAGGCCTCGAATTCAGAATGAGCTCAACCGTTGCACCGGACAGGCTTGACCCCCCGCTTGCGTGAAAGCTCATGGCTCTGCATTGTCCACGGTCCGCTCAGACTTTAACGCTGCGTAGTTGTGATTTCTGAGACGGTCCGCAACGGCTATAAGAGGGGCCCTCGCGCGACCACCGCCAGCGACAGATCGAGAAATCAGTCGCGTCGATCGCGTTGGTCTAGTGGCTATGATTCAACCTTCCCAAGGTTGAGAGAGGGGTTCGATTCCCCTACGCGATAGCTTTTTAGGCTCTCTACTCTGCGTGGGGGACTGTGCGTGGGAAGCGTAAGCGCTGGCCGGTTAGTTCGGTGAGGGGGAAGGTACGTGTAGGTGGGCAGCCGGGTGGACGTGTGGGGTGGAGGTGGAGGTGTGGGGTACGATCTGATCCCGCTTCATCCTTACTTTTCCACGGTGGCTCGATCAACCCTGGAGTGTGATGGCGGGCTGATGCGAGAAATCAATAAAAATACTCCCGCCCGGCCCTGCGCGTCCGCGTCCAAGCGCGTAATGTCTGGACGACTGGACGCGTCCAAGTTACAGGTTACGGTGTTGGGTCAGGTCAACATTGTTTTCGTCCACCACCACCACCAACCATGTTCCGACCAACGACACGACACAACATTCCCGCTACACCTGCGCACGGAGATGTCAAGGTGCACAAGAAGGGAGCGCCTAGTGGGCGGTATCCCCATCGGCTGAACTTGTACGTCTACATTGTTGTCACTGTGCCGAGTGTCACGGCGTTCACTCCTCGCTTCGCTCCGAGAGCCCGCTGACACCACCAGCTATACGCAACCCCCGCTCTTGGATATTACGCTGGACGAGTTTGAGCTCAGTGCGCTCGCTCGCCTCCGTGTCCTCTCGCACCTCGAGGCGCTGCAGCACCGCAACTTCCCGCCGGCGCAGTTCCAGCAGGCCCTCGCGACGTACACAAAGGAGCACCTGCCGCTAGCGAGCAACACGGCGCGATCAGCGGACCACGAGGCGGAGCGCCGGCGCGACGAGATTGGCCATTGGGTCCTCCGTTTGGCCTTTGCGCGTTCTCCCGAGCTGAGGGCGCGGTTCGTGCGTGCCGAGACGGCGCTGTTCAAGCACCGGTTCGAGGGCGACGATGCGGCCGAGCGGGCCGCTTTCCTCGCCGATCTGAGGCTGGACTGGGTCATGGTCGGGCCGGAGGAGAAGAGCCGGCTGGGCAAGGAGCTCATGAGCTGTCTGTGGGGCAAGGAGAGGCAGATGGACCTGAAAGACCTGGAATGGTTCAAGGTGCCGTGGACGCAGGTGCCGGACCTGATCGCGACGCGCAAGGTGTACGTCTCTGGCGGCACGGCGTATGTCCCGCAAAGTCTGCAGATTGCGCTCGTGCTGCAGGCGTTTGCGAGCCGGCTCGAGGCCGCGCTGGAGCTGACGTCGCGCCACATCCCGCGGCTGGACGAGGACGACCGCCTCGGCCCCGTCGTTGAGCACCTCGCGAGCAGCTTCATGGCCGGTCTCGCCGGGTCGGACTACGTCTCTAACGGCGAGGCAGCCGTCACGGCCGAAATGGTCGACGGGCTGTCTCGCCACTTCCCGCCTTGCATGCTCAACCTGTACCTGCACCTGAAATCGGCGCACCACCTGAAGCACTTTGGCCGCCTGCAGCTCGGTCTCTTCCTGAAGGGCGTCGGCCTGCCGCTCGAGGAGGCGCTCATCTTCTGGCGCCGCGCCTACGCCCCCGCCATCAGCGACGACAAGTTTAACAAGGAGTACCGGTACAACATCCGCCACTCGTACGGCCAGGAGGGCAAGCGCGCAAACTACCCGCCCAAGAACTGCCAGCAGATCCTGACCCAGAACCAGCCCGGAACGCAGGACAACCACGGCTGCCCGTTCCGCCACTTCTCGACAGATAACCTCACCTCCTTCCTCGTCACCAACTACAAGCTCGACAGGGGCGGGCCCGAGATGCGCGAGATCATGGACTCGGTCAAGAAGAACCACTACCATGTTGCGTGCACGAGGCTGTTCGAGGTCACGCACGGCGTCAAGAAGGGAGACGGAATCGGGAACGGGGAGAGCGTCAGCCACCCGAACAAGTACACGGACCGGAGTCGCGAGATTGAGAAGTGAGTATCAGTAGCTTCAAAACGTGATGCGGAGCTGACAGAACAGGGAGAAGCTCGAGAAGATCAAGGGCGAGGACGTCGAGATGAGCTAGAGGGACTTGTACACTGTAGTTAGCTAACATAGGTAGCGTGCATGCAATCGCACTGCATAGATCCATGTAATACAATGACTTGAATGTGGTCGCGCGCAAGGCGCAGTGGTGCAAAGGAGAGGTCAAAAGGGTACAGGAAACGATGGAGAACATGAACATCTAGTGTGTTGGTATTGTAATACATCTGCTACTGCTGCTGCAAGTCACAAGTCACTGTCGCCCCGACGCCTATCCCCACTTCAACCCGCTTGGCTCGGTGAGACTCTTCTTGTCCCATCCCTCCAGGAGGAGCTTCAGCCGCGCTCTACTGGCCTCGCTGTCTCCCGGAATGCGTCCGTTGTCCGATGTCGTGCGGATTGCCTCCTTCAGCTTGTCCGTCTGGCGGTAGTACTTGAGGAGGGTGAAGCCCGCCGTGTCAAGAAGCACGCAGAGGAGGTGCGCCGAGGGCGGGAGGGCCGACGTGTTCCCGCGCAGCAGGGATGCGATCCACGTCCACGCTGCCGGCTGCCTGAGGATCGGCGGCACGAGGTCGCAGAGCTGCTTGGGGTTCGGCTGAACGGTGAGGGTTGGCGCGATCGTCTGGTACGGCACGGCGAGGATGGCAAAGTACAACGTGCAGATACCGCCCTGGCGCGCGATGTAGTCGGTGATCGACTCGTCGGCCCCGCGGCCAGTCGACTTCTCGTACTCCTCACGAGGCTGGCCCTCGGTACGCTGCGGGAAGTACGGGATGACCCACGGCGACTTCTTCACAAGACGTGCGGTGAGCACGTCTGCGAGCGCGCCGTGGCCGCGCATGATGAGACCGACGACGATGCGCGCGAGAGGGAAGGCCGCGTCCGCCTTCGCGCTGACCTCGTTCTCGGCCTGTTTGATCAGGCTCTTCGAGAGATGAGACAGCAGGTAGCCGTATTGCGGGCTCGGGAGGTTCTCCAGCACGGTCGGCTGTGCAGCGGACGGCGCAGAGGGGAGCTGGGACACGAGAATGTCGTTGATATCTTTCGTCTGCCACTGTTAGCTAAGGAGATACCAGCAAACCGATAGCTGACTTACCACTCGAACGATCGACTCCTGCGTGTTGATCACCTGCCCGACGCCGCGGGTGATGAGGCGCATGCCCTGGCGCAGGCTGCTCTTCATCGCACGGTCGCCCTTGACAACATTGATGACCTGCTCCTTCATTGTCCGCTGGACGTTGACCCACTTCTTCCACTCGTCGACGGCGCGCGTGCCAGCAGCCTGCTCAGCGGCCTTAGACTGAGCATCCTTTGCCTCGGCAGCCTTGCGTTCCTCCTCCTCCTTTGCCGCCTTCTCCTTGGCGGCAGCCTCAGCGGCCTCCTTCTCTGCCTTCTCCTTGGCGGCCTTCTCTGCCTCAGCCTTACGGGCGAGCGCAGCCTTCTCCTCCGCCGCAATGCGGGCGGCTTCCTCCTCCTTGAACCGTCGAGCTTCGGCAGCCGCAGCGGCGAGCTTCTCGGCAAGTTGGCGCTCCGCCTCCTTGATGGCAGCGTCGACGTCCTGCTTGTCAGTTCATGGCCGCACTATTCGAAACTTACGGCCCAGAGCTTCTGTTCTCGCTCGTGGAATCGCTTTGACGTGTCCTGCTCCTCCTGTGTTTGCCGGAGTGCGAGACCCTCCATCATGCGCTGCAGCTCGTCCGCCTCACGACTCCGCTTGCCCTGCGCGGCCATCTCCATCTCATGGCGGACATTGCGGTCGATCTCCTGCAGACGCTTTTTCTGCAGCGCCGCATTCCGGTGCCCTTCCCGGAAGGCTTCCTCTTCTGTTGACTTCATCCAGGACGCAAATTCGCTTGGCGTGTCGTCCTTGATGAGATCTCGCATGGTCGGCTCCCACCGGTAGCTGGAGCGCAGTGGGGGCAGTCGAGGTCTTGACTTGGACTTTGATGGGGTGTGCGACTTGGATTTTGACTTGGAGGGACTAGTGGAAGATGAGGGTTGCGTGCGCTGTGTGGATGATGGCTTTGGTGGCGACGACGGAGCCTTCGCTTTCCCCTTGCGCTTGTTCTGGGGCGTACGGAGGCTGCGTTGTCAGCGTGGCACAGTGCAGATCACTTGTCAGGCAGCACCCTTGTGTGACTGCCGAGTGGGGACACTAACGGTTCGCGCCAGGGCAGCGACGAAGACGCGGCGAGCAGGTCGCCGACCTCGTCTTCAGAGTCGAGGTCGGGGTAGACAAACGAGTCGTCCTCCGAGTCGCTCGATAATAACATGTCGCGGATGCTCTGGCCAAGCTTCGTCCTTCTTCGCCTGGGAACTGATCAGCACGTCTATCCGCGCAGCGCACTTTGTGTGTCTCACCTCGACAAATCTGGCACCCAGCCGCTCAGGTCGTCATCACTCGACGAGTACAGGTCCATGTCCACCACATAGTCTAACTCCTCCTCTGCGGGATCCGGAATAGCGAAACGCATGGCGAAGGTGGTTCACGAGCAACTGAGCGTCGCAGAAGCTCCCTCAGAGCGTCGATCGGGCTACAGCAAGCTGGGGATGGGGGTGTCGTGCGAATAATGAGTTGCCGCACTACGCCTTCATCAACCGCACACAACAATGTTCTGATCTGTGATTATGTAACACCACGTGGCTGTCCAATGACGTCCTGCCTGAGACTGGCACCTTATTGCTACGTGTGGTGTAGACAGACGTTGATAGCAGCGATGCGCAACAGTTCAACATCGTATAGCATACTGATACATGCGCTACAAGAGCGCCTCTACTATATAAAACCACAAGGTGCTGCTTAATCCACGTCCATCTTCGACTTCTTCTTCGAGGGGCCCTCGCCGTCAGAATCGGCCGCCTTCTTTTTCTTCTTGTTCGCCTTGGCCTCCTGCTTTTTCCTGAGCTCCTCCATCATAGGATCTGATGCGTCGGAAGCAAAGCCACTGTCCTCATCGTCAGAGTCAGACTCGGACGGCGAGCCGCCGTCAGAAGACTCCTCCATGAAGTCCTCGTCCTCGGACTCATCATCGTCGTCGACGGGACGGCGGACGGCAGCCTTGTCACCCTTCTTCTTCTTCTTGCGACCCTCGTCCTCAGAGTTGATCGAGACGTCGTCATCGTCATCCGAGTCCAGGTCCATGACGGCGTCGACGTCCATGACATCGTCGATCTCGTTCTTGAGCCGCACGTTCTTGCTCGCGAGGAACTGCGAGATGGGGCCAGCCTCCTCCTTGCTGATGGCACTAAACACAGTGGGGACGGTACCCGTCTTAGAGGTAACACGCATGTCGAAAGTACGCGCAGAGGCGACTCCACCGCCGACACGAGAGAACGAAATGCTCTCCGTCTTGCTGAAGTCGATGAGGATGGGCTGCTTGGCGATGAAGATGAGACCCTTCTCCAAGAAGTAGAGCTCTCCCTGTACAGCCTTGACATTCGCCTTGATGCCGTTGACGCCCTGAGCATTGCGGAAGTTGCCAGGAGGAGTGACCTTCTTGCCGGTCAGAGACTTGAGGACACGGGAGATGACCTGGAAGGTGGGCGCCTCGTACTTCTTCTTCTGCAGGTCCGGGTATTTGGCGATCTCCTCGTCGTCCAGGTTGAGCTCAGCGTCGACCTCCTCGTCCTTGGGCCACTGGGCAACAAGGAAGAGATAGCGGGTAGCACCCTGGCGAATAGGAGGGTCGAGGCCAAGAACGAGCTGGATGTGGAGGTCGTCGAGCTTGGGGAGGAGGAAGATGCGGTTGATCGAGCTGAAGGGCACACGGTAGTCAGTAGACTTTCCGAGCAGGCGGAGCGACTCGTGGAAGAACTCGAGCGAGAAACGACCACGGGGCGTGAGAACGAGCACCTCCTCGAAGACAACAATGGAGTCGCCGACAGCGGCGCCAATGTCGGCCTTGTCCTTGATCATGTTGTGCATCGCCTCAGCGGCGCTGATCTCATTACCCTCCTCGTCGACGTCGGTCTCGGGCTCCTCGTCACTGCCAGCGTCGCTTCCCTTGGGCTTCTTGCTCTTGCCGGGCACGTAGAAGCGGATCTCGACGAGCTCGTCCGGGTCGCGCGCGTTGTTGCCCTCGAACGTCTTCGGCATGAATTCGATGGAAACCTCGTTTTTGCCGGCGATGTTCGAGTTCGCGACCTGAGACAGGGGAAGCTCGAAAGCCGTCTTGTGCTGAACCTCAAAGGCAAGGTCGTTGTCTGGCGTTAGCTGAAAAGAAGGAGTTCGAGCTTACTTTGAACAGTCGCCTTGCCCCAGTTCCATCCCTTCAAGCTCGTGTCGCGGTGCTCCACCTTGACGCTGAAGTACTCCTCGAGCGTGCGCTTAACCTTCTCAAACTCCTGCGAAAGGTTAGTGTGCGACAGAAGCCGTAACATACCTCGCGCTTGAATCCATCGAAAGTAACCCGAGGCTGGTCCGGAGTCCTCATCGACAGCCTCAGCTGGAAGTTGCGGGCCACGCTGCCAGTCAGTTGTTGTTGTTTACATCATCGCGCCGATGACGTACCGCATCCAGACCGCGCCGCGGACGTCGGCACCGTTGAAAGTCGTGGGCGTGTTGTTCTCATCCTTGTAAGACTTCCAGCCGAATCCGGCAGGGTTGAAGCGCAGCTCTGAGGGAGGTCAGCTACTGTACCAGTCGTATAGTCATTGCGCAATCGGACTCACTTCCAAGCTCGCTCGAATCGCCGATGAAAACTGGCGTTAGCTACAGAGCCATGCCTACGGGAGCTCACTGTTGTCAAAGGTGACGTGCGACATCTTGAACCCTAGACACTAGCTGAGAGAGCGCCGAGGAGCTGCAAGACGAAGGAAGACAGGGGACGACCGTAAATTAGGTGAGTGACGCCTGATGTTGTAGCCACACGCGTAGGGCGCGTCAACCCTGATAACGCTCGACACCCACCCACGTCATATCCCACATTTTGCTTCCGCACTTGAGTGTCTTGGGAGATGTCGTGAGGCAGATGAAAGCACGACCTGCGAGGAGGCCGCCTCGGCGCACATCTTCGCTACGGCGAGAACAGCAATTGACTGTAGTAGATGTATGCATGCAACAAAAGAGTTAACAGTTTATGCCCAATATCTAGAGCTAAATCTCTTGATACTCTCTATACTTCCTTCTCCTGGCCAGGGACCAACACTACTGAGCGCGGACCGTTTCGACGCTCCCCTAGACTGAAGTCGTCGCCCAGTAAACTTCTCCGAAAGCTAGTCTCGCCTTACAATCTTCGCGTAACTGGGAGCCCTCGAACCCTGCTGACTCGGCTGTCCGTCCACGCTCAACGAAGCCATCATCTCTACCTCATCTGGCTGCGGCGCTGGCTGACTTTTGATCTTGGGTGCGCTGGGGTCGTACAGCGACGGTGTCCTTCCACTGGGCGTGCGTCGCGGGAAGTCGGGGTCGCTGTTGCTGTCAAGCAAAGCCGCTGCACGGTTCATGGGGTTGGGGATGATGGCAATCGCCGGCGGCGTCAGCTGAGGCGGAGGCGTAGGAACTGGAGTGTGGTGAGGATTGTGATGAGGGTTGTGATGGGACAGATGATGAGGTTGTGGTGATGGCCGCGAACCACTGGACCCGCTCCACACCGTCGGATTGCTGTGGCTACCGTTGGGCCGCATCTTGACCTTCTCGATCTGCATCGGCTCCGCGTTGGTGCCCGGTCCTCGGTGCAAAGGTGGGAAGTCGGAAGTGGACGGCTCTCCGCCTGCACTGGGCGAGATGTGCAAAGCCGTGGGATGATACGGGACGTTGTTGGCGGCCCAGTCCGGCCGTTGTGGGAGCGGATGTTGTCCTGGCTGGGGTTGCTGGATATGAATACTGGATGTTCGACGTGAGGAGCGCGAAGACGTCGTCGAGGCCGGGCTCTGGCGTCCGTTGCGCTTGCCCTCGTGCAGGTTTACGCTCTTCAACGTCGAGTAGGTGCTCTGGGCTTTGACCGCCTTCTGGCGATACCCGTACCCTGGCTGCTGGGTCGTCGGATATATAGCGCCTAGCCTTACACTCGAAGCAGCACTTCGCGTACTTGTTGTCGAGCCTCGCGAGTGTGGACGCGAATGGACATCCTGGTAAGATCTGCTCGAGATCGAGGAGCTGGTGGAGCTAAGTGGGTCGGCTCGGATAGGCGTAGGCTGAGCAAGCATCGGACCTTGATACCCCATGTTCGGCGCGTAGGGCATCCCCTGAGGGATCATCGGCATCATGCTCGGTCCAGAGGGTGCCATGGACATCTCAGGAGGATACCACCCCTGCCCCATTGGCATCATTGGCACCTGTTGCCCCATCATTGGGCCAGGGCCCATTCCGCCTTGCTGAGCCCAGGGCGCCTGTCCATACGCGTTCATCGGCATTTGACCGTAAGCCTGATTGGCGTATGGCGGCATGTTGTACTGGCGGCCGTCGTAACCCATTGCTTGCTGACCCATGGTAGGTGGAGCATATCCACCGCCTTGGTAGGGAGGCGGAGTCGGCTGATAGCCATATCCCGGGTTCGTCGGCATAGACGACGATGTCACTGAGCTCGGTGCTGAAGGGGGCTGCTGCTGAGCTTCGGGAGATGGGTGGTAAAGCGAAGGATAGACGAACTCGAAATCGGGGCCATACGGCCGACGGGGGACGGCATCCATCTCATCATCGTCGTCATCGCCAAACCTGGATGTCTGACGAGAGCGGGTGTTCCCCGCCGACGCTCCTGCAGAGAGACTGTCATCGTCTCTCAGATCGTCGTCGCCTATGATGCGCTTGCGCGCAAGAGCGTAGGCTTCGGCCCTTTCCTGCAGACTCTTCCCTCGGGGTCCCGAAGATTCGGTACCATCATCCCCCGAGATGGACGTTCCCCTCGAGGGGCTGTCGTCGTCTCCGGCGGGAGCCTCACGCTGCATGATTCGGAACTGCTGCATTTGAGGAGCTGTCGCTTCCGGAACCAGCGTCGAGACACGTAATGACAAGCTACCCGTCAGCAACTGAACGACCGCACTGCACCTAGCAATGTGAACACTCACGTTTTCTCCTCCAGTGCGCCAAGAACACCCACAACCATCGAACCCTCGATGCCCGGAGCCGCTCGCAACCCGTACCACTCAGCGAGCTTGTATGTCAACATTCGCTGGTACTTCGAAATCGCCGTGACGTCAATCTTCTTGCTCGGGTAAAGCGATTCGACGAGACTAGCTGCTGCGCTCGCCTGTGAAGGAGGGATTCGCCCAGTGTATTCGCCGCGGTGCACTCGTCCGATGAAAGCCTCGAACTCCTTGCCGAGCATGAGAACAAACATCCTATCTTTGTTGGACAAAGCCTTCTTAAGTTCGTCCTCTGCGTGCATTGAACCAAATCCGACGTCGGCTTTGGGAGAATTCGAAGAAGAGGTGCTCGTCGGTAAGCTCCCGGCTGAAGCGGACGTGGGATTAGGCGATGCCATCGTACTGTTGGTGGGCGCGAGGCTCTCAATAACGGATGGCGGTGAAGTGGGACTGTGCGTTAGCAAGGGCCTGACGTATCGTGACAAATCAAGGGGATCGACAGGAAGTCGAGTCCATGTAGGATAGGGAGGAGAGATACTCTCAATACTGCTGGCGATAGTGCTGGGTGCAAAGTGATCGAGGCACTCCGAGTCGGACCTCCACGCGTACCCACACGACCACGTCGAGGAATCACTCACCCATTAGAAACAGTTAACGCCGGGCTCGGGCTTCGATTGAGATCTTCACGCTCGGGGATACCGAGAGGCGCGGACTTGGAGGCGGGCATTGGCGTGTCTTGCGTCGTGTCCGTGATGTCTGCACCTGCTGTGTCGCAGGAGTCCGGCTTATTGCTTGACTCTTGCGGATCGAGGGCAAGAGAACCCAAAGGAGTGCTCAGAGGCATAGCCCCGAGGCGGGGAGTGAGCATTGGGGGTGGCGAGACACTCTGCCCCGGCACTGTTGATGGTGGACGATTGGTGATGGACGAGGAGTGAAGCAACGAAGTGCGTCGGAAGGTGGTTGGTGGAGGGCAGGGTTGATGACGAGCGGGGAAGGCGTCAGCGGCTGAGAGCGGTGCGCAGGACATTCGGCGTTCGGTCATGCAGGACTCAGACTCACTGGTTGGCGCTGTAGTCGTCATACTGGGGCAGGTGTCTCCGATAATAGACCTGATGGAATGAAGATGCGCAGAGCTGGAGCCGTCTCTACTGAAATCCCTGCGACTGATACGGGCCGCGACGCAGACCGCGCTGCGGGGGGATCAGCCAGTTAGGTAAGGTGTCGAGGGCCGGAATGATCTTCTTGAGTACTACTCTTTCAGCCCGAGTGGAGGGGGTCGAGGATGGGCGTCGGTTGCTAGTGTACCATGCAGGAGGCTGTCACGGGTTGCCGAGAGAAGGGGTGAGATCGATGATGATGGTGAGTTAATGAGATGACCCGACTGCCCAGTCAATCGTAGCGCGGTGTTCAGGGCGGACCCAAAGTCTCACTGTATCGTTTCGCGTGCCAAGAATACATCTCCGATTGCGAGCTCCAACCCTGCTCTCATGCATGAATACCCTCAGATCCAGAGTTCCCAAAGGTCCTACCATGCATGAAGCGCACTCCGGACAACTGCCTCCATTTTCCCCGACTGCTTAAGCGACTGCAGATAGCCCACCCTAAAAGAAGGCGCAACAAGTGAGGTGTGGGCTCCCCGAGCGGTGTAAGCGAGAAGGCCGAGTGAAGGCTTCTCAGTGTCGTCGTGCCCTGCACCGTGTTTGTTATACAAACATCACACGGACGCCGACACGGCATTGCGAATCACACGTTGTGACTCGTTCGACGCGATGCATCTCCGTCGTCTCCTGTGCTTGCCTTCACGACATTAGCTCGACCTTCTCAGTTGCTGTACTTCAGGTTTCGGACGATATTGTTCGAGAGATGACCCTCTGCTTGGTCTCGGAAGTATAACAAGGTGTAATGCATGGTTCAAATGAACATGAAGTGAGGAACAACTCAGGTGACTCTAGTGCTGGATCCAGCTATACCTCGCACCCCTCCCTGCAATCTATCGCCGCTTGAGCAGAGCGATTGACCCAACGGGTCGCGGGGGGGGGGGGTGCGGCAACGCTGTGCGGCGCTGAGTGTTGAGCGCCGGGCGCTCAGCATGCGCGCAGAGAGTTGGTTCGCCTCATGGGCCCACGGGAGCCCAGTCCCGCGGTCTCCTTGTCGGCTCCACCAGCAGCTCGCCGACGTGGCTTGGGCTTTGCAACTTCGGCGGCTTTGGCGTTGGCAGCGGAAGCCTTCTTCGATCTCGCGGGTGCTTTCGGCATTGATTTGGTGGGCGACCCGAAAACATTGTCGTCACTGCTGCTGGACAACAAGTTGTCGTACTGCGACTCGGTGAATAAGTTGCCTCGGCCTGGAATAGCTCGCTTCCCCGTTGACGGGGACGCTGGTGGGGGCTTCGTCTTCTTGCTCTGTTGAGTGACGGTCGACGGGGTTCCTCGTTTGCTCGGAGAGACCGGCGTGAGCGGAGGCTCCAGGTCTTTCGCGGGGGCGAGCACCGGAGAGCTGGGCGGAGACGATAAGACATCAGACAAGTCAGACAATTCTGATGCCTCACTAGGCGGCGGTGATTGCTGGGAAGCGGGAGGAGTGGGGAGCTGCAGTGGGATGTGCTCGCATGAATGTGATCGCACAGGAATGCTCACTTCCGGGACTCGCCTCTTCGCCTTCGGCTTGGGCTTTGACTTGGCTACCGAGCCAAAGACCACATTGCCGTCGAGGTTGGTCTGTTTTTCCCAGTCCCGCGGGCAAATCTTGCGCCAATCCTCTTCGAATCGCTCAACCCAAGCATCCGTCTGCCCCTCAATATGATAATCGATGACGCCTTCCCACTCCTTGCTCGGCGCAGTAGCGTTGACGAAAACGACGACACCCTTCTTCTCGTGCACGACTCGGGCGAAATCCTTCACGAGCCGCTTCAGCCCGTGCACCTTCAATGAAGTTCCCATAATGAGCAGCACGTCGGGGCCGCGGCGCATGTCGTACGTTTGCAGCTGCCCGATCTCGTCGCCCAACGGATGCGGCTCATCATAGAGGACGATCGATGGTCGGAGTGAGCCAATAGGGGTCGCTCGAGCTGATCTTGCAATGCGCGATTCGCCTTTGCCGGTCAGCCCATGACGGTTGTGAATAGCGTAAAACTTACAGCGCGCTTGACACGCGGGGCATTCCGGCGCTTCTCCTTCCCGGAACATCAAGACCCACTCCTGTCTCGCTTCATAGTCCGTGTAGCACAAAACGCAGCGGACGCGGCCCAGGTCGCCATGAAGTTCCACGTTTCGAGTCCCGTTCTTCTTCAGTCCCCGACCGCGACCTCCACTCTCAATGCCGAGCCGTCGCTCAAACCCATCCACGTTCTGCGTATAGCTACGCAGGAGCTTTCCCTTCCTCTCCAAGCGATGGATGAAGTGGTGGGTTCTCGTGGGGTTTGCCGCTTGGCAGGCTAGAGACAACTCCGCAATGAAGGTGTAAAAAATGGATGTCGTGTTTGGATTCATGAAAAGGCCTGAAGAGAACAGCTCCTTGCCGTTGACGAACGAGTCAGGATACCGGGACTTGACGAGTGCATACAACCCGTCTGCAGAACGGAAGTCCTGTTCGTTAGATACATGCAACCTAGAGGACGAAGATGGATAGGGACCCGTATTCCCAGGGCTCCATTATGACATCGGCGGGTTGGGCCACTGGTGCCACGGTCACTTACCGGAATTCCGCTGCTGCAGCTAATGCCCGCCCCGCTCACTACCACAACCTTCTTGGCCTTCGATACACGACAGTGAACATCATGAAGGGATCGGCGTCCGTGGGTGTCGGGACCGGAAGTGAGGAGCTCGTTGAGAGGAAGGTGGGTGATCGGCATCTTTGCGACCTTGCGGTGGGCTCGGATGCCGGCCTCGGGTGAATCGGAGATAGCAAGGAAGCTCGGGGTTCTCAGATATGGACAAGTTGGGCGGTGGCAAGTGGTACAAGTGTTACCGATATTCGAGATGGGAGCTGGTGCACGCGGATGATGAAGAAGAAGTGCTAAACGGGAGGTGGATGGAGAGAAGAGAGATTGGATTCCTTTGTTTACGGAAACGCTAATCCAAAGTCAAGCGCGTCTCATCTGTTGCGGCAATGTTATTCGCGCCCCCCTTCTTTCAGCCATCACCGCCCGTAGTCGAAATGATCTATAACCTAGCCGGCACAATGTTATGCATATGTTGGCGGTTGATTCCCAGGAAACACATGCATGTCGTGAATACAACAATCTCACGTAGGACTACAAACAAGATACGACATGCGAGCGTTCAGGGATTGCCAAACTCGAGGTTCCAATCCTGGTCGGCCTGAACCTGCGCCTCCCCCTCCTCTGCGTCCGGCTCCAGCGGGATAAGGGCCAGTCTCTCCTTCTCCTCCGCAACTTCCTTGAGGAACGCATTCTCCCGGTCATAAGGATCCGCGGTATTGAATCCAGACGCCTTGGCCAAATACTCGGTATCGATAGGCTTCCTGTTGAAGATGGCCTCGTTCATGCGGTCCGGGTTGGCACGGTTCTCCTTCAGACCCTTGTTCTTCAGTTGTCGGACGCTCCTACCGGGGAAATACGCCTTCATGAGAGTATAGTTTTCACCTGTCTCACGGAGAACCTGACCGTCAGCTCGTATTACATGAGGATCACTTACGCTGAAGAATAGCTCAGTCTCCTCCGAGGTCCACCTGTCGTTGGCAACCTTCTTGCCCCATGTGGCCGAGTTGACGAATTGCGTATCGTTATCGATTAATTCGACCTGACGATCGTCGTCACCGTCCATGATACGGCGGCGGTAGTCATCTTGACGCTGCTGGAGACGCGCCAAATCTGGCCTGCCCTCGGCTTCCACCCATTCTCCGGTCTCGATGTCGAGGTATCCGCCAGTGTACTCGGTGCCGCCAAGACCCGAGAAGTCTTGTGGGGCATCATCGCCGTCGTCCTCGACCGGGAGCTGGAAGTTCTCCATCTCCTCGCCCATCTCCACATCTTCATCGTTGTAGTTTGTGTGGAACCCGAGACCTTCGATGTCCTCCTCCTCTTCGGCGGGAGCGGGTGCAGTCTCATCGCCCTCTGCTCCTTCCTCCGGTGCGGCTTCCGGCTCGGGTTCAAAGCGAACTGGGGCAACACGTTCAGCGCGACGGGGTGACCCAGGTGGTGTCAAGCGGTCGGGTACAACCTCAAACTCTTCATCCGAGTCTGCCGAGTCTTCAGAGATCTCACCAGGGTCGCCACCAGCCTGTCGAGCTTCTTCGCGTCGTTCCTCGCGCTTCTGATTGCGGATTGCACGAGCTTTACGACGGACGATTTGGCGGCGCTTCCAGTTCTCCTCTGCCTTGGTGACACGTTCACGACGTTTCCGCTCTTCTTCAGTGCGCTGGAAATCATGTAACTTGAGTGCTCGGGCAGACACGCGACCCTGAGACACTAGCGTGGTCGCTAGCTCACCAAGACGCATGACGGTAGGGTTGACAGACTCTCCGACAAGATCGTTAGCCTCGACACCATCGAGCTCCGGATGAGACACTTGCGGGGCCTTTGGCCTGCGGTAGGGCGTCGAGCGACGTTCGGCAGTTCGTCCGCGAGACTGATACTTGCCACGAAACTTGCGGGGCGCAGCTCCATCGGTCCCAGCTACGCTGCCTTCGTCGTCACTCCTCGTCGAGAGTACGGAGCCTTCCCTTGTTGAGTCAACGGTGCGCTCACGCTCGCTTCTGAGATCGTTGTCTCGATCTTTTCGATGCCGAGCGATAGCACGGATGCGCTTGGCTGGTGTCGGTTCGCGTCGCGTGCGGACACGTCGGGATGTACTGGCTCGGGGTGGGTCGTGATCATCGAACGGGTGGATATCGTCCACGATTTGAGACGCGATGTCGGCAGTGTTCGGGGGCTGGGCAAGGGGTGGGTCCACAGAACTCGACGTGACCGAAGGTGGGATCTCAGCTGAAGCAGCTTCCACACTTGGAGGGACACTCGGTTCGGTGGCTGCAACTGTCGGTGGCGCGAAATCGTCAAGGGTCGGAACGGGTGCGAGTGCAGGGGTTGCTGGAGGCGGAGAACTCGCTGGGACGACAGTCGGAACGGGAGGATCTACGGAAGGTATTGACGAGATGGGGAACGATGACGGAGACGGTTTTGGCGTCGTGCTCTTCGACGCCGCTGCCGCTGCGAGTAGAGGCTTCACCTTCTTCGCGCCCAAGGCAGGTTTCCTAACAATCTCGTCGGTCTTCTCATTCGGCGTCTCAGTGATAGGGGAAGGCACTTCATCAGTCTTCTCCTCGGTGTCCGCGACTTGTGATGTCGAAGGCTTCTGAGAGGGCTGGCTCGGGGCTGCTGGTGGTTGACTCGAAGATGCCTGCTGGCTAGGCTGGGTGACAGTCGGCTTCTGGGACGCTTGGGAGGACGGTTGGCTAGGGCGCGGCGGACCAACGGCAGGCCGCTTCCCCGGTCGTACGGGCTTGACGGGTTTGAAGTTGCCCTTTCCGGCTGATATCAGCTTCCTGCATGTCCGCAGTGCACTTACGGATACGCAGCGCCATGCTGGTCGTGGATAGAACTTGCGACTGGAGAGCAACAGACGAAATCTCCATAGTGGAGGTCTGACCACAAACATGAATGGTCACCACGTGGCGAGGCCACACAAGGATTCGCCGAAACGCCGTCGCTGGGAGCCAGGCTCTGACCGTTGCTTGAGCGACGACTGGTCGACGGCTCAACGAGAGCTTCAGTGAGAGCGACACCGTCAGTAACCACCACTCACCATGCTCCGCTCCGCGCTCCGCCCCGCTGCCCGGCTCGCGCGCCCGGCCGTCGCCCCCCGTGCGGCCGTCGTCCGCTTCGCCAGCACGACCTCCGACGTCGCCGACATGCCCCCTCACGAGCACCACTCGCCTTCGGCCAAGCCTCCTCCCCCTCCTCCCGGAGTTGAGGTTGACCCTATGCGTTAGTATTCCGCCAACGATCAATGATGCCGAGACCGATATGCGCTGCGAGACATTCTATGAGGACGGGCGCATGAGTAGACATCGAGGTGCATGCCATTGCAGCTCTTGGACGAATCAGTCAACAGCTGCCTATGCCGTATCGGAGTTGGTACGGACCGCGTCTGCTCCTCGGTCTACGAACTAGGCGGAGCTAGCGGCACGTACTCCTCTCGCGACACTCGCGCGAAGCCGCTACTCTACATGCTGCCCTCCTTCATGTCTCGGCGCTCGATCGATCATGGACATTGCACTGGAAGCGACAATGGCTGACATCACAGTCCACGGTTACCCCCAGCTCCCTGCCATTAACCTCCAGTCGAGGTCACCATACGGATGGTGGGACCAGCAGGAGCGCAAGAACTTCGACGAGGTTGTGAGTATCATTTGTCATCAGCGCAGTCCGAAGTCCATCGAGAGTCTTGATGGTCGGCCAGGGTGCAACCAACCTGGCGATGGCTCAATTTCAGCCGCTAAGCTGTCCCGCCATACAGACGAAGCTGACAGACAGGTTCACGAGGAGGAGGACGCGCTTTCCATGTGGTCCCCCGACCAGCACCGCGTTGAGGCCTCCCGCGCCGCCCTCGGCATCGTGACGATGCTTGCCCTCGTCGCTGGCTTCTCCTACTACGTCACCATCCACCGCCCCCAGCGCAAGGCCGTCGCCCGCAACTACCCGTACAACGGACTGGAGAAGGAGCTCGGTGGCTACTCCCAGGCCCGGGAGGAGCCCATTGACGACGAGTAAAGGCTAGACAGACTGCCCGCGGCCCAGCGAGGGAGCGGTCGCAGTAGGAGTTATAAACAAACAGGCCCTCGGGCTGCATGCAGCAATGATTAGAGCACCGCCTGGGATGACTGTGAGAAACGCGTTGGGCTAACGACAGGATGCAGCCACTAACTGTACACACAAACCACGTAGACAGCCTACTCGTCCTCGTCCTCAATTTCATCTTCCTCTTTGATCTCATTCTCCTCTTTGACCTTTCTAGCGCGCTTGCGAGGCTTGGAGCCTTCTCCTGGGCCAGCACGCTTCGCCGTGGCAGCGTTGACAACGCTGGCATCGACTCCGTTCGTCTTGGCGAGGTTGCGCAGGATCTCCTTGATCTTCTTATTGACGCGGTCGCCGCCGTTGTTGTCGACCTCGCCGACGATGCCGGGCAGCGCGTACAAAGCAGCCCTGTTGGGCTTCTGCAGCAAGAGTTCGATCATGCCCTGCACGAGCAGGGCCTGGGATGTCAGCGACCGAAGAGATGGTGACCTCACGTCGTGGTCCTTTGTCCACTTCGCGACTCCCTTGCCCTTGTTCGGGTGCGTGTCGGCCATGCTGGGGATGCTGGGTGTGTCGGGTGTGCTGGGTGTGCCGTGAGACTGGCGTGGTGATGGAGTGATTGCAGAAGCTGGAGTGAGAGCGTTCGCTTATGAAGTCCTCTGACTCTCCCAGGCTCCAGAGGACTACACGCTGCGCCCGAGTGCGCTCCCAGCTCGCCCCCTCCCTGCACACAGCGCGCCTGGTACGGAGCGAGGCTGAGGCGAGCTGACTCGTCCTCTGCAGACAGCCCCAACCGCCTGACACCCTCCTCCGGCAGCCAGTCGTCAGTCACCTGCGCCTCTGAGCAACTCCAGTCAGAGCCCATACAGCATGGATACCATAGTCCTATTACTTTGCACAGTTCTACTTCTCCTCCTTCTTGACGCCGTTCTCCTTCTTGACTTTCTTGCGAGGCGGGGAGTCCGTGGAGGACTTGCGACGCGAGCTCTTGACGACTGCGGGGTCCACGTTATTCGCCTCAGCGAAGCGCGCGAGGAGCTGGTTCACCTTCTTCGACGTGCGGTCGTTTCCGTGTCCGTCGACGCAGCCGATGATGCCAGGAAGCAAGTAGAGGCTGGTCTGGTTCGACTTGACCAGTGCAATGATGCCTTGGACGAGAAGAGCCTGCTGTCAGCTTGTGGCGAATTGGGGGTGAGCTGGATGCGAGGCGGAACTCACATCGTGCTCGGGGGTCCAGCGGTCGTTGCCCTTGCCGCGGTTGGGGTGGTCGGCCATGATGCGCGAGTTTTGAGGGTCTGAAGGCGTAGCTGAGGCAGAGAGGGGGCTGTTGCAAGAGGTGGATGGCGAAGTGAGAAATGTTGTTGTTTACACTCCTTCCCGACCGAGAGGCATCGACCTCGATCGGTCGCTCTCGAACCCCAAGCTGAGCTCACCTTGCGCCCCAGCGAGGACACCTCAAGCTGACACACCAACACAGCATTCCACTCCCAATGTGACACACAGCAGGGGACTGACTGTGAGACGGGAAAGATGACTGGACCAGAGCTGGAGGGAAGAGGGAGAGTCGAGGGCGGCAGAGGGCGCGACACAGGGGGGAGACGGAGGGAACGAGAGGACGTGATCGTGGACCGACAAAAGTCGAGGCGTGTGCACCGGAGATCCGACTGAAGGAAGGAGTATGGTGCGCCGTGTGAGGTCGTGGCATGCGTGGCAAAGGGAAACCCCCGCGGTGCGGCACAAGCTGCATGGTGCTGCAGTGACAGCCCAGCGAACCATTGTGTTGCCTCGATCGCGATCACCACAATGCCACCCCTGTCTGCCATAGTCGATCTCGGAAATCGTGCACGGAGCACAATCCGTACTGAGCTGGTGGAAGAATTGAGCACTATATCGCCAGATCGTCGTCTCCTTTCGAACCCCGAAGCAAGTCCTTGGCAGGAGGTCAAGTCAATCCGCGCCAAAACAAGCGCCACATTGACCTCGCGGGAAAGCGACCGACAGCCAACCATCCTCGATCATCGGTCAGTCTCCCCGGTCTGAACTGTCGCATTGCAGGACCAAGTGTTCTCAGCGCAAGGAAGCATCTGGTCACTCCATCACACTGACTCAAGACCTCGTGCCCGGGTCTATGTGTGTCCGGTTGCAGTCCAGCTGACCTATCCAAGGGGGCGGGCGACAGTGCGGTTGAGGGGCGAAAGCGCAAACCAGACCGCGAGAAGAGGGCGAGGGCGGAACTGTTCGTCGTGTGGGCAGACCTTGGCGTGCATCCTGTGCGAGGAGGCTGGTGCACGGATGCGCGCCGATCAGGTCCAGTCAACCAGCGTCCCCGTGTCTGCGCTGTTGTGCTTTAGACGTTCCTCGCTTTCAACATCGTCTCTTCCACACTTACCACCAACTCATCATCTGCCCGCGCTCGACCACCACAATGCCACCAGTCAAGAAGGAGCGCGAGGAGAAGAAGCCCTACTCGCGGCCAGACAAGGTGTGTGAGCCCAGCCAACATAGCGAGGTCTCCATCCGAGACTATTACCTGACACCTCAGCCTGCGCGCAAGGAGTGGACCGAGGAGGAATAAGTCGTCTGGCGCGAGATCCTCGAGAAGACAATTCGGAAGCATCTCCCACAAGCTGTGCGTGATGATGGGCGGCTCGAGTCTCGCAAGAACAGCCTCAAGTCGCACATGAATGCGCTGGTGAGCTCAATTCGGCCGTTTGATGAGCTGACATCAGATCGGGAACATGAAGAAGAACGGTATTCTTTAAGCCTTATAACTCGTCACCTGTAGCTCGTTCATGTACACATAGCCCGTGCAGCTGTGCTCGCGAGCGTGGAACTCAAGCTGATCGAGCGTGGAACTCGTGTGTGAGTGCTCTGCCGCGCACTTGACGGGGCGCAAGTCGCGGCTGCCTGATATAAGACAGCGCGGCGGGGTGCCGCTCGCTCCTCCTTTCCCACTCAACATTACACACCGCCATGGCCCCAGTCAAGCAGGAGCGCAACGGCAGGCAAGAGCGCGGCGACATCAAATCCCGCAGCAAGCAAGAGCAGCGCAGCCGAGCTGGACAGGTGAGGTGCTTAGCTTGTGCTGGAACCTGACGCCGCAGAAGAAGACACCCTGGAGTGCCGAGGAGGAGGCGATCTGGCTCTCGCTCGTCCAGAAGACGCTCCGCAAGCACCTGCTTCCCATCGTCCGCGCTGATGGGCGCCTGAAGCATCGCTGCATCAGCACGCATCTCGGGGCTATGGTGGGTAGAGGCTTTGGAGCTCCGCTGACCCAGCAGATCAGCAATATGAAGAAGAAGGGGAGTCTGTGATGCCTGTGTGGTCCTCTGCGGTGAGCTTAGGGTCGTTTAGGCATGAGCTGACGCGCAGTCAGATATGCTGTCAGTCTACGCACTGCGATAAGCCAGCTACTGCGGCGGTCGACGGCAGCCAGCTTCCACAATGCAAGAGACGGCATGATTTCATAGCTGTAGCTGTAGCGTTGCATTAAATCCCCAGGCTGTCTATTGCTCTCATGCGGCGATGCAGGGATATTCGTGTGAGTGTCAGGTATGGGTATCGTCGTAGGAGGTATGTGGTGTCTCGGCGGGGACAAGTCTAACCAAGGTAGTGGTAAATGAGCCAGAAGCAAAGGAGGGTGAATGCGGCACCGCCGAAGAAGATGAACCAGTCCTGCGTGCTGTTTGTCAGTTACAAACCCTGATATCTGCAACTCACGTTCGGCGCTCGACCCATCCGATCGTTTCGCGCGACACGCCGAGCGTGTGCGCCGCATCGAGCAGCTTGCGGTGCGTCTTCTTCAAAATCCCGCGCTGCTCGACCAGGTCCTGCAGCGCCAGCGTTCCCTGGGCAATGTACCCGTCGATCAGGTTCTCGGACTCGCGGATGAACGAGTGCTCGCGTAGCGCATAGTCCTCGCGCGACGTCGGGTAGTTCGGCGCATATCCGCTGTGTCCGAATGGCGATTCCGGCACATCGGCTCCGTTCGCCGTTCGTCGCTGCATTGCGCTCCCGCTCGGCCCCGCGCCGCCCGTTGCTGAAGAGATTCCAAGCAGCTCGTTGCGGTTCTGACGGTCAGCTATCAAGCGCATGCGATATGAAGCTAGATGCCGGACTCACCTTCTCTGATCCGGCGTTCTTCGCCTTCTCGAACCGCGTCTTCAGGTTCTTGTGTTCCCCCTTGAGCTTCTCGACGCGACTGCGATGTCAACAACGGTGCCCGATAGACGACGTGGTGGGCCCCCTGTACAGCCGGGGCTCACGGTAGAGTCGATGCGACACGACACGTAAAAGCCAGACTCAAACAGACAGGTGACTTACGTGTTTGCCTTCTCTCGCGCGGCGGCAACCATCTCCTTCCGCGCCATCGAGTCATAATCGTCGATAAGTCGGGACAGAGCAGCGAGTGTTGTTGTGATTTGGCCTGAGCTGTCAGCGATATACCGATGAGCAGCCAAGAGCGCAGACGTGACCACCGCAGGACTATTGTCCGCCTGAGAATCATCATCTCCGGCGCTGACACCTGTCTACGCGCAGCACCACTGGAGATCGAGCACGACGCACTCACCCTGGATGTTGGAACCTCCCTCGCCAGCCTCCATACGCTGCAGGTCGGCATTCAAACTCGCGACCTGGCGGTTTCCCAGGGCGTTGAGCGAGTTCATCGCGATGCAAGTGTTGTAGTGGTGGCGAGGGTAACGGTGGCCGAAGGAATGATGCGTTGGAACGTCAGCGTCTGGGCTGTCAACGGCGAGGACAGGCGGTGGACGTGCGCGACGTGGACAGGCGTCGATGTCCGCTTGCGGTGGAGACGCTTATAGGGGGCGTCGGGGCACCCCCTCTCAACTGTAATGGTTTAGGGAAGGTACGAGTTTTCATCACGGACTTCCTTGCTCCAGCGCGCCCTTTGTACAATTTGTCTCCACTAGCACCGGTGTTCGAACCCCACCTGAGTCTCATGACTTAGCGTTGGTTATCGTTTCGGTGATCATGCTAGTATGCCTCTGGCACTGACAGGCCGGCAACGGATCAGTCAGGCTAGTGTGGCATCGGTGCTCCAAGTGGATAGGATGGTTGTAGGCGCGCAGGGCAAGCCGGGCCCGTACCAACTTTTTGCTGTTCCTCCATCCATTACAGAAGACCGCTCTCCGCACCATGCTGCTGCCCGCCCGCAGTCTGCATGCACATGCTCGTGTTCCCACTTTTCCCCTCTCGTTGCATTGCACACCGTTCCGGCGTCCACTGACATATCAAGTTAGTTGCCCGACGGGTATCCGCAGTTGTTGCTGCTAAATCGGTTCGTCATGGCCCGGCGGCCACGTTAATACCCGGACCGTCTGTCTCAACTCACCGCGTTGCCACCTCTCCCATTCGTACTCTTAACCCGCGCCCGTTCTCGACATCGACACACCGCCGCACTCCAACCATGTCTGGCACCGTCACCGTCACCGACTCCTACGTTCTGGGTCCCGAGGGCATTCCGTTCTTCACCAAAGAGGTGAGTGCACGCCTCTGTTTCAGAATTCTCGCTGACATCACAGTGGACCACGGCGGACCCCAAGGCGTATGTTGTTTTCGTCCACGGTTTCGCCGAGCACATCCAGCGCTACGACGACTACTTCCGTCGCCTCGCTGCCCACGACATCCACATCCTCGCCTTCGACCAGCGCGGTGCCGGCCGCACGTCGCAGGCGCCTCTCAGCGCTAAGTCCCCCGAGGTCGCGGCCTGGAAGAAGGAGGGCAAGACTGTCCATGTTCAGAAGGCCCAGAAGGGTGTCCGCAGCGGCGGTTGGCTCAAGGCTCTCCCCGACATCGAGTTCTTCGTCAAGCGCGAGAGCGAGAGGGCCCAGGGCAAGCCCCTCTTCCTCTACGGTCATAGCATGGTAAGCTTACAAGTCCTCAAGCATCAGCTGACCGACAGGGCGGTGGTCTGAGCCTTGGCTTCGCGACGCGCATCGCCGGAGTGCCTGCTGAGAGCACGCTGAAGCTTCTTTCGGGCGTCATCATCAGTGGACCGTACATCCGCTCGACGACCCCCCAGAGCGCGATCCAGATCAAGGCTGGAACTCTGGCCGCCAACCTTGGCCTCGGGAACTTCTGCATCGCTGCTCCTCTCGACGTCAAGGTGAGTCTTCACATTGTACAGGGGGGAAGCTGACCATCTTAGGAGCTCACGCACAACGAGGATGTTCAGAAGAAGACCAAGGACGACCCGTGGTGCGAGCCGAGCGGCTCGCTCCGTACCCTGGCCGACATGCTGAGCTACGGTGCTGTCCTCGACTCGAAGAAGGCTCGGGACGCTTGGCCGAAGGACCTTCCTCTCCTTCTCTACCACGGCGAAGAGGACAAGATTTGCTGCCCCAAGGCGTCTGGCGAGTACTTCGAGGGCTGTGCCGCCAACGACAAGACGCACAAGCTTCTTCCCGGCCTCTACCACGAGCCCCAGAACGAAGTTGAGCCTGCGCCCCAGGAGCTCGCCGACTTCGTCGGTGACTGGATCCTTCAGCGCACCAACCGTGCCACTCAGGCGAAGCTTTGAGCCGCTCCGCGTACATGTCATTGCGGAGGGAGTTGAGTAGGGGGGCTCAGCAGTTCAGTAGTCATTAGGTAGAAGCAATTCATTAACTGGGGATGTATATAATACCATGGAGTGATACGAGTGAGTCTAAGATTTTGCTGTAGGTGTACAACACGGTGCGGTGATAGATGGTGGGTCGGGACAATTGCGTGAGCTTCCGGTTAGAGCTCGTGTCCGACGGCTGCTTTGGCAGCAGCGCCGCGGATGTAGAACCACAGCAGGTTGAGCAGCTCGGCAATGTACCCGCGAACAGCGGCGATCATGTCGACGTTCTCATCACCAAAGACGTAGTACGCGAACCGGCGCGACATGTAGTGGAACTGGCTCGGGAAGTACTTGAAGCACGAGTACCAGAATAAGGCCGTGATCGGGAGGACGACGATGCCTGAGATGTCAGCTTATGGATACGCCCAACAGGCTCAAGCATTGCTACTCACCGACGATGAGAGCCTCCCACCACTCAAGCATTGCCGTGCCGAGGTGACCGTCGATGCGGACGCTATCAATTAGCTCGCGACAAGAGAGACGAAGCTTACCCCTGGATCCAAAGCGCACGCTTGAGGCCGAACGGGCCGCGCGACGGCATCTGGTCGTAGCGCACGACACCACCGAGACGGAGGGGGTTGGGCGGAGGGGGAGGCGGGCGATACCGGGCCATGATGGATGATGGAGTGGGTGGACGACGAAGTGCTCGCTCGTTGGCGATTCATGGGTCGGCGGCGCTAAGGGCTCGGGCGCCTTACGGGCCTTGCGGGTCGCGTCGTTCACCGTACCGCACCTCCACTCCTGTACCAACATTTGTGTCCGCGTGTGGCCAAGGGACCGTCACCGGGCGCCTTCCTCGACAACAACAACAAAACCGCCTGCAGTCTGCACCACCAGACTCGACTACCAGCTGCCAGACTCGACAGAGGACCCGGCATCATGTCAGGCGCAGGCGCGATGGACACGCTGTCCACGCTGCTGTCCTTTCCCTCCGCCCCGCCGTTCATCTACCTGCACCACCCTCACCATCCTACGACCGCGATCAAGCCGCAGCTTCCGGAACGCTGCAGCGTTGCGCGACTCGATGCGATCGAGCACCACAGTGCAAAGCTGTTTTACGCTGGCGCTCTCGCCAAGGTGTCTGCTGCTTTGGCCGTTACGCGCAAGACGGGCATCCGGCACGACCCTGGAGGCGACGGGCGCGAGGTGTTGATGTGGGATGCGTTCGCGAAGGGCCTGCGCTCTCTCTGGGCCAAGCACGCAGGAAAGGGCAAGTCCCCGTCAAAGGGGGACGAGGATGAGGGCCAGGTGGTGCTGATCATTACAAAGGCAGAGAGACTTAGAGGTGTCCTCGGGCCTGGATGGACAGCGCTGACAAGAGTGAACGAGCTGGTGAGCTAGGCCGTCCGTGCTGTAAAGCTGACAGCAGGTCGGAATTCCAGTGACCGTCGTGCTCTGCTCGCAGATGCCGTGGGACGAGCTGCGTCCTCCGCGCGCAGATGCACCCGAGCCAGTGCACATCTACTACGAGCCGATGCAGCGCGCCGAAGTCGTGCGCCTGCTGAACCAGTCCAGCACGCACCCGCTGTATCCGCACTTCATCGACCTGTTGCTCGCAGCAATGGGGAACCTGGCACCGCACTCGCCCCCAAGTGACTACGACTACGTCGCCAGTGCCCTCTGGCCACTGTACACGGCGACGCTGCCGCCGCACGCCGAGATGAACCTCCTCGGCAAGGAGTACCCCGAGGGCGAGACGCCGCCCCCGCTCGTGATCAACAACAAGCTTCTGACGGACCTGAAGCACCAGCTGTCGCTTCCGCTTGCGGCCGCCATCGAGAACGTCCTCCCGCGCGCGGTGGGACGGCAACAGTTCATCGATGCACTCATGCCCGTCGATGCCGCCGGGAATCCGCGCCCGATAGCCCAGCGGAGCATCCCCCGCCCGCCGGGACTGGAGCTGCCGATCGCCGCTCGTTTCCTCGTCCTCGCGGCTTACTGCGCGAGCTACAACCCGGCGAAGAGCGACCTGCGTCTTTTCGGTCGCGGAACAGGACCAGACGGCAAGCGGAAGCGCGGCGGCGGCACGCGGCGTGCAGGATACGGTCGCACACGGGTCGGCAAGGTCCCGCAGCGCCTGCTGGGCCCGAAGGCATTCCCGCTCGACAGGCTGCTGGCAATGTTCGCATCTCTGTACGCGGAACACGGGCCGCGGCCGCCCGAGCTGGAGCTCGACACGCTGGATGAGAGCGACGGGGAGGACACGCCGCAACGCCCGCGCGACGATGGCAACGTCTTCGCCGCCGGCCACTACGTCACAGCCGCCGAGGCGGAGCGGAAGGCGAGGCGGAAGAGGGACCGCGAGATCGAGCTCGAGGAGGACTGGGAGGACTACGTCGATCACCTCACCTTCAGCGTGAAGCTATGGCAGCTCATCCCCGAGCTTGAGGGTATGGGGCTGCTGAAACGTACCTCGCCGGTGGACAGGCTCGACAACGTCATGCTTCGTTGCGAGGTCGACTATGATACCGCCAGAGACCTCGCGCAGGGACTCAAGGTTACGCTCGACGAGTATCTGTACGAGGCGGCCATGTAGAATCAAGATAGGCATCACCATTACGTAGACCTCGCACTAATCAGTTCGCATCATGCATTTCCGGTTCCCATGTGCAGCAGTGGTGTCAAGATGAAAGTGGTTGCATGCTTCTCACTTCTCATTTGTTGTACTTTTGGTTTGTCTGCTTCTCTATAACATGATCAGACGCTGCTCCGATCTCTAACGCTCCCTTCAGCTGAAAAACAGCTTACTGCTTCCAGTCGAGGTAGCCGTCCTTGTCGGTCTTGCAGTGCTCGGCAACGACCTGCTTGATGCGAGCGGCGAACTCCTTGGCACGGGGTCCGGCGGCGTCGCCAGTGCTCTCGAGCATGCGCTGGATAAGCTCCTCCTCGTTGACCTTGAACGCGCCGGCCTGGGGGTTCTCGCCCTGGACCCACTCGCGCACGGCCGACTCGGAGGGGAGACCGTAGCGGCGGAACTGGCCCCAGGTGTGGTCGTGGCCCTCCTGCGTCTCGGGCTCGGGGCGGAAGGTGAGCTTGGGCGTCTCCTGGAGGTGCTTGGCCTTGGGGTCGAAGAAGTTGGCCTTGATGCTGGCCGGCTCGCAGAACTTGTCCTCGAGGCTGGACGGGTTCCAGTTCGCACGGCCCTTGGCCTTGTCGACGAGCAGGTGCGTGACGCCGATCGAGAAGTCCTCCGTCGGTCGGTCAGTGCCCGCGAAGCCGGTCGCCATGCGGATGTCGTTCTCGAGCGTCGTGTTCAGGCGCTTGGCCTTCTGCGTCAGGCGGAAGTTCTCGAGCGCAACGGCCATGCCGGTGGGAGAGCGCTCGTCCATGTGCTTGCGCTGGACGGCGGCCCACTCCTGGACCTCCTTGGGGAGCGACGAGTCAGACTCGCCCTTCTTGACGGCGGCGTAGATCTCCTGGATCGAGTTCTTGCCGAACGCCTCGTCAAGGAACTTGCGGATGGCACCGCGGACGGGCGAGGGGCCCTCACGCGAAGCCTTCGACGAGGGCTCGAGGCCAGCCTCCTCGGGAACGTGGTAGCTGGCAACGAGGGCCGAGACCTGCTCGGCAGTGGGGTCCTCGAGGGCACCGAGCTGGCGGACAATGTCCGGGAGTACCTGGGGAGCGACGTAGTGGGTAGCGATACCGAGCTCGCTGTTGGTTAGCTCCCAGCCAAGCCCAGATAGCTTACTAGCAGGCACGGCCCCAGGTCTCCTGGCCGGTGATGGCGAGCCAGGCTCCGATCTGGCCGTCGAGCTGGGCAATGTAGTAGTTGCCGCCGACGTCGGGCGAGTAGCCGATCTTGGTCTCGGGCATGGCGAAGACAGTCTTCTTGGTAGCAATACGGATGTTGGCCGGGAGCGAGATACCGGCACCACCACCCACTGTGATCGTCAGTGATCTGCGCTCCACCGCCCGCGGTGCGAGACGAATATTCTGTGCTATTCTCAGCCAGACTCACTGGTGAAGCCGTCAATGATCGCGACGTAGGGCTTGCCGAGGCGGCCCATCTCCCAGTTCATCTCGAACTCCTCCTGGAAGAACTTGAGCGCAGGAGCGGCACCCTGGGTGGGGCGGCCCTCAACGAGCGCTGCGATGGTCAGCCAAATCGTAACACAACAGCTGCCTACATTTGACGTCACCACCAGCGCAGAAAGCGCGCTCGTCACCACGACCGATAACGAGCTTGCACTGGTCGCTGTTCCTCCAGGTCTGCTTTGTTAGCTAAGGGGTTGCATACAAATAGCTCCTATGACACCCACGTTAACCTCCTTGGCGAGGGACTGGACCATGTCCATGTCGAGAGCGTTAAGCGCCTTGGGGCGGTTAAGCTTGTAGATGCGGGCGGCTCCGTCAGCCTCGTAGAGGACCGAGTCGGTGGGAGAGGTCTTGCCATCGGCCATGGCGACCGGCGAAGTGGAGAGGTGACGCTTGACGGCCGAAAGGCGGGCGGTGGACGACTGGCGGCCGGTCATGCTCACACGGGGAGCCATGCGAGAGAGGATGGACATGGGGAATGGAGAGGAAGTGGGAGGGCGGACAAAGGGGGTTAAGGGGAAAAGTAGCGCCAGACAAGTGGGCAGGCTATAAATCCTAGCGGAGTGCGGAGTACAAGATGACTTGGACTGGCGGAGCTAGGCGTAGAATGTGGGGACAGGGGTTGATCCGGTCACGGTCGTGGGTTGCAGCCGAAGCAATCAGGCGTTCCGTGTTCGGCACGATTCAACTTAAGCGCGCGCTCGACAATCTCCCAGCCTGGGAACGCAATGCAACCGTGGGAATCCCGCTCCGCTACGCTTCTCGCTCCGAGCCACGCGAGATGCACGAGAGCTTCAAGATCTGTTCCTGCTCAGCCTTGCGGCGTTCTTCGACGCCAGGTTGGCCCTGCTGGATCGGAGGGGTCAGAAAACTACAGAAATCACGGCAAAATGCTCCTGCAACACAATCTAATAAGATAACACACGCGGTAACATCCCAAAATGAAATATGTACCGCACGCTCAACCTGTCATCCCAGCTGCTTAAGAAGCAGGGGCGTTGCCACCGAAGCGGGGGCGGTACTCGGCACCGGCACCCTCCTTGTCGTCACGGCGGCGGTAGCCCTCGCGGTCACCGCGGGGGGCACGGTAGGCACCGTCACGGCCAGCACCGTAGCCGGCGGGGCGGCCAGCAGGGCGGGCGGGCTTGGTGTGGGTGACGGGGACGATCTCCGAAGGAAGGTGGAGGTACTCGCGGAGGTAAGCGAGACCCTCGTCGGTGAGGGTGTAGTAGTACCACTGCCACGAGAACTGGGTCTTAACGTAGCCCTTCGAGGTAAGCGACTGCATAGCCTTGATGACCTCGAGGTTGGGGACGGTGGTGAGGTCGGGGTGCGAGGGGCGGTTGAACTCCTTGGGGGCGACCATGACACCCTCCTTGAAGAGCTGCTCGTAAATCTGGATGGTTAGCTAAGACCCGCTGCGATCGAGTTTCCGGCAGCACATTCTGACCGTCCAGACCCTTCCCGGCAACATCGATGATCCTTTCCAAGCGACACAGGTCCATCTTCGCGATCACGATGTCGCCAGGAAGTTTCCGCCGGTCGTCCGCCGGATGCGACTCACGAGACGGCGGTTCTGCTTCGAGATGATCATTTTGGTGGTAGTGACGCGAACGAGACGGTGATCAAGTTTGCTGGTCGAGGTTTTGCGTTGTTTTGGGAGTGCCGATGACTTGGGCAAGGTTGAAGAGAAGCAGACACTGCATGCGACGCACAATTTGGTGAGCACCAGGTGCGAAGTTTCAGGCACGGAACATCTAATTGGTCCCGTGTCGACTTTGGTCGAGTGCAGCTCGACTTTTGCCATGTGGCCGGCGTTTCGCAGAATGTGGCACATTTGCGCTTATCTCTGTCCACTTGGTCGCCGATCCAACTCTGCAATCTCGGCTCGGTTGGACCAAGATGCTGTCTCCTGTTGGGCGGCCCAGGACAGCGTACCAGACTACTTTCTTGTCTGCCTTCTCGCCACTTACGTGGCTAGACCTCTTGATTCTGATGACAGACCTGCTTGGGCTGATGTGATAGGGGGCTATCGCGCTCATAACAGATGAAACCCGCCATCGCTTGCAAGCGGGCACCATGCCCTGTGCCTAGGGCGCTCGGGCGCCGGCAGCGGGGTGTTCTGTCGACACCAGACTTCGCGTGCACTGCTGGAATGCTAACATTGCCCACCCCACGCCGTTATGAAGGATCGAGAACGGAAGAGAGCCAAACTTAGCACACGTGGGTCTTCCTGCTCCGTCGATGGTCACTGACGACTTCACAGTCATTACAGTCGAGATCAGAGGAGATGGCGGCGCTGTGCTCTCTCAGCGAGTCCGGTCGGACCTCAGGGTACGCGAGCTGCTGGCGTCCTGGGCGGCGTATCTGGAGAGACATGACAGCAATATCGCCATTGACGTGCAGCGCATAGAGTGAGCTGAAGCCGTCGCAATCAGCTGATCCGCAGGCTAAGGTGCAGCGGGCATGCGCTGGACGCTGATGAGCGCCTGTTCAGCGTCCCGGGGTGTCAGCATGGGCACATCGCTCTGCAAGCAGCGAGGAAGCCGCAGCAAGAACAGGCCGCGGCAGAGAGTACGTCAGTGCGTCTGCGTGACACTAACGCCAGCTCCCGACTTCATCATGGTCATCGTCATGCCGCTGGACGGCTTTACGCCACTCATCGTCAAAACACATGTAACAGTGACGGTGGAGACGGTACGACGAGCATACGCCCAGCGGCTCGGTGTCAAGCCCGAATCTTTCTGGTGAGCTTTTGGTATCAAAAGTTGAGGCGTGCTGATGTCCGAAGCTTGCTCAACAATCGCAGGCGTGTACCGACGTACATGCAAGTAGGACAGCTCATCGAGGACGACCCAGAGAAGCTGTTCTTCGAGACGCAGTACACTACGTCGCCTGACTGCTGGTCGTTGGGGTCCTGGGGTTGGGCCCTGCCGTGGCAGTTCGGGACCAGCTGAATAGATCTTTCGACAACCCTTTAGATGCGTTTCTCTATAGACATGGACTTTGTAGCCTACGATTATGCAACGACTCACTATTGTTCAGATCATGCCCAGACATCATGGGCCGAGGGGCCAATGTTGAATGAGAACGCGTGATCATACGTTAGAGCCGTTGCATACATTGGTAGGCCTGCGCCCGTCTGTCACCGGTGTTCTGCTGACTTATTGTTGCTGTGGTCCACACGTCGACGTTCCTAATTCTCTACTACCCCAGCCATACGTCTCAGCAATGGAGCCACCTCACAGAAAGAGTAGGACTCTGTCCTGTGAGCTTCGTAGAATCTACTCCCAGCTGATGACAGTCAAATCAGTGCAGATAGCAGGAAGCGGCGACGCCCTGCTGTTATTGAACGTGAAGACGGATGTAACCGTCCGCAAGCTAGCCTTGCTGTGGGCTCAATATCTCGAGACATTGGATGACAACGCAGCGATAGATGTAACGCGCATCCGGTGAGCTCTGGATGTCTTGGCCGGCCGGCTGATAGGCAAGGCTCACTCATGCTGGTCGCGAACTGCAAGCGCATGAAGACGTGGAGAGGCTAGCCCGGGCGCCAGAGCCCGTGAAGCTCACTGCTTCTCGCAGGCCCCTTCCTTCTCTTTCGACAGCGCCGAAACTCAGTGCACTCCGTGGAGCTGGCTACGTGTCAACGCCCGAGTTTCCAGGCTCAGCTACTACGTCATATCGTGAGCCTTCGAGCTGCCCTTGCACACTAAAGCGAAGAGTCCCGCATATACAACCTCAAGGTTCTTTCGGATCGTCTGGCACAACCCATACAGATTAGGGCCCGATCCACCACAAGGACCGATACGCTCACGATGTACGTCGCCAATCAGCTTAAGCTGGATCCACTCGAATGCAGGTACGTAGAACAAGTCATTGTGTGTGGAACACGACAGTGCTCACATTTCAGGCTTATACATGATGGGACGAGGTGCATGTCTGGCTCCCTCGGAGACTTGCTTGAACCATATGACTATGAGGACGACGAGGATGTCATTCTCGAGTTCAGGCTCTCGCAGATAGGGTGCTGAGGTGTGCGCCTCGCCAGTACCGGTAACAAGCTCCCCTTCAAGCATAGTTGATTGTGTAGAAGGTCATAGCCTGGAGACCGAAGCTACTTGTGCCTCCGGTGGAGCTTGGCAGCGATTGTTGCGGCGGCCACATGGCTCGTGGCGCTGCGGATAGTTCGCGCCTGCCATGGCGATGGGGATGCATTCATGCATCACTGCGAACGAGATTCAGAGCCTACGTTACTGAAGCAAAGCGGGCAGTCAGTGCGTCACGTATCAGCCGACAGCGTTCGCTTGATCATGCAGAGTCACGCTTGGTCATGGCGGCCGTCGGCCGTTACAAACGGAGGGCACGAGCCTGAGGCCTTCTGTGGCCAGACCTCGGATCCAGCCGCTGATGAGCCCCGACCTGCCAGTGATCGGCGCAGTTGCACAGTCTGTGCTGCGCCTCAGACATCCGGCGCCGATGAAACAGACTAGAAGTTACTGTGGCACACGGTGCCACGAATGGGGAAGACGCGATAAAGACGCCGTTGCTGCATGAGGACTGTTCGGGAGTTCCCGGCAAGTGAGATCGAAGTCGCCGGGAAACCGGGGCGCATGACTTTTGTCAGCCAGATCTTGGGAAAGTGAGGGGGATCTGCGTCGAGCGCCTAGCCGTAGGAAGACAACGTATAGCGCAATGGTCTGAGGCAGAGTGGCATACGGAGTGGCAGATGCGTCCAATCGACGAGGAAGACACGAGTAGTAAGAAATAGCACACAAAGTCACACGCGCATGAATCGATCTGACAATTGCATATCACCAGGGTTGTTCTAAGCCCTCAACTCACCCCAATGCTGCGAAAGGCGATTGCAATTCACAACATTGAAACCACATGCTGACCAGATTCCTTCGGAATGCAACGTTGATCCGCCCCGTCGCGGTGACGTAGACGTTCCTACCGCAGCGCAGAAGCACCGCTCTGCACTCCCCATCGACTCTGGCCGCAGAACGGAGGCATGTTAGTACGGCTGTGAAGGACAACATAGAAGCCGCGGCTGTTGCCGAGGAAACGGGGTTGTAGCGGAGCAGTTTCCAGCGCCGCTAAAGTCAGTCTAATCTGCCAAGGGCTGCAAATAGGTTTGTTGACGTCGACAAGCCCTCACGTTGACACCACGGTCGACGCGAAGCTCCGCATCCGCCAGGTTCCGCAGCTTCGCCGCGCCGGAGTACATGCAACGCCGTCTGTAGCCACCGCCAGTGCCATCGCGCAACGACACTGCACCTTCGCACCATGCGCGGAGGCCGAGGGCGCCGAAATTTGGTTCCGATCAGAGACTGACCCACTGGAACCGTGGGACTTAAGCGACGGCCCTGGTTCGGTGTTCTGTTCCTTGCCAGGTCGGTCGCGATCGACACTCGACGCGTCGACCGAAGCCCGAGGGGGGCATGCTCCGTCTCTTGAGATCGTCGCATACCTGGTACCTTTAGAGTAAGTTGCTAGCAGGCCCATTAGAAGTTTCAGTAGACCATAGTTTGTGCCGGGAATAGTAATGTGTGTGTAGCTGCCCGGAAACTGCCCGACAGGGTCGGAGGACCAGACCGGACACTGTGGAAGGGTGCAGGGAGCGAGGAGATCAACGTATCACTGCAATCTGGCCTTCGTAAGGGAACAATGCCAAGCCTTCGGCGCCGTGTCAGGAACTCGATGCTTGCGCCATCTTCGGCGGAGAGTTTGACGGGATTTCCGAGCGCTCAATGGTTCACTTTCGTCGGCATACCCGCGAAAAGCGAAGGAGACCAACTTTATAAACACGAGAGCCGCAGGAAAAACCCAGAGTCCAGAAAATTGCTTCTTGAGCTACATGAGTCACTGGCTTTTATGCTAGAGCGGGGACGGATATTGTGGACACCAGCCGTCGACGTGGGAGTGGCAGCCGACACCGGATTTCGGCGCAGAAGCGGGACGCTCGGGTGCCGAAGGGGCCGCCGGATTGAGTGACAGAGGTGCTGGCGCTGGCAAGCCGTCGGCCAGTGTCGCGGAAACCATCTTGTGACGCATTGACGTAGTAGCGAGCGTCGCGATTTCCGGAGATCTACTCATGTCTGGGATCCTTTGATCCTGGGCAGCCTGCCAGGGGCCGGCGAGGGCCAGGACAGGCACAAGAGCCTAGGATCGAATCAAATCGCAGCATGCCGGCACATTACCACTGGGAGCTGACAAAATGCCCGCTCGGCTCACGTGCAAACAAATGGTGGGCTTGGAACGCTGTCAGGAGCCATAGGCTGGGGTCAATCCCGATTAAGCGCTGTGGTCAGGAATCCCAAACAGAGTTGGCCAGGCGGACGCTGCCGGGCGCCGTTGGTACGCCTGGGGCCCGGTGGAGCTAGGGACCGATATCCATTTGTTTGCTTGAGAGCCGCGAGCGCCGCCAGACCCACATAGCCAAGCCCTATGGTATCATCGTCAGTCCGTCGCGCAGTGGCTCACTCCTCGACAGCCCGAAGGCCATCCTCGCCTCGTGCTGCAGCTGGCTGTCACCCCGATCACATATCACGCAGCGGCCCACCCCATTCATCCTCTCCAACTTCGTCAGAGATCACTCATTCTCGCCTCTTTCTTCATCTTCCTCTCCCTCCCCTTTATAAACTCCCTCTCCCACATTCTCTTCCCAGTTCTCGGTATCACATCACTCACTTCAACACCCCTTGCCTTTTCCATTAGTCGAGGAGACTTCCGCTCCGTTCCGACTCGCCCACCATGTCCGTGGTAGGCAACTTCAACTACGGCTCTTACGACCGTCAGGAGCAGCACGCCGGCGCTTCTCCTCAACGTAAGATGTCGTTCTCCCAAGACTGGGGGTTCGGGCAATCGAATCAAGGCCACGACTATGTCGAGGAGTTCATTCCGACTCAGGAGCAGCGCCACGCCGAGGTTGTCCAGCTCGCTCGTCAGATCTCGAGGCAATCGCAGCGCTCTGTGACTCGCCCTTCGTTGTCTCACGACCACCAGCATGACATCCAGGAGGGCGGCTCGGGTGGCACAACGACTCAGGCCGACTCTGAGGCCAACGACGGCGACATCTTCAACTACGAGCCTGGATCAGACCTTGACCCCTACGCCGAACACTTCAATATCCACAAGTGGACGCGTGCGATGACCAGTCACATGGCTGCTGCCAACGACAGCCGCGTAAGTGGTATCGCGTACCACAACTTGAGCGTGCACGGCTTCGGTTCAGATGCAGGTGAGTGTCGCAAGGCCGGTCTCCGGGGCACATGTGCTTCTGAGACGTCACGGCTACCTCCCCTGTCCAAGCCCTCTGACGCCCCCAGACTACCAGAAGACCGTCGGTAACCTGCCTCTGTACCTCCTCGGACAGATCCGCGACCTCATCGGCCACCGCAAGCACAAAGTTGAGATTTTGAACGAGTTTGATGGCATCATCGAGCCTGGAGAGCTTCTGGTTGTTTTGGGCCCTCCCGGATCAGGATGCACCACGCTCCTCAAGACCATCGCCGGTGAGATGAACGGTATCTATCTCGGCGAGGGATCGGAGATCAACTACAGAGGTACGTGGGCAACATTTTGCGCTAATTCTCGCCACTAGTGGCAGGCGGGCGATAGTCTGGATTTCCAACAGCCGAGCACAGCGCTGACGTAGTTCCTAGGTATCGACCCGAAGACCATGAACAAGCGCTTCCGTGGTGAGGCCATCTACACTGCCGAGGTGGACGTGCATTTCCCCAAGCTAGTCGTGGGTGAGACCCTCGAATTCGCGGCTCGCGCTCGTGCGCCCCGTCACCCGCCGGCCGGTATCTCGGAGAAGGAGTTTGCGTACCACATGCGCGACGTCGTCATGTCTGTATTCGGCATTTCGCACACTGTCAACACGGTCGTCGGAAACGACTTCATCCGTGGTGTGTCGGGTGGTGAGCGCAAGCGTGTGACGATCGCCGAGGCGACTCTCTCGTCCGCCCCGCTTCAGTGCTGGGACAATTCGACCCGTGGTCTTGACTCTGCCAATGCTATCGAGTTCGTCAAGAACCTCCGCCTGGGCGCCGAGCACTTCGGTACCGCTGCCGCCCTCGCCATCTACCAGGCGCCGCAGCACGCGTACGACATGTTCGACAAGGTTTCGGTCCTGTACGAGGGCGAGCAGATCTTCTTCGGCCGCACCACCGAGGCTAAGGCGTTCTTCGAGCGTCAGGGCTGGTTCTGCCCCCAGCAGCAGACCGTCCCCGACTTCCTCACCAGTCTGACGTCTCCGTCCGAGCGTCGTGCTGCCGAAGGCTACGAGGACAAGGTCCCCCGCACGCCCGCCGAGTTTGCCAAGCGCTGGCGCGAGTCTCCTGAGTACGCCAAGCTGCAGGCCGACATTGTGGCCTACAACAAGAAGTACCCCGTCGGTGGCCAGTACTACCAGGACTTCCTTGCCTCTCGTCGTGCCCAGCAGTCGAAGCACACTCGTGCCGCGTCCCCGTACACCCTGTCATACTGGGGACAGGTTAAGCTTTGTCTCAGGCTTGGCTTCTGGCGTCTCAAGGCTGACCCGTCGCTCACCCTCACTCAGCTGTTCGGTAACAGTGTCATGGCCCTTATCATCTCGTCGATCTTCTACAACCTGCAGCCCACTACGGCCTCGTTCTACAGCCGCGGTGGTCTTCTCTTCTTCGCTATCCTCATGAACGCCTTCGGATCCGCCCTTGAAATTCTGACTCTCTACGCCCAACGCCCCATTGTCGAGAAGCACTCGCGATACGCCTTCTACCACCCTTCGGCTGAAGCATTCGCCTCTATGCTGTGCGACATGCCCTACAAGATCGTCAACGCCATCCTGTTCAACTTGATCATCTACTTCATGACGAACCTCCGCCGAGAGCCTGGACCATTCTTCTTCTTCTTCTTCGTGTCGTTCATCCTCACGTTGACGATGTCCATGTTCTTCCGTTCGATCGCCTCGCTCTCCCGTTCGTTGACACAGGCTCTGGCCCCGGCTGCCGTTGCCATTCTCGGTCTCGTCATTTACACTGGCTTCGCCATTCCTGTGAACTACATGCACGGCTGGAGCCGTTGGATCAACTGGATTAACCCCATCGCCTTCGGTTTCGAGTCGCTCATGATCAACGAGTTCCACGACCGTGACTTTGCGTGCGCCCAGTTCGTGCCCACTGGCCCCGGCTACCCAACCGGCGGTGACAACGTCGTGTGCAGCAGTGTCGGAAGCAAGCCCGGACTCTCGTACGTCAACGGTGACGACTACATCAACATTGCGTACGAGTACTACCACTCGCACAAGTGGAGGAACGTTGGTATCATCTTTGGTTTCATGTTCTTCCTCATGTTCGTGTACCTCGCCGCTACCGAGTTGATCAGCGCCAAGAGATCGAAGGGTGAAGTGCTTGTGTTCCCTCGCGGCAAGATCCCCAAGGAGCTCAAGGACGCCAACAACGCTTATGTCATCGAGGACGAGGAGACCCAGATGAATGTTGGAACCCGGCCTGGTCTGGAGAAGAGCGAGAAGACTGGACTCGACGCTGCGGATGGTCTCATTCAGCGCCAGACCTCGGTCTTCTCCTGGCGCGACGTGTGCTACGACATCAAGATCAAGAAGGAGGATCGCCGTATTCTCGACCACGTCGACGGCTGGGTCAAGCCCGGTACTCTGACTGCCCTGATGGGTGTGTCTGGAGCGGGTAAGACGACCCTGCTGGATGTCCTTGCGACCCGTGTCACCATGGGTGTCGTTACCGGAGAGATGCTCGTCGACGGACGCCAGCGTGACGCCTCGTTCCAGCGTAAGACCGGTTACGTCCAGCAGCAGGACCTTCATCTCGAGACCTCGACTGTTCGTGAGGCTCTCCGCTTCTCCGCCGTTCTCCGCCAGCCCAAGCACGTCTCCCGCGAGGAAAAGTACGCCTACGTCGAGGAGGTCCTCAAGCTCCTCGAGATGAACGACTATGCCGATGCTGTGGTCGGTGTCCCGGGTGAAGGTCTCAACGTTGAGCAGCGCAAGCGTCTCACCATCGGTGTCGAGCTCGTTGCCAAGCCTGAACTTCTTCTCTTCCTCGACGAGCCTACCTCTGGTCTCGACTCGCAGACTTCCTGGAACATTCTTCAGCTCCTCCGCAAGCTCACCCACGAGAATGGCCAGGCTATTCTTTGCACGATCCACCAGCCCTCCGCCATGCTCTTTGAGCAGTTCGACCGTCTCCTCTTTCTTGCCAAGGGCGGCCGCACCGTCTACTACGGTGAGGTTGGTGCTGGTTCGAAGACTCTGATCGACTACTTCGTCCGCAATGGTGCCCCTCCCTGCGATCCGTCGGAGAACCCCGCTGAGTGGATGTTCTCCGCTATCGGTGCCGCGCCCGGATCAGAGACCAACATTGACTGGCACAAGACTTGGCTCGAGTCCCCTGAATACCAGGGCGTCCGTCAGGAGCTCCACAGACTCAAGTACGAGGGTCGCGCGAAGCCGCAGCCGGATAAGAAGGACAAGTCCGCCTACGCTCAGTTTGCTGCTCCCTTCGGCGTCCAGATGTTCGAGGTCCTCCGTCGTGTTTTCCAGCAGTACTGGCGCACCCCGTCGTACATCTGGAGCAAGATCGCGCTGGTCGTTTCCACTGGTCTCTTCATCGGCTTCTCGTTCTTCAAGGCGGACAATTCTCAGCAAGGTAAGTTCACCTTTCTTCTCGATTGCGCGTCCCATTTGACACAAGTACAGGCTTGCAAAATCAGTTATTCTCCGTATTTATGTCGTTTACGATCTTCGGACAGATCTGCCAGCAGGTTAGTAGTGCTCAGAAGGCCAGAAAACGGTGTAGAAGGTCGGATGGGTGATTTTTGGATATTTTTCGAAATTTCGATTTTTCCGCCACACTCGCCCCAATTTACGCTAACGTTTAGATCATGCCCAATTTCGTTATCCAGCGTTCGCTTTACGAAGTCCGTGAGCGTCCCAGCAAGACATACTCCTGGGTCGTGTTCATCCTGTCAAACATCATCGTTGAGATCCCCTGGAGTATCCTTGTCGGCACCATGTTCTTCTTTGAGTGGTACTACCCCATCGGCTATTACCGAAACGCCATTCCCACCGACACGGTCACCCTCCGCGGCGCCATGGCATGGCTTTTCATGCAGATGTTCTTCCTCTTTACATCTACGTTCGCTACCATGGTCGTCGCTGGCATGGATCTGGCGGAAACTGCGGGCAATATAGCCAACCTCATGTTTTCTCTCTGCCTCGTCTTCTGCGGTGTCCTCGTCCCTCGACAGCAACTTCCTGGATTCTGGGTATTCATGAACAGAGTCTCTCCATTCACGTACATCACGGAAGGATTTCTCTCGGTATGCGTTGCGAACACCAACGTGGTGTGTTCAGACGCAGAACTGCTCCGTTTCGTGCCGGAAGGCGGTCAAACTTGTGGTTCTTACATGGCGAACTACATGAAGGCGGCTGGCGGCTATCTCGTAGACCCCAACGCCACCGATTCGTGTCGCTTCTGCGCCATGAACAGCACGAATACGTTCCTGTCCATGTTCAACATCTACTGGTCGAACGCCTGGCGTGACTTTGGCCTTCTCTGGGTTTACGTCATTTTCAACATTTTCGCCGCCATCTTCCTTTACTGGCTCATCCGTGTGCCCAAGCACAAGAAGGCTGTGGAGGACGACAACGACGGCCTCGACCGCGCGACGACGGTGGGCTCCAACATGACTCGCCAGCAGACGAACCTCTCACGTCAGCAGACTGGTCTCAGCACTGCCACCAACGAGAAGGCCTCCGTTTACAGCCCCGGTCACCCGACTATCGTGGAGCAGTCCAACGAGAACTTCGCCTCAACCACAACCCTCCCCACCTCCACCCCTGACCTCCTCTCCAATGTCAACCAGCTCCCCGCCTCCAAGGAGGTACAGGAGCCGATCGACCCTGGCCTCAAGACAGTCGAGACCACCAAGGTCGAGTCGCCCGACAACTACGACTCCAAGCCGCAGCAATAGATAGATTCTGGCATAGTCTGCTCTCTTTGTTTATAACTCCCTCATATTCTTCAGCAAGGTGTAGCTTCTTCTATATACCGACCACTGCCGATGTTATTCCCTGGACTCTAAGCCACGCCTAGCGCTCACCTGGTGCCTAGCACGGGACCTATACCCGGTCTTTTTGCCAGCCTTGCCTGTCGTTCCTTTGCACTGGAGCCTGTGCTGCATTGACATGTGCCATTGAGAGTTTTAAGGACGACTCATTTTGGCGCGGCGACAGGTGCCACCTAGCAGTGTGCCTGTTTGAACTGAGTGTATTAGCTCAGCCCAATAGACCATCCGAGGACGTGGAGCGGTTGACTCATTGCGCCAGGGGCCCAGGCTTTCCATACTGAGGGGCTCAGTGCAGGATGGCACTCTCAGCCTGCGAAGGTGAACGCAGATTGCACCAGCTTGTCGTGACAGCGCCCCTACGTTTGAGCTGTGAAGACCAAGCGGTCAAGTTTCAATCTCCGGCTCAGGGACGCTTTCGTCGCAGTGTAACGGCACGTGCATGCAGTACGCCTCACGGTGATCGTCTTCTCACTTCGCGAAGAAGAGAGACAGAAGGGTGGGACAGAACCTCCTCGGTGATTCGGCACCGCAGTCGGAGCTCATGCAGGCGCAACTCTTGGTGGGATTAACAGCGAAGCGCCCCGTTCGGGGCTGCGGGAATGCCCGAGGCTCGAGAACCCAGGACACTGATGTGCAGGTGTACAGCTTTCCTTCGCCGATCAAGAAGCCGAGAAGCAAAGGTCGGGGGCGCTGCGGCGTGAGTCACCTGCATGTTCGCCGGAAGCAGCGTACGAAACCCGTATAAGGACTCAGCGTGCTATTTAACATCAGTTCGGGTGTCGTTTTAAATCAGCTTCTTTCTCTTCATCAACTCATTATGGTCTTCGACTGCCCTGCATCCCTCTCGTCCTTCACTTCAAGCAGCACTTCCTGCCAGGGTGAGACCTTCCAACGGCCGTAATCGACTAACATCAGACGCTGCTGACCTGCTAGGAGAACAGTCGTTTCTCGGGTGTTCACACTTCGGCTCCTGCTTCCTTCATCGTTCCAGTTCCTCTTAAGATGCATCGAGAAGCTGAAAGGCCAGGTCCTGCCGTCGCGACGAGCAGTTGCGTGCTGCCGTTGTCGCCGGTCCTACCTCCTCTTTCCGCCCCACGCACAGCAATAGACGGGAGAGCCCTCAAAAGCGACTCCCGGAAGTGTCTAAGGGCTCTACTGGGCCGCTCTCAGCGACCAGGGCCGAGCGATGTCGATGGTAGGGTGGGCTGGTCTAGTGAGTTCGCCTTCCTTCTCCCACAACTCCTCCTGGCTAACTCAAACGCAGGCCGAGGAAGTCGAGCGAGTGGCATTCACTCGCCTCGCAGCAGACCCCTCTCCCTTTCTCAGCGCCGCCGCCGCTGTGGCTTGGGCAAACCGCCAAGTCTTCACTGTCGCTGGAATCGCGTTCGGAATCAAGGCAGGTGGATACGACATTTTGGCGACACCCGACTCCGCCAAGTTGTTCGACGGGTGGTCATCGGTGAGTCCTCGTTTTGACAGCGCCACTGACGTTGAACAGAACATGACTACCCTCTACCCCTCTTTCGGCTGGGGTTTGGCCAGCTGGACCCACGGGCACCCCGGCAACCAGCTGCCCAAGGTCCTGATCAGCACGCAGAACGCTGAATACAACGATCGGATCATCAAGACGGCTCTCGCCCTGCTGTCCAATCTCCACCTTGTCCCCACAATATACCGGTCCCAGCTCATGGCCGTTGCATGGGAGCGTTTTGGCATTCTCCTCGATCGAGATGACTCGCACGTTCTCCTGCAGACCGCTTTCCACGCTCGGGAGCGCAAGCTGCCAATGGCGTCAGCGACAGACGTTTCTGACGCCAACAAGGCCCGCTACGCCCGGAAGGCGCAGGACAAAGCTCTGCAGCGTCGCGCGACCATTCTGATGGACGGGATCGCTGCCTATGGGGCGCCTCTCCCCGCTCTCCCCAACGGACTTCTCAACGACGTCATCATGAACAGCTGGCACGCTCATTTTGAGCGTTACAGCCTGAGCGCGTCTGGGATCAAGCGCCTCCACGCCGCCGGGCGTGATGTAGATGCCGAGACTCTGTCTGCCGATTCGTACAATAAGATCCTCAATGAAGACCGCGAAGCCATCCAGCGCGAGGGATGCAGCGCCGCTGCCTGCGTCTACAACGGCGGCCCCTGGATCCCGGCGGAGGGCGGGCGTTCACCTTACTCCGCTGCAGACGACGTTCGCTACGTCTGCCTGCACCATCTGCAATTGGAGTTGTTCTGCAAGCTGTAAGTCAGCGGCAGAGGCAGATGAAGCTGACCATAGAGGCCTTGGCATGCCTGAAGACTTGTACCAGGATACCATGGTCGCGATGCCCAGCTACAGTGGACGGCACTGCTCCAACCGTGCCAGGGCTCGCGTTGCCTGGACTCCTTCAAAGCCTTGTCAACCCGAGAGCTCGCATCAGCACAGGTGGGTGAGCAGTGGCAAAAACAAGCCCTTACCAGCAGCAGAAGCAGACCGATGAACAGAAGGATTCGTCGGGGCTGTCGTCTCCAGGCTTCTCGCCGATCAATGACTCTTCCACCTTCCTGTCCGGCCCGGGCTATGTGGCAGAACAGATCGATGAGCGGACTCGCCTCGTCGGGGTTCTCGTCTCCGAGCTTCCGACCAACCTCAAGTTCAAGACAAAGAGTCTCTCCGCCAAGAACCGAAACAACGCGGTCAAGAAGCTGAAGAAGGCTTGGGACGAGTGGGATGGCAACCCTCCCACGTTGCCATCCGCGCGCCGCGCAGACGTCACACAACATTGGCGCCCCCGCGCAACCCAGCTTTTCGACACGTCGGACGCTGGTATCGACAGGATCCAGGTGTACGGTCATTTGTCGGTGCTGCGGGAGCGTGAGCCCGGGCTAGCGCAGCCGCTCGATCACGCGCAGGGCGACGAGCGGCTGGCGGCTGTGACGGCCCTTCTCGGCAAGTTCTCCTCCGAAGAGGTCGCCAACAGCATGGTCCGAGCTATGCAAGCCCTCGACCGCGATGGGTGCTCGTTCCCCGAATGCGTCTTCGGCCCCTCAACCCCATTCCTCCCCGAGGAGGCCGCATTCAGCCCTTATGACGGGCGGCCTCTGTGCGTCGCGCACGCCCAGGTCCACATTTTCGGGCACTTGTGAGTACTTCACCGACCAGAGCTCCGAGCTGACAACGAGCGCGATGCAGTGGACCTACGACTTCTTCAAGTACACCCTCGCAGACGAGAGCTGCTTGCGCAAGACCGCGACCCCGCTTGCCCTGCTCCCTGCCGTGGCGCGCTGCCAGGGGCCCGCGTGTCTGGGCGACTACATGGCGCTGAAGCCTGTCCGAGGTGCACAGAACGCCGGAGGGTGAGTTGTGGCCCTGATGTGGAAGCTGACAAAGCAGTATTATGATCGCGCTCTGCCGATGCTGCCGCCAAGTGGCTCTCAAGTCGCTGGCCGAGCAGAAGGCAGCCATCATGGCCTCAGCTCAGTCTCGAGGCATCCAGCCTGACGAGCTCCCCCCCGACGACCGCCGCATCCGTTCGCCTCGGGTCAGCGAAAAACCCTGGCTTCAGTCATGTGGTGCCGAGCCCCGGTCGCGCAACTGCACCAAGTTCACCAGGCGTACCAAGCACTCGGGTACCCAATACTCGAAGGAAGGCGTCGAGATGTGCGTTCCGTGCCTGGCCGCCCAAGGCCTGACAGTTGTCACCCCTTCGAACTACGACAGTGTCCTCTCTCCGGCACAGCTCGATGCGATCATCAACAAGCTGTGCTCAACTCTGGCCGACTACTCCTAGAGTCTTGAGGGTCTGACGGACTTCATCGAGGGATTTGTGATCCAGGTCTCAACCCTCGCCATCATCGCGCTGTCGTCAATTGACCGAATTGCTGCGGGGACTGCCCAGGTCCAGCTGGGCCACGCGCTCTGGCGGATTGGGGGCGCAGTGGCGCGCCCAACGGAGGATGAGCTGGAGAGTTCCGAGGGGGTCGACGAGGACGCGGACACGGGAAGCTCGGAATCGCAAGCTTGGCCATCGAAGCGCGCGAAGGCGACCTAAAGCAGAGGTTCTTCGTATGCGAAACGACGCCCTCAATGTCTACCCTACATCAGCCCCGCTGGGAGCTGAGATCCTGAGGATGCTCGGCAGGAGAGCAGTGGCCGACCTGCTTAGCCGGAAGGACGAGGGCGGACACGTCGAGGCCCCAGTGACGTGGAAAGGTCGCGAATGGGCTTGCAGGGTGACGGCAAGAATCCACCGCTCCAAGAAGGACGTGTGCCTCGTCGACTCTGCCTGGACAGGCGCTGCCGGGTTCACCGAGGTGTAGTTACCGCCGCTGTCGGCCAACTATGCAGAGGAGAGTTTGTCGTACAAATCAGTGGATGGTCTACTCGCGGACTTAACGCAGAAGGATTGGAGCTCGCTGCTCGCCCTCCTGTCGCTGACGGGTAGAGTCCACTCAGCCTTACTCGGGGCGAGTCTGAGAGACAACGCCACTGGAGAGTGGGTAGCAGGCAGAGATGGAGGAGCTCCCTTCCATGTTTTGAAGAGGCCGGCCAGGGACACCGCGACCTGTTTGCCGTCCTTCTTGGCGTAAAGCTCTATATGGTGACCGACAGCCGAGGGGTTGGGCAAAGTTTTCTTTGCCTTCGGCAGGGCGTAGAGTACGCGCCACACTATCGCTGTCTGGGGGTTGGTGAGTATGACGCCGGTGAGGAGGAAGATATGAGATCGTATTTGGTCCGAAGAGATGATGGGGATGGTCGAGGCGGACAGTATGGCGGCAAGAATGACTTGGGAGGAGCGTTGTGGGTGATGATAGCTTTCAACGGAGATAATCCACGGCACCGAGGCTGAACAGACTGTCTCCCATGATCGAGGGCCCCACACTAGCGTCTTCCAGCAACTGCGTGTCAGGCAAATTCCTCATGAGCACTTACTATCCTCCAATCTCTGAAAGAACGGTCGCCCTTCTTGTCTCCGCCGCCCATCATGTCAACGCCGGGCTTGACGACGAATTTGATTCCACCGAGTGTAACCAGCAGTATAGTGCCGAAGAGAATTGCATTCGCTCGGGGGCCGCGCGTTACGGTCAGAACCGCCGCCCCGCGCCCCGAAGCGTAAGTAGTGTACTGTAGTTCACGCAATCCAAGGATCTACATGGATTTGCTTGCATCCGAGACCAATGAATAGGCTGAGAGCTGCTGGTTGATGGGGAAGGTTCATTGTGTGACAAAGTCTCATGAGAGAGGCTGGTCAACGCCGTTCTACGATGAATAATGACAATGTCTCGCGTCATATCGCCAGTCTCGGGTCATGGATGCAACCGGACGCTGAAGAAGCCGAAGGGACCAGGTTGAACGCCGATCACGGGTTCACTTGGCCCCGCAAACGGGCCGACCGATCGCACACTTTGCATCGCTTCGGCCCGCTTCGTGGTCTTCCTTTCGTCTTTCACCTCATTCCCCGCTTCTTCCTTGCCACCGTTGCCAACTTACTCCACCATCGCAGTTGCTCTCCCACAGTCATGGCGAATACCTATATGGACTGCATCGTCCTGCTCGTGAGCGCCGAAAGTTGGTCAAGCTGACGCGTAGGGCGACTCGATCACCGCCCAGCAATATGTCGACGGCTCCATGCAGGCTCGCTTTTGCGGTGAGTTGGTGGGCCATTCTTCCTCAGCAGCATCTGGGTAGAGACCAATACCTACTTACGGCCTAGAGCTCGCGCGTTTTTTTACGAAAACTGACGACCAGATGCCTATCGCCGGTCTCTTGACATCCTTAACCGCGGATTCAGCGGATACAACACGCGATGGTGAGCTCCGGTTTGCTCACCAACCAGAAAGCTAATACATAGGGTGCGAGCTCTCTTCGACACTGTCTTCGCGAAGAAGGGAGCACCCGGTGTTCCGGTCGTGAGGCTTGTCACGATCTGGCTCGGTGCGTGACAAACCTTCCATTCCGCTAATGTCAGGTGCCAACGATGCCGTCAAGCCAGGGCTACCTCAGCATATTCCCCTCGAGGAGTTCGAGAAAAACATCCGATACATGGTCGAGCAGCTGACCTCGTCGGACTCGAAGTACGCCACCGCCCATGAGAAGGGCTTCAATGTTGTGCTCGTCACGCCGCCGCCCATCCTGCTCAGCATGACGGGCAACGACGAGCGCATCCCCGAGCGTACGAAGCAGTACGTCGACGTTGTTGCCAAGCTCGCGGACGAGTTCAAGAGCAAGCAGAAGGAGCACGACAACTGGCGCATCGGTCTCGTCAACATGTACGACGCCATCATCGCTGCGGCCGGCGGCGACGGCGAGGAGATGCGTCCGTACCTGGCGTGAGTACAGCTTCAAACAACCCGAGGTAGCTAATCTTCAGCGACGGGCTGCACCTCACAACACAAGGCTACGGCGTCTTTTGGGACGAGTACACCAAGCTTGTGCGAGGCGAGTTCAAGGGCCGCGGCCTTGACTGGGACGACTGGAGCGATCTCCCTCCCCGGATGCCGAAGTAAGTACACTGCGTCCACTTGCCAGGCACTAGCTAACAATCAGCTGGCAAGACGTCGACCCCAAGCATCCCGAGCACCTGCCGGACCAGATGAAGCTCCCTCCCATCCGGGAATCGGACGCGTTTGACAAGGAGGCCCGCGAGCTGGACAAGGAGCAGCCACCCCAGGAGACCAAGACTGGTAAGGGCTGCACGTATCTTTAGGACTGAGAGATTGACAACTTGACTGAATCTTTGGCTATGTCTGAGCAAGAGTATGTATAACGATATATGCGTTGAACAAGGTGTTCCTGCGAGCTATCCTCCCCCGTGAAGCTCATTCCGTCTTTCAGAAGCTATCCTGGTGCAGTGAGCCTGCTCTGTGCCGCCCGCCTTCATCGCCTGTTCAGCCGGCGTAATGGTCAGCTGGACCTCAAGTTATGGTCCGACCGTCATAGCCCACTTCTGGGGATGGCACACTCGCAGCGTCCGGAGCACCTGCTCAAAACTGGCAACGGATCATGACACTGTCAAGCTCGCCATGTGGTCATGACATTGCAGATCTCACCGTATGTGTATTCTGGGTCTTCATTCTTCATGTCTGTGAGACATGGGCTGCGCACATGGACTCTCCGTAGATCGCCTGGGTCGTGAGTATCCGAGGTGGGTCCTGGCCCCGGGAAACCCGGACCTAGTGCTGGAGCGCAGTGGGAGACAGCTGAGGCAGCCCTATTCATGCTGCTGAGGATCAGGATAGTCACCTGCCGTATCAACGCATACGAGGCGACAAGTGAGTGGGGGTGTGGGCAATGTGGGCAATGTGGGGGTCCAAACAGGCTGTCGGCCTCGTGTGACGTGCAGTATGGCCCAGTGCGTCGACTAACGTCACGATGAAAATAGACGATTTCCAGAAATAACCCACTGACATGGAGCATGTGTTGCCCAAGCTGCCCAAGCTGCACCCACATTCCTGTCCACCGCGGTTGCTCGTGGCGCCTACCGACCTAGCCGAGAACCATTGCTGATAACACTGGGATGTCTCGCAGACTAAAGAGGACGCTTGAGGGCTCCTAGGGCTGGGTCAGACGACTGAACTGCATGCTGCACCACGCAAGGCGGAACATGGTCATCAGGCCGATCCCTTGGGAGATAGACTACCAAGTGCTGTTTCTGGAACGGCGCTGTACCCGGAATCGCGGGATGGAAACGCCCGTCACTGACGAGGCTAGAGGACAAGACGAGGTGGGGTGAAGCTACTCTAGCCCTCGATTCATGCATATAAAAGGCCGGTGAAGTCAGTCAAGAGGTGTGGAGTTAACGCTGGCCCTTCAACTGGAATTAACATCTATCATGGCTGCACCACCCGTAGTACCCGGCGCGCTCATGGGCACGGACGGGATTGACCCACGCCTGCACCTCACAAACACTCAGGAGGAGCGGGTGCTCTCGCACGAGGACAACTTCGACCGTACGTCGTCATCAACCCGACCCGCTAACAGATGCCAGGGGACTCGAACGCCCTTCCGATTGAAGTATACCTGTACTGGGCGAAGCGGGAGCGTGACCGCGAGGACCGCGACCCCCGTCCCGTGCCGGATGCACCGTGGATCGTGCTATGGAAGAGGATGACCGGGCAAGGACACCGCGTCGTGCGTCCTCCGAGCGGCACGCCCGATGCTGTGGCCGTGCACGATGACAACAGTTCGGGCTCGGGGTCCCCCGGAGACGAGAAGACGCTGGAGAAGAGCCAAGCGGTGACTGCCCAAGTCGGTCGGCCCATAGCCGACGAGGGCAGCGACTGGAGCGAGTGGGAGCGCCACACGGCATATCACCTGCTCCGGACTGCGTCGTGGCAGGCCATCTTCTATATGATCACGAGCGACATTCTCGGCTTCCAGCAGGCGCCCTATTCGTTCTACACCCTGGGCATTGCCCCAGGATGCCTCGTGTTCACTTTCTTGTTCCTCCTTGCCTTTGCGGGCGGGCAGATGCTCTGGCGCATGTACATGCGCCTTGACAGTGAGCAGTATCCCGTCACCTGCTACTCGGATCTGGCGGAGCGCACTTACGGCCGGTGGGTGCGCCACCTCTTCACGGTCCTGCAGACTATCCAGTAAGTGAAGCATGGCTAATGTGGCTGACGCAAGGCTGCTGTTCAACGTCGGCATCCTGATCACGGGCCAGAGCACGCAGCTCGCGACCATCATCGAGTACAAGTTCTGCTTCATCGCGATCGCGATCTTCTGGATGCTGGCGGGTATGATTGTGGGCCAGATCCGGTCTCTGCGCAACTTTGGCTGGTTCACAAACCTGGGCATCTGGCTGAACCTCCTGACCATGGTCCTGGTCATGGTCGGCATTGGCGTGTTCGACCCCGTGCCCTCGCAGTCGCAGCACAAGGACCTGAGCGAGCCAAAGTCTGTCTCGGCCTGGGTGCCCTCGTACACGAAGGGCTGGTACATGCAGCAGGTGGGTGTACAGAACATCGTGTACTCGTACGGCGGCGCCATGATCTTTGTCGAGTTCATGGCCGAGATGCGCCGCCCGCGCGACTTTTGGAAGGCCGCGTTCCTCTCCCAGCTCTTCTGCTACCTCATGTACATGTTCTTCGGACTGTACAACTACGCCATGCAGGGCGTGTACACGTCCCAGTACCCTTCGCTCGACTTCCAGAACCGCGCCCTCCAGCTCGTCACCAACATCATCGGCCTCGTCACGGGCGGTATCGCGATGTGCCTTTACGCCCATGTCGGACAGAAGACGATCTACCAGAACGTCTTCCGCGCGTACCTTCGCGCGCCCTCGCTCGTGTCCCGCCGCGGCAAGATCATCTGGCCCTTCCTCGTCATCGGGTACTGGCTCATCTCGTGGGTCATTGGCGTTGCGATCCCCAGCATCGCAACGCTCGGCACTCTCGTCGGTGCCGCTGCCATCCTCCAGTTCACGTACACGTTCCCGCCGATGCTCATCCTCGGCCACTGGATGCAGTCGGACGCACTCGAGGGTGAACAGCCCTGGGAGCCAGGCATGGCACCCGGCGCAAATCGTACTGATACTTGGAAGCAGGCCAGCCGCTGGAAGCGCGGGTTCAGGAAGTACTGGTACGTCAAGATCGCCCTATTCCTTTACTTCCTGGCTGCGCTCGCCAATGCGGCCCTCGGCATCTATTCCGGTGCAATGCAGGCGAAGGACGGCTTCTCTGGCCACGTCATCATTTCCTTCTCCTGCAAAACTCCAAACGAGGGGTCGTAGAGACCTGCGATGAGCCCAACATCAACTCGGTAATGGAATCAGTATCTCCGTAAGGCAGCAATGTAGCTTCGATGTCATGTGTGTAAAGATACATCAGCCCATCCTCGTATATTGTACCGCACCTGGATTCCTACATGGTCACTTAGAACCGCTTGAGCCTCGAGTTGGGCTTGAGGTACTTGCCAAACTTCTGCTTCTCCTCGCCAAAGAACACCGTCCAGAAGCCCCACGCGCCGAGTGCGCCGTTGCCGAGCCCGAGGACAATGCTCATGAAACCCAGCGGGGCGTTCCACCCTACGAACGCCGTGACGCACCCGAGAACAGCGAACACGCACACAGCGGGCATGCGGTACGGCATAGCCTGGGGCGAGTAGTTGGGCACAACGACGAAGATGCTGATGGCGGCGAGGGCGAGGAGACCGAAGCCAAGCATCTTAAGGGTGAAGCTCTCGAGCGGTGTGAGCGTGTCGTGTTGATTGCCGCCGTAGCTGGGGATCGGGCCAGAGCCGACGACACCAAGCGGGCCGGCCTTGACGGGGGCATCGGAACCTTGCGCCATGAAGAGCACGAGACGAGGCATGAGCAGCAGCGGTACAGCGAGCACAACGAACCTGAAATTAGCTAACGTCGGAAGTGTTGGAAGCTTACCATCCAGCAGAGTACATGCCATACACCGAGGCAGCGTCCGGAGCGCCCTCGTGCGGCCGAGCGGCAGCCTTCGCACGCTCTTCGGCGCTGCGATAGTTACGACCAAGCGAGCCTGGCTCGGGCTCCTGCTCCGTGTACGCCGGAGGCAGTGTCGTGCGGGACGCAGAGGCGCCTGCGTTCTTCCCGATGGATCGCAGCTCGATGCGTTCAGCCATGGCGGACGTGGGAGTGGCGAAAACCAGGAACAAGTGTGGGCTTATGTAGTGCGTTCGAGCTGTGGTGAAGCGATGGGGCAGGAGGTATCAGATGATCCACACGACCAGAACGTCAGAAGCAATCTCGCAGACGGGGCGGTGTGTACGTGTTCGTGTTGTTGATGATGCAGTAGCGAGATTCGACGTGTCGGGAAGATCGTCGTCGCAAGCGTTGCATCATCGCTCATGTTGAGCCGGTGGAGATCGGTGAATGTCCGTCACACATGACGAGGTCGCCTTCCTCGTCATTGCGCGCCTCCACGCCCGACTTTCCACCACTTAACCGAATCCACACACGACCACGATGCTCGCGCAAGTCCGCCAGCTGGCGCAGCCGCCAGACGAGGATGCGCTCAAGGCGCGCGTGCTTGCGTACCTGAACGCAAACTATCCGGACTTGGCGTCACTCGAGGGCGCTGGCCCGTCGGCGCTGACACCGAAGAGGCACTCGAGGGGTCATTCTCTCACCAAGGTGCCGTCTCGCCCGAGCAGGCCTGGGACGCCATCGGGTCAGCACTCATCAACCTCTAGGTCAGGAAGGACACTCGACGAGGACATTGCGTACTGGGAGGAAAGGCAAGAGGAGTCGCAAGCTACGCTTGAGGCCGCCGAAGCAGAGCTGCCAGATGCGATCGCTGCGGCGCGGACGGCACTCAAGGGGGTCCTGGAGCGCTCCCAGGAGCTGAGTCTGCGGCGGTACGAGCTGAGCGATGCGATCGGCTCCCTTCTGGCCGAGCTCGACAGCTCGCGCTCCCTCGACGACGGAACGACGACGGACGGGGAAGACGGATGGGGCTTTGACAATGCCAGCACGAAATCGAAGCGAGGGCCGACCTTTCTCGAGCAGGTGGAGGCGACGCACGCCGAACTCGCTCGTGCGCGGGCAGCACTGGCCTGGGCTCGAGTGCTGGAGCGAACGCTGGAACAGCGGTAAGCTGTCTTTCGCATGCAGTTCAAGCTGACAACAGTGACCGCGTGCTGGACCCGAAGGCGCACGACCCATCGCCTCTCGCCGCGCTGCCGCTGTTCCGGAGGCTGAACGACGGTGTTGAGAGTACCGAGGCGGCGCTTCCGCCAGGCATGGCGCTCGTGCAGCAGCTGCACCGCGTGCGCGACGACACTTGGGACGCATTGAAGGGTGTGCTCGGCGAGCGCCTGTGTGCGGCCGCCAAGCCGCTCGGCTGGCCGAGAAGGGTCGACTATGCGTCCGCTTCCGTCGAACAGAGGCGGGCGTTTGAGTACGCGTACGCTGACATGCTCGCGATGCAGGCAGAGTGAGTTCAGTGATCCCGAGGTGCGACCACCGTCATGAGAGCCGGGACAGCTGTTGAAGTCCTTGGATAAGCTGACCGCAGGGGTGAGCGTCTCGGACTGCGCCCGACGCCGAGCGATCCAGCCTGGGCCTCTGGCGTGGGCCTGTACCCGCTTCAAGCACTCGTGGAGCCCATCAACCTCCGGTTCAGGTACCACTTCATGGGCAGCCGCTCTACCAACCGTGCGGACAAGCCCGAGTGGGCCTTCTCCTCGATCCGGGACACGCTCGTGGACCTCTCCCCCTTCCTCTCAGGCTACGTGCAGCCGCTGACGCTCCGGTGCATGCCGCAGCTGCAAGGCGTCAACGTAGTGGACGAGTTCACGATGCTCCTGTTCCCGATCCTGCTCTCGTTCTTGCGTGTCCGTGTGCCCGCGCTACTCTCGCATCCGGCCCTGCTGGCGCACACAGTGTACCAGTGCGTGCTGTTTGACGACTCGATCCGCGCTGGCGGCTTCCAACTCGGCCGCACGTCACTGTACGACGGCGGCGAGTGGGAGGGACTCACGGGCGCTGTGCTCCGTGAGGAGGGGTGGTTCGGCAAGTGGCTCGAGGGCGAGAAGCGATTCGCGGAGGACACGCTGAACGACATCATCTCGAGTCCCTCGGCGTGGGAGCTCGACGACGCCGACGACGCAGAGGACGAGAGTGAGGCGGGCGGCCCACGCACCGAGAGTGCTCGCCGCGTGACGTCCCTCCTCCTGCAGATCACGGACCGGTATTCCTCCCTCCCCGGCCTTGAATTCCGGCAGGCCTTCCTGAAGGGTGTCCAGCTCCCCTTGCTCTCCGCGTACCACACGCGCATCTCGGGCAGTCTCGATGCCTTCGAGACCCTGTCGTCTGCCTTCGTGCGCGCCGTCCCCGGCTCGCTGACACTGGGCCGGGGCACGGACGAGAAGCTGAAGGGTCCCGCGGGCCTCGAGCGTCTGCTCAAGGCACACGCGTCCGCGGCCCCCGTCAGCGCCTCGCTGCGGGAATGGGGCGACGAGCCGCTCTTCGTTCAGACGTGTGCTCTTCCGATCTTGCAGATCACGGACCGGTATTCCTCCCTCCCCGGCCTTGAATTCCGGCAGGCCTTCCTGAAGGGTGTCCAGCTCCCCTTGCTCTCCGCGTACCACACGCGCATCTCGGGCAGTCTCGATGCCTTCGAGACCCTGTCGTCTGCCTTCGTGCGCGCCGTCCCCGGCTCGCTGACACTGGGCCGGGGCACGGACGAGAAGCTGAAGGGTCCCGCGGGCCTCGAGCGTCTGCTCAAGGCACACGCGTCCGCGGCCCCCGTCAGCGCCTCGCTGCGGGAATGGGGCGACGAGCCGCTCTTCGTGTCCATGTCCGCCGAGCTCGGGAGCGACACCCTAGACACGGGTGTCTGGGACGGCATGGCGGACAAGTACTCCCGCCTAGCCTATAGGGCCGAGGACATGGCTGTCGCGCAAGCAAGCAGTTGCGTCGAGACACAGCTCCGCACCTCCAGGCAGAACTGGGTCACGGACGAGGACGCGCAGCTCGACAGTGCCACCGTCGCCGCTGTGACGGAGTACAGTGCGCTGCTCCGCCTCCTGCCCCGATATTTGGCCCCCTCGGCCTTGCTCCGCGTCTATCGCAGGTTCACGACCCGCGTCGTCGCCGCCATTGCTGAGAGCATCGCCTATGCCAAGTTTAACGCGAACGGGGGTGCCGCATTCCTCCACCTTGTTCGGGACTGGGTCGCCAGTGCCCACGACGCACTCAGCCCCGTCCTGGGCCAGAGGGCTGGTCTGCTCGATGCGCCCTGGCGCCGCCTTGAGGAAACGGCGCGCATCCTCGCCTTGCCGAGCGATAGCTCGGGGAGCCAGGTGGGCGTCGAGGGCGTCACGTTTGCGCAGGGCATGGCGGCCGCTTGGGGCGGCGAAGAGGCCTTTGCGAGTCTCCAGGACCGGCTTGGCGTCCGCGACCTTACTAGAGATGAGGTGCAGGACGTGCTGAGGAAGAGGGAGGAGTGCTGGCGATGAGTCTGCGCGCGAGGGCGCGAGCGTTTGACTTGAGCTTTCTCCCCGACGTTAATCTGTAACAGCACATAGGCAACCTCGGGCCACAATCTAGTCGTAATGATGCATGAGCTACAAGCCTGATTGAATTCTCAATGTAATGTAATGCGGAAATGGACAGGTTCTATCGTACACTTGTGTTGTTTCGTTTTTTCCCTTCTTCTTACAGGAGACCGCCGTGGGGCTGGCCCGCATTCGCCTGGTCCTCCTCGAGCATCCTCTCTCGCTCCGTCGCATTGCGGTCCCTCTCCCGCTGTGCGCGCTCGGCCGCCTCGACAGCTGCGATATTGCCCTCGGGCGTGTCGGCGAAGCTGGCGTCGTTCGCATTGTCCGTGCTTGGCGGGGCGTTGGGGTCCGCATTGGCCGGCGCGCGGCGGGCGCGGCGACGGCGGCGCGGCAGCGTGTGCTGGATCGGCATGGGACGCACGTCGAGGTCCATTGCCACGTTGGTCGCGGCCTGGAACGCCTCAATCCACTGCACGCACTGCCTCGCCGTGTCGGTTTGGAGCATGAACTGCTGCCCCTCGGCGCGGACGCGCACGCAGTGCAGCCTCTTCTTGTAATCTGCCGCCAGGCCCGACTCGGCCCCGGTGAGGGAGTACACGTGCAGGAGGCCGTTGTGCGCGAACGGCAGGTGGGAGGCGATCGGCGCAGAGGCAGTGGACGACGCAACGTCGTTGACGCTCGGACGACGCGGGCCAGGCTTGTTGAACAGGTCCGGGTTCTTCGCGTCGGGACCCTCGCTTCCCGGGCCAATAGTACGGGCACGGGAGGGGGGTCCGGAGGCTGATGAGATGGTGGAACGGCGAGAGTGCACGGCGTGCGCTATCGTGCCGATGGCGCCCTCAAGGCCGACGGTGTTACGGCGGCCGTTGTTCTGCGGCGGAGGGGTCTGGATTGGCGTCGCCTGCACAGGTGTGCGGGCGCGCTGCTCTGGCGCGAGGTGAACGTGGAGGTATCGCTCGGCCTCGGCGGAGGAGCAGGTGAGGTACGGCTCGCCCTGGCGAAGAGGCACCTTGGTCGGGTCAAACTTGTACACGAACAGCGCCGTGCCGTGGAGGACAAAGTAGAACTTCTTCCATCCGCGGTCCTTGGCCTGCACGCCCGGCTGGACAAACTCCATCTTGCGCGCCAGCGTGCCCTCGATGTGCACACCACACCAGTAGCCGGGAAGCTTTTCGCGGCCTTCCTCGTCGCGCGGACGGCAGGCGGGGCCAGGTGCACCGAACGAAGCCAAAGGCTCGTACATCGGCGGAGGGGGGTCGGCGTCTCCGGCACTCAGACGACGTTTAAGCTGCGGGTGGTGCGTCGCTGGTGTCGGCGGCGGCTGCGCCCAGTCGGGGATTGCGTTCTCGCCGAGCGGGGCGAGAGGCGGCAGAGGCTCCAGCGTCCTGGCCGGCGTGAGGTTAAACATGCTCTGCGAGGTCTGCGTGTACAGGCTCGGTCGGCGGAGGACAGATGATGACGGCGGCGTTTGGATTGCCTCGCTCTGGGTGCTCGTAGCTCCGCTCTCGCCGACGCTATCGGCGACTGAACCCTCATAGTCCTCATCGCCCTCCTCAGCCTCCGTCTCGTGCGAGTCCTGCGAACCCGACGTCGTCTCGGTCGTCTCATTGCTCAGCGTTGACGGAGTGTCGTCCACCTCGGGAGACTCGGCGATCGTCTGGCGCGGCCCCACGGCACCCAGAGGCTGCGAGTCAAAGTAGCTGTTTGCTCTCGGCGTGCGCGCAGCAGGTGACGTCGGGAACGACACCCAGTTCGACGGCGGGTTCTGCCGCCGCGGCTGGTTCAACTGCCACTCGCTCGCGCCCGGTGTCGACACTGCAGAGACGCTTGCTGACGATTCTGCACAGTCAGTGACGTGCTCGGTAACGCTGATGCTGCGCTGTAACTCACCTTCAGCAACCGGAGAGGGAAGGCTGCCGCGACCGCGCGGCTGTGTGTGCGCCAGCGTCGGCTGTGTTGTCGGCGTGGAACCGCCTTCCTCCGAGTCGGTCAGGTCGTCATCGTCGTCTTCCGCCTCGCCACCGTCGACAAGGTCCTCGGCGTGATGGCTCGGCATGCGGAACATGACGGGCTGAAGTCAGCTAACGCTCAGAAAACCCAAGCTTACCATTGACTTTGTCGCTTTGCGAACTTCCGCGTCCGACAAATCCTTCGAGTTGTTGCGAGACGTAGGTTGTGAGCCCGAGGAGAAAAACGGGAACCCGCCCGACGTGCTTGGCGACTGGACCTGGGGCGACTTGGGGCCGCCTTCGAGCGCAAGCGCGCCCCAACTCGGTGTCGGCGGGCCTTGGCGCGAGCTTCCCCCTAGAGTGGGGAGGTTTGCAATAGGCTGCGGCATCGGTGGCGAGTGGAGCACAGCAGACATGCGGCGCGGCGAGCTGACGGGACTGATGGATCCCGATGACATTGCGGAAATGCGCCTCTGGCGTTCGCCGCTAGTAAGCGACGGCCGCCTTAGCTCGCCCGTAGGTGCCGGCGGAAGCTCGCCATTGGGGCCGTGGGGCTCGTCAATAGCCGAAAACGTCTGCTGCTCCATGCTTCGCCGGGGCGTCATGAAGACGTCTGGGATGCCAGACGACGTTGGGCTGATGCTCTGCGGCGTAGCAAAGCCGGCCGTGTCCATCGATGCGCGGGGGGCGTCCTCGTGGATCTCGATCCGGGTCGGACGGCCGGAGGTGGGGGGTTGGGAAGGTTGCGTAATGTTGGAGTGGTCATCCTTGGCAGGGACGGGGAACGCCGACGGCGTGGTCCCACTGCGAACTGCCGAGGAAGACGCCTCCGGCATCGTCGAGCGATCTGACGGATCAAACTGGAGCGCACCGAATGATCGCGCCGAGTCCTCGGTGCCATGTGCGGGCGCTGGGACGCCGTTCTGGACCGGCCTGTCCTGGCTAGGCACGGCGGCGTCTGCGTCGGCTGCGTCGGTCGGTGAGCGGGGTGAGGTCAGGTGGTTCGGGCCCGCCAAATTCGACGCCGCTGTAGAGCCCGCTGTAGTGCTTGGTGTGCTTGCGTCGGCTGGTGGGGAGATGGAGCGAGCATCCTCTGGCGTCGGCGGGGTCGGCTTCAGCGTCAGATCAAGAGCGTTCAGGTCGAGTCCGTTCACCTCGTTCACATGCGGCGGGGAATGCGCAGGTACGTCACCATTGATGGGGATCTTGACGCGCTGCACGACACTCTCGTCCGCGGCCCGCAGCGAATGCGGGGAAGACGAGCGGCTGCGCGCATCGCTGAGGTCGGCGATCGATCGCCGGTTGAACAGTCGGTTGGGCTCGAGCAGATTCCGCAGCTTGGCGACTGGCGCAGGCTCGGCGCGCGAGTCCCGTTGCTGGTGCTTGAACAGCGGCATGCTTTCAGCAATGTTGCGAAGGCAGAGAAGAGGGGCTCGGGAGTTGCCTGGCTATAGCGGAAGGGGCGACGAGGTCGACGGAGGGCAGCGGTGCCAGTGGGAGCTGGCCAGGAGCAGCCCAGGAAGCCAGGGATAAAGCCGAGGTGTGATGTGCGCAGACGGCGCAAGAGGGGGACCAGTGGGACCAAGTAGGTTGATCCCGAACAATGGACGGTGCGGCGGGCGCTGGTTGTTATGTCGGAGGCGTTGCCGTAGTCACCGTGCAAAGCGTTGTTCTGTCGGAATGTGGTGGTGCGCGAAGTCGTCGAGATGTGTTTGTGCAAGCAGAGAGTGCAGTCGCAAGCACGGGGTGGATCGTTATATTTGATCTTGATGAAAACGGGAATGGGCAAATGTCAAGGCAAGGGCCAGGTTAGGGGTGAGTCGCCCGTAGGCGGTAGGACATGAATTCAGCGCTGGACCCTTGCGTCGCTGAGTGCGTCGTTGTGTGCGCGCTTGCGGCCGGCCTTTGCGAGATGTCTGAGATCTTGTCGTTGCGTGTTGCACCGAGCGCCAAGCTGTTGCTCGCTGTGCTTGGGTATGTGTGTACGGCTGATCGTCGAGTGAGAGTGGAATGGAATGGGCGAAGGCAAGATTTGTGTTCGGTGTCGTCAGGTCGGACAGAGAGGGACGGGGATAGGGGGTCAATGTGTGACTGTGTGTGCAGTGCGGGTGGATTCGAAGTCGGTCGATGGTTGTCGAGAGGCCGAGTGTGACATTAGCTGGGCCAGGAGGGCACGCGGGGGCGGGGTCTGGTACGCAGTCAACGACCCGGCCAGACGGGGGCCGTCAGCCTGTGCCACGCTGTCCAGGCTGGTGGTGAAGTAAGGCTACGCAGGCCGGAGAGTCATCAACTGCTGCGAGCAAGCGAAGATTGTGCCTTGTGCCGGCAAACCCTAATGCTTTCTTTTGTTGCTGCTGGCTGGTATCCGCTTTCAATCGGGGCTAGTACTGCACAGTTTATCCTGCAGTCTAACTCATTAGGATGATTACAGACAGCAGAAGAAAAGCATGTGCTGCAAACTGCAGAACGGACGCAGTGAGCCGAGATGACGTCGCTTGCACGCCGACATTGTGCGCGGACCCTGGCCTGCCTCAACTTTGCCCTGGATGGGCCTCGTCGTTCCCCGCGCTGGGCCAGCTGGATCCCTGCCCTTCATCGAATTTTTGCTCCTCGAATGCAGCTGGATTCCTCAGTTCCTACTTGAGATCCTGCAAAGAACCAGGGAACAGCCAGGCTGGCATCGACTCGTCGCCGAGCATGTTTCGCTTTACGGCCGTTGCGACCCTCTCTGCTGACTGCGGGGCTTCGGTCTGATCGGTCTGCTGATGCGCGGGTGTCCAGCCCAGGAAGCATGTGGGTGTAATGCCTCGCAGGGCATTCGCGTAAACTCTGCAACCCGAATACGGCACCGCTGCTCATGGCGTCCTGTTGATCATGGTCCAGTCACATCGGCGGCCTGCTGCCAGGACAGGAGCTGTCTCAAGTCTTGGCGCTTCTATTACAGCTCGCACCTGAAAGGCGTGCTCCCTTCGCTGGGATCGTTCCGAGCTTCGGTGTTTTCAGAAATGAACTAAGGAAGGCGGCCGGGTGCAAGCGAAGCAAGCGAGCACTCCGACGCCGCAGCATACGTCGATGCGCCCATTCGTCCGTCCCGGCGTCCAGGCGTCTAGACTCCATTGCAGTGCAGATCTGCACAGATCTGCATCTCGTGGCTCGTGTCCGTTGTGGCCCGTGGCTCGTGGCTCACCGTCATGCATGAGTTTCGACTTCTATGAAAAGAACACCTTTAGGACACTCCGGTCCATCGGAACTCTCCAGTGTCATGGACAGTGACTGTGGCATGCACCCGGGTCAAGTAGCCGGCGGTATCAGGCTGAGGAGTCATCACATGCCCACACGAAGATCCAGACACTGTTCCTAGGCCCGTCTAGGGGTGTTGTGGGAACCCGCTTGATTCAGTGCCGAGGCAGGCGGAGCCCGCGTGGGGGAGAGTTTGAGGTTGAGGTCACTGAACACGGGTCCGACGACCAACCTGGCTGAATGTCGTCTGCTTATCAGGACGAGTGCTGCGGAGTATCGTAACGGCCTCGTGTGCCTCGCGATCACAACGCGCGCGCTGTGCTTTAATGAACGATGAAGCAGGAAGCTGCGCGGCCGCGTCCCCCCGGCGAGAGACAGGCCGGACTGCCTGCAGCCTAGGGTTGTTAGGCGGACGAAGATCGGCCGGACCGACGTTCCGGCCAGGTAAAAGTCCGATCAGCGGCCGTCAACCCTCAGTTCGGTGCGAATGACATCTGTGGCGACTGTGGACCTGATGCGCTGATGATTGAACAGCATAGTCTCCCGACGTCCATGTCCTTATCGGCCTCACTCCACTTTCTGGGCGATCCCCAGCTTCGGCTGCATGTCTATGCGAGACATGAGCTCAGACAACCCGTCGCAGATCGGCCAGAACAGGAAGCGAGTTCTGGAAGCCGAACAATAATGGCTTCGGGCGACATGACTTATGACGCAACGCCCCTGTCCGCACCACCGTGCCAAGACCATGCTGACCGAACACCCCAGCGAGGTGGCTATTTCAGTGAACGCTCGCGCGACCGACAGGTACTCGCAGCGCGTTCCGATCTGTTCCAGAGACTGCGTGCAGCCGCGTCAATATGTAAACTGCCTGTCAGCTCGAGTGTGCGAAGTTCTCAGCTCACAATTTATGCCTCACAGTCAACTTCACTGAACTCGCGCAGTCCAGGTCTATCCGACTCCACCAGCTGACCATCTCCTATGAGACTGACTCAGAACCTGCATCAATGGACTCCGATCCGGCACCAGCAAGCTCTTTCAGACAAAGTGTCATACAGCAGCACCTGATCGTTAGCTCTGAAAAGACTTTCACCAACTTACGATTTTACGCTTCCCATTGACGAATGGCGCTGTTGGTCAGCTTGCCAGGGGTCCGCGTGAGCTCACTTTCACCTCATACTGGACCGGCGCCTCTGCCTTCTTCGACTGGTCGTTAGCTATGCAGCCACAGACGGATCGGAAAGCTCACCTCATAGCCACTTCAGCCTAGTCACGAGCCCCCGCAGCTTCTCACCCGTATCGCCTTTCTCTCGCCTCTTGACGTCAGCTACAGTCTGCGATAGCCGCGTTCGCTCCGGCGTCTAATCACGTCAGGATGTGAGGGCGCGATCGACACCGAGCGCTGCCGCTCCTGCATCGGTACGCCCGTGAGCTGCAGGCTGTTCTGAGGCACCCCCGTCTCCAGGGGTGCGAGTGGTATGCCGAGTCCCAAAGCCGCTTGCGCCTGTGCTGAGCGCGCTGCCGAGTGAGAGGCGTGCCAGTTGTCGAACCGGTTGTCGCTCAGCGTGCGGTGGTGCTCCATCGGCTGCGTCCACATTGTCTCCCGCGAGCGCTGGCGGGCGTGTCCCGGCGCCCATCCCGTGCGCGTCGCCTGCAATGGCGGAGGCTCACGCACTGGCCCCGTCTTGCTCGCTCCCAGCGGCATGGGCGTTGACGGTCCCCATGCTCCTGGCATCCGCGGCATGGAGAATCCCGGCGGCGCAGGCGTACCCGCATACATGCTCGCGGGGCAGCGGGGTCCAGTCCGCTGCGCCTGCATCGGCGGCACACTCCCTGGCTGCTGCTGGAGGAAGGGCGTCGGTCGCTCCTCCGTCGGCTGAGGATGAACAGGACCGGTGTACTGCGCTGGCACAGGTTGGGGCGGCGCACCAGGGTTCAACAGTATGGAACCAGAACGCTGCGACGGAGCAGGAACTGGCGTCGTCGCCAGCAGGGGCCGATCAGACATGCTTGCCTCATGAGACGGCGCAGGCGGCACGGGTGAGCGAACGCCGGCGGGGCTCGGATGCAAGCTGACTCCGGTCTTCTGCGCCTTCATCGCCGATGGGAGTTGGAATGTCGAGCCACCCGTTCGCTGAGACTGCAAAGGTGGTCCTGTCGGGTGAGGTTGAAGACCAGTACGCTGCGGCTGCAGTCCTGGAGAGTGGGAAGGCATCGGTGCACTCGCGATCGGCGGTGGCGGGGGTCCTGTGAGCTGGGGCTGGAGCCCTGTCCGCTGAGACTGCATGCCCGTGTACTGGGGCCGCATCACCTCGCCAGTGGGCTGCGGTTGGATACCAGTCGCTTGAGGCTGAAGACTAGCGTTTTGGGCTTGAACCCCCTCTGCCTGAAGTTGCAAACCTGTGAGCTGCGGCTGAACACCAGTCACCTGCCGCTGAATGCCGGTCGTTTGAGCCTGGACACTCGCGGAATTTGGCTGGTTAAAGAGGACGAAGGACGGGCGACGGCTTCTCGTTGAGACTCCGGTCTGCTGCGGCTTCAGCGGCGGTGCAGGACTGGCTTGCGCGAGCCGCTCAGATGGAGGAGGCACCATGGGCGACGCCCGGGGAGCAGAAGGCAGCGACGATGCGGCGCGGAGAGACTCCTCGGCGATGCTCGACAGATCGTCCGGACGAGCAGTGGGTGGCGCTCTAGCGCTAGCCGCATGAGAAGCATGAGTCCTCTCGGCGAGCGTCGGCTCCCTGCTGCTCCCGTTACCGTCTGTCGCAGATGGGTTGCTGTCTATTAGTTGAGCTGTACTGTACAACAACTTACAGTATATAAGCGACTCTTTCATCGTCTCCTGTGGACATCCTGGGATAGCGGCCATCCATATCAATGCTGCCTTGTGTGGCACTACGCTGGTGAACCTTCATGGTGCTGGCACGGCTCATTGGGCGCCTGCCATGGCCCAGGGCATCCGTAGATGTCATCGAGTGCCGCCGATGAACCTCCCTGCCAGGGGTGATTGGCGGCAGGTCCTTGTTAATGTCGATTGCGGTGCCCGGCCGTGATAGCAGAGGTGCCGTAGCCGTTGGCGCGGCAGGCTGACTAACGGACGGGTGGCGGCTGCGGACGTCGTGCCGGTTGGTCAAGCGCTCCGCATTCGTCTTAGGCTGATGCCTTGAAGCCGACGATTGAGCACGGCTTCTCTCAGCCTGAGTTGCTGCCTGTGTCAGCTTCTCTCCAAGCTCCCTGACCGCCGCTTGGGTAGACAGTTTGATCGGGTGGTGTTTGGAGGGAGAGTTCGGGTTCGCGTGCCCACGAGCGAGGACTTCCGTCAAGTACGCCATGGCGCCACTGATGCTTCCCAACTCACTGCTCAAAGGGGCCCTTTGTGAGGCTACCCGAGACGGAACGCCGTCGATTCCAGCTGAATCCCCGTGGTACTCGTCCGAGCTGCCAAGATAGCCCTGCTCAGCCACCTGGCTCTGTTGGTATGATGGGTCTAAAGTGCGAGGCTGCAGAGGCGGCGGTACAGGGATGCGAGGCTCATCGTCGACTTGCCCGTGGAACAGGTACTCGGCAGCGGTACCTTGAGGCAGTGAATGCGGCTCCGGCATTGGCTGCATGGCCGGAATCGGTGGTGGCGGGGCGTTCCAGACCTGTTGAGGCTCCGGAACATGATCGTGAGGATCCTGCTGAGGAGGCTGAGCGGCGCTGAGGTCGCCGGCGAGATACTGCTCTTGTATCTGTCGAGCCTCTGAGAGGCGGCTCTCTCGAGTATCGGACTCCACAGGCGGATCCGAATCAGAAGATCGTTGACGAGCAAGCAACGGTGCCAGTTCGTCATGAAGGGCGAACACGATGTTGAGCTGTTGCTGAAACTCGGCCCAGCCCTGTTATTAGCTGGGCTAGACCGCGCCATAGCTACCTGTGCTTTACCGTACTCGATGCCCTTCCTGTAGCTTTCCTTCTTTTCAAACTTCCGCCGGTCCTCCAGAAGCCTAACGTCAGCTGAGACTCCACCTGAGCTCACCTTTCTTTGACGAAGAGCAACCTGTCGGTGTCGAGCTGGTGCTGCTTCTGCCACCGCTTAATCTCTCGCTCCTTCTGCTTGACATCCAGCTCCAACTGCTTCAGTTGCTGCTGTCGCTTAGTCTCGCCATCCTTCTTCTCCCTCTCCGCCTCCTTGGCCAGGGTTACAGCGTGTGTGTGTTTCAGCGCCGACAGCGCTGCCTGCAGCTCCTTGATCTTGGCCGCCTGCTGCTTCCGAGTCATCTTGCGCTTTGACGCTGCCTTCTCCACGGCGTCGAGTAACTGTTCGACCAGATCATCGTCGGTAATGGGCGCAGCCTTGGTAGGTACACGGGGAGGGCATGGCTCAGTCGGCTGTTCCCGATGAAAGTCCGCCTGCGGAGCTTCCTTGGGTACGACGTTTGGTTGGACGTCCTTTGAGATAACGGTCGGCGGGATGTCCTTCGATATGACGGTGGGTGGGCCCGCCGTGAAAGAGTCGTCGTCGCTCAGCGAGATCGAATCCGGCGGTGTCGCACCACCATCAGCCCTCTGGGATGAGAGGTACAGAGGCACTGCGTCCTCCATGGGGCCATAGTTCAGCTGCGAAATCTTCTTGTAAAAGATCTGAGGCACGTCCTCCAGGGGAATGGTGATGGAGTTGTACCTCTTTCCGGCGACCGCCTTCTCCAATACGGGCGTCCGCTGGGAACGAATCCTGTCAAGTCAGCTAAGAGCCGAACTAAAGCAGCTGCTCACGATGGTGCTCTTGACTGGGTGCGAGTCCGATGATCGCTCTCAGAATCTGACGTAGATGCGATGACTTGGCTCTGCAAGTCGCATGCTGCGAGGGTCGAAGGAGGCTTTGGAGCTCGCGACTGCAGGGTAGGCCTGGGCGAGCGTGCGCTCTTCCGCGCAGACGGAACGCCAGTCTTGCGGGTCGATTGTGACTTGACTGCTGAGGGCCGGCGTGACTGCCGCACAGGAGTCACGGTGGTAGGCAGAGAGCTCGCGTTGGAGTGCAAGGACGAGTATAGCTCCTCTGAAAGCTCCTTCGCGGACTTCCGCTGCCGCTGCTTCAAGAGCTCGGCCTGCGCATCCGCCTGCGCCTTCTTCGTCGCCTCGGAGGCTAGCTCGCTACGCAGCCTTCCCTCTGATCCCTCGGCGAGTCGGGGGTGTAGGAACTCCGACCGGATATCTTGCGGCGCGGGGCTGGGCGCGGGGGGCACGACTGGCGTGGCGGGTGCAGCGGCTGTCGGGAACGCCATAACGCTGATGGAGTCGCCGGGACCCAATTCAGGCGATTCTGGCGCGAGGCGAAGATAGGACGGGGCAGACTTGGAGTCAGTCGAGAGAACGAGAGAATTGCTCGATCTGGATGACGCCTCTTTTGAACGCTTGCCGGCTTTCGATTTCGAGGAGGAATGCAGCCGGGAGGCTGGTTCAGGTTGGAGTTTCGACGAGGAAGGGGTGGGATCCCGAGTGGCTTCAGGAGCTGACTTGGCGACGCTGCCGACCTTGCTGTCCTGGAGGCGGGCAGCTGTTCGAAGTTGGAAGGGGGATGCAAGTGTCTTCAACGACTTCTGGGAGGATATATCGTCGTATAGGTGCAGTCGCCTGTTGAGAGCTTCCAAACTGAAATGTCAGGTTGAGCCTTAGACAGGTTGAACAATGGTGGGCGATCGTCACACCATCGTTGGAACAAAGAGATACTCACTCAAGAGGTTTGTGGGCCTCAGTGGTCATTCTTCTTTTCGGTCCATGGCCGATTGACAAAGGGATCTCCGAAGTGGAAGCCTCTCCGCGTCCTGGGGAGGGACGACCGGGCTTGATTTGATGAACGGGCGTATGCAACGAGGCCGCCAGCATGAGGGTCGTTGTGAACTCCGAGGGGTGCGGCGTTTCGTGGCTGACGAAGTGAAAGAGTGGAGAGTTGCAACCTTCAGCTTCAGTGAGAGAAAGCGAGGACCTCGTGTCTGTCAGGTCCAACTCCCTGGAAGTGAGTAGTACGCGTGGTCTGTGCTGATAGACAATGACGCTTCGGAGCTGCAGATTGTGTGTGGTTGCAGTGTGTCATTGACAGGTGAGAGTGGCTCGAGCGCGTTGCGCCCTTGATCAGCCATTTCGTCGCGTCAGTGCTTCTCGGTCCTATTGTTCAGTTTTCGTAGCACGCGTCGAACATGACCAGGTACGCTTCATGGAATGCATGAGAAGACGGAGACAAACTCACCCGTCTGCAGGCTGGCTTCTGAGATGTTCTCGACATGGAGAGTCGCGTGCACTCGTTCGCTCCCTAGATGCGCAATCAAAGTTCGTCACGCGCAGCGGCGTCTTGCTCTTGACCCGCTACCTTCGCCTTAGCCTTGAGACCGGGGTTGAGCTTGCCACCCTTGACGGCGGGATTGGGCTTCCTTGCGATCATGAGAGCCATGAACTCCTGCGCAAGATCCGAGGCCGCCATCGCCGTGAGTTCCGCGTTCGTGTCGTAAGCCGGAGCAACCTCCACGATATCCGCTCCCACGATGTTAAGGTCACCCAGGGCACGAATGATACGCTTGACTTCACGAGTCGTCCAACCGCCACTTTCAGGCGTGCCAGCTGTAAGGTCAGCTAGACTGTCCTACAAGGCAGCTCACTAGCAGGGGCCATGCTGGGATCAATGGTGTCGATGTCGAAGCTGAGATAGACAGGGCCCTTGCCGAGGCGCTTCTTCAAGGCGGCAGCAATGCCATCCGCGCCCATGTCATCGATGTCGTCGGTGGTGAAGACCTGGAAGCCCACTGCCTCATCGTGAAGCAGATCATTCATAGACTGTCGGTCAGCTATAGGTCACTCGATAAGCGAGCTCACGGTGAGTCTGGTGCGGATGCCAGCGTGAGCTGAAGTGGTGTTGGAGATATATCCAAGGTCGTGAGCCTTCCAGAAAAACGTGCCGTGAGTCTAAGTGTTAGCAACGGTACCCTTACCAGCTTTACTCACAACCTTGTGCTGCTCGCTATGAGCACCGCCCAGCTCATGACCGTTCCAGGTGTCGAGGTGAGCGTCGAAATGGAGGACGGTGATGGGTCCGTAGACATCGTAAAGCGCTCCAAGAATTGGGAGCACGACCGTGTGGTCTCCGCCTAGAGTGAGGATGCGGGGATGCTCTCGTCCATCCTTGGCCAGCTGCGCCGTGTAGCCGTCGGCGTTCACGACGGGGCGGTTGATGAGGGTGGCGTAGGCTGTTTGCATCTCATCGATGGCCAGCGCGGGATCATAGGGCGAGATGGGAACATCGTTGCAGTCAATCTGAAGTGAGCTCGATTCCGACGCCTCGCAGCTCACAATCTCGAGGTTCGATTCTTGGGTGACACTCGTTCCCCACGGCACCAGGAAGGAGCGAGCGGGTCCAGCTCGCCGCGATCCGCTCCGGATAGCATGCGGACCAAAGCGTGCACCAGGTCGGTATGAGACAGTTGTCTGCGGGGAAGGTCAACACTGCAGGGCCATAGCGAAGCTTCAAACACTCACGTCGAAGGGCATACCCAAGATAGCGAGGTCGAATGCCTTGCCAGGTTCCTCTAGGCATCGCGCGAACGGAAGCCGCATGAAGCCCGCGATACCGGAGAACGTCAAGTCTGGAGTTCCGCCATACTTTGATTCTGGTGCGGTCAGCGATGACAGAGTTCCGCGCACGTACGCCAAGGTTCCTGGTCAAAAGTCTCCTGTCCCGAGTGGGCGAGCACGAGGGAGCTGAGCAGTGTGCAGAGTGTGAGGAAGCGCATCGGAACTGTTTGGAATGGAGGACGGTGGGATCGCACGGCAACAGGTGCTATCTTCGGCTTATAAGGGACGCCGTCGCCATGGCGAGGGGCGAGGGGGGCATGCGTGCGGTAAGGCCTGAGAGCTGGAGGAAGGAAGGCGAGGAAGACGAGGAGTCGAGTGAGGGCGCGGGCAAGTCCGTGTGGTGCTCCACGTGATGATAAGGACCGCTGGATTTACCCGCAACCAGCTAGCCCACCGAGCGGCGACTTCTAATCAGCCTGAACGGGTTTCAACCTCCATCCCCTCGCTGTTGCAAAGGTCCTATTCGCGGACGGTCACCTCAAGCGAACAGGAGATCTCGTCGTTGGAAGAACGTCTTACTTTAGCCAGATGTGTGTGCAGCGAGTTCTCCCAAAACCGAGCGACAAGCAATGAAGAATACAAGGAGTACATGCTTACAATATACTACTACCTACTGGTCCAATCCCTCGAGGAACTTGTCGTAGTCCTCCTCTGCCTGATCCCTTACGACACCGACGCCCTTCAGCTTACCGAGCAGACCGGGACCCTGATCCTGCCGCACCTTGACACTATCTCCGTCTGCGTCAACTGTTCCAGCGTTTGGCGCGGCGTTCACACCGCCTGCCTACTTCCTTGCGGCACGAGGGACGAACTGCGTCGTCTCCTTGCGCAGATCACGCAGCTGTGGCTCCGCGCTGATCGTCGCTGCGACCGGCGCCGCAGCCACAGCTGCCTTGGGCTCAACTCGCGGAGCTGCCGGAGCAGTAACAACAGGCGCCGTCCCAGGCTTTGCCGGCAATGACGGCGGGGCAGCGGGAAGCGGCCGGCCAGGTCCACCACGAGGAGGACCTCCCCGCGGCGGCCCGCCTCGAGGCTGACCCCGGCCACGCATCCCTCCTCTTCCCATGTGGATAGGAGGCAGAGCTGGCAGAGCAGACGGCGGCGGCGGTCCGTCCGGCAGCGGGATCCAGTCTGAGTCGTCCGAATCCGGCTCCTCTTCCGGCGGGGGCCCCTCGGGCATGACGATATCGTCATCGCTATCCTCGTCGGAGTCGTCACTGCTGTCTTCCGGATCCGTCATCCCGGTCGGCGTACGTTCCCGATACGGCATTCCCGGAGGAGGTACTCCGTAGGGGTTGTACACTGGATCGTAGTAGTAGCTCTTCTTCGGATCGCGCAGCGTGCCGTCAGGGTTGTAAAGGTGTGCCATCGGATCGGGCTTCGGACCCTCGTTGTCGTTGTGTTCTCGCGGCGCGTACTTGCCAGTGTGAAAGACCCGGTCCCGAGCATCTGGGTGCGCAGCGACGTATTTCTCCTTCAGCTTGTTGACCTGCTTCAACTCGTCTTCCAGCTTCCTCAGCCGGTCCTTGCCATCGTCATCGAGGTTGGTCACCGACTTCAGGTAGTTGATCTGTCCCTCAAGATCTGTCGTCAGCTTGAACCATAGCGGTTTCTTTCCAGCTCACCTCTAGTATCACGTTTGACGGCCTGATCCTCGCGAACCTTCTTCCTCGCATCCTTGTTCTGTTGTCAGCTCACATACGGCTGGGCTAGCTCACCCTCTTGAGCTCCTTCGCGCGGAGTGCTTTGCCTGTCTGTTAGCTGATAGTCGCCGCCTTACTAGCTTACGGTATGCGTCCGCTGGGTTCGAGCTGCCCTTCTTTCCCATTTCTGCCGAATGGAATGCACAAGTGACGTGAGATCAAGAGGACACTGAAATTAACGATCAGGAGGCAACAACAATCGATCGGCGGTGACGACGGAAGCTTAATTCACCCTCCCACATACTGACGCCCAGGTGTCGAGGGACGAGGGACGGCGTCATAGCACAGCTGCATGTGCCAGGTCACTGTTCCAACGACCATCTACACCAGCCATGTCGAACGAGTACGCGTTCCGCAAGATCGACATCGACGCGCTCGAGGGAGATATTCTCCTCCCGTCGGATCTCTACGACCCCGACCCCCGCGGACCGGACGGAGCGCTTGCCGACGCTCAGGCGAGGAGTCAGGAGAGCCGAGGACAGGTGTCAAGGTGGGTAGCACGATACAGCGATGGTTCACTACCCTTGCAGGGGATGACTTGATTGGAGATGGCCTCTGGATCGTTGGAGTATGGCTTCTGATCCAGCTGGCTATGGGTTTGGACTGCAGCAGTCGTCATACCGGACAAGCTGGACCGTAACGGCTCGGCAGTGCATGTGCACAGCTAACCTCCCAGGGGCGACATCGCCGGTGCTCTTCAGACGATCCTGACCGACCCTCCTTACGGAGAGGGTGTTGACCAGGCCAAGGTTAGTACCGGTGGTGATTCCCCGACAAAGCAGGTTCGATTTGGGCGCCCGCGGGTCCGCAATTGGAGTCGCGAAGCCAGAAAGGATGGACCCAGCCAGTTCGGGTAACCTTCTTAACAACATTCGGTCCGCTTACATCTCGAACGAGTTGCCCGCTTGATCGGTTCAAACTAACATCTGCAGAAACTCACTACTGATGCCGTCCTGATGATCCTCAACTCCACCCGCGCTTCCGACATTCCCACCGTGATCAAGGGCCTCGACCAGGAGCAGCAGTCGCGTCTAATGGCCTACCTCTACAAGGGAATGTCGGCCCTCGGCCAAGGAGCGGACGTCTCTGGATCTGTGCTGCTGACCTGGCACGAGAAGGTGAGTAATACGTTGTACATCGGAACTCCATCGCCGTTGCTAACACGCAGCTTACCGAGGTCGCTGGAGTTGGCTGCATCGTCCGTGTTATGACGGACCGTCGCACGCTGTAGATAAAGTTACGGGTTATGCATCCGTTGTAGTCTAGCTGTATCGTCGTCTCTGGTTTCTCTATTTTGGTATCAAGCGCATCACCTCGATCTCGATCACACAGATCCGCTGCCCGATATCGGGCTCATCTCGTTCTACTCTGCTCAGCGTAGCAATTCGCTGATCACCCGCATCGTAAGAGCAGGCTCTTTTACTTCCTGCCACCGTAGCGCTGCTTGCGACCGAGGTCCCAAGGGATGTAACGGTACTTGATCATGTGCCTAAAGGGTCAGCTCTATGTAGACGCCATCAAAACAAAGTGGCTTACTGAATCTGGCGGCGCATGGTAAGGGCGAAGAGCGTGCAGAAGTACACGAGAAGGATGGGCCAGTAAACGGGAACGTCCGTAGCACGGGTGATGGTGCAGAGGAGAGCAATAGTAGTGGCCTTGGTCGCCGAGTACCAGAACTTGAACTCCGGAAGGCGGCGGATGAAGGGGCGGAACTCCTCGTCGTCACCTCCGTTAGAGAATCCGGACAGGAGACCACGGATGCCGCCGGGGGACTTGGGCTCGCTACCCGGCAGTCCGGGGGCACCCTCCTCGACGTCCTCCTGGGCGAGGTCGTCGGCGAGACTCGGGTCGAACCGAGGCTGCAGGAAAGCGAGGAAGAGGTTGAGGATGTAGATGGCGAGGGCGTCTGCGCATGTTAGTTCAATTGAATTGCGGCGTAAACAACAACATTGCGACTCACACATGACAATGTACCATCCCTGGCGGAGCACAACGACGAGCGAGAAGCAGAAAAAGAGGAATCCGGTAAAAGCCCAGCGCTCCATCATGTGAGGAGTGGACCTGTCGAGAAGGCCTTGGAATTTCCGGGCGTAAACATTCGTGTTGTCACGAACCATCTCAAAGACGTTCTTCTCCTCAGGCAGGCCGCCGCGGAGACCAGCACCGGAGCCGGGGACCATGTTGGGCGGCGAAGACATGCTGTGGGGCTGCATGCCAGCTAATCCCGAACGCATGGGGAAGCCAGCACCAGGACCGGCGGCGGGCATAGGCGAACCGCTAGGACCGGGGGCCGAACCGTCGACGGGTCCGGCGGGGTAGGGGTTCACATTAGGGTAGGCCTGAGCCGGTTGCTGCTGTTGCTGCTGCTGCAAGGTGGTGAGCATGGATGCGGAAGATGGTCACTCACGTTGACAGAGGGAGGGGGCTCCATGGTGGCGAGTAATGTGGATGGGGGTGGTTTGAAACGAAAACTCGGTCAAGAGCGCGCTGGAGGTGATATTCTCGTGTCACCGCTGGATCGCGAGCCAAGATCCCACTGCGCAAGCGCACACGCAGTGCGATAACGTGGCAATCCCCGGGTGTGCGTGGGCAGCGTGTCGAACCTTATCAGTTCCCTGTAAATCCCACGTCAGAAATACGTCCGGCCACCCACCCAACCAGCCCGATTGTTGTTGACTTTCGCTGGCGAGCGGCGCTCAAGCGATCAGCACCCAACAACAGCCTCTGCTCGACATCGACATCGCCGCCCTGCAGAGGCTCCCACTCGACTCCCTACACTCGCCTCGACTTATTTTGCTGAACCCGCTGTCCAACGGCGGTTTACGATTACTCTGCGTCCCTGATCAACCTGACCTCCACTGTTGCAACAGGTGTATAAACAATATGGCGCCCAAGCCCTCTGGGCCGCATCTCGCTCAGCGGCTTCGGACGTTGTCCCTCACCTCACCACCGGCGACCGGTCTCTTTTACGCTCGACTCTACTATGCGCTGTTCCCCCCGACAGAAGCTGAGCATGACAGCCTGCATGTCCTCGCATTGTGTCTTCTCCAGTCCGATCAGCCATATCCCGCCTTGCAAGCGGTCCGTGACTCGGCAAATGGAGATGGAGACCCAGACGACATGGACTACGAGTCAACAGACAAACCAGGCTGCTATGGCTGCGCAGTGATCGTCGCCAAATGTTGCAACCGCTTGTCACGGTTTACGGAGGGACAGGCAGTCCTGGAACGAGCCGTCAGGCGGAGTACACCGATGAGTGAGTCCCGCGTCAGTTTGACTCAGCTGACAGCAGCGCTCCCGGTCGTTACCCCAGCAGAGACAGCAGCAACTGCAAATCTCATGCTTGCGTCTCTTTCGCACAAGGGCAAGTCGCCGATGCAAGCGGTTGAGTTCTACACCAAAGCACTCAGCGAAGACCCGTGGCTGTGGGAGGCTTTCACTGGCCTCTGTGATATCGGTGAGTGCTATTTCCATTGTCCTGTAGTGCTAACCTGGTCATCAGGAGCTCCGCCGTCACCAGAGACCGTGTTCCCCGATCCGCCATCAGCACGCTCATCAGCCCGACCATCCCGAAACGCTACCTTATCACCTGGTCCTATGCCACGCTCATCTGCATCAGAGGTACCGATTTTCATCAGCCGAAGACAGATGAGCCCTTTAGCGACGGCTGCACCGACCACATCCTCCCTCTTCACGCCCGGCGTTTCGAATCACCCTCCAAAGTTTGGAATGCTGGGTAATCCAAGTAACTGGGAGTAAGTTTCATCACTATCGGCTGCAATGGAACTGACAACAGAACGCCTTCAACCGTTGCGGACACATCCTTCCCCGGTTTCAACGACCAGGGGCCAAGCGGACGCAGAGCATTGCCAAATCTGATGTCCAGCATTCTTCCGTCGTCACTGCGAGCCACGACCCCTATCAACGCAGCTCCGGACCTGATGTCCCGTCCTCCAGCCCAGAAGCGGCCACGGGCTGCGCACGGGCCCCGGAGATTTGCAGCCGCGGACACGCCAACCGGAGGGCCGCTGGCCGGGGAGTCGCGATCAAACGGCCGCGACTTGAAGTCGCTGGACACAAACGGAGACAAGATGCTGGAGGCGCCAGTGCGAAGGAGCTCGCGTTTAAATGCCAATGGACCGACGAAACCCCAACCTCGCGTGACGCGGAAGGACCGATCGACTCGATCGCAGTCTGTGGCGTCCTCGGCGTCAGGAACCGCCGAGCCCGCAACATCAGCTGCAGACGCACAGGTTCAAGCTGCCGTCGACGACTGGCTGCGTGACATCGTGCGCCGATGCGCGAGGGCTTACCGGTCGCTGAGATTATACAACTGCAAAGAAGCTCTGTCAGAACTGGACGAGCTGCCGCTGGAGCTTCAGACGAGCGTTTGGGCGTATGAGATGGCGGCGAACTGCTTCTACGAGATGTCGGACAACGTGAAGGTGAGTAGCTGTGCGGTTTCCCACCAGCTGACAGCAGGCTCGCCGTGCCTTCCAGAAGCTCATCTCGGCCGATCCTTACCGACTCACCGGCATGGAGCTTTACTCGACTGTCCTGTGGCATTTGGGTGACACGGCCGCCCTGTCGCACCTGTCGCAGCATCTGGTCTCGATCGACAGGGACGCGCCTCAGCCGTGGATTGCAACGGGCAACTGCTTCTCCCTGCAGCGGGATCACGATGAGGCCATGCGCTGCTTCCGGCGGGCAGCGCAGCTGTCTCCCGGGTGTCCCTACGCCTGGACGTTGTGCGGCTACGAGGCCGTCGCGATGGAGGAGTATGACCGTGCCATCGCATTCTACCGGAACGCCATCCGTGCCGACAGCCGGCACTACAACGCATGGTACGGCCTGGGCGTCGTGTACCTGAACATGGGCAAGCTGCGACACGCGGAACACCATTTCCGGCGCGCGGCGGAGATCAACCCGAGCAACTCGGCCCTGCTTTGCTGCATCGGTGACGTCCTTGAGAAGGTTGGAAATCTGCCCGGCGCGCTCGCCGTTTACGACCAGGCGTGCGCTGTGGGTTCGACCGCGATGAGCGTGTATCGCATGGCGCGCGTGCTCGTGGCGTTAGGCAGGATTATGGTGAGTACCGCATCAGCGCATCGTGGTAAGCGGCGTTGGGAAAGGGGCAGGTTATGGGTGCGCTACGGTAAGCGGGCAACCTTTCATTGCGTCAGCATCCGAGATCGTCGCTGCCTTGATGTAGAGAGGTGGGGGAGACGAGAAGTCTCGGCCGCCTGTGTAAGGGCGAGCAGTTTTCCGATCGGAGATCGACAGTGGTGGCGTTCCAAAGTGGCTTGTTCACGATGTGCAGTGGAGCTTTTTTGGGAGGATATCCAGCTAACCGCCTTTCAGGAGGCCATTTCCGCACTCGAACCACTCATCCGAGACACGCCGGACGAGGCCAACGTCCATTTCCTGCTTGGCAAGTGCTACCTCCGCGTTGGACGAAACGACAATGCCATGACCTGCTTCACGGCCGCACAGGAGCTGCAGCCCAAGCTGAGCAGCAGCATCAAGGCGACGATTCTGGCTCGCGGCGAGGAGGAGGAAGCCAGCGAGGAGGAGTAGCTTGCACACTAGACGCAGGCGCGCGGAGTAGAGAGAGCGGCACGTGGAGCACATGTACATTAGTTATTCACAGTCAATGCCATTTTTCTTTCTGTCAACATCGCAATTTTCGTGCTCCTGCCGGGTCCGCATCCAAGCTGCGGGCTGTTGCAGACAATTGCAGATCCGGTGCCCTAGCCTTGCAGGGCGCCCTCGTAGAAGGGTTGAGGGAAGACGGCAATGGGTGGGGGAAGGCAACAGTTGCCCAAGCCGGCTGGGGCACGACGATCTGCTGATCAGTGGGGTTATTGACGTCCCCACCGCAGCTGCGTAGCCGGCGCCGATCCTGGAGAACTGGTGATCGTTGACCGGCGCCCTCAGAACGGCCAAAACAGCACGCATGCAGCGCGGCATTGCCGTGGGATAAGCAGAGTTTGGTCCCCGTTGGAACGAACGTAGGAAGGCAGCTGTCCAGATCCCAGTGGGTCCGGATATGCAGGAGAAGTGCAAGAATAGCCAGGTGAGGGCATCCATTATGCGATGGAAATATGGAAACAGTGGAGCGAGGAATGTTGGGCCCGTTTCGTGCCATTCGTTGCCCTTCGTCCCTGGAAACATGCCGCTTGCATGCCGCATGCCCGGGCATGAGTCCAGCTGTCTGGCGGGTATGACGCGCGACACACCCTTCTGGTCCTTCTGGTGTGGCAGGGTGCGCACCAGCGGATACGGCCAGCGATCGACCATTTTTCCATTCCTCTGCACAACCCAGTTATACAACGGCAACCTGTGCCTCTCGCTTGAAGCCGAGCGCGCCGAGCGGGCGCCGTCCGGCAGCCCATGATGTCCATGTGTGCGGCACGAACGGCGAGCGCGCGCAGGTTAGCGGCCAGCGGGTTGTGGGTCGCGCGTTGAGGGTCGCGGAATCGCGGAGCAAAGTTTTCACTTCTTTTTTTCGACTTTTTTTTGGGCGCTGTCGTCGCGGATCGCGGAATGGAAACTATACACCCCCACTTGAAACTATCTGGCGAGGATCGCGAGAATGCTGGTGTGCCTGTGCTATCCGGCCAGCTGGGCGCGAGGCTGTTGTCAGCCTGCCAGTTGGAGCTCGGCGTGCCCGGCCACCGGAGGGGATGTACCGCTGGCCGTTGAACGTCATGGCGGGACAGACTTTTGTTTACAGTGCTAAAAGCAGACTCACCCGCTGGTGGTAGCGGCTCCGGTTGTCGTTTACGTCGTATCATTCCCTCCTGATACCCGTTTTCTCGTCCGAAGTCCGTATGTAATCGGCGTCTATGACGGTTTGTAATCCTACATTCTTCGTCGTCCCACTCCGCCCGCGCGGAGGTAGGTGGGCCGGACATGCTCTCGTTCCATTATGGGCAGCCACACGATTCGAGTTGTCCATCTGGTCGATTTGTATTCTGGTAGCCAGTTGGCAACACACTGGCAGACGCAGACGCTGCGATCAAAAGATGATTACACCCTCGGCCACCATATCGAATGTTAATCCCGGGACTGTCGTCGGGTTACAACGAGCGTTCGGGGAGCAGCGGCGAAGCCGATGTCAGTGTCGTTCTCCGAAGCATTGATGATGACTGCCGAGGCAGGTGATGCCATCGAGCGGCTGTCGTTTGGCGAGTTGCGCGATCAGCTGCACAATGTCTGGGTATGTTAGGGCATCACTCAACCCCAAATCTCAACAACAGCCGTATGGCGGTGGGCACCGCTCGTTTCGAAGTCCTTATCCCGGCTTACACAGCTGCTCGGAGTTGTGACGCGATCACTGATCGCTGATGTGCTGAAGCGCGCTAGTGTTGTTGACATGCCGCAAAATGTTCATAGCCGTAGGGATTTCCGTAGGGGTTTCCGTAGGGAAGGCCGGAAGCGAGTTTGCGCAGTTGTGCTACTCTCCGGGCATGGTCAGACCTCTAATCACTGAAGTCATCGAGCTGCTGCAATAGTTGCATGACGACCATCAGACTGTGAACAGTCATCAACGACAACGAAAGTTCGGCGCCGTCGAGGCCGTAGCTATCGGCGACCTGCTGAACTGGTGATCTGGGATCTGGGCGGCGCCCGCTGGAAACACGACGGCCGTTGCGGCCGGTCGCTTATCGCTGCGTAGAGACTGGTTCAAACTGGGTGGGCTGCAGAAGTGGACGCCGGTGCGCGCTTGGTGCGGAGTGCGGCTTGACCGTAGACGCTGGTCCAGACTCACCAAGTGTACCTTTGCAGACTGGCGGATGTCCAGACGGCCGCTTTGTCCAACATTCCTCGAGCCGCAACCTTAGGACGCGATAATGGTGCCGTTCTTGGCTGGCATGGCTGGACGGGCTGGATGAGTAGTGGGGGGCTGGAGCGAGCTGGACGGGCCTGGCGGTACCTCATTTCTCGGCCTCATGCGACGGCGCGAGCAAGAGCACAGGGAGCCAGCCCATGGCCCGTTTTGGTCTGGCTCCCCCCTGTGTCCAGGTACGACAAGCCAGCATCAGGTCCACCAGGGCCGACCCTGGGACTCTGCGCGCCCTGCGCCGCATGCAGCACATTACGACAGCAGGACATCCTGCAGCACCTGCAGCACCCTAGCACCAGAATCCATTCCCTGCATCATTGCAACCCCCTTCTTTCGCCCAGATGGTCATGACATACATATGCAACAACGGCCGCAGCACTTTATCGCTCTTCCTCCTGCACCACTCATCACCGCACTGCTCTCAGCTTCTTACTCTTCTCATTGCTGCTTGCCAAAAGACCATCTCTTCGGTCAACAACCATCGCACAACACACAACGAGCACTCGAGACAAGGAAGCCCCTCGTCAGGAATACCGTCAGCCCCACCGCCACCTCTCTGCCCGCGCTCGACGACAGTCAACCACTCACCCACCCCCCGACCCCGTCGCAAATCGTCGCCGTGGTCTGCCGCGAATCCCCCCCTCTGAGGCCCGCGCCGCCCTCTCGCCTCCGCCTGAGCGACTTCTTCACAAACATGTCGAAGCTGGTGTCCCCCTCTCCTGCCCTGCGCTCGCCGATACGCGGTCGCTCCCCGGCCATCTCTGCCCCGCATGCGCTGCATTTCCAGATCCCCATTCTGCCCGCCCGCACACCTCCCTCGCTTATGAAGCGCATCTCCTCCTCAAGTACGCCGAACGGGTACCGCTCTGCCTGCAGCAGCGGAAGTGTGTCTAGCGCTTCCTCGTCGACGTCCGACTTACATGCTCTCTGTGGCTCGTTCTCGGCCCCGCCGCCTGAGCAGTCCCTCAGCCCCAAGATTCCCTGCGCTCCGGCGCCGACACCAGCTTCCCCGCCATGCCTGCTGCCCTTCCCCCGCGCCGGCCACGCCTCGACAGGCGCGATACGCCCCGCCCACCCATCTCTCCAGAGGCCGACCGCATCGTCGCTCTCGCCCTGCCCGCGAGCACATTAGGATTAGAGATACCCGACTCGCCGCCCAACCACACGAGCGCGCACCGCAGTCTCCTGTACCACCCATAGCTGCGCTGGACGCCCCGCGCCTCAGTGGCCGCGAATAGATCCGAGCCTCGAGCTGCGCTCGGCTTGCTCCAACAACCTGCATTCAACACTGTACCAACACCACGACAGCATGGCATTAGGGAAACAACGTCAGAAGCATTCATTCGCATTGTACACAGCCAGAGAAACTATGCAGCAGTTACATACATATCTCGGCGGTGCTCCACGACAACTGACAGCTGACGGCGGCGTGATTGGAGTGACGAGGAAGGCGCGTAGAGCGGACTCGGACAGCAAGCAAAGCTTGTGGTGCTGGCGGTGCATATCCGGCGGCATCGATACGGCCCGCCGCCCAAGCCGCGCCGATTGCCAAGTGGTAAGCTTGGAGTGCCAAGGTTGCCTCAGGTCGCTCGGGTCAGTTTAGGCAGAGCTGGCGGCGTGCGGCAAGGCGCACCGTCCCTGCGTCCATTTGGCCATTGGAAGCCGTGGTGCTTCTGCTGCTGCGGCCAAAACTTTCTCCTCATCCAACTGTGCCAATGCACCATATCATGCCAGCCGCAGTCATCTGTGCAAAAAGCGGGAGCACGCGGAAACTTGCATACTAGAAAGAGGGGCTGCATGAAAGGTCCGAGGAATGTTGGAGCGCATCAGTTGGGAACGTTGGGTGCAAGACGCAAGGCCGACTATGCGAGCCTGCCCCTTTATCAGCTCCACCCGATCTCGATCTCCTGAGCACCTGGGCACGCTGGGCAATAATCCTGGGCCAGCGCGCCGCCAGCACAACGCAACGCACTCTTCGGCCATTGGGCACAGAGATAGCCGCGGCATCCTGCACCTTCGTATCATGATATCTCCTTGCCAACGTGGACAGCGGCACCCGCGGTCTGCCGCGCCGAGTTGCCAATATGGTGCATGCGATGGTACACCATCACGCCGTCGTAGTCATCGCTGTATACGGAGAAACTTCGGATCACTATTTTAATCACCGACTTGCGCTCCGATCACTGGCTAGCGCACGGAGGAAGCCGAGACGCTCGGTCAGTGGGGCCGGCGTTCGGCGTTGCACTAGCTCTGACTGCATCAGATGCACCCACTGCCGCAAACAGATCTCTGTGTCTCGTCTTTCCCGCGGTGCTCGGTGTGCACATAACGACGAGCTTTTACTTGACATCAGTTGGAACGTTCGCAAGTAGAGGAGTGCAGAGATAGAAAAGGGGGTGGCATGCGTGCACGACTGTGCCGCTGATGTCACAGTACTGCGGCGCACATCACGGCCTGTGAAGTTTGCTGATCGCACTGCGCCGGAGTTGCCCGTAGCGCAAGCGTAGTGTAGCGCCGTAAGCTGCACGTGCAGCAGTGCGGCGTCGAGTTGACATCATACCCCCTTTCGCCGCGGCGCGGCGCGCGGCGCGCGCGGCATCGGGGATACCCTGTCTCAGCACTTCTGGGCACTGCACCATGCATGCTTGTGACTATGATGCATGGGTTGGGTCAGCAGACCTCGAAAAGGTGTGGCGGCGGCGGCGTCCTAGATTCCAACAGGACCACGACGGTGCGGCCGGTACCTGACCCTAGACCCCCCTTGCAGCTGGCAGGCCGTGGCAGGCATGGGTACGGCTGGGCGTCCATTCTTTCATTGCTGCTTGTTGCTCGCGCCCTACTCGCGCTTCCGTAGGTTCCGTGCACGGCACAGCGCAACCAATGCGTGCAGAGGTGTAGAATAGAGTGTGAGACACAGAGACTCAGAGGCTGAAACGACCACTTTCTTCCTTGTCCGCAGCCGAAACAGCCTCATCACGGGGCGCGCGAGGCTCACTCGGCGACCCGAGTCGCACACCTCAACGTCAGTGGCGCCTCATGGCTTGTCGTGGGCAGCGTGGGCGGCGAGTTCGGCCGCGTACGGGCAACTTGGATGCACGCCGTGTGCTGCGGGGAATCAACAGACAGTAATGGGCCGCTTGCATAATCTAATCGGGGGTGCTTGAACCGAGAAAGCTTACCGACGCCGTGGCGTCAGGTCTGTAATTATTGGGGGCCCTCTCAGCCACCAAAGGTACCAAGAGGTCAGTCACCGCGACCTGCTGCGCAGGGTGCAACACTTTTCTTAGTCATTCAACTGAAGACACAAGCATGCGAGAGCTCCCGACGACGGAGGCCACGAAAATTGTGGCTAAGACCATGGTCGACACATGACATGTCGTATCCGACGTCCTTTCCGGGCTGTCGTCATGGGCGGTGGATCGAGCTCCTGCAGGTCGTGAAAGTGCACATCGGCGGAATTCTGTGAACCGTGGGATGTGAGTTGGTCATATGTGAAGAGAGCTGTCGGAAGAACTGTTTGTTGGCAAACGTTACTTCGCGCTACGGGGGCATGAGTCATGAAGTTCACGAGCTGGTGACAGACTAAGAAAGTGTCCGTGCTGCGCATCGCTCCACCCGCTTTGGAGATGCCGAGACGTGGCGGTTTCAATGCGTGGTCGATGTTCTCCTCTTCTTATACCTCCCCACCTGGCCTTGGGTCGCCCTTCTGCCGTTGCTGACCTACTGACAATGGGGCGACGTGCTTCTCGGCGTCTCCCCACTTCGGTGTTTCGATGTCAAGATCAGGGCTGCACTTCACCACTAACCATGACCTCGCTGCTGAGTACTGCATCTATGGCCCACTACCGTACCATGCTGGCGCTGGCGATCGACAGCCTGACCTTCATTCCTTGCCGTCGCGTCCTATTCCAGCTCACGCGTCTGAACCCGGGCAGCATGCCTCATATTCGGCCATGAGGCAGTGAATGAGTGCGGTGAGGCCGTGTAACGTCATTACTGATGTAGACAGCGAGCATTGACAATCATTACCTGCATCGGCTTTCCCGAAGACAGACGGTCTGCCCCACCTCTGAGTGTGTGTGGAGCTTGCGCCAACGCTGAACTGCGGTTGTGACCGTGTTGCGTTATCAATGACAAGTGCGCACATGGGATGTTGTCGCAAAATAGACGTGGTGAGTCACCTCTCGGACCGCTCTCCGAAGCCATGTGGAGAGACTGAGAACTACACAGTGACTGCGATGGTCGAGGAGGCAGAGCTGCGACTGGTTGTGTCAAAACACTACTCTTCCCACGAACGCACATGGTCCAAATCTTCCCATCGGTCGCAGGCGAAAAGCGGAATGGAGTACAGGAGCTACAGGAGTGAGCAGAGCACGAGGTGCCCGCCTGACATTTATTTTCGGTGCGGCTGACATTCCGGGATGGTCGCCGAGCGTGCCGAAGATGCCGAGCGACGCGTCGCGTGGCCCCCATCTGGATCTGGCGGGACCAAATAACTGATAGCGCGTATTGGGCGGGGAAAGTAGAGACCTCCGCGCGCTAAGTTCCGAAGATAGTCCATGGTTTCGCCGACATTCACCCTTCCGCCGTTGTGGGCATCGATGGCCCCTTCCGCGATCTGTCCCCTACAAAGCGGGCGAGACACTGAATGCTCACACCTACTGAGGTATCCTGGATCTGCTCTACCTCGGTTGCTTTGTGTTCTCCGCTGGACCGCTGCAACGCGCAGGAAGCGATGGCGAAGCTGTGGGCCGTTTCGGTGCAGGAGAGTACGTACTCCCCGCTTCTTGCTCGGCGCCGTTTGTTCCTGAACGTATCCTGCTTCCAGCTGGGATACTTCCTGGTCATCCTGGCACTTGTTCCGAGGACGCTGATCTTCATGGCGACGAGAAGCCATACGATGGGGTAGCACAAGGAACGCTGTGGAAACACAAGCATGTCATGGTTGGGACCTTGCTGGGGTGAGTGTCATTGGGGATGAGGGATCGTTTCAGCTCGACCGCTCCCATTTATTTTGGGTTGGGCCCATCCGTCTCAGGCCACTTTGGCCGTTGCGGCTGCTGCAGAGTCGCAAGGAACAGACAGCATGCCCCGTGCCGCGTACGTGCTCCCCTTCGTTTCGGTTCCCTCGGAGTATCCTTTCGACCCATTTGCAAGTGGGCTCTGTCGAATCATCAGGCAATACCGAGCTTCGTCTGCCACACACGCACATCGCATGTCAGGCGGAGAGTCCTTCTCTTACAATATTCGGCCTTCAATGCACCCCGCAGCGTCCTCCGCACGAAGGTAATATATGAGACTTCAAGGCCGCTGACTGAGCTTAATGGTTCCAGTCGTACGCACCGTTTCGCTTTTACTCTAGCGTTTTAATAGTGTTGCTCGAAGTATGGTCGTTGGTGATTCGATAACCCCCGTTGCGTCAGCGAGTTACGACCCCTCTCCACGGCACGGCCGGGCACGACTTGGCACCTGGCACGGCACGGTCTGGCACGCCTGGCACACGGGCACGACCTGGACCCAAGGTACGAGCTCCATCTCTGCTATCCAATCATCAATGCCCGCATAAGGGACAGTCGTTGAAGTGACTGCTCTGCAACACAGCTGCAGCCTCCTTCCCCTGCCTCTCTACTACTCCCTCTGTCGCTAGTAGACTGCTCTTGCATGCTGCCCTGATTGCCAGACCATGGCAGTCCGGGTTCCGTACACCTATTAATATAAGACCATTTGCAACTCACACGCAGCAGCCTCGTCCAAGAGCGAACGCCAGCTGGGTGGACTTTGCACGGCGCTCGGTTTGGTGCGGCACGGTGCTATGACCGGCGCGGAGACGCCTTCGAATCAGCCAAAGTAGTGGGACGCCGGCACGAGGGGCGTGGTGTGATCGAAATAATTGCATGGAATTGCAGCCGTACCTACGCTATCGCCGTCGATATTGCGGCTCTCCATTCATCGTGCCAGGTGTCGCTCGGAGGCGATTCAGTACATCCTGCAACCTCCCACGTCCCACGCCCGGCGGGAATCTATATCTCGTAAAGGAAGACGCAATGTGCATCATGTTCTCGAGGCATCGGCGAGGGTCCGCCGCACTGCTGCCACATCAACTGAACGGATGCAAGGATTTCTGGGGTCGCGCAGCATGGCCTGAAAGTGTTCCTGGTTGCATCCGAAACCGCTAGCGGAGATGCCAAGGAGGAAGACTGGGCGAGCGTTGCAATGCATGACGGCAGTGAAGGACGCTGACCGCTGCCGAGCACGACCAACGGTTAAGCTCGGCGCTGGCTCCTTGATCTCCTTGGGACTCCTGGCGTCTCCTACGTTCTCCTACGGTAGCTCCTAGCATTCTCCTGGTGTCCTGGGTCGACGAGGGCCCCCGATCCCTGTCTCCTGACGGAGGTGGTCCTGAGCAGATGCTGAATGCTCGCATTGAGTCTGGCCTGCCGCCGTGCCGCCGTGCCGCTCTTTCCGCCAGCGACGTTCAAACGTGACGCTTAGTGTGACGGTGTTGCTCATGCATGGTGGTCCAGAGTTGAATGCTCCGCAGGCCAAGGGCGGCTACCCCGCAAAGCCCCGCGATAGGCTAGCGTGCGACAACTACTGCATCCAGCGATACAGCCGCTGACCCGGCAGGTAGACGACCCACCCGACCGACCAAGTGACCGACCGGTCCTGTTAGCGCTGCGCCGTGCGTTCATTTCTTTGCTTCCTCTTTCATCACTCCTTTCTTCCTGGTTCTTCGTCTCTCCTTCACTTCATTGCGGTTGTCGACGACTGTCCACTCGGTTCCCCGTCGCCGTTTCGTGCACGCCTCACTTTCTTGCTCTCCCCTCTTCCCCAAAAGCGCCTCGCCCGCGGTTTCGTCGTTTCGGGTCCCAGGCACGCGAGACGGCTGCACAGACGATCACTAGGTGATCGCTGGCTGGTGTACGCTCAACCGTCCGACTGGCTTCAGCGCTTGCTCAACGCACACGGCAGACACGCAAGCAGTCAAGCAGTTGACGTTTGCATTCCGCGTTGTGCATTGCATGTCGCTGCCCGCTCTGATCGCACAGTCGTTATCGCCAATAACAGCTCAGGCGATCTAATTTCTCGCCCTCGGCCCTGCATCTTATCCTGTACGTCGCTAATGCTTCCACTGCCCCGTACCCTCCATACCCTCCCTCCACCTGTGACGATTGCCTTGCCCCGGCCTGGCATCCAGGCAGCCTTGCTCAGGCCACCCCATTTCTTCCATCCTTCCTTCCTCGCAACAACCGTCTACCGTCGCGGACACCCGACCGCAAGGCCCTTCCCACCGAACATGAGCACAGGCTCCCCTGTGCCCATCTCCTTCTCTCTCTACCCTTCACCTTACCTCACCACCTTCCTCCAAAACCGACGCGACCGGTCTTGATTCGCACCAGCTAACCTGGCCCACGAAAGTCGACGTCACGCACTCGCATTTCACCCACCCCTTCCCTTCCTCCCCTGTCAATTGTCCCACACCCACCCAAGCACTCGGTTCACCAAACGGCTCGACACACATCGCTGCGTTCGCAAGACTCGGTCCCCTTCCTTCGTCGTGACTCTGGGGCCGGCCATCGGGCCCGTACAGACCATGGCCGCCTAAGTTTCTCGACTCTCGACTCGTCTATTCGTACCGTCGTCCGCCGAACACGATACTCAACGCCGTACGTTCGCCGCGTTCGTCGCACATGGCCAGTCGAGCCGCCAACGTGGTCGCAGCCGCGACGGCTGGCTCGGTCACGTCACCGTCCTCGGCTGGCGGCGTCAAAGACCGGAAAAAGTCAGCTCACTGGACGGACAGCGACACGAGTGAGCTGCTCAACGTTCTGCTGCGCTACAACAATGATCGAACCATCGATAACGGTTTCCGCCCTGAAGTATGGGAGGAAGCTTCGGCCATCCTCGAGAGTGCAGTCAACATGGGCGGTGCCAAGACGCCAGAAGCATGCAAGTCACGATGGCAGCGTCTACAGCGCGATTACAAGGCTGTGAGAGACCTCGAGGAGTTTGCGGGCTTCACTTGGGACCGCAACGAGCATCGGCTGAAAGCGTCCGAGCAGGCCTGGGATGCGGCTGGTAAAGTGAGTCCAGTCCCGATCAATATGCGCACGCCAGGGGTCTTTTAGCCGCCCACCACTGAGGTGCTGCCGTTTAAGCGGTCATGCTGACCCCACTGCAGATGCACGCCGAGGCAAAGAAGGCGCGAAAGATTCATTTGCCGTGCTACGACCAGCTCGCGGCTCTGTGTCCGGACGGCAAGTCGGGTGGTAAGACGTCTAGGCGCCCAACCAAGCCGCGCGTGTCGTCAACCTCGTTCACCTCCGACAGCTCTGGGGTCGTCTCGTTAAACCTCACTCCATCGGGGCAAAACGGCATGGTCACACTTATGCAGGACCCGTCTCACGATCATGCACGCGCGATGGCTTCGGGGGCAGCAGCCGGCCTGCAACCTGGACTCACGCTACAGGGCGAATCATCGTTACTCTGGCCTGAGGACGACAGCGTTGAACATGTGGAGACTGCCTTTACGTTACCGCCAAATGCTGTGAGTGGCACTACTGAGGACTTGTGTATTGGAAACTGTCTGACATCCAGACCCGTCAAACCTTCTCCATGACACAGCAACAGCAGAAGCGCATGCCCGCTTACGATGCGAGCATGATGCAAGGGACGTCCCAGCACCCTTCGCCGAAACGAAGACGGCCGTCGGACATGCCCGCACCGCTGTACCAGCACATGCCCCTGGACAGACCTCAGCCCCAGATGATGCCGCAACACGCTACCTCTCATGGCCCCCAGGACCCGCAGCAGAGCCATCAACAGCAACAGCAGCAGCTCCATACCCAGCATCATCCCACTCCACAGCAACAGCAGCAGGCCCAACAGCAGCAACAGGTCCAGCAACAACAACAACAGCAACCGCAACAACAGCAACAGCAACAGCAACAGCATCACATCTCCCCGCCCCAGCTTGCCCAGCCGCAACCTACCCCTCAACCCCCTCCTCAGCCTCCGCAACCTCAAGCCTTCCAGCAACCACCGCATACTCCCTCTCAATCCCATTCCTCCCATTCTGCATCGGCTCAGCCGCATCCTTCTCCCGTCACGAATCGTCACGCCCCCCCACCACAGTATGGAACGTATCCGCCACAAACGACGTACGACCAACGATCACCTCAGTATACGCCTTCAGTTTCAGAGCAGCCCTTGCGCTCTCCGGTGTACCAGCCGCAACACATGACGGAAATGTCGCAGCCGTCGGAGGCTGCACTTAACCATAACCCGATTAGTGTTGAAAACGGAACACGACGTGTTTCAAGTCCTCAAACGCATACGGGGACGGGTCATTCGGGTCACGGCCATGCCCGCTTAAGATCCGCCGCGAACCTTACGCAAATGAACATTGCTCCGCCGGGCGGAGGTCCCAATAGCAGGCTCATGTCGCCAACGACAATGGTGACTCCACAGCAGCGGCCCCTACGGACGAATCTGTCGATGGAGAGTATGAGTCTGGATCCGCCCGCAACGTCGATGATGAACTCGGTCACGAGCGGCACCGATTCGACCATCGAAACATCGTCGACCCCGATCGCCGCAACCCCCGCGAGTAGCAGCACGGCCGAGCTCGTATTGGCCGAGCGCCACACCGAGGCACTCCGCATCCTCCAGCGCGAGAAGACGCTGACGCCGGAGGAGATGCTCGACATGGTGCAAAAGTTTGAGGACCACCCTCGCTCCGTAGACTCGTACCTGGCGCTGGAGGGCCCACTCCGCACGGCGTACGTCAAGTCGACGATATCCAAGAGCAAGAAGTGGAGGCCGTAGAACGGCAACCGCAGTCCACTCGGCTGGCCTCTGACTATGCTTCCGGCATCTCCCGGCGCGTCGGCGCTCGGACTATCACATGTCGGGCTCCGGCCTGCGAGCTCGATTGTTGTCCCTGCGTCTGCCACCGACTCGCAGCGCCATGACCGCTCCTTTGCGGCCTCTCCGATCAGAGGTATGCCCATCAACCACCTGGTACACCCTTTCCCTTCCATTGACGGATCCTCCAAGCGCAGTCCCTCCCCTGACGGCTTAGCGCTCTAAAGCCTGTGGGGAGGGTAGACTACGCCCCGGGGCAGTCTCAGCTCCCGCAGCCGGCGGGACGCTCTTTTTCCAGCGAAAACGTCAGCAGTAGACATATGACATACAGAACAGTAGAACCACGCCTCCACGCCACATCATCCGTAACTTGTAACCGGTCCCGCACAGGCGGGAGAGGCGCCCATATCGCCATAGAAGCAGAAGCAGCAGCAGTAGAAAAGCGTATGAAACGTCATAACATTGTCCCCGAAGTCGCAGCGTTAAAATGATATATGCAGATGGATCTGTCCGTCTATACTACACTAGGTCTACTTGCCATTCTGGGCAGTCTCGCCGAGCGAGGCAGCAATGTCGTCGAGCGTGAGGATCCACGCCGCCCGCGGCTCCATCTTGGAGTAATACGTCTCATCGCTGACATCAGTTATTGTCCTGCTGGGGCCATCGAGGTAACTTACACGCCAGACTCCTTGAATCCGAGACGCTCGTAGAACTTGCGGGCCGAGTCGTTGCCGACCTGGACGTGAACGAGGGCGCGGTTGATCGGCTGCCGGGGCTTGGCGGGGGTCAGAGCAGCACGCGTGGCGACGCCAGTCGAGGGGGGCGTCGGCGGCGGCGGGGTCGTGGGGTGCAGCGCGGCGCGGAGCGCAGAGGTGACGAGCGCACTGCCAAGGCCTTGGGAGCGGTACGGGGCGAGAACACTGGGCTGTTAGCTACCGTGGTCGTGCCCATAGCTGTCCACGAAAGGGTGGAGCTTCTACCTCCTGCTGCACAAGAGCAAAAAGCAAAGACTCGCAAACAATCCCACACTCCGAGTACTCACGCAAGAGTCAGAATAGCCAGCACCGGGGGCTCCTTCTTCTTCTCCTCGATGCGGCAGCAGCACGCGCCAACAGGGATGTCCTGGTAGTAGACGAGCTTGTTGATGTCGTCGAGCTGCGGGTCGAGCACGTCCTTGTAGAACTTGTCCGAGTAGACGATCGGGAGCACGATCGAGTTGAGCTTGCGCAGCGTGCCGGACTGGGGTCAGCTTGACGTTCACCGTATGTCAGCTCGGATATCAATTCCGCTGTTACATCGGTCCCTCAGGCCAGTCATTGGGTGGAGTAAGCTGGGACGGATTCGGCGGCGACCAAGTAGACCGACCCGGCGGCAAGGCATGCAAGGAAGGATAAGGAGGACACCGAGTCTGCCGCTCTCTTCTGTTATGCACTCACGTTGTTCACCGTCAGCGACGTCAGCGTCACCTTGGGCTTGGGGCTGATCTTGCGTCCTCCTCCGTTAACGTTGACGGCCTCGTGCTCGCCGCGGACCTTGTCGAGGTCAAGCGGCGAGCTCACAGTCCCCGCAGTCGAGTAAGTGTGGGTCGCGGGCGCGGGAGCCATTTTGTTGTTGTTTTCGTGCTTTCTGACGTTGCGAACGGCTCGACCAGCTCTGCTCGCCATGTCGACAGGAGCCAGGAGCTCAGACGCGATCGGCGCGGAGGTCGTTTTCGCATCACGTGACCCATATTAGAAAGTTGGGTTCCTCGTTCCTTCCCTCTCTGCCTGCTTGGCGGCGGCAACTGAAACGAGCAGTTGAGATTGTTGTCATCACCTCATCTGCACAATGAGCACGCTCCGGGAAAACGTCACTGGTAAGCTGAGCGGATTCTCGAAGGAGCTAACTTGCAGCGGCTCTCGCCCCTATTCCGCTCGCGCTCGCCCTCGCCGCCTTCGTGGCAGGCTATGGCGCGCACAAGGCGCTGGCGCCGCAGACCGTTGTGCTCGCCAAGCCGAAGACGCCGCGGCGCGAGCGCTCCGACAGCGTGACCTCTGAGGGCGGCACGGACACGGACAGCGACTTTGAGGACGAAGCGGCGGCGAATGCGGCGGACCTTGGAGCCCTCAAGCCCGGCAGCGACGAGATCAAGCTCGTGCTCGTCGTCAACGACAGCCTCAAGATGAGCAAGGGCAAGATCGGCGCGCAGTGCGGACACGCCACGCTTGCCTGCTACGAGACCCTTGCCAAGAGCAACGCCAGGGTGAGTCCTTTCTCTCCGCAAATTGGCGGACGTTGAGCTGAAAGGAGAACGTACGTTAAGCTGACCTCAGCTTGTCAACCGGTGGAAGATGTACGGCCAGCCCAAAATCTGCCTCAAGGCTGCGACGACCGAGGACATCGACGCCATGGCCCGCCATGCGCGCAGCCTGAACCTCTGCGCGCGCACAATACAGGACGCCGGCCGCACGCAAGTCGCTCCCGGCAGCAAGACCGTGCTCGGCATCGGCCCCGGACCGGCCCGCCTCATCAACCAGGTCACCGGCAAGCTCAAGCTGCTCTAAACACTACCTTCCTGTACAATTCTAGACCTAGATGCACCTCGTCTCGTTATAACAATGCAGGGGGGCTCTGCTGAATGACATCTACGTTACTACTACAGTTACACGATCTGGACGGGTATGCTACGGGGGAAAGTCTAGTCGCGGCCGTTGCGAGCGCTGGGCGGGACCCAGCCGCGCGAGTCGGTGCGCGCAGCTCCCGGCGTCCATCCGAGGTCGGACGAGTCCTGACCCGCGGCGCCGTTCACCGCTCCGCTTCGTCGCGAAACACGCTGGCTCGCGTGCAGCGAAGACACGAGCGACTTAGTCGGGTGACACAGGTGCATGAAGTTGCAGAATCTGACGTCAGCTGCAGGAAACATGGACGATAGCACTCACCCTTCTCGCTTGCACTCGCCGAGCTCGTTCTGACGGCAGCATGCTTCGCGGAAGTCGCTGACGGGAGACAGCTCGGCGTGCAGCGGTCGCATGCCGTACCACCGGTTGTTGAGCTGCTCGACCGCCTTGTTCGCCTCCGCCTCCCACTCGTACCGCACGTAGACGTTGCCCTCGAGGTGGTCACCGATGTTGTCGCACACGTGCATCTCCTGCACGTTACCGTACTTGCACAGCTCGCTGAGGTCAGCTATAAATCTCACACCACGGTCAGCTCTCAAGTTACTCACATGAAGAAGTCCTCATAGAACCGATCAAAATCGGCCTGCAGCTCATCCTTCGTCATCGTCAGTCCCTCCGGCGTATGCGAAGGGTTGTTGTACACGTTTGGGAGCAACACCGTCTGCGAAAACTGCGGCTTGATGTGCTTCCTGTTGGTTAGTTACAGAGCCGCGCCCAACAAAACTCACCTTGAGCATCGATCTCCGTGACGGCAGGCGCCGATTTTCAGGTAGAACGAGCAGTTGACACGGTCCTGCTCAGTACCGCTGATCTGTCAGCTACAATACCGCAACCCTCGCAGCTCGTTGACTCACTAGATGTTGGCGAGATGGGACGCCATCCTGAATTTTGTTTACTTCTTTGGACGCTGTAGCTGTAGCTGTTTCAATCCAGGCACGCGTGAGTGTTGATATCTCTGACTCTGAAAAGGACAGGACGCTTGTTGAGATCGACAGATGCAGAGTGCGCGTTTTCGAGAATTAGAGACGAAGTGTAAGAGTGTGGATTGGTGACATGCATCCAGAGCAATAATAACATGAGCGTCATGTCGAGGCGCTCAGCCGAGACGCGCACTGGCGACCGCCACAGGCTGAATCAGCAGGAATCACCGCCCGTTTCCGGGTCATTCTCCCACGGTCTACCGTTCGGTGCGCTTGGGTGGCGCGGGCTGCGCAACGTCACCGGTGTGAGCACGACCGATCGAAAGCTGTACCAGAACGTTCATTCCATACTCAACAACAACATGGGCGGACGAGGTGACGAACTCCTCGCAAAGGCCGAGAAGAAGGCCTCCTCTTCCACCGGCTGGTTCTCCTCTAGCTCTTCCAAGTGGGAGGACGCTGCTGACCTCTTCCAGCAGGTGAGTGTGATGGGCTTGGCGCTGGCAGCCCTGTGTGGAGGCGGACCTGTTTGTAGCTAACAGCACCAGGCCGCCAATGCGTACAAGATCGAGTCTCGATGGACCGACTCCGGCAAGGCTTTTGAGCGTGAGGCCGCGTGCCGAATCAAGGCCGACGAGAAGAACGACGCTATGAACGCCTACCACAACGCCGGCAAGAGCTACAAGAAGTCGGACCCGCAGGGTGAGTTCCAAGCTACCTAGATCGAGGCCAGCAGCTGACGTGCAGCCGCCATCAACGCTCTGCACCAGTGCATCAAGCTGATCACCGAGTCGGGCAACTTCCGCCAGGCTGCGGACCGGGAGAAGGAGATTGCGCAGATCTACGCTCAGGACGGACTCGACATCCAGCAGGCGCGGGACAGCTACCAGCGCGCCGGCGACTGGTACAAGCAGGAGGATGCGAACGCGACTGCGAACCAGTGTTACCAGCAGGCTGCGGAGCTCAGCGCCGAGCTCGGAGATTACCGCCGCGCGATCGACAACTACGTCACGGTCGCCGACTGGTCTCTCACGTCGCCGCTCACCAAGTACAGCGTCAAGGACTACTTCCTGCGGGCAGTCATGTGCGCGATCGCTACCGGAGATCTCGTCACGGCCAGGAAACTGCTCGACTCGTTCGACCAGAAGGACGTCACCTTCCCTTCGACGCGCGAGGCCAAGTTCGCCCGCGAGCTCGTTGATGCGTGTGAGGAGGGCGACGTTGAGCGCTACACCTCGGCCGTGTTCAACTACGACCAGATCTCGAAGCTTGACAACTGGAAGACGAACATTCTTCTCAAGGTCAAGAGGGCGCTTGAGGAGGAGGAGAGCAGTCTTCTTTAGGTTTGTATCAGATGTATCTTAGATGAGGTTTCCGTGTCCACACTTTGGATATGAGCATGATGAGTGGCATGATATGTTCTATGACTATTGCTTGGGGGTGGAGTCGGCCTCAGGCTTGGCCTCCTCCTTAGGGGTCTCGGGCTTGGCCTCCTCCGTCGGGGCCGGAGTCTCAGTGACCGGCTTGGCAGCCTCAGCGGCCTCAGCGACAGCCTCAACCTGAGCCTCTTCGGCGGCAACGACACCCTCGGGGTTTTGCTCGACCTTCGAGGGGTCGGTGGGCTTGGGAGCCTGGAACGTCTCTCCTCCGAGCTCCTTGACGAGCTCCTTAACGCGAGCAGCAGACTGGGCCTTGGTGTTGGCCTCCTTAAGGTGCTCGATGGGGGCGATGTCCTTGGATCCGAAGCCAAACTCCTCCCACTCGTGAAGGTAGCACTTGATACCGACGCCGCCAACAGAGTTGCGCTTCAGATACCGGAGGAACAGGTCGACAACTTCCGGGTCAGAGTCGTAGATCTTGATCGAGCGCTTGTGCGTGTAACGGATGAAGTTCTCCATGGACTTCTTGTGCACGAACGGCGACTTGAGGACGGTCACGAGCTCCTTCGTTTTCGGCATAGAGATGACGCCAGACGTCGGCATGTTCAGGTTCGCCGCGGCGTGCAGCGCAAAGTTCGACTGAAGATCGACGTGGTACGCAAAGTAGGCGCGCAGGTGCAGCGTTGCAACCAGCACGCCGTGCGTCTTCGGCGCCTTCTTGAGGGGAGGGAAGTTGAACGCCTTCGCGGTCTCCTCGGCCAGGACAGGCGGGTGCACGATACCGTTCTCGATGACCAGCCGTCCCTTGAAGGGGTCAACCGGGGCCTCCTGGCTCGAAGAAGCAGTGACGGCGTCCGTGGCCCTGTGCTGTTAGCTTCACTCGTTGGCAGCACTCAGCTACGCTGAGCTCGGCGCTTAAAAAGCCAAGCGCACTCCCCTCCGTCCTCTAGGAACGCCACTCACATGAATCGAGAGCTCGAGGCAACACACGGGGTCACCCGCGGGACGGTCCGAACAGCCCGCGACAGCCCAAGTATCGTTCGGCTCGCCATTGTTGATGTCGGTGGAAAATGTCGGACCTCGGAGTTGTACCTCAGCTCGACTTTCCTCACTCTCTCGCTCGATTCTGGTGTTCCCTATCCGATCCACCCGCGTTGAAAAGTCCAGTCCAGACATTTTGATTCCGCTACCACGTGGTGTCGATTTTCAGGCACGCCTTGAGATTGGAAGTGATAGTGTCGAGTAATGCTTCTCTTTCACCCATCTTCATTACGCTCGAACGCTATCTTGCACCTCTATTCGAGTACTGGCTGACCTCAGGCTAACTTCAGGCAAGAATCTACTGACCTGCATAGGTTCTGGTACTAATCCGCCAGGGTTCCTTTTTCTTCGCCAGATCACCGTCGCAATGAGGACCGAGTCTGTCGCTGACAACCACTGCCGCTCTGGTGGATCGTGAGACTTCTTCGACCAGAGATCAGAGTGTGGATGATTCTCCCTGGCCGAATGTGTAGCCTTCAGGAAAGCCGTCTCCAGAACAACATACGTTGCAATCGAACCTCGCTACTGTCACTCACCAAGACAGTGGCCAGGAACACAGCAATCCCGCGACAAGTCGCTCAACACAGTCTGTTTCATTACAGCTACACGAGATCAGATATACCGGGGTTCGGGTCTCTGAGAGACCTTGTCGGCCGACCAGTGCAACCAATGGTAACGGGCGATGATCGACCTATCCTGCGCCATACCGCGGCGTGACGTGCGGTCGAGCATACCTCTGGAGCGGAAGCGCTACAACTCGTGCTTCTGCAGCGATTCCAAAGTGGCTCCAGTGCTCTGGTCAGTTGCGAGCTGAGCGTGGACGTTGCCGCCCCATCTATCATGGGGCCGGGTGTGGGACACACTTCCCGCAACCTATCCAGTTGGTCCTCCCTGTGATCTCTACAGTTTCTGACAGCACGTCAACTTGCAGTAGGCTTGAGACGTTTGCCCGAGCATGCCTTCGCTAGTGCGGCATTGATGTGGTAAGACGGGCTTAGCAGACCTAGCGCACCAAGGTGACGAATAGCGTGCGGGTTCCCCAGAAAGGTTCAATGGAACACCCGGCTGGCCTTGCTAGTCATGGTAGTGAGTCGTTGGGGACTCGGCACCGTCACCCTAACACTCCGAGGAGATTCGGTGCGTCCCTCGCTTTCGATAGACGTGACTTGGTCCCCGAACTTCGGAGATCAGTTACGCGATACTTGCGTGGCGCTGGGGCTTGCAGTTACGTGGGGTGAGAAAACAACTCGAAGTCTGGGGTCACTGGTATGCGTTAGTGTCTGAAGTGCGATCAGTGCCACCTGGAGCTCAGACAACGCTGAAGTGTCTTCCGCTGAGATCACAGACCTGTCAGCTTTGCCACCCAACATCTTCAGTCAACTCCCAACGGAGTTGCCCACCTCCCCCAACTGCATTAGAACGCAGGATCGATCGAGACCATGACTAATGCCCGTAACTGCAGGGTGACGCGGAGTAGTCCAAGTCGTTGGCAATCAGCATAGCACCGTTACGCCGCACCGAATATGCATCTCACACAGGCTTGAGGTATTAATCTGGTGCCATCAGATATCCTGAATCTGAACTTGTACAGTGAGGTATTATGCAGAGGTGGGCGCCGCCGCCCGCCTGTCGCGCGCCGAGGTATTTATTTTGCCAACGCAGTGTCAAGTGATCAGCGCGGATTTCAGTTCTGCCGAGTCGAATTCTGCCAAAACCCTTGATCTGCCGTTCAGTCATTCATGCTGGACGGGAGGTTGGGCGCTGGCACTGACGAACTCGGGATTGAGGCGTTGCGCATGCGGCGTAAACAGCACTACGGCGTCTCATTAATGTCACTCGTTTGTGTCTGTGTGTCAATCTGGTTGTGTACCTGTGTGTCGCCTCGTGTACCGTGCACACACCCAGGACGAGGAGAGGTGTCAGCTGCTCGCGGGGCCCAGGTCACCGTATCACCGTGTCCCCCTCGACAATAGAGTGAAAGAGAAATGGCGCACGGAGGCGAAATCGAGTGGATCAAGGGATTCCTTTCCGGGCCGCTTGGGTCGTCTTGGCGCCGTCATGCCTGACGCACCTGACGCCCCCCATCTTCCAGACAAAACAGATTGCACCGCCTTCGTGCCTTTTGCCACCTTGATAACGTGTATCTTGCTTGTCACCGTTGCTGTCGCGGCACGGACCCGAAAGGAGACATCTGGAATGCGGCACTGATGCTACTTTGCTCATCGTGCGATCTAACGATCTGAGAACTGCGATGGCGTCCGCTTACCAAGAACCTGACTCTTATCCCTTGAGCGGCATGGGTCGTGGGCATGGACTGACGTCGGGACCGCCGGGCTATTCTTTCCGGGCAAGAGGGAGCGGGTCGCGGCCATGGCTCTTCCCTGGCATGCAATCTGGCGGCTTGTCTGGCGGCTTGGCAGCGCAGTCGATCACTGACGTGTTGCGGATTGCACCGCCTTGGCAGCCCTGGCCTGTTCGTCGTTATCAGCTATCACTTATCGCGACGCGCAGGTGCACCGCTGCTACGTAGCTGCAGGCTCGTGAAGTGACAGTGACGAGGATTCATTCTGTGCTTGCGTGCTACTGGCTACGGCTGCGACTATCATACAGGTTAACAACTGAGTTGGGAGGAAAGGAAAACAGATTACAGACCACCTTGGGCCGTACAGATAATATTGAAGTCGGGGCGCCTATGCTTCTAAGTGTTTGTTGTGGTGCTGGTCGATATGGTTTTTCTCGTTTTATAACGCATCTATTGTTCAGAGTTGTTGTGGACTGAATGCTGAGAGGTGTCGCGTGTGGATTAACGGAGCGAGTTTGTTCGCAGCAGGTTCAGCGAGTACCGACGCTTGTTGAGCGATGCGAGATCGAGGGAGCCGCGCGCCGAGCCTGTTTTAGGCAGGAGCAGAGATTGCGGTCTTGGCCTGAGCCCCGGGGTGGGACGCGGGGCATCGCGCCGACGCCGGAAGACAGAGGGAATCTACCCCTGCGTCTTGTGGTGCTTCGCCATGACCTCGACGCCGGCAGCACGCGTGCAGCGGTCGTCGATGGGCACGTCCTCCTCATCATCGTCGTCGGCGTACTCATCCTCCTCGTCGTCCTCGTCATCACGGGAGTAGCCGGTAGCGTTGCTCATGTTGCTCTGGTAGCTCGCCTCGGATCCCTTGCGGTTCGGCACGTTGACGGCGTACATGACGTGGTGGTCGCCGTCGTGAGGAGCAGAGTGGTTGTGGGCGTCCGGTTTGTTCAGCATCTCGACGTGGCCAGGCTGCGGCGCAGATCCACCAGAGACGATGCGCGGGAGCTCATTCGGACGCTCCATCGGTGTTGTCGGGCTGAGAGCCGGCTGGCCGTCCGAAGCGTTCGACGATGCACTGCTCATGCTACCGTGACCACCCTGCACGAGGCTTGGCGGGAGCGACTCGGAGGTGAGTCGCTCGCCCATTGGTCCTACCTCACCCGCAGCGGCGGGCGCACCGCCGTTGGCGGCGGAAGCGGCTGCGCGCTCCTCGGCCTCCTTCGCCTCACGGGCCTTGCGCTCACGCTCCTCGCGCCTGCGCTTGACCCAGGCCATGCCACCTCCATCATCGTCGTCGCCGCCCTTCGAAGACGAGCCATAGCCCTTCTGGCTGCTGCCCCACTCGACAAAGGTAGGCTCCATGCGACGTCGGCGAGCCGCCTCGTCAGCCGCAGCTTCAGAGGCGCGCCTCGCGCCATACACCCTACCGTTAATCATGCGAACGGGTTTCATGTCGACGCTCGCCGATCCGCGGCGGTGCTGGTTGTCACCCCTGTCTGAGCTTCCACGACGACCCATGAACATGGCACCGGCGGTGGAGCCGGTCATCTGCTTCTTGCGCTCAATCTCGGGAGTGAAGCGGAAGGGTGACGAGCCAATGAATCCGCCAGTTGAGACCGATTTCTTCAAAGGTTGACCCGAGTATCCGTCGTGGGACTCGGTGTCATCGCGGTCAGAGTGGTTGCTGGTAAACGACGATGGCCGGCCCTTTCGCGACTTCTTCTTGTCGCGATACATGCCGAGCGTCATCCACTTGCCCCAGTCGATGGAAGCATCCGATTCGTCATCAGACTCGTTCTCGTCCGTCGTGTAGAACGTGTCATCGTAATCCATGTTCTGGAGGCCGACAGAGTAGATTCGCTCGCCCTCGGGCCCCTCTCCCGGTGTGAAATCGACATTGCGGCCGGTGGAGAGCGATCGGGGCCTGGGTTCGGGCAGTGGCGCAAAGCGGATGCGAGGCGAGTGAACACCGGGCGCAGTCACACCGGCAGATGTTGAGGAGGTCGGTTGGGGAGAGTGGGAACGGTGGGGAACGGCTTGCGGCAGGACGATTGTTGGGTGAGCCGGAGGAGCAACGGCGGGCTGTTCCTCGCCGTCGGGAGTCACCAGGTTGACTTTCAGGTCCTGGGCGGGGAGCCCGCGATCGTCTGAACCACCGCGGGGGCGGAACGGAGAGACTGGTCGCCCGTCGTCGGAGCGGTTCAGCAAGATACCACTAACGGGGTGCTCGGTGCGGCCGTAGCCGTGGTTGGAAGGAGGCAGAGCAAGGGACGTCATAGTGAGATGGGTGTGGTGGTGGTGGAGTCTCCACAAGCGGTGTTGACGGGTTCAGGGGTGTGTGGAGGGAGGGCCGCGAGTGGCAAGGGAGCTGCTCACTGGCAAGGACGGAGGGGAGGGTGAACTAAATGTGTAGCAGAAGATGTGTGTGTGACTCGTCGTTCGCGGTGAAGAGTGAAATGCGATGAGGACGTGTCGTGGATGGAGTGTTTTGAATAGCGCAGAGGTCGGTACTGGTGGCGGGAGGGGATACTTGACAGTCGCCGAAAGTGGGTTAGGCTAGACTATCGAGGTTGGTCTGTGCGGATTCCAGGGTGCGCAATCGGGAGGGATAAGATACGGATAACGATGAGTGAGGCGTGAAATCGAGCGTGAGCGTGAGCGGTTTTAATGAAAGAAGGCAAGAAGTCGAGAAGACGCGGAGATGATGTGGAAGGGAGAGAGTATGAAGAGGAAAAGAGCACCAAAGATGCGACGGCGAAACCAAAAGACGAGTGGTCGGTCAGTTGCTCGCAGGCAGGATGCAGGAGGGGTTTAGGCATTTGACCTCGGACTCGGTTGTATTGGTATTTGGTGAGAGGTACCACAGCAATCCAGGACAGCCAGGAGCAGAACGGTCAGGATCCCCCGCCAGCCAGCGGGCTGTCCCAGATCTCTCTCGCCTCGTCCGCCTGGGCTGTCGCGGGTGCCGTACCTCGATCCCTCGACTCGACGCCCCCTTCCGCCGGGCCACCGCTTACACCACGCCAGCGCCAAGACTCCCCTTTTGCGTTTTTGCGCCCCCGCCGCTGGGCCTTTGACATCAGTGCGATCGTCATTCCAATTAACCCGCAAGCCTTAAAGTTCCAACAAGCATACGTTACCACGCTGTGTGCTGGCACTCCTCCATCGCTCACTCCATCACTAGCGTATGGTCCTGTGACGAGCAGCGCTACACGCTGCCGTCAGCTGCTCTCACTCCGTCACTGGTCTAGTATCGTTCTTTGTCATACATAGTCGCATCGCCATAAGGAAGAGCCAGCGAAGGTCAACGAGGTTGCTGTACCCGGTGGCGGGCATGGACACCTGACCATTTCTCTCCGGCTGCTACAGTGTGCGTGCCAGGGCGGGCGGGCGCCCGCAGGACGCCTCTGACTCGATGCCTGCGGCTTCTGCTTGGGCCTAGACCGGTTATCACTGATCAAGGATCAGGGAGCAGGCACATGGATAACGGGAGCAAAAGGGACCATAACAGCTCCGCGTCTGAGGACCGGCCCCTTGTGCTTCAAGGCAGACCACCCGAGGTTCGTGTCCGCTGTTGACCTTTGTTGACAGTGAGTCTCAGAGAATGCGCCTCCTCGATGGCGGGGGTGAATCATTCGCCAGGGACAGTCAGCGCTTCCCTGATATGTTCAGGGTCCAAAAGGCGGGGCGCCAAACCTGGGATGACGTTTCGATTAGGCTCTAGACTGGACCCTTGGTCTCCATCATCTGACTCGTCCTAATGGCCTCCGTACCTAGCGTGGATTCCTGATCGCGCATTCGCTGAAGTAGCACGGCCATCGCTCGAACCGAGCCGAGGAACGTCGGGTCGGGCGGAAGTTGCCTCCGTGATACGCCGCTGACACCGCCGAACACTCGCTCCGTTGCGCAGCGGACAAATGTCGTGTTCTCTCCCGACGTCGATCAATTGCTTCGCCTCGCTTAATGCATGCAACGTCTGGGGATGGGGCAGTGAGGGCCGACGTGGCGGCTGGGGCCCTTCGGTCGACGGAGTGAAAGTGTGAAGTGAAAGAGGCAGCCCGTCGCCGGTAGTGCAGAATAGCGCCAGTAGCGCGCGTTCGAGCAGTGCGCATGATCGACGTACGGTACCGCCGAAGCGGAGACGCGTGCGTTGGCTTTTGGCGCCGCACCTATGCGGCCTACGGCTAGCTTTTGACTCGCATGGGCGCATGGGCAGCATGGCAGCATGGCTTATGGCTCATTAGGCGTTGCCAAGAGAATGCAATGATTGAGCCCCGGATTAGTTCAGGGTACCAACACCATGCCAGGCTTCGCGGCCTGTACTTCTTCGGCCTGAGATGGCGCACGTCAGGGAGGGCATGAGGGCAGCAGGGAGGGAGGCGCAGCACCGGGCCCGACAGTGCGATGGATAGTGGATCATTCTGAATCTTCCATGCCTGCGGACTGCTGCGCGGAGTGTTCATGGAGACCAGGACTGGGCTGCGCCGATGCACATGCATGACCGCACAGTCGTACATCGTGTGCCCGTGTCCATGTGGTTCTAGGCAAGCTCCACGGTGATGCATGGGTGGAGTTCAGCGGTTCATCCGGCTGTTCTGCCTGTAGAAACGTGTGCCCGCGAAGAACTACGTCGGACGTGAAACCACCACATGCGGACAAAACAGGTGAAGCAACGTACGCGGACAATGATTACGCAAAGCTTGCATTCAAACGCACCGAAACCGGCAGCGAATCACGCGTCGCGCAGCCATCAGCGACCGAAGGTACCGTCCATAGGCACTCTGAATGACGGGAGCAGGCGATCAGGAGGCGTCGCGGTACTGCTCTATGTCGGGCAGAAAGAGCAAACAGGTGCGGGCCGCCCCACTCTGCGCCTCAGAATGTTCGCTTCGGGTGTGAGATCGACCTCGCCGCAAGAGTGTCAGGTGACCCACAGAGTTCGCCGCAAGCTTTCGACAATTCGACGCTCCCAGCGACGAACGCAAGGGATTCGGAAAGTTAAATCCCACGGTGAGAAAGTCACGTGGAGCGAGATTACCACACATTCCCAGCCAGTCCAGGACTCGAGCCGTGCATTGGCGCAGCCCTGGGAGCCCTTAAGACAGTCGAGGCAAACTGAGCCGTCCACTCCTGGCTGTCGGTGGAGCGAGCGTCGGCGCCGAGCAGCTCATCAGCTCCAGCGAGGAACAGAGGTCCCAAGATGCTCCAGAGGCGCCAGGCGGCTGTGCCAAGCTGCGCTGAGAGCTCTAAATTTGGCAGAGTTGGAGCGACTCCAAAACGACCGAATAGGAGCTGTGATCGTAACGTGATCGTGGCCACGCATTGAAAGCATGAACGCGTTTGCAGTGCGCCGCATTCAGAAAGCAATGCAAGCCCGAAACAGACGGAGTGAATGCGTCAGTGTCTGGGCGCACGTGACGCCCTTGACCAAACCGCGTTGGGCGATCCCGTGGACGGAGCGAGCGAAGCGCGGGTACCTCTGCAGCGGCGATCTGCATGACACTCCCGTTCAGGCAGGTGCCATGCAGAGCAATGCGTGCGGTATGCTGGAGCACGTCGGACCGACGGACGGGTATTGCGCGCGTCGAAGTGGAAGTACGAGTCTGGGAATCGATGCCGGCCCAACTGGCTATGGCACAGTCGCCATTACGTCGCATCACGTCGCTTGCCGTACGCGTCGCTGTCGGACGGACTGGGCCAGGCTCGCCGACGTCGCTGCCTGGTCCTTGGCTGCATGAGCGGATCCTCGCTGTCCGCTCTACGCTCGCGAACGTCGTCTCCGCTATTGGAACGCCCTTGGTCATGGAATGGTTACATCGCTGGAAGCAGTCTAGTCTCCCGGCCCTGGTTCGTGTCCGCGTCTCACTTTCCCCGAGTTCACCTTTCCGAGCTTGACTGTGGCATGATTACTGCAAGCAGTAGTCGCGAGGGGATCTGGATGATACCAAGTTGACACCAGGCCCCTCCAGCCCCCCTCACACTTGTCGATAGCGAACACAACGAACGTTTCAAGTGACGGCACACCTGGCATGTCCGATTTGACCACGAACGATGGCCTAACAGCGTCACGCGCTGACGGCCGGGTCCCTCTCCTCCCAGTCATTATCTCATTAAGCAAGGCTTGAATCTAGCTTCCGACGGAGGCACATGGGACGTTGAAGGCTGTAGGAGGCGTGAACGCTTCATGACTAGATGTGGCGGGTGCCCAGATCTTAGGCTAAGCAGTGCGAAGCCGATGTGCATCGCCTGCATCTATACTGCAAGGACTTGCACAGACTGCGATCTGTTCGAGGCAGCGAGAAGCTAACAACAGATAGAACTGACAGGATGACGGCTTGGCGGCCCTTCTTGGATTCTTTGACTGTTTATGTGCATCGGAGAGCGAGCACCATACAAATACTGACAACAACAACAGCGCTAGACAAACTGATCACCATAGCGGCGTTGTCGAGACCGCCACCAGTGCACCACAAGGCAGGATCACGGGACTCAGCTACGTCTCAGTTGCGCCAGCCTCGGCATTGGGAGCAGGCACTACCGTCAATGTCTCAGATCCCCAGAGACCAATTCTGGTGGTAGGTTCGGCTGTTCAAACCAGCGTCGCAGTAGTCATCGGGAGCGAGCAATCCCCAAGTTCGAGACCTGAAGGCGTTGTGGAATGTTGGAGGAAGGCATATCACGATCTCGTGTCGAGGGTGGCGCTCACACCGGAGCCCCGCCGTAGTGGGATGTTGTTCTGCTGCACTGAAGTCTCGATAAGTCTCGATACGACAATGCAGGCATGCATAGCTCTACTCAATGGGCTTCTTGGGCACCTCTTTGCCGACGACTCCGTAGATGTCCGCCCGCTTCTGGTCCGCGAGCGGGAGCTGCTTCTTGACCTCGCTGTCTGTCAGCTTCTACGCAGGGCAATCAAAGCTTACCCAACGTTGTTGACGTCGACATCGCAGATGAAGTATTCGCCCCCGGTATCGTAAATCGCGTTGATTTCGGCCTCGTCCCCGCCATCGCCCATGCTGCGCAGGCGACCGAGCTGCCGTCCCCAAGGGTCGAAAGCAAGCGCCTCGCCCCACGACGTTCGTCCCGACTTGCCTGGGTTGTGAAGGCCGTACTGAGTCGCAGCAAGAACGTAGACCTGGTACTGAATCGCAGTTGCACGCTGCCGTCAGCTCAACACTCGACCTTGCAAAGCTCACGCAAAGCGTTGCTGTCTGTTAGCTCAATCAGTGGCGGAGGAGGAGCTCACCCCAGTGGTCCCGGCCGGTCTTGACAGTGAAGGCGCTGGGGAAGGTCAGGATCTGCGCACCCAGCCGCGTCAAGATGATGTGCAGCTCGGGAAAGCGCAGGTCGTAGCAGATCTCGAGTCCGACCTTGCCCAGCCCTGGCACATCGATCGGTGGCACGACCTCCTGTCCTGGTCGGATGCGGTCAGACTCGCCGGTACGCTTCATGCGCTGCTCTCCGTTGGGTCCTGGGGTACCCGGGAGCACGACGTCGAACAGGTGCAGCTGAGTGTCAGCTGGCAAGAGGCAAACAGGCAGCTATTCAGCATCCGAACTCACCTTGTTGTAATCAGCGAGCAGCTCGCCATCAGTTCCAATCAGCACCTGCGTGTTCTGCACACGGTCATCACCCTGCGGGTCCTCGGGCAGGTCATGGATGCCGGCTGCGATCACAACACCCAGCTCCTTTGCCAGCTTTCGCAGGCCGAGCGCGTACTCGTGCTGCGACAAGGGCTGCGCGAGGTTGCGCGTCTCATCGGCTGTAGCAGCAATGTAATCAGAAGCTTCAGGCAGGAAGCATGCCTGCAGTCAACTCTCGAGCTGCGGTCGATGAGCTCACCTTTGCACCGGCAGCAACGGCCTCACGGATGACCTTGTCCGACCTGGCGAGGTTGTCTTGGACGTTGTTCGTGGAACGGAGCTGAACAACGGCGACTTTGGTCATTCTGGGCGTAGACGTAGAGAATCCTCGGACAGAAGGAGTGAGGGTCCGCGCTAGTGAACGTAAGAGCATGGTTGGGCAACGCCGAACGATAACGGAGCCCACCGACGGACATCAGCGAACAGGGAGTGCCGGATGATGCGATTACGCGGGGTCCCCGCATTCTGCGACATTATGATCCAAAAGTAGGATGACTGTATTTGGTCATCTTCAGTTTCCCCACCTTCCTCAGACATCGCTACTGGCCACGCATCGAGGCTCCCGCTACCATGTCCTCGCAAGGGGATCCGGAGAGTAAGCTGCTCGCACCTGCCTGACGAAGCTGACAGACAGGCGAGGCCGCTCTCCGCCTCCGGATCACCCAGATTACGACCTCGATGGCTGCACCCCTCCACAACCTCCGTAACGACTACGCGCCGCCTTCCCTCCCGTCAGCAATTCCTCCTGGACTGCTGCCTGGACAAGTACCGGTACTGCGTGTCTTTGGAACGACCCCTAAGAACCAGAAAGTATGCGCCAACGTCCATCTATGCTACCCGTACTTCTTCGTGCCGTTTCCGATGGACTCGCCCGACCCCTTGCGACCAGAACGCGTCATCCGGCTATGCCAGCGCTTCGCGGTCAGCTTGAACCATGCAATATGTCTTGCTCTACGACAGAATCCTACGGGGCCAACAAATGCAGCAAACTTCGCCGGTGGAACCGATCCAAAGCACCTGCATGTTGTCTCCGTGATGCTGGTCAAAGGCACGCCTTTCTATGGATACCACCTCGGTTACTCGTACTTCCTCAAGGTGTCGCTGGCGAATCCGTCCAGAGTCCGAGTTGCCGTGGAGCAACTGCACAAGCCTGTCGTGCTCGGTCGAGAGTGGCAGCCCCACGAAGCCCATCTTAGTCATGTCTTGCAGTTCATGTGCGACCTCGATCTATACGGATGTGGCTTCCTCGATCTTTCCGGAGGGACGTTTCGAGAGCCGCTCCCCGAACCGGCCTCCAGCCAGGAAGGTGAATCGTCTCTAACAGTCAACACGTTCACGGTTCGCGAGGACATGGTGTATCCGATGGGGTTGTCGCCGGCGCGTGACACCCATTGCGACCTGGAGATTGACGTTCTTCCTCACCAGATCATGAATCGCAATCGCTTACAGCAACGACCGCTCCACCACGACTTCATCGAACTTCTCCACTCCCCTCTTGATCCTGAGGAGAAGCTTGTCCCCGCTATGAAGGAACTGTGGGAAGACGAGCGTCGCCGTCGTGCTGCGAGAGGACTGGCTACCAGCGAATCGATCATGCTCCCCGTCAGCGGTGGCGGACGGGGAAGGACACTCGAAGAGCTCGGATACAAAATCGAAGGTCAGGAGATCATCAACAAGGGTGGCGACTGGAAGATCTCGGAGGAGCTCTGGGACTATATCTCATTGCGGATGGCGAATGAACGCAAGAAGAGAGGACTGTTGAGCTTCAGCCGCGTGTCCAAGGACTTGAAGGCTGGTGCCAACGGTGAGAAGGCGAAGTACGACAGGGTGAGCTACCCCATACTGCTAAGTCAACTGACCTGTAGTGGATCTTGACCGCCTTCGAGGCGGTCTCAGCACACTGGCCCAAGCCGTTTCGGGCGAAACCTACGCAGCAATCTGTGAAGCAATCCTCAGTCTTTCATCGGAGCTCATCGGTTGCCCCGTCTTCTTCACCACCTCCGCCCTCGTCTCCACCGGAACCAGATGACGTCGAGGAAGACAATCCATTTGACGTCCTTGCCACACAGGCATCTCAAGATGTCCCTGCCAAAGTTGAGGTTGACTACGACGCCGTGCAAGTTGTTGAGGACGAGGACGAAGACGATCCGGGCGAACAGCAACACAAGGAAGCTGTTCGGTTACGTGCGGAGGAAGGTCAACAGATCAGAGCTACCCAAGCCGCCGTCGACGAGGACGCTGATGATGAAGACCTGGATGAACTTTTCCGCCAAGCTATCAAAGGCGAGGAGAAAACACCCACCAGATCCCGCTCCCAGACCCCTAGCACTGTGGGAACGATGTCGACTGGCCGGCGACGAGAGCGACGGCTGCGAAAGTTGACAGAACAAGCTGGTTTTGGTGATCTCAGCGTCATTATGGACGAGAGCTTCACCTTGTCATCCCCAAGCCAGAACCCGTTCGCCGATCCGCAGACACCCACGAAACAGATCAAGACCCAGATACCTGCCACCAACGGGTCACAGACAACCCCCTCATCCCTTGTGCGACGTTCTTTTGGCAGCCGTTCCAAGAAGAAAGCGAGCCACTTAGTGTCGCCTTCACCATCCAAACCCAGCCCTAGTGCTCTCGTGCTTCACGAGTCGAAACGATCCGTGACTCATTGGACCCCCTCACCGCAGTCACCGACGCCGAAAGCCCGAAAGGTGGTCACACCGAGCCCTGAGGAGCCGCTCTCTGAGATCAAGGTCGGACGGTCCAGCTCTCAGAAGCCTCCCCCCAATGCTCAACGGACGCCTGCCGCCTCCATGCTTGCTCCGCCGTCTGCCCTGACGATGCGCATGCTGAGCGCCACCCTTCCCAATACCAGCAGGTCTAGCGGGTCCGCAGAGTCGCCGACGGCCTCGAAGCGGCCACTCACAGCTGCGCTGCTGCACGAAGATTCCAGTGGGTCTAAGGAATCCCCATCTTCCGCGGAGCGCATGTCCCGTCCTAAAAAGCGAGTACGAGTCTCCAGCCCAGTGGTTAGCCTCACACCACCACAGCCATCGCAGCCAAATGGATCGGGCAGCTCTGGCGGTCCAGAGATCTCCCCTGGGAGCTGGGAGTATGCTCCACGACCACCAACTCTGCGTGAAGTGGTTGAGACGATGACGCTGGAAGGCGTCGAGCCAGTCGAGTATCGAGACCCCTTCTATTCCAACCCCGAGGACGTTCCACCCCGCCCTAAGCTGTTCGCTGGTAGAGCATTTCGGCTCAAAGGCAATGACATCCAGGAGCTTCGACCCTTTGAGTACTCGACTAAGGTCAGCGGCACGAACTCCTGGCTGAAGACGAGGCCACTGGAACCTGCTACAGCCGAGTTCGGTTGGGAGTACGCACCCGTGCCACCCTCGCTCCGAACTGTTGTCGACTACTGCAAAGGCAAGGATGAAGAGATTGCCGCCTCCATAGCCACCGCCGCCGCCTCACAGCTTGCTCGGCCGACGCAGAAGAATAAGTACGGGTTCAAGATCACGCAGAAGAAATCTGAGCGTGAGCAGAGGAACATGTCGGTTCTCTCTATTGAAGTATTCGGTGAGCTCCGAGTTCCCCAGTTGAGCTGACGAACAGCCCCATCACGACACCAGCTGAAACCTGACCCCGCAAAGGACGAGATTGCAGCCGTGTTCTACTGCTTTCAAAACGACATGGAGTCCCTCCCCGATACCACTAAGCACCCGGGATACTATGCTGGATGCGTGGTGGTCGACAGTCCTCAGATTGCTGAGCACCGTGCTCGACTGCAGGGAGTACCCTGCCATGTCGTCGATTCTGAACTTGATCTCATCAACTGGGTAATCGATGCTGTGAAGGAGTGGGACCCAGACGTCCTGACAGGATGGGAGCTGCATAACGCGTCCTGGGGATATCTCTCGGCCCGAGCAGCAGAGTCATTTGACTTGGAGATGGTCAGGGATCTCTCGCGCATGGTGTCGGACACGACTCAGAATCGGAAGGACGGATACTCGGCACACCACACGTCGACATTCAAGGTGAACGGTCGTCACACGCTGAACATCTGGCGAATCATGCGCGGCGAAGTAAACCTGAACAGCTACTCGTTCGAGAACGTCGTCTTTCATGTACTGCACAGGCGCATCCCTCGCTACTCGGCGGCAAACCTCACAGCCCTGTGGAAGAGCAGGTCGCCTGAGCATACCGCTCGGGTACTACACATGCTCTTCGAGCGTGTCGTCATCTACGCCGAGGTCATGGACACGGCTGAGATTATATCGAAGAATGCGTGAGTTGCAAGCATCGTTTATGAGCTGACGTGCAGTGAATTCGCGCGCGTCTTCGGAGTCGACTTCGATGCAGTCGTCTTTCGAGGCTCCCAGTTCAAGGTCGAGTCGTTCTTGTTTCGATTGGCGAAACCTGAGAGCTTCATCATGGTCACGCCTTCGAAACAGCAAGTCGGCCTGCAGAACGCGCCGTTCGCTGTGCCGCTAATCCATGAGCCCGAGTCCAAGTACTACAACCACCCGATCATCGTGCTCGACTTTCAGTCGCTGTACCCTTCGGTGATGATCGCATACAACATTTGCTATTCCACCTGCCTCGGAAGAGTTGAGCAGTTCAAAGGCACAAACAAGTTCGGATTCACCGAGCTCAAGGTCCCAGATGGTCTCCTTGAACTTCTGAAGGACTACCTGACGGTCACTCCAAACGGCATGATCTTCGTGAAACCGGCTGTGCGCAAGAGTCTGTTGGCCAAGATGCTTGGAGAGATCCTCGACACGCGAGTCATGGTCAAACAGGCCATGAAGGGCTATCGCGACAACAAGAGTTTGACCCAGATGCTCAATGCGCGCCAGCTTGGTCTCAAGCTCATGGCGAATGTCACATATGGCTACACATCTGCGACCTACTCCGGGCGCATGCCGTGCATTGAGATCGCCGACTCGATCGTGCAGACCGGTCGCGAAACGCTGGAGAAGGCTCAGGAGCTCATCAACTCCGAGGCGAAATGGGGTGCAACAGTCGTCTACGGCGACACTGATTCCTTGTTCGTCGCACTCCCAGGTCGCTCAAAGGACGAAGCGTTCAAAATCGGTCACGATATAGCGGATGCGGTGACCGCGATGAACCCCAAGCCGGTCAAGCTCAAGTTCGAGAAGGTGTACATGGGCTCGGTGCTGATGGCGAAGAAGCGCTATGTCGGCTTCAAGTACGAGCACCCGGACGACGTGGACCCGGTGTTCGACGCCAAGGGTATCGAGACGATCCGCCGAGATGGCTTTCCTGCGCAGCAGAAGATCGAGGAGATTGCGCTCAAGATGCTATTCAAGAACCAAGACCTCAGCGAGATCAAGGCGTTCGTGCAGGACGAGTGGCGTAAGATTCTCACGGGACGCGTGTCGCTGCAAGACTTCATCGTGGCGAAAGAGGTTCGCCTGGGAACGTACTCCGAGAAAGGTGTCCCTCCGCCGGGTGCAGCCGTAGCGTACCGGCGAATCCTGAAGGACCCGCGCGACGAGGTCGAGTACGGCGAGCGCGTCCCCTACATCATCTCAGACAGCAGCACGGGCGGAAAGCGCCTGATCGACAAGGCGCGCACGCCAGAGGAGATGCTCTCGAGCAATCTAGGCATCGACAAGGAGTACTACATCCGCAACCTGCTCATCCCCCCGCTGTCGCGCATCTTCAACCTCGTCGGCGCCGACGTCGAGCAGTGGTACGACAGCATGCCACGCAGCAAGCGTGTGTCAACGTACGGTGCGAATGGCGGCGGAGGCAGCGCCCGGACGACCCGCATCGATGCGCATTTCCGCTCACGCCATTGCCTCGTCTGCGGCGCCGAGAGCGGAGACGCCCTGTGTGCCGCATGTCGGGACGAGCCTGCCGCAACGGCCCACGCACTCTTGAGTCGGCAACACGCAGCGCACTCCCGCCTCGCAGAGCTGCAGCGTATCTGCGCCAGCTGCGCCGGCACGGGGCCAGCCGAGCGCGTGCTGTGCGACTCGATAGACTGTTCGGCGCTGTACGCGCGCGCCCGTGCCGAGAAGGACGTGACGGACGTCGCGGACGTGCCGGCGCTCGTGGCCGAGCTAGATCAGCAAGACACGCTGGACCTCGACTGGTAATTCGGAGCAACACGACGATCGACAAGATCCATTTGATGCTTTCTACAAGACATGACATGCGGGGGAAACAGGGGCAGGGCACACAACAACAACTATGGACTTTTGGAACTAAAGAGAGACTTGCTGGGGATTTCTACAACCTCTTTCACGTTGCTCGGGGACTCGGCTTTGGCGTCGTTCACCTTTCCTCCTTTCTGGTACCTCTGTAGTCATAGCGCAACGTAATGTAACACTTTAGACGGTACAGAGGGCCCCAGTCGGATCGGTCCGCCTCGACTCCGCGGCAGTGCAAGAATCTAGATTAACTCTGCTTCTTTCAACTTGAACGTATTATAATAATGGGTGAGTGGATCTTTGCGTTGGTTGGGATTCTTGATGTGTGGTTGTGATTACGCCATGGACCAGCTGCCGCCCTCTCCGCCGCCGTACCTGCGTAGATCCCACTCGACGACCGTCTGCTCGGTACCGGCATAGAGCCAGTCTCCAGTAGGATCGAATGCGACGCCCGAGATACCAAACGTGCCCTGCTCAACGCCGTTGCGACGGGCAGTGTGGCGCGGCCGGCTCGACTCGTCAAGGTACCACGGCACAGGCACCACGACGTGGGCCTGGAACGACCGCGCGTCGACAATGTGAATGTTACTCGTGTCTTCACTAAAGACGAGTAAGTCGCGCGAGGATCCCTCGGGCGAGAATTTCACGACGCGCGCCGCCTCCCGCCCCGTGCTGCTTACGACGTGGTCGCCGCCGAGCTGGACCGAAGGTTGCGGGTCAGCCGAGGGGTCGGAGCGCTGGCTGAAGAATGTCGCGAGCGGACGAGAGGTGCGGTGGTCCCAAACGGTCACTTGGCCGTCTTGGCTCGCGACGGCAAACTTGCGCCCATCCTTCGACCACGCCGTCGAGAAGCCCCAGCCGCTCTCAGAGTCGGTCGCTCCGTTGTACACGCCAATCTTCCGGAATTCGCGCCCACCGTCGATCACCTCGTACAGGAATACGTCGGTCGAGTCGCCCACCGTCACCATGGTCCGCAGGTCGGGAGAAAGCGATGCTGAGGTCAGTTGAGCACGCAGAAGGGCGTAAACTCACAATGGTTGACGGCGACGCGGAACTTTTGCCCGCCGATGCGAGACAAACGCCGCGGCTCGCACTCTTCCATGCGCCGCTGGTCCATGTTCTCATCGATCCGTTGCGCGCTCGGCTGGTTCGACAGCCGGTGGTGCGTCGCACGCATGTGCGGAGCATATGGGTTAGACGCGCCGATGCGCTCGGCGGCAGGCTGACGGTTGTAGTACCCGCGCCATGACTCGCCGTGGTAGCGTGAGTCGCGGAGGCGGAGCTCCTCCTCGGCACGACTCGGGTGGTCACGCGACGTGCGCTGCTCGCGGTGTTGGCGGGAAGCCTGCGCAGACTGCGGCCGCGCGGGAATGCCGAGGTTCTGCGACAAAATGCCTTCATTCAGTCCAATCGAGTCGTAGCCGAATGACGACCCAAAGAGCGTGCGAGGAGGCGGCACGTTGCCGTGCGCCGCCGAGCCCCAGCGCACGGCATCGAGAAGGCGACCGTATGGACGGGGATCCTCGGCGGTGTGGCGAAGGGCGCTCGTCGCAGGGGTGTTCTCCCAAGGAGGCTCGCGGTCGAGATCTTCAGCATGCCGCAAGCTGAACATCTTAACACTGGTGTCGTTGCTGCTAACGAGGATACGCGGCTCGTGCATGCGACTCCGCGCCGAGCGTCCAGAGGCGACACTACCTTCCCGCGATGTCACAACCTGAGGGATGTGGTGGTGGGAAGAGGTGGACGACCGTCGTCCCTGCGACATGCGAGGGGTGTGACCGAACGGAAGCGAGTTCGGGTACGTCGCAACGTTGGGCGATGCTTCGTCGTCGACCTCCATGTCGTCCGAGTCAGAATCAGCCGAGTCGATGTCCGACTCGACATCATCGTCGTCTTGCTCCTCAGACGTCCTTTGATAGCCGACATATTGTTGTTTGCAGGCCGCCTGCCTCCGCGCCCAGCCGGTCGGGAACGTGGGCAGGATCGTGATCGCATTGTTGATCGAGCGGGACGTGAGGCTCTGCTTGAGAACGAACGGCTTGATGGGCTCAGCATGCATAGCCTCAGTCTGCTCAGTGCCGGGGGGAAGGTCTGACATGAACAACTCGCCTTTCTGCCCGCCACAAGCGAGGAAGGCGCCGCTGCAAGGTCAGCCGCCGTTTCTGCCGTTGCGCCATCTCGTCATGAGTTTGCGGGAACTCACTTGGTCGTCAGGCACGTCGGCGTGAAATCCAGCTTGAACAAAGTGCGCGTGGTGGGCGTCGGCTTCGCGGGACTCGAACTCCTGGGGGGCGGGCGACCAGTGTAGAAGCCGCTCATCGCTTCCTCGTAGCATCGCTCCCACGGAGACGGTGTAGGAAGGTCGCGACCATCCTCTCCCCTCGGTGACATCTTCTCAGGAGGCGCCCATCGCATCGACTCCAGGGTCATCACATGAGGGTAGATGATATGACCTCGCTCAAGGGGAAGAATGAGGTCACGCAGCTGGGGATGGATAATGGTCACCGAAGCATGCACGAGACTGCTCGGCTGGAAGTCGACATCACGCAGTTCAGACGACGATTCCACCGGGTTCGTGTCGCTGAGGAAAGGTCAGTGGACCATGCGTGTAGGGTGGGGGTTGATGTGGAGGTCGGCGTTGCGCGATAAGGGTGGGGATGTGGGGAAGACACCAGGACCTGGGCACAAGGCTGCCTGTCGTCATGTGTCACTGATAGCGATGGACGTCTTCGCGCATGCCTCGATCAGCTCGTGAGGAGTGGCGAGCGTGACACATGCACTCGCCTGAGAGATGCTGCAGCTCCGATCGATGAGACATCGAGAAGATAGCACTACGCCAAAACGCCCCCTCTTAGCTATAGGAAGGTCTGGACTTACCGGGTCATGGCGAAGAAGAGATGGATCCGAGCGAGAAGGTGTGAGATGAATCAATATATGAGAGTGTGATGCGATGAAGAAAGGTCCGGTGAGTGTGATATGGAAGGTGCACTAATGGCGGGCGGGTGCGGGTGCGATGGTGAATAATAGCAAGCGACTAGTGGTGTGAACAGATGAAGGAAACGTGAGTGGCGAGAACAAGCGATAAGCAAAGGCAAGAACGGCGCAATGAGATGGTAAAGGAAAAAAGGGAATGGGACGGCGGTCGACGGGGAGGTTGAATATAATGGGGAGCAAGGAATAACAGATGAAAAGGAGATGGATAGAGAATGAGTGATGACGCACTGCGGGGTATCTCTCTCTTAGTCGAGTGGCTGCATCGCTGATGACGGGGGCGGGGCGGGGGGCAGATAAAGAGTTGTGGGATCAGTAGTGGATCGGTGTGATGTGGAGCCCAACGGCGCAGGGTGCAGGGTGAAGGGTTCGGCCTCCACGGCGGATTGAAGCTGCAGTGGAATCGAGGACGTGCACGGTCTGGGTCCTGGGTCCATTGTGGGATTCTGGGTTTTCGCGCTTGATCGTGGTTCATGCTGCCCTGAGTAAAGTGTCTCTGCCCGTGTAGTGGCGCGCGCGCGTCTCGATTCAACGCCTGACGCCTGTCTGCCTGGGCGAGTGGGTTGAAGCGAACATTGGCTGCATGGCTATGAGGTCACGCGCACGCGATTTCGGTTGAGCCTGAGCCATCTGCTTCGAAGCATGATTCATTACCTCTGCGTGCCCTGTCTCCCCCTGCCTGCAGCCTGCGGTCAGGTGTCAGGCGTTTCGGTCTCTTGCCTGAGCGTACTGGGGCGAGATCCCGAGCCAGTAGATCCTCATTCCCTCTGCCGCCCTAGACCTCACTCTTTCATTCATTCCAGCGCACCACTCCATCGTGCTTGAATGCGCCTATGGACAATAGCTAGTAGGGTGGCGTTCTTTCGAGAGCTTACGAAACCGCTTTGTGCATGCTAAATGTTCCTTTGTGGCGACAAGGACCACGCGGGCTGTGTCTGAGGAAGCCCTCCCTCCACATATTGTCCGATCGGCGTCTTGTTCTGAGCTTCGTTCCTACAAGACCGAACCGTCTGGGCAGTTACGTCATAGCATCTCGCACCGCACCCAGACACAAGACCAAGCGACCATGCGCGCATGCGTTTATAACCTTCCCCGCAACCCGCGTCATCCTCACCGCCCCTTTCGAAATGTACGCCGCACCGCTGCCCAGCTTGCTCAGCACTTCCGCCTGCGCCTCGCTTCGAGACGGAGCCGTACGGCCTCGATGTCAACACTTTCCACTCACCATTCCATTCCTCACTGCGTCACGATCACTAAACGGTATGAAGGTGCGAGCCTCACATTACAATCAAGCGCAAGGCATGCGCGAAAGGGTCTCGGCTCGTTGAGGGTGCGTTGAGAGCTTACTCGGACGTCTGCGGGGCCAGTGTTTGGTAGCGAGCCTCCGATGATGGAGAAAGCAGGAGTGCTCCTCGCGTTGAGAGGCACCGATGTTCCGGCTTCGCGGAGAGCACTCCCGAGTGCAGGAGCGGCCTGTTGCTTGTTACGAGGTGCTTCCCCCATCTTGCAGACTCCGATGACGGGGACACGACTCACGAGGCACAAGCAGTGACTTGGCGCTGAGTCACACTCAAAGCAGGATCTACCGGTCTCCGCGAGTGAAAGCAGCGACATGGTCATGAGAGGTGAGCAGCACCGCACAGATGAGGAAAGCACGCGTTCAGCGGAATCGACGGATGTTGTCTCCCTTTCCCGCCATGGGGTTGTCTCAGTAAAGCGATTTGCATGGCTCTGCGAACTTGTGAGACACTCAGCACAGCTCGCTCGGTACGACGCACGATGCACCCCGCTCCGATCAACAGCCAAGCAGAGCCACCTCATGCACCTCACCGCAGCCCCCGTGCAAAGCTCTTTCTCGCCTCAACCGGCGACACGTCGGCGTAGCTACCATCCAGCTGACCTCGGCAGGCTACGCCGGTTCCAAGCTGGAAGTACGCAGAGCAGGTCTTCCTCGCCGCCTGATCATAATTGCATACCGCCGAGCGAACGCCATCATACCGGGCCAAGCATCTCGGCTCCGAACGAAGCTGCCGTGGCCAGTGCGCTGGTGCGCATGGTGCCGATTGCCTTCGCGCCGTGTTGCTCACGGCTCCGGATCGTCTGCAACAGATCGTCTCGGCTCGGTCCTCCAGTTCTTTCGACGACGTCGTTGGCCTTCCCTCCGTCAAGCGTATTTATAGCCTACACTGGATCTTGCCCTTCTCTGCAACCCTCCTTTCACCTTGAATACTGACACGCTCACCCTCTTCACGTGTACCTGTTACTTTCATCACATCCTCGCGAACGACAACCTCGTCTACACGACGCAATGCTCACCCTCCTTGCCACCCTCGCACTCACCGCCCCCGCCCTCGCTGGCGAAATCCAGTGGGCGCAGATGACCGGCCGTTCCGGCTTCCTCGCCGTTGGCACCTCGCGCATTGACGGCAACGGTACCGCGTACATCGACAACGGTGCCCCGGTCTTCGTGTGAGTTTTCCTTACTCAGGCTGCCCCTTGCGTATCCAGCGAAGTTCGCGGCCTACACAGGTTCGCTTTCCAGTGACACCGGCCGCAGACGTCCTCGAAGCTGTGCTGTTTTTCGACATAGCTGACATCAGCTCGGGCGACTACCTTCGCTACGTCAACATCGACTGGGACTACAAGTACGGCCAGGCGGGCCTGATCAAGATGAAGATGAGCTCGGGCGACAAGTGTCTCGATGCGGGATTGAGTGAGTCCCCTCCTTTCCTACCTACCTCGCCTCCTTTGGCTCCCCATTCACGGGACCTTGAGCTATGAAGCTTCGCAATTGGCTGCCTGAGCTAACCCGCAGCGCCCGGTAACGGCACCCCACTCAAAGTGTGGGACTGCTATGAGGGGTACGACGCGCAAAACTTCAAGGTGCACGACAGCCGCATCGAGCTCGTCGGAAAGGGTGAGTTTTGGCATCCTTTGCGCTCCAACCTCCTCTATGATGGCCAGGTTTTCAGGAGCTACAGCGTTCTGTCCACAGTTGCCTTGAGCTAGTCCGGAGAGCTGGGAGCTCCTTACAATGTCCTTTTCTTCAGCTCCAGTGAGAGAACTTGCTAGCTAACCCCAGGTCTCTGTGTCGACGTCCGTGACGGCGTTAAGCCCAGCCCCGGCAACCCCGCGCCCCAGCTCCAGCTCTGGCAGTGCACCGGCGGCCCGAACCAGGAGTGGGACCCTGTGTGCGAGTGAGCGCTACAGCGAGTGCAGCGAGCTCTTTCCCTCTCTCCTACCTACTCCCTTTCTCACACTCGGCCCCCGGCTACTTCATCTTAGTCGCGATCGAGCAAGCTTTCAATCTTCCTCCGCAAGCGAAGGACACAAAATCCCTATGGACGCTAAATAGTTACTTTGATCGGCAGTTGCTCAGATGTAAAAAGGACACTGACTCCCCTTCTGGCCCCTCGTTGGAAGCAAAACTGACCAAGAAACTAATGTAAGGAGCGGACCGCCAAACACGGGGCAAAATGAAAAAGTAAGCCTCGTATGGGGCTCGAACCCATGACTGTGTGATCAATCGGCTATGTTGCGTAAGAGTCACACTATCTACCGACTGATATAACGAGGCGTTGCTTGGGAGAATCTTTCTTCAATATAACTTGTCAGCCATTCTCCCGAAGATTCTGCGCGCTTATCGTCGCGACATTTGCGTCCCGTTTTTGCCGACACGCACAGCTGATGGTTGCTGGAGCACGCCGAGACGTACCCCGCTCCGCTGGCCGCCGGTGGCTCGATGCTCACCCGCCCGCCGATGACGGACATGGGGTCGTATTCGGGGTAGAGCAAGAAGAGAGGGTGCGGGGGATCTGCGAACCTCACCTCAAATCCCATGCCCGAAAGCCCAACGCCGAACTCGTCCCCACCTTCTGCTTACCCCACTCTTCACTCGGCGCATTCCAAGCCACACGCCGCTCACGCCGCGGACGGCGCTCTCGGGCGCTCGCTTAGAAATGTGGGAGTCCTGACCCACGCAACAAGTGACACTCCGGCACGGATGGGGATCACCTCATCACATCCTGGGTGTGGTGTGACGCATGGTCTGCCTTCGCCACGTGATGCCATAGACGCAGCGCCGGCTTCGCCGGCTGTTAGGCAGCACATATGCATTGTGACTACTGGCTTTTGCTGGTGGTACAATATCTGTTCAACGTCCTCGAGCTGGGAGATGGTGGCAGTGGGAATTCGGGCGATATTGCGGTGAAGTAGAGGTGGTGACAACGCCGTGCTGCTAGTAGGCTTATCGGTGTTCGGTTGAGAGTAGTGTGGGGAAAAGGGGGTAAAGGGGGCGAGCTTGGCCCACATTGCGCATGGCTGGGCGTGCGCGATGGGATCACTGCATGATGGGCTGGACGTCAGCACAGACCGGTGGGGTAACACTTACGATCCACTGGCCCATGATCGCGACTGGGATGTCGTAGCGGTCGCGCCGGATCGTCATGGAGAAGCACGTCTTGATGACCTTGTACTCCTCCTCGATCTGGCCAGAGTGCGCACTCGGCGTGCCCGGCAGCGTCGACAGGGCCTGCGGGAGGTGCAGGTCCGGCACATGCGTCAGGTTCAGGTTCATGCTCGGCGTTGCTGGCGTGTTGACCTGGGTCGCGCTCGGTTGCGGGCGCGTGAGCGAGAGCGGGATCTTGAGCGTGCAGTGCGTGTACACATGCGACTGGCCTATGATAGCGTCAGCATTGCATCACCGCGCACAGGCGCTGTCGAGCCAGTGCCCATCGTATCACTCACCCTTCTCGGACGCTACCTTTCCAAAGTTCTCCCAGAATCGCACGGCACTGTCCTCGTCCATGAGCTCATAAACGCAGAGCTGTCCGCTCCGGAACAGCTTGGCGGGGATGCCAGTCAGCTTGGCGAACTCCTGGTTCGCCTTGTGGATTTCGCCCGTACGGCGCCAGATGCAACTCGGCGTGTGGATCGACGCCAGAGTACGGTCGTATTGCAGCATGAGACGCTCGTTCGCTTCCTCGACGAATACGAGGTCGATGTCTGTCAGCTCCTTCGCCATCTTCCTGAATTTCGGACGGAAGACCTCGAGAGCGGCAAGGATACGGCGGCGCGACTCTGGCGAGATGCTGCTTCCACTTGGCGGGGGAGGGGCGAGCTTGCGGCCGGGCTTCGAGGGCGAACCTGGTCGCGACGACGAGTCTAGCGGCTTGGCACGACCGCTGTCCATCCAGCGGTGCATGCGCTCGTAGCCCTTGACGTAGTCGTAGGGCTTGAGGAGACCAGCCTCGTACTTGGCCTGGATGACTTGCGTCAGACGCGAAGCACGAGAACCGCTTGGCTGATCGGCGGCAGCGAGGAGGTATTGCTCGAAACGGGAGATGCTCTTGAGCGGTTCGGCGCGCGCTTTGCCCTTGCCATTCATCTGGTTCGCCTGATTTGAGGGTCCGGCGAGACCGACCTGCTGAGCGAGCTGGGGCTGTCCGAGAGCCTGTGCAGCGGCGACGAGCTGTTGCTGCTGAGTCTGCTGACGCATGGCCTGGTTCAGGACGTCAACGAAACCGGGTATCTGAGGCATGCGGAGCGTCTTGAGCATATCACTGAGGGATCGGTAAGCTGACTGCGGAGGAGTACCATGAATAGCTCTGCACTCACGAAAGTATTCCGAACTCGCCATTGTTGTTATTCGGCGCAGCAGCTTGTGCCCAGTCGAGCGGCTGCTGGTGCGGCGGCTGCGCAAGGTGCTGGTTCCCAGCTTCCCTCGCCAGTATTCCCAGGTCGATGGCATCGGCAGTCGATGCGTCTGGAAGCAGCGGCCACGCGGACGAGTTTGAGTCGTAGATAAGCCGTCCGGGCTCTGTCTTGGGGACGACGGGCGCCGGGGCACTGATCTGCTGCTGCTCGGCGTTCTTCTTTGCATTCGGCGGGGTCACGTCGCGACAGAGATGGGCGATATCGCGCTTGATACTGGGATGTCAGCTACTATGACAGGGGAGCGCAAAGCAGATCGGTTTCACTCACCAGCGCTCGCAGGGGCGTCCTCCCTCGCACACCATGTGTCTGTTGGTAGTGTCAGTACGAGTATCGGCATTAGGCGCAGGTTTGCGACTCACGAGCGGCGACAGTAGACACAAGCCTTGCCTCCCTTGCGTTTCTGCTTCTTCTTCTTCGTGCTGCCTTCCTCCCCGTCTTGGTGACGCTTGATCGGGTTGATGTTTGGCGGTACGGCACGCGATGAAGACGCTCCAGTCATGGGCGGCTTCCATTGATGCTGCTGCTGAGAGTGGTGGTGCTGCTGGTGATGGTGCTGCTGAGGCTGGTGCATCTGGACCGGCCGCATCTGCTGTTGCTGCTGCTGATTTGTGAGCATGTTGGCAACAGCTGCGGCATGCGCTGCAGCAGCGTTGTCGGCCATGAGAGGCAGGCTGAGGGGGTTGAGGGTGTCGATGGTGAGTAACGGGGGGAGGGGGTAAGATGGGGAGAAGAGGGTAAACTGGTAATGAAAGATTGACAAGTGACAAAGAATAGGCGTCGGCGGAGGGGGGCTGTCGACACTGGGAAGGACCGGTCACGAAAAGATGAGGTGGCTTATGGCGCTTTGTCGCTTGTCGTCGGTTGTCCGATGGGAGGAGGTCGTGCTAGGCCAGCTAGGTTGCGCTTGGTCGTGAACGAGGTGGGAGTGGGTTTGTCTCTAAGGTCTGTCGCTGGCGAGCCCTTTGGTCGACGCTTCTGATTGTACCTGTGCCGTTGATGGGCTAATGGTCTGCACGCTCGAAGGGGCAGGAGTGACCTCGAGCTGGGTGGAAGTGTGCCAAGGCGCAGGTGTCTAGGTGTCTGGCGCCAGGTGCCAGGAACGGCGAGGACCGTCGAGATCTATGATACGAGGTGGACGACGACGAGAGCGGGGGCCGGATGTGCCGAGGGCCGTCTTGGAAGAGGGTAAGAGGGTGGTGAGGAAGGGTCGAAAGGGGAACGGAGGATTGTGGCTTGGAGGCAACAAGACCGAACGCGCACCGAATGACAGTCGAGGGATTTGGTATGTCTCTGAGCTTGGGCGCAACCAGCAAGAGCCGATGACGAGGTGATGTGTATGCGACAGGGGGGCGCGGACGGGCGGCAGGCGCAGGGCGGTGAGGGGCGCAGAGGTGAAGGAGGGGCGTGCCCTGGTCGTGGTAGATACGGACACAAGAACGCGTGGTGCGTGTGGAGTCGAGCCCGTGCGTTGGCGGCCAGGAGTGTCGTGCGTCAAAGCGTCGACGATGGATGAAGTGCGCACAGTCTGCAAACCGTCGTGTGTCGAGTAGATGCGGTTTGCAGGATTGTGGCAAGCGAAATCGCGCTAGCGCGCTACTGAGCGGAGGCGAGGGCGTGCCAAGCGGGCGGGCAAACAAGCGGTTACCCGGAATCTGTGGGCAGCTGCTCACAGTAGTGGGCTTAATGATCGCCCTTCAGGTCTTTTGGGTTCAGGCTTCAGCCTTTCGCGTCTTTGGGCTGCTCTCGCAATCCCTCTCTCGTTTCTCTCTCGATACGCTCGCCTCGTCAAAATGCAAAATACCTGTCCGCTCAGCTGCCCTCGCCCTGCCGCCGGCCTGAAGCCCCCCTCAGGTCCATCAGGGCCGCAGCGCCGCCGTGGTCAACAAAAATACAAATAAATTAGCTCCCGCACCTCCTACAACGACGGTCCGGCAACCATCAATACCAATCTCGGGCTGCAGAAATACCAATCTCGGCCTCGAACGTCTGGGATCGCTCTTTCTCTTTCGCTGGACGAAGAGGGCCGCTAGATCCCCGCGAACACGAGCGTGCGTAACGAAGTGGAATCGGCGGCCCGCCCGGCATCTCGGCACCTCGGCGGCACTGAGGCGGAGCTTAACATAGACCAGCAAGCGGCCTGCGCCCCGCTCCGGATTGTCTGCGACTCTTGACATGTGTTGATAGCGAACTCGGCAGACCCGGCTTTCGCTATCGCGAGTGGAACGAGGATGGTCCGGGGGCCCAATCGAAGAGGGAATGCGGCAACCTTGTCGGGCGTCTTCGTAGCGCGCAGCATGTCCGAGACGTGCCGAGGCAACCGAGGCTGCGGTGCATAGTCTGCGGAGCCTACGGACACCGTGAGCGGCGCGGTGGTGCCGGCGGTGCCGGCGCGGGCGCGCGGGGACTATTAATGCTCGGCTCATTTTGCTCATCGCTCATGGCTGGCGAGTGGATACTTTCACCAGTCAAAGTCTGGGGCAGGCCAGGCAGTGAGGCGTTGCCGGCGGCTTGGCGCACGCGAGTTGCAGAGTTTCTCCGACGACCATCCAGGCGCGCACCAGGCGCCCACTGGCCAGGCCCCCCATGGCCTCTCGAGTGACGCAGACCTGGTAGACCTGGCCAGGCATGCCAGGCACGTTCGAAGCGGGCTCACGCGGCTCAGCCGAGATCAGCGAACCGTATCCCCGGACCTGCCGGTCCTTGGATGCTGGCGCAACGTAAAACTGAACTCTACGCTGCTGTGGAAGCCGCATGGAGGACAGGAGTGCGAATGCGGGAATCCCGGCCCCGCACAACAGCATACCGAGCACATGGTAACGGGTGTGGCAATGATAGGGATGATATCAAGGGAGGAGCCTGGAAACTGGAAACGCTGCGCCTGACCCGCGCCCGTGATGTCAGACCCGGGGCGAGGAGGGCTCCAGCCGGGCTAGACGAGTACTTGCTGCAGTGGGCCAGCTGCCGATGTGCCTTGAGTGTTTATCTCGTGGGCAACAGGTACACGACGCAGAGGCACATGATCCTCGCCCCCTAAGGTGCCCCGTGCTCCGGGTGTACCTCGAGAAGCCTGCGGTTTTCCCGTGATATGCTATGATGAGCCGAGGTGATGCAGGAGCGTCATGCTCCCAGTAAGCGCTCCGGGAAGACCGCGGGTAGTGCTCACAGTCGGTCGGATCGCAGTGCGAACACATGAGTGGTGACTTGAGCCCGTGAGCCCGCGACTGTCGCTCGTCTCTTGTGAGTACCTGCGAACGGACCATGTTGCACACACGCCAGGCTGTGCGACGTGCGAGCTGTGCTGAGGTATGAGCACCGAGCATCAGCGCCGCCGACGCTGCAGTAACCCGTGACACTCTCTCCCTGCGACAACGAGCATGGAAGCCCGGGGTGACCGCTCTTTGGCACTCGTGCGCAGGGACAAGCCTGCAGGGGGGGCCGAAAGGTACTCCTCGGCAGCGTACCTGCGCACGCCCCGCGTTTCTGTGTGAGACCGGCACTGCCTTGCGCTCTGACCATCTGTATCTGTCCCCTTCTATCGAGCTGGCCAATGGTCAGAGTGGGATATGTCACCATCACCAGCCGCTGCACTCGCGGGCCGTTGACGTTACTCTCTGGTGGGTGCAAGGGTGATGGCTGAGGAGCTAATTGAGAACGACACTGACAAAAATGAGGCTTAAGGGAGGAACTGAATCCTCGCTTGACGAGAGTGGGATTCGAACCCACGTCCGAAGACTGCGGAGGAGAAACAAATCACCTTAACACAGCGCCTTAGACCGCTCGGCCATCTCGCCTGCTGATCGGCGCTCGGTCAGGGCAAAACATGTTCGCCACCGGACTCGGAAATCGCGAACGAGCCCCTCCCATGCATCCCCGAGCCCATGTTGTCGTGCAAGTCGCGTAGCGAAGCGTTTTTATTAGATGGATCGATGTGAATTCGGCTGCTGGGCAAGAGTTTATGAGTGTGTCGCATCATTGACCGATGACCGATGTGGCACCTTCACAGGGTATCTCTCCTTTGCGCGCCTCCTTCCCTCTGACTGCACGAACACTGCTCGGGGCGGCAGATGAATGAGAAAAGGAACGGAGACTTCTGGCTGGTTTGCATTCTTATGGATTTCCTCCCACGGCTCCTCGGAACTCGAAAGAGAGTCATTACTTAGGACTATGGATACCACCGTTGATCTGGACGTAGGCGTCGTGGTGCTCGACGGAGTAGTTGGGGTCGTTGGCCTTAACCGCGCACTTGTCGTCAATAGTCCATTTGGAATCTTTGCCCGTGTCCTTGGCCTTGACCTGCTGGTCGCCGACGTAGAGAGTCGGGCGCTCGTACTTGACGGTGAAGGGCGGCTGGCAGTCGCGCTGTTCGGGGGTGGTGGTCTCGTAGATGCCGTTGAAATAGTACCATTCAAGCCACTGGGCTCCATCTCCACTGAGAGGACCGTAGCTGTCGTCGGTCCAGAAGCTCGCAATGTAGGTCTGCTTGCCCTGGCTGTCGATCAAGGTACCGTTCCACCTGCGACCCTTGTCGCCGTGCTCAACTACGGCGGATACAATTTCGTACCATTCGCCCTTGTTGAGGTTGATGCCGTCCAGCGAGCACGACACACCGGCACCCCCATCAGCACCGCCACTGCAGCGAGCGGGGTCGCCAACAGATGAGCCCTTGCCGAAGACGCTGTATGTGAGGTGACCAGAGTATTGGCCCTCGCGGGGCTGAATGCCGAAATACTGCACATCGTGTCCAGCAAAGCTCGCTTGAGTGGAAGCGTAGTATCCCGTCTTCCAGGTCGAGGACGGGTCAACGTAGAACTTGGCCGAGATTTTCTCGTAACCCCCATCGCGCGCGGGAGCTTTCCAAAAACTAAGCGGAGAGCTCGCGAGAGCGGGACCGGTGAACACCAGGGAGGAGAGAATAGCGGTAAGCATTCTGGTTTATGACGAGTAGAGGTAGGCAGGTAGGAGGAATGGAGTGCAGAAGACTGCGGAGGAGGGCGCGGGCCTTATAACTCCTGTGATGGACAGCTACTGTACGGCGCCGATCCATGATAGAGTGCCACTATGGAACCGTTGTCTCCCGGCGGTCCCGCCGAACCTACCTCTTAGTCCAGGGCGCAACCCGACGCCGTTGACATCACAACCGAGCTCGGTGTAGCGGTGCAACTTACGGACTACACCACGCAACCTTCATATCAATTCAGTAGTGTCAATCGAGGAGAGGGGTGTGGGGTGTGGGGGGTAGGATGCGGTTGCACGTGCTGTGCATCCCGCTTGCAGGCACTGCCAGTGCCACAGGGGACTAAGGTTGCGCAGATGGTGGAGCACATGCGGCCACATGCGCCACATGCGGCGCGTACTCCGAGCCGCTGTCGCGCTAGCGAAACGACGATACTCGGCATTCACCGAAGCTTCCGAAGCCCATTTGCTCGCTAGATCGGACCGGGTTGCCGCACTGGTGACTTCCGGCAGATAAGGGGACCAACCCTTTCCCCGTCCCCGCCTTCCAAAGTGGTGTGCATGTCGTGGGAACGTTCGGCATCTTCTACGTCCGCGATATCTGTGGAGTGGGTTCAACTAGAGTCCTGAAGTTACGGCGCCAGTAGTGCTTTCACATCGCGCCGTTTTGTAGACGCAATTGGATCCCGAGAGGGCGACACCGCCGAACTCGCCGACAGCAGAGATGCTATCAACAACGAGTCAATGCCCACAACACCCTCCGCGACTTCCCTGCTCACCATCAACCTGTTCTTCCCGCCAACCTGCCCCTTCAATGCAAAAACGAGTCGCGCCCATTGCAAACAAACCATCCAAGACCATCGGTTCGCCAGCGGGCGCTCGTGGCCCAAAGAGGAGGGCGCAATTCTCGTAGGCGAGATGGCCGAGCGGTCTAAGGCGCTGTGTTAAGGTGACTCTTGAAGCATCTCCGCAGTCTTCGGACGTGGGTTCGAATCCCACTCTCGTCAAGAGAGTATTCAGTTACTCCCTAGCCTCACTTTTTCGTCCCACCGACGCCCGGAAACGCGCTGGGAGGTCGAAGGTGTGCGAGTGTGGTGGGTGGGTCGAAATTTTAGCCCCGTTGAGTGCCAATTGTCGGTCACCACGGAGATAGGACGATGTCCGGCAAAACGCCCGTTTGCTGATGTTGCCGCCGACGAATGTGCCGAGCGGCAGTGCCGAAGATGGAAAGCCTTGGGGACGTTGTTTGTGTGGGCAGATGGTGACTTCGCTGTCCCATATATGGAAATTGCAGTAGAGCGATGAGCCCGTTTCCACTGCAGGAGCCGCATCTAGTGTCCACCTTCGCCTCCGCGAACGGGTGGAGGACTGGTTTTCAGGCGCTCCAGAGCAGAGCTTATCAGCGGGCGTCAATTTCATTTCGCGCTCTGAGCCGGACTAGCCGGCCTCGGCGATCAAGTCGAGTATCACTTCCACCTTCTCAACATTCGTCAGCAAACCCAAAAAATGGCATCGCGCGCCATCCAATCGATGCGCAGTGCCGTGCCACGGCTTGTGCAGCGCCAGCGCGCGCTGCAAACGCCAATGCGTGCGTTTAGTGCGTCTGCATTGCGCCAAAACCGACTTGCGCAGATCCCGAACGACCCGAACTTCGACTTCCCCGGACTCTCTTCGACGAAGGTCGACGACAGCGACGTGCGAGCTCTCTTCGACACTCCTTACGCCCCGACGTCAAACGAGCCGACCGGTCTCTTCACCCTCGGGCCCCTCACGCATCCCAAAGCTCTCCGCCCACTGACGCAGCGCACGCTCGTCCATGCTCGCGCGATCGTGGACCGCATTGCTCGTGCCAAGGACGACCCGTCCGGGCGCGAGCTGCGTCTCGTCGTAAAGAATCTCGACCGTCTCAGTGACCTCCTCTGCGGTGTGATCGACATGTGCGAGCTCGTGCGTAACGCTCATCCCGACTCGCGTTGGGTGAAGGAGGCCGACAACACGTACGAGGCACTGTGCAGCTACATGAATGAGCTGAACACCGACCGGGGACTCTTCGAGGCGCTCGTCGCTACGCTCGAGGCCGACATGTCACCGCCACTTTCTCACGCCGAGAAGCAGGTTGCGCTCACCTTCCTTCGTGACTTCGAGAAGAGCGGTATCGACCTTCCGCCGGAGGTGCGCCAGCGCTTCGTCGAGCTCTCCGACTCACTGCTCGTGCTCGGACGGACGTTCCTCTCGGCTGCCTCCAGCGGACCGAGTCCGCAACCATACATCGAGATCCCCGAGCCGGAGAAGCTTCTGCACGGCCTCGGTTCGGGTTTCATCAACTCCCTCCCGCGGCGCGGTGGAGTTGCCCTCGTCCAGCCCGGGAGCTGGGAGAGCCAGATGATCATCCGTTTTGCCCGCGATGGTGAGGCCCGTCGACTGGCTTACGTGGGCAACTCGCGTGCCGAGCCGGACCGCATCGCCGTCCTCGAGAAGATGCTCTCGGAGCGTGCGGAGCTCGCCGGAGTTCTCGGCAAGAGCAACTGGGCCGAAGTTGCGCTTGTCGACAAGATGGCCAAGAACCCGGAGAACGTCGAGGGATTTCTGTCCAGCCTTGCTGCCCACCACAGGCAGCAGGCTCTTGGAGATGTCAAACTGCTCCAGCGTCTGAAGAGCGCGAGCATCACTGGCATGGCCCCTCCGGCCGGGGCTCGCCTCCCGCCGTTCAATGCCTGGGACCGTGACCACTTCTCGGAGCAGTACGTCTCCGCTCTCGCGCCGGCCAGCCTTGCACCGCTTGCGCCCTACTTCTCCGCCGGCACTGTGCTCCGTGGACTCTCTCGCCTCTTCACGAAACTGTACGGCATTTCCTTCCGTCCCGCCAACGTCGCGCCGGGTGAAGTTTGGCATCCATCCGTTCGCCGTCTTGACGTTATCGACGAGCAGGAGGGCCTCATCGGTGTCATCTACTGCGACCTGTTCTCCCGACAAGGCAAGCCGCCAAATGCCGCCCACTACACCGTTCGCTGCAGCCGCCGTGTGGACGATGACGACCTTGCTGGTGACGGCCTCGCGCCCGGATGGGACTCGAGATTCGGACCTGGTCTCGAGACCGAGGGCGACCAGATGCCCGGCAAGGAGGGCCGGTACCAGCTGCCGATTGTTGTGCTGACCACGGACTTTGGCACTGTTGATGAGGCTGGACAGCCCGCGCTCCTCGGATGGCACGAGGTCGAGACGCTGTTCCACGAGATGGGCCACGCCATGCACTGTGAGTTACTTTGTGGGTTCAACGCTGACGCTCAGCAATGATGGGACGTACCGAGTACCACAATGTGTCGGGCACGCGCTGCGCAACCGACTTTGTCGAGCTCCCTTCGATTCTTATGGAGCATTTCGTGTCTTCCCCTCAAGTCCTCGGCCTCTTCGCTGAGCACTAATCGACCGGCGAGCCGCTTCCGATGCCTCTGCTCGAGTCGCACCTTCGTCTGCAGCAGAGCTTCGCCGCACTCGAGACCCATGGACAGATCGTCATGGCCATGCTGGACCAGAAGTACCACCTGCTTGCCCCTGGAGAGGAGGTTGACTCGTCTGCTGTCTACAACGCGCTGCAGGAGAGCATTGGTGTCGTTCCGCCGGTAGAGGGCACCGCTTGGCAGACGCAGTTCGGTCACCTCTACGGATACGGCGCGACGTACTACTCCTACTTGTTTGACCGTGCAATCGCAAGCAAGGTGTTCGCGACGCTGTTCGCCAAGGACCCGCTCAACCGCGAGAAGGGTGAGGAGTTCAAACGTAAGCTCCTCTCGTGGGGCGGCGGTCGGGATCCGTGGGAGATGGTCGGCGATGTCGTTGGCGGGGCTGAGGGCGAGGCCGTTGCCAAGGGCGACCAGAAGTCTATGGAACTCGTCGGCGGCTGGCACATCAAGTGATACCCCCCCGTGTAGCCTCTTTCTTTCATCTTGTACCACGACCATCATGCATGCACTCTTGATCTTAGACGCCCACATGTGCTTGCACTGTATGCATTGCACAGAGCACAAGCCTCACTATTTCCGAGCTCATGTAAGGGTCAGCCACGAGCTGCCTTTGGCCCTGCCCGCCCTGTCGATTTCGGAATCCGCCGTAGCCGCGCGCCGCGCCAGCGGCCAGGCGCCACCCAGCGGGCAGCTTGCTTGCGGCTCGATTAGATTTCCTTCCGGATTGCCATCTGCTGACTGCTGGCGATCCGGGGTCTGAACCGTATCCCGTTGCTTGGCTTGTCTTCTCACACACCTTTCACACGACCACCAGCAACAGCATCATGACGAGCCCAATGCCGACACAGACCATGGAGGGCGACAAGCCCATGACCTACTGGCAGCACGGCTGGGAGAAGTGCAAGGCCAACCCCGCCGTGCCCATCGGCTGCGCTGCTACCACCGTCGCTCTCCTCGGCGCGAGTGCGTCCCTTAGGTCCGGAAACAGGAAGCAGTTCCAGAACTTCCTCCGTCTCCGTGTTGCGTGAGTATAGTTATCTGCATGGCTAGGCGGCGAGCCAAGGTCTCGCTGTGGAGAGCTTTAAAGCCGAGCACCCTCGAGCCCGACGGTCAGCCTCCACCCGACTATTTGGAATCGCACCCACCTTCCTCGCCGCAACACAGCATGGAGTAGCGCTGACAGATAGAACGCAGGGTTTGACCGTTATCGCGATGGTCGCCGGAGCGTACATGCTCACGAATAAGGCGGTCGAGGTTGAGGAGAAGCGTCACCGCGCTCTGACCGGTAAGTCCAACGAATGTGCCGCGAGCTGCTTGGGCTTTAAGCTCTACCTCGCGGCCTCAGGCCTTAGCTGCTTTGGTGTGCTTAGTAGCTGACGTACAGGCGGTGCTCCTCACCCCGAGAAGCCGACGTACGAGAAGGTGTACCTCGAGCCGTCGACCGACCACCTGTACCCGCCCCGCGACAAGGTGCGCGTGTCCGACTTCACGAAGCGTCTGCGCGACGCCGAGGAGCAGCAGCGTATCGACGACGGCAAGGCCGGCCAGAACAGCCAGCTCATCGACAGCGCCAAGAACATCAACAACTAAACCTCTCATTTTGTAGCATTATGCATCTCACCACTTTTCCGGGCTCCGTTCTCTACCTCTGCCACCTTCCCCTTCATTGTCAACTGCTTCTTGGTTGCAGCTCACTTGGGCCGATCTCGGTCCAACAGGTAGATAGGGAGCTGGGCAAACAGTAGAGTAGACGCATTCGGAATGAGCACAGGTCGCGGCGCCGAGAGGGACGGGGCGGCTGGCGGTGCGTCGACATTCGGAGTTGTCTGGATCAAACACCTACTGGTTAGTCACTACCTCTGCGCACGCGACACGGCGGAACGGTATGAATGGGGTTACATGTGCGATACTAAATGCAAGATAGCGTCTTCCTTCTCTATCCTTCTCTCTGGAAAAAGAGCAGTTAAGCCTTCTCTAGCTCCTTCTTGGCGGTCTTGAGCTGCTCGTCAAGCTCCTTGCTCTTGCTCTCGAGCGCGCTCTGGATCTCGTCCGCGCCACGGAAGTTCTTGCCTCCAACCGACTTGATGCCATCCGAGCGCGCCTGGCGCATCTGGTTCTTAGCGTCCTCGACGGTACCTCCGAGCGAGCGGACGATCTCGTTGCGCACGCTCGTGTCGGGCCGCGTGACGGGGAGGCGGATACGGTCGCCGTCACGCTGCGGCGACATGCCCGGCAGGTTGGCCTTGTGCAGCGCGCTCTCGACGTGCTTCACCGTGTCGCTGTCCCAGGCCTCGACGAGGAGACCACCCTTCGTCACCGTGATCGACGCAATGGCCTTGAGAGGCTGAGAGCCCTGGTCCGGGATAGCAACCTTGACCGTGTCCAGGACGGCTGGGAGTCAGCTCAGATATACCGCTGGAGGAGAATGAGATGCTTAGAACATACCCGGGGAGACACGACCACGACCCCGCTCGACACCCTCGAAGAGGACGCTCTTCGCCCAGTCGAGCGACTTGTTCATCTTCTCGTTCGCCTTCTTCACAATAGCGTCGATCTGGGCATCGGTCATGACGGTCTCCTCGACCTCGACCTCGGCCTTCTTCTTGCCGCCCTTCTTGTTGTCTCCGGCCTTCTTCGCGTCCTTCTTCGTTGCCTTCTTCAGCGTGATCGGCGTCGTCGAGAAGGCGCGGGCGGAGCTCGAGGCAAGGACCGAGGACGACGGCAGGGGGGAGGGAAGGGCGCGCGGCGCAGCGGCGCGGGGAGCCGGCGTAGCACGCGCGGCGATGCGGGCGATCCGGAGGGCGGCACGCATGTCGTTTGTTGTCGTCTGAGGTGAGTGTGGAGAACCAGAGTCCGCGGACAGAAAGGCCTTCCTTCATTCGTCGGCTGGACGCGGTCTCATGACCTCCACACTCGCCCCGGAGTCAAGACCTCCACCTTTGTCTTTTTCGTACCATCCGCACAGCGTCGGACTTGGCGCACTCGACGCCGCTGATGCCTAGAGTCACGTGTTTATCACATGGGCTTACGCTACTTACGCTACTCGGTAGAAATGAAAGCGCCAGGTCTAGAGATCTTTAAGGGAGGATTACAAAATCTGCTAATTGAGTTTGGATAGGAACCCTAAGAATTGTCCGTAACTGACCGGTTCGAGCCGTTAAAGACGCGGGCGCCGCGGGGTTGATGCGCTGATGGGTGAGCGCTAGTGCGACCATCAGCCAGTGTAATTGTCCGTTACATTGTTCGCGCCGCGGTGACGGTGTGCGCTTCTTCTCCATTGACCATCGAGCCCCCCCATGTCCGACATCGATCACACGCAGCCGCAAGGCGCACACCTCATGCCCCGGATGCCGTCCTCGCCGCCCCTCGGCCCGAGCGACACATACCAGGTGGACAGCGATGATTTCATCACCGACGAGGAGAGCATGCACCCGGATGAATACGATCAGCTCGTGACAGAGGGTGAGTTAGAACATAGAATCAGATCCAACTCTGCCCCCGTGTCGAGGGAAGGAGGAGGGGACCTGAACCTCCGGCCTATGTCATTATCCCTGTACTGTCGTGGCCCCTCCTCGCGTAGCTCGCGCTCTCGCGGTCCGCGGCCCACTGCTCATGGCGCATGGCAGACAATGGGCAGTCCACGGCCCCGCCCTGCGTCTGGCCTAGCTCTTGCTCGTGGCGACATGCGAGGGCCGACGCTGCCATGATTCCAGTCCGTGTGGCTTGCCCCTTACCTGGCCGTTGTCTGCTGTCGTCCAGATCTTCTCTCAATCGACGAGTGCTGTAGCTACCTCCCTCCCTCTGCGCAAATCTTACGTAGAGCGTATAGCCTTGCTCTTATCCTTATCTCGTCTTGACCAGTGACATTCCCAATCCCATCACTGCTCGTGATTCATTACTCCACTCCACACACCACCGTCCGCCTTCCCCGCACACCACCACCACCACACCCACCATCCGCCTTCCTCCCCTCGTCGTCACCACCTTTCACTGCTTACTCCCTTTCACACACACTCCACCTACACGACTACACCAATACAGCAGTGAAAGCTAATGATGACAGCCGACGCTGGGTACACCGAGGAGGAGACGCTGGAATTCGTCGCGCAGCTCAAGGAGATCGGCCTCGTAAATTTCCTGAGGCAGTACCTCGAGCCGCTCGATGATGGCAGCCGGCGCTCGTTGCGCAAGCTCATGCTTGCGATCGGGGCTGTGCCCGTGAGTTCACCACATCCTCTGACACCTACCCCGCCACTACCTGTGCATACCTGACGCCCATCAGCCGAAACACCTCCGCGCACCGGGAACCCCGGACCTGAACCTGCTGCCGTTCACGAAGGTGGCGCTGGGTCGTATCCTCCGGCAACGTTCAAAATTGACGCAGTACAACTCCGTCGAGGACGCTCTTGAGCTTCTCAAGTCGTCAAAGAACATCATGATCCTCTCTGGCGCCGGTATCTCCACATCATGCGGCATTCCCGACTTCCGTTCCGCCACGGGCTTGTATGCTACGCTCCAGTCCGAGGGCAAGTATGACCTCGACGACCCGCAGCAAATGTTCGACATCTCCTACTTCCGCGAGCACCCCGAGGTGTTCTACTCGTTCGCCAAGCAGATCTACCCATCAAATTTCACGCCCTCGCCATGCCACCTCTGGATCAAGAGCGTCGAGGATCGCGGGTGCCTGCTGCGCAACTACACGCAGAACATTGATACGCTCGAGCAGCTCGCCGGCGTCAAGAACGTGCTGAACTGCCACGGTTCCTTCTCGACAGCCTCCTGTCTCCGGTGTAAGCGCCGCCAGCCCGGCGACGCCATTGAGGGTCACATCATGCGCCAGGAGATTCCCTGGTGCGAGCCTTGCCGCGCCGAGCGCGCACTGGAAATTGAGGCTATCCGCGCGTACAAGTCCAAAATCCAGAAGCGCAAGGGCAAGGACAGCGACAGCGACGACTCGATCCCCGAGTGGTCCGGCGAGCCGGGCATCATCAAGCCGGACATCACGTTCTTCGGACAGGCCCTCGAGGACGCTTTCGACGAATCGCTGTACGAGGACAGGGAGAAGGTCGACCTGCTCGTCATCATCGGCACGTCGCTCAAGGTCGCACCTGTGTCCGAGGTCCTCAGCCATATTCCGCACAGTGTGCCGCAGATCTTCATCAACCTCACCCCCGTCACGCACGTGAACCCCGACATCTCCCTCCTCGGCGACGCCGACAGTATTGTGACGTACCTCTCCGACCGACTGGGATGGCCGTCGCCCTCAAACGGAAAGCCGATCAAGGTCGCCCCCTCAGACGGCGTCTGGGAGGACGGCTCGCGCGAGGCGAACAAGCATATCCACGTGTTCCGCTCAGCGGCGGACCCGCCCATGTCCGAGGAGCAGCGCCTGATGATCGGCACGAACCCGCTCGACGACATCGTGCCCGTCTCCCTGCAGAGTCCGAAGAAGAAGAAGGGCAAGGGCAAGTCTCGCGGTGGTTCCAAGGCCGGCAGCCGAGCCGGAAGTCGCGCCGGAAGCCGGGCAGGAAGCAAGACCGCCGGCTCGCGAGCGCCGAGCCGTCGGTCTAGCAGACGCGGCACGCCGGTCGAGACGCGCAGCATGGCCTCGCGCGAGACGTCGCAGGAGAGCGACGAGCGGCCGCCGAAACGATCTCGCCGCGGCTCCCTCAGCCATTTGCACGAGGAGATCAAGCCCGACTTTGACTCGGGCGCGAGCACCCCTGGCGCTGGAGGGGAGGACCACGCGATCCAGGACGTCAGGATCGAGATCAAGGAGCGGCTCGAGGTCACCACCGGCACGGCGACGCCGGTGCATCCCGAGGACCTGCCTGCTGTGCGTGTCTCGAGGCCGGAGGAGGACGTCAAGCGCGAGCACGAGCCCGTAGACGAGAAGGTCAATGTCCACCCGCACAAGGCGCTGCCGCTTGCTGCGCTGTTGAACCCGGCTCCGAACTCGTGATCCCTGCGCTCCGGCTCCGAGAGGGCTCCGAGACGGCACTGAGAGGGCCCCGAGACAAGCCCGAGAGGGACCGAGGGCCTGAGGTCTCTAGAACGACCGCTAGAACACCGATCTTATCGCATTTCCGATCTGAACATTTTCGGACACTCCCCCCTATCGAACACTCGCATGAGCGCTCGCCATCTTTTGTACCACTAGCATTCCCTGCACCTGCACCTCTGCAAAGCGCAGTCTGTACCATTACCCGCAATGTAAACACTCATAATGATGTCAAATACATACAACCAAGAGATCGAGAGAGAGAGGAGGAACACAATTGAGCTATCACTTTACCACTGTACGTCTTCTGAGCTGTCTGAGGGGAGCTGCCGGGTATGCCTACGCGAGGTGAATATTCGTCCGAAGAGCCGGGGGGTGAGACCGTCTGTCTCGGTCCAGTGGGATCCCGTCGCGCCACTCCCCGGCGCCTCATGCTGCCTGCGAGCGATCCGGCGGTCCGCACCGGCGTCGCCAAGCACAGCCGATGCCGATGCCCGGGGAGCCGTACGTTCGCTGTCAACGACCGACGACGGGGTCATGAGATGGGAGGCGATGGGCGGACAGGAGTTCGTTTCGGGCCGATGCTTCGTCGACCTTCGCAAGATTCGATGTAAGATTGGAGCTGGATGTGGGGAGGTGGAGGAGGGAATGTCGTGAGCTTGTGGAACGTTGGAGTCGCATTCCGATGTCGGAATGCCGATGGAGATTGGAGCTGGATGATGGAGGCAGAGATCTGCGCCATTCGTTGGAAACGGTGCTGGTGGGGCCTCATGCCGACGCTAGGACGATACGGGCCGATGAGACGGGTGAGGATGGTGGGAGCAGGCGAACATTGGTTTGCCGACCGATGGTATGGAGCGAAGCGCACGCAGGATCGTTACATGATCGTGCACGAGCACTTGGGAACGCGCTCCTCTGCCTCTTCCCGTCGGTCGACGTCCGTCTTCTTCACAGCCTTCTCCTTCGTGCCCTCGCGGTCCTGCTTGATGCTGAACGAGCGGATCGAGAGGTGCACGATTGTCGGGTTCGAAGCGTTGTCGACCGGCAGATTCGAGGAAGCCAGGGTCGCCTCATCGCCGAGAACGCGCCCGGAGTGGATCACTCGCATGTATGACGGTGCGGGCGGCTGCGCAGGCTCGCTCCATTCTGGGACGGTCAGCTGGGTTGGCAGACGAGATCCAGCTTCCTTCGGTATAGCAGTGGTCGACGGGGCGAGCAGACATAGAATCAAAGCGGAGCGATGTCTCCGCGATGAACGTGAGACCAGAGATCTGACCCTGCGCAGCCTCCCTACGTCATGCAGTCGTGCAGAAGACGTGCACGCCGCACGAGGCGTGGTACGTGCATTGAATCGTGCACTGCACATCGCGCCTTTCCGTCACGCTCGCACGCCCGGGCACAGCAGAGGAATTCACGCAGTACGCTGGCGCTAGCTCCATTGCACGAGCGAAACTTTGGCGTTCTGGTGCACGGCACTCGTCGCTGGTCCCCTGGGCCCCTTCCCCTGCCCCCCACAGCACCTGACCAGTTGGCTGGCCAGGTCCCATGTCGCATGGTCGCGAGGTTGGGAGGTCCCGGAGCGCTCTGCTCGCACGACGGCTGGTGCTGGTCCGCTCGTCGGGCAATGTGTGGGAACATAGACTGCGTTGCGCTCGCCATAGCCGGCCGGGTGTTGCTGGTGCTGGAGTCTTCCCCATCCCACGTCACGCTTCGAGAAGCGCAGAACCACCTGCCGAAGGAATCCAGAGAGTAAAGTACTCACCACTCGGCCACATATTCCAGATGAGCTCCTTTGCCCGGCCTACAGTCATGTCGGGGTCGAAGGAGAAGACGTGTGACTCGCCCGAGATGATGAGGACTTTGAGATATGTCTGGCCGTCAGTTTCCCCGAGTGCGTTTAAACTCACTTGGGGCATGACCGACTGTTGCGGCTGTACGATCGGAGCCGTTGATACCTGGCTCATTCGCTCCATGATGGTGAAATGAGGACAGGTGAGCGATTTGGTGGGTTTGCAGGTGTGTCGCCAGTGTTCGCTGTAGGCGAGGGCGACGTCAAAGGGGTGGTGTTTTGATTTCGATAATCAGATGGAGATAAGAGTGATGGTGAGATGAGGAAAGAGATGAGCCGAGGTGTATGGGTGGACGAGGATAGAACAGGACTGTGTCTGTCGATGTGCGTGCGTTGTGCGCCGGGTGGGTCTTGGGTGCGGGATGCGGTGTGCGTCGTGCGGCGTGGTAGCAGTGGCAATGGGCGCTGGGCTGCTGGGCGATGCGGGGCCTCGGGTCACTAGAGAGTGTGCTCAGGTAAAGGCGCAGGGGCAGGGTAATGTCTTGGCGCCAAGTGGGGTAAGAGAACTGCAAGCATTCGAGAGCCGAGTTACTCGTCGAAAGCCTGAGACTGGAGAGAGCTGCGGATGCACGAATGCACGAGGCAGTCCCAAGGCAGAAGACCGACCGGAGTTAGAGAGCTCATGGTGTTGCCTAGATCCCCGCTCAAGGAACTCGGAGGCTCCAGGAACGGCGCGTGCAGTTGGGTAACATGACCGGATGTGAGAGCCTGACCTACGCAGATGACGAGAGGAAGCCTCGTCGTCCCTTCTCCTCTTCCGGCCCCTTATAGATAACAAAGGCGGTCTTGGCTGTCTGCACACTCCCTGGGCGAGCTGGGCCGTACCGCAATCTGGCCTCGTGACTGGTCAACAACAGCTGCCCAAGCTTCCTTTGGTGGGCTTCCCCGGCTGCCCAGTAAGGTGGCGCTGATTACACCCCACCTCCCCGGAGAATAATGTGGCGTGGTGTTCACTCTCCCACCTTCTCGACTCCTGTCGCTTATGCCAGCAAGAGGACACGTTCCATGCAACGGGGAGGAGAGGCTGTGGTGATCAGCCTGGGTGTGACGGGAGCGGTCCATCACTGGGCAGCCCTGCGCATCATCTGCCTCTCGTCAGGTCCACGGCCCTGGCGGGGTACCCTGGAGGCCCCGGACAGGATCGCCCCCGACCGCACAGCCAACGAGCCAGTTATCGTGAGTTCAAGGGAGACCTCCCCCGGGTCCTGGGCGGTTCTCACCGTCCTGGGTGGGTCAGAGTTCGACCGTTCCGGAGCTTCCTGGAAGCCCTATAGGCTCCGTAGCTAGGCTCCGCGAACGTTGGTTAGCTTCACTGCGCTGCGCACTGCATAGGCCTAACGCCGCGCCGATCATCCGTGACCGACAACGAGAGGATGTTACAGGTGTGAGAACCATTATGGAGCCACTGAAGTCACTGCAGAGTTCTCGCCATGGCCATGCTTGTTGCCCGAATCGTACTGACTCAGATGTTGCGCCTCGGTTCCCTCGGCTCCGCGGCATTGCATTCTGGTATCATCTTGCAGTTTCCTTGATCCGCGAATGCGTGAATCCGCAACACAGTCGTCTGACTCCTCCCGTATCAATGTCATGTGCCCGCTGACGTGGTCACATGGCCGTCATCGCCCGAATTAACAACACGCAAGATCTGTGGCTCCGGCGGCTTCTGTGCCCATGCGTGCCCACGCACTTCTAGCATGTATTATAGAAAATGAAGTGATTGGTTGCGTCTATCTATTGAGGTGGGAACGGAGCAGAGTAAATCGTGACGCTCGCGCGACGGACGTTGTTCGTCCAGCCCTGTTGATCAGCTGAGGCTCCACTAGCTACGCCGCATGCCGCAAGTCAATGCGGCAAGCCAGATTGACTTACAGGATACATGGCTCTGGCCCAGAGCACGACGCGGTCGCCCTTCTGTGCCATCCGCGTGAGTGGGTGGTCTAAATCTAGGATGATATCATGTTGCAGGTGCACCTGCCCGGCTGGATGTCAGTTGTCATGTTCACTGGAACTCCACAAGTCTTGGAGTCGAGTCCATCTGGTGTTTCTCGCATGCCCCGGAGCCACTAAAGCCGAGCGGCCGTGCTGGCCGTGCACACGAGGCGGTGGTGCGCCCCGCACCCTGCATATGCAGCGCACGTAGTGTCCGCACATCTAGAGCCCAGGGCGCTCAGCAGATCCATCTCAAACTCACCGCAGACATTCCGCTGGATCTCGAATCGACTGCCTGGGACCTCGCGCCCGTTCCTCAGCAGCGAGACCTCGAAGAACGAGAAGCTACCCTCATACTGGCCGTAGAGGCTCTCGTCGTCGACCCAGCCCTGGTCCTTACTGAACGTCGTGATCTCTATCCGGCGCACCCAGGTCTGGTTCGCCTTCTTCTCCTCGGTCGGCTCCCAGCCTAGCGTCTCGTCGCTGCCATTGCGAGAGCGCTCCCCGCGCCGCTTGTCCAGCATCCACTTGGCGTGCTCCTCAGCCTCCTCGTTCGCCGAGATGACGGCGTGCTGCGTCCAGTACTCCCGATTGGTGCGAAGCTCGTGTTCGTGCATCCGCTTGCGCTCTGTGCGGGCGATGCTGGAGAAAGCGTACGCGGCGGCAGCCGTCACGCCACCGGCGATAATGGTGCTCGCGGCGCCGATGCGCGAAAAGAGGACAGAGGTCAGGCCCCCGAGCGCGAGCGAAGACGCCAGCGGGGCAAGCACGGGTGACTCGGCGAGCGGCGTCGCATGTTCCTTCGCCGGTGGTGGCGGAATGGTCGAGCACCCGACGGGGCTGGAGACGAGGTACCACACATTGCCTGGGGAGTCGAGCAAGCCCCATTCGGATTCGAAGCTGCGCTCGGACACGACCGACTCGAACTGCTGCGCGCCATCTCCGTTCATCGTGACCGTTGTCGTCGTACCGGGCTGCAGGTGTATGACGGGACCATCGTCGTTGTCGTCGACCTGCAGTTCAACCCGTGCTCCTGGTTCCGGCTCGCCATTCTTTGCGCGCTCCCGTGCTTCTCGTCTCCGCCGCGCCAGGGCTGCCGTCTCCTCCTCGCGGAACCGCATGTATTCGGCGTCCATCTCATCCTCCTGTCCCGTGCCCCATGCTAGTCCGCGCAGGCCGCGCGGCTCAGCGCCAGACGAGCGCACGCACACTCGCCGCGAGTTTGTGCGTTCACACGCAAGCCACACCTCGCCATAGTCCATGCACCGCTGAGCGATGTCGAGCGGCAGGCCCCGCGCCACGAGGCTATCCTGGATTTCCTCGATCTGCGCAGGTGTATACCCCGGATGCCGATGGGGCTTGAACTCCTCCCGGACGGAGAAGTAGCGCGGCGGGGGCATCATCGGTCCGCTCTCGTTCGTCGCAATGTCGTACTGGTCGTTATGGTGGCGATTGTGATGGAAAGCCAAAGGAGTGTATGTCGATGGAGAGTCGGAAACAACAGGAGGAGGCCAGTGGAACAAGTGGGACGTTAAGGAAAATCGCGGGGTTGAGTGGTCGATGACGCGTAGATTGCCTGCGGGCCATGGCGGCGGCGTTGGATTCAGCCGAGGTTCACCCGGATCAAAATGGCTCGGTCAAAGTTCAGACGCCGAGATTTCTCCTGGGTGCCGATTGCGTTTGATGTGTTGATCAGCCGTTCGTTATATCCTTGTCCGAGATTGCGTCTTCCCTCCTTGCACCACCACACCTCATCACACCCGCAACCATATATTATGCCACGATGATCCGCCATTCCCCTCTTCGAGCATTGGGCGCTCGACTTCATTCCTTCCTCTACGCATCTCCCCCGATACCGATACGAGCTCGCCGTCTGCACACCTCGCCATGTTGCTCCAAGGACATCTGGGCGAAGTACCGCCGCCCGCCCTTGAAGCAGCCCGACGGACCTTCCTCGTCCTTACTCAAGCAGATTGAACCAACCTTCGCCCCTCCCGCTATCACTGGACCACGCGATAAGGCTGCCGAGGTCGAGGGGGTCAAGATTCCTCCGAAACCGATCCCGCCAGGAGATGAAGGTGAGTCAGCATCGGAGTGTGCCTTCCTCCACCGTCACACGATCGGCGGTGGAGCCTACCCGGAGTCGCACGACCACAGCACCGACGATGCCCTGTGTCTCTGAGGCCAACTAATGAGTAGACTGCTGCATGTCCGGCTGCGTGCATTGCGTCCTGACGATATATGCCGAGGACTCGGAGGAATATCAGAACGCTATGGACGAGGCAAAGAAGCGACTCGAGAGTAAGGGCATTCCAAGGGACAAGTGGCCGGCTGTCATGGACGAGCTCGAGCAGAAGGAAACGGAGAAGAACGAGCCGGCCGTGGACCCATCAATGGCAGCTTTCATGGCGTGAGTATAGGCAAACTTGGGGTCGCCGAATCTTGGACCATCGCTGACTTGAGCAGTCTTGAAAACAAGCTCAAGAAGAAGTAAAGTAGCCCAACACCCCACAAGGCGAGGAAGGTTCGTACACCCAAATCCTATTCCCCTTGGGTGGCGCATTACCCCACTGCAGGTTGTGAGTAATGCGTCCGCGGATGGGATGGACGGCCGCTGCCTATCTTTACAGCGTGTAGCATCTAGCAACATGTTAGGACACAGCTTGGGGGTTGCCTGAAACTTCAGCTAACGTCAGTGGATCATAGACTATCATGCGTGAGCATCGTGCACTTGGCCGGCTTTGGAGACAGACTCTGACCACGCGCAGATATACAGCATCTTGTTAGCAGGCTTCGGCCGCCTTCGCTAAGGCAAGATCTCACAAGCGTCCTGTTTGAGCGACCCAAACTTCCATCCTGCGTTCTTCATCCTGATTATCCATGCTGCGCGCGCAATTCTGTTATTTAGAAGCTCGTGCGGTGAGCTGCGCTTTTGTCCACGCCAGTATGGTCGATCCTTCTCGCGTGTCCGAGCTGCTTGTTCTTGGTTGAGGTATGGCTCTCCAGCAGCATCGGATATCATGCTGTGTCAGTAGCGCTACGACTGTTCCAGTCAGGACGAGTTAAACGGAGTGTTGTTGTTAACATCGCGGAAAGGAACCTCAACTCCGTCAATCGCTAACAAGCCAAGAACGCGGCCTCCTGATACGCTTCCCGGTAGACATTCAACCTCTTCGTGCGCAGGAAGCTTGCATCAGCCTGACTTCAGGCCCGTTGTGCAGCTTTGCCTCAGCGCCTCGTCACCTCTGTCGAACGATCATCAACTCTTCTTGGTAAGTCTTCTCTGATTCTCCCCATGTGAGCTAGTCTTCTCGAGGGCAGCCTAACCAGAAGATCATCAACCATCTATCGATCAGGCCGGTGCGACCATCCGTCGCGACCGCCTCCCCAAGGAAACGCAGCCGATTTTGACGGTGACCCATGCTTTGTGAGCTCTTGGTTCTGTGAATCATCTAGATCTGCTCGGCGACGAAGGCCAGAACGGGGTGGGAAAAAGCATCATCCCGCGTTAAGAGCATAACTGCGTCCTGGCAACGTCGTCGTTCCCAATGGAGTGAAAAGGCCCCAACGACTTCGGCCATTGTCACAAGACAGCTTCTTTGGCAAATCGATCTCGAGAGGGGATCGTGTGTGATAAACAGAAAGCGACATTGGTGATAAAGTGTGACTACCCCCACAAGCTCGGCCCAGCGAGCTTGAGAAGAGTCCAAACTCAGCTACCGAAAGAAGGAAAAGGAGTAGATAAGATATCTCCAATCGTGTTTCAAGCTGGCCAACGTCCCATGTTTTGCCAAGCGGTCTATTTCAAAACAGGTCCAGCAATCGTTCCGAAAGAAGACATAGGCGGAGGTTGCTGAGCCCGTCCGGGCTACAGAGGTACGTACACGCGTCGTACGTGGGAGATCGCTCCGAAGCGTAGCAGTGAGCAACGAGCGTTAAGCTTTTGAACTCTGTTGTTGCAGCCTATCGAAAATTCCGAGACGATGTCATCGATCAGTCCGCGAAGGTGATCGAGCCGCGTTTGGCAAGAAGTTAGGTCACAGGAACATCGTGAGCCGCGGGCACCTCCACAAAGCATTCTTACGAGAACGGCAGTGTCAAGAAGGCATGTGTTCTAAGCCTGGGAAGTCAAGTCGATGACAAGCCGAAGTAAAGGAGGCGATGACGCTGCGGTTCCCTCGCGCTGCACGCCGCGATTGGGACAATCCTTGGCTCGTTGTTCGGCTCGGAGGATTCAGCGAGGCTAGGCAGGCCAGCTGACCCGTTTCATGACGCAGACTGCCCGTCAAGAATGCCCGCTAGCTTCTTTACTCGTGCCTCTCGGACTCGGAGGGATGTGAGGTACTCGTGGCCTCTCCGAGCCGAACCTCAAACGGGGCAGGCGGTAGGCATGCGTGCAGCCGCTGGATGCCGGTGGGTTGTCGCGTATCCTGGAGCGCCAGGCGTGGCTGCGGACCGTCCTGGGGCGTAAGCTGGTCCGGGTCCGGGTTGATTGGAGCCAACCGTCATGTTGTCAAGGAAGCACAGCAGCGTTCCTCCGGGCTCAGATGGCTGAGGCATTTGTCGCCCCGTCATGCTTGCTGCAAAGAGCAACATTGAGCGTCGTGCACCCCTTCTCGGCGCTTTTCTCCCGCTAGTTCATGGCTGGGCGGTGCGACTCCCGGCGCCGTCATCGTGACAGCGGGCACAGCGGGCAAGGCGCAGCCGGCATGGCCCTCGATGTGCTCGGGACATTTGACGATGGCTGAGACTGGGGTCCATAGTCCTGGGTGGCTACCAGCTGTGCTCTCCCGTCAGACCAGCCTGAGTGACGTCCAACCGGTCTCAGCGGTCTCAGCCGTTTCGCAACCGAGCCGCCGCCTCGTGAGATGTTTCGTGTCGTAAGTCACTCGTAATCCAGCGTCAGAGAGCGTAAGCCGCTGCGCACGGGCAACTGTGCCAGAACACAAGTGAATTGTTTCCATGCCGTCTGTCACGTCTGTCGCAGGGGACAGTGAATGCTCGAACGAAGGCCGGGCGCAGGTTAGAGACAGGTGGACCCAGTAATCAGTGATGACACGGGTTAGTCCTGGTCTCGCACCTCGAAACGTCGGCATGGATGGAGAACGGCTTAAGCTTAACGAACTGTTGTTCGGTTGCCTTGGCGTTCTCGCTCGTCTCGCTGCTGAGCCGTGCTGCGCGCTTCGTCATGTCCTTCTCGTACCCTTTCGTTCCTTCGAGATCTGTCGCTTGATCACGCGCCCGAGCCCTGGACGTGAGGAGGCAGGTCGACGGGAAACCAGCAGCTGGGCAGACGGGCAAACGGGCAAGGGCAGCCTGTTGCCTACTACGCTGCTGATAACGATCCCGTGGGAAGCAGTATTATGTCAACCACTGCCTGCAGCTGTGCCGGTCGGGTTGGTCGGGCTGGATGCGATCGGTGGAGCAGTAAAGCTGTAAAGCTTAATCCGCGTTCCTGCCTTTCTTGCTCGTTCCTGCTGTACTCGGCCGGTCTCGCTCTTGTTCCAGCGTTCGAAAGGTTCTATTGTGCACGAGTGCTATCACTGTCCTTCGTATTCCCTCACGCCAGCCTGCTGAGGACGGCTTGTCCGGATCGAAGCATTCGTTGGAGCAAGGCCGGACCGTTATGACGATGTACGTACGCATCCCCATCATCATGTAGGCTAGACAGATGGCCAGCAGCCAGCCCGTCGGTGCAATCCTGGCCCGAATTCCAACAGCCATCAACGCACCCGTCTCCCACACCACCTCTGAGTCTGAGCGGGAAGACCAGGCCACCCAGCCAACTCTACTTCCAAAGGAACGGGCACATGCCACTTTGCACCCTTACGGTAGATCATCGCGTCTGCGAGTCTGCTGACTCTTTGACTGCTTTCGGCAGTTTTGCCACCTCCCCCCTTTTCTCATCTACCGTCCTGCGCCCCGGATGGGCTGGATAAGGACGTGCTTACGAGACTCTTGGCCCCATCGGGTCGGTCGTGTAAACCTTGCTCAGCCCTATGCCGACGAGAAGGAGAGCACCACCAAGGGCACCACCGCGTTGCCTTGCTACGCGACGCCGATCGGCGCAGCATGCCGTCCCGACATTGAGGCCAGCGTCATAGCCTCGTCAGTGGCGACTGCTCGCTGCCTGCTCACTGCCTGCTCGCTGCGCTTACGCGCGCTCAAGGATGCTTTATCGTTTATCATATGTCTATCATCACCGCTATCGTAAACGGGCGGAGGGCGTGAACGCCAGGGGGTTTAAGGTGGGTTGGACCACCATAATACATTACTACACTTGAGTTGAACAACTAAATTACACGATGTATACCAAAGAGAGAGACTGTCCGGAAACGCAACGCAGGCGGGAGACGGGAGCGAGAGTCTAGATCTTACTCATCGCGCGTCTTGCGCTTGCCGAGAGAGGCGAGCGCGGCCTGGAGCGCCTCGGGCGTCTTGAGCGGCGTGCTGTTGTTGTTCTGTCCTTGTCCTCCGTTGACGAGAATGAACTTGAGCAGAGAGTTCTCCTTCTCGAGCGATGCCTTCTCCGACGTCAGGTTGGCGACCTGCGCCTCGAGCTCCTTCGCGCGGCGCTCCAGAGCCTGCTCACGCTCCTTCTTCTTGGCGCGGAAACGGGCAGACGCCTCCGTATTCCGGCGGCGCTTGTCCTCCTCGATCTCGGCGGGCGGGGCACCCATCTGCTTCAGACGCTTGGCACCGGTGATGCGCTCGCCGGTTTGTCCGACGCGAAGGGAAGGAGTGGCGGGGGTCTCGGGGGCAACGGACTCAGCGGCGGGCGTACTCGTCGAAGTGGACGCGGCAGCGTTGTACTGGTTCGTGAGGTTGAGCAGGTAGTTGTTCGGGAGGATGGGGGGCTCGTCGGCAAAGTTGGCGAGGAAGGACTCAAGCGTCGTCGGCTTGTCGGTGGAAGCAGGAGACTCCTTGGCGGCAGTGGTGGTGGCGGGGGTAGACGCGGCGGGCGACTCCTTGATCTGCTGCTGCTGCTGCTGAGCCTGCTCGCTGGCAAGCTTGGCCTCGAAAGCCTGAGGGGCGACACCGATGTTGGCGAAGAGCTCGTCCGTGTTAAGGAAGGACCAGAAGGCCTCCTCCTGCTCAGCGTTGAGGGCCGTCGAGGGCGGCGAAGAGCTGGAGGGGATCGCGTTCAGCGTCTGGAGATGGGGAGGAAGGTCGGAGTACATGGTGACGACAAGTGATAGACGAAGGGACAAGTGGCGATGAAGAGAGTGAGGGGAGCCAAGTCGGGATCGAGGTTTGTCGGGTTGTCGGTCGAAGGTTGGCTGAAGTAATCGACGCAAAGACTAGTTGGGTGCTAGTTGCTGGATGGGGTTTTTGGGGCAAAGGCTAGATATCAAGGAGAGTGCAAGAACGATATATATAACCCGGGTGTTTTTGGAGCGCGGCGTAGGGCGGGAGTGCTCTGCGAGGATGCGCTAAGTAGAGTTGGGGTCGTGAGGTGACGGTCGGGGGGTAGGGGGTGAGAGACAAAGAGAGAAGTAACGATATAACGATGTGTTCGGTGGAACGGTATGGCGCGGCGGCGGTAGGCGGACAGGAGGAGACGAAGCGGGCGTGGGCGGATGGATGGATGCGGTGGTGCGCAGTGCAGGTGAATAGCCAGTAGTAAGGCTGCTCCTTCCTCTGCGTTTTCGCGGTGGTTCGCTTAGCTTGGATGGCCCGCGGGCATGCATGGCTGGCTGGCTGGCTGGCTGGGCGGTGGCTGCTTGGAGCGCTCCAGTCAGTGAGTCAGTGCATGGGAGCAGAGCCTGCATGGCCGCAGGTTAATTTCCCGGCCGGTCGCGCCGGTGGCCGCCTGTCGACCAGCCTGCGCCTCTGGTTGGTGACTCGGGCTCTTCGGGGAAGTATGGAAGCGACCGCAGACGCTAGAGACAACCTTACTCAGCTCCAGATTGGCCTCCGTCGACTCACCATACTCAGGGTCACCCATTGGCGTTATTTGTCTTTCTGAGCACGCAATCGCTCATCCAATCACCGCATCACGTGACCCGGTTAAACGGTCTTCCCCCTCCTTTGGCCCCTCCTGGCCCCCCATTGCTCGCACCAAATTTGCGTCCAGAATAGCGAAATGCGCCGATCCTGACAGACACAAGAGATAAGAGAATGCATGACTTTTACGTAACTTCATGGCCTGGGGAACGAGAACGGTCACGTGTAACTTCTGCAGCTTCATGGGACATGATAAGACGCGCAGCGGTACCAGCGGTTGGCAGAAAAGTCCATTGTGATGGTGGCAACACAATAACGGGGTACGCAACCCAGTGCACCCAAGCTTCTAGCGTACATGTGCACGAGCAGTGCGCTGACTGATCGCTGATCTTTGGAACCGGTGACAACGTTCCATGGAGCTGCCCACCTGGCCACCTGGCGCGTACCACGTTCTTGGGGCTTCGATCACCCCCACCGCAGAAAAGCATCCGAGCTCATCGACATTTGCTTGCTCAGCATCGGTTGGAGCCACATTGCAACCCTGATCGAGCCGCGCGTGACTTCATGCAGGGATGTTGGTGTGTAAGCACGGAGTTCTCACGACCGTCAACAGCGTTTCCACCTGCTCCGTCAAGCATGACGTCCATGCAGGGTGTGGTCCATGACGACCTCTGTCTGCGAGATCGCAGGGAGCAGAGCCTGACAGCGGCGCCGCTGACGCCGATCTCTTGGAGCAAGTCCGAGACTGTCAGTCGACCGCGTGGAGATGCATAACAGCATAGACAGCCGAACGTGTGCATGCATTTGGGCATCTGGCCAAGGGGATGCCTAATTGTAACCTCATTATCTGCCTCTGAAGAAGATACAGCAGTTGCGACATGCTGCTCAACGTAAGCCGTAATGAGTGCGAGGGCAGCCCCGTCGATCGCCTTAGTCGACGATCGCCGTCGGTCCGCGCGAGTACGAAAGCGGAAAGGCGAAGCTTAGCGGTCTGCTATGCATGGTGCAGTGTGGTTGGTCCTCGTTATCAGATAGACAATGACGTCCCACGCGTCCTAAGGCTGGGGGTCGAGCTGGCCTTCGACGGAATCAAATGCAGGTTGAAGCGAAACTGTCGGACATAAGAAAATATTGTTCGTGTAACTCCGACTTGGGCTCTGCAAAGCTTACGTAAACCGACCTTGAAGGGACTCGGCTGCCAGTGGAAGCGCTGTTAGGTGGCCAAGATCGAAACCAACCATCAAGCTATCAGAGGTAGTGGACGACATGGTGAGTACGACCGACGAGCAGGACACGGCCCCGACACGATCACGAACGACATCGACACCCGCGCGAACCGACGACGACGAAAAAGACGACGATCGAGAAGGAACGGTTGGAAAGGCTGGAAAGTTGAAGCTTTGGGGAAGATGTCGACTGGGTAGTCGGGAGGAAGCGTTCGCGACGGGCAGTTTTGAAGTGATGAGCAAGACGCTGCAGACGAGAATAGCGTGCTGTGTTTGTCGTGATTGCCGAGAAGCTGGAACTATCGTCCAAACGCTTCGTCCGGATTCGTGTCAACAAGTGCAACCGAAGTACCTACCATCTTTCGACCTACCAACACATCGACCGAGTGATCGTGAACGAGCCGTGTCCTGCTCGAACAAGCTCTCCGCCACAGTTTGCCGTGAGCTAACAATGCAGTCGCAGCAGCAGCCTTCCACTTTCAAGCGCTTTGTCGAGGTCGGCCGTGTCGTCCTCGTCAACGACGGTCCCTCGGCCGGCAAGCTCGCCGTCATCGCCGAGATCATCGACCACAACCGCGCCCTCATTGACGGCCCCGCTACTGGCGTTCCCCGCCAGCAGTTCCCCTACCGCCACCTCATCCTCACCCCCTACACCCTCGCCAAGCTTCCCCGCGCCGCCGGCTCCGGTGCCGTCAAGAAGGCTTTCGAGAAGTCTGGTGTTGAGGACAAGTGGGCTTCGTCCGCCTGGGCCAAGAAGCTCGCTGCCCGTGAGGCTCGCAAGGTGAGTAAGAGATGTGGGGTAGGATCGAGCACACGGAATCGATCCTACACGCACAGCTGAGTTTCCGCACAATGGTAGCTGACATTCAGGCCACCACCGACTTCGACCGCTTCCAGATCATGATCGCCAAGAAGCAGCGCAGGGATCTCGCTCGCAAGGCTTACGCCAAGGAGCGCAAGGCTAACGCCTAAGTGTATTCTTGGAGTCCTTGTTTGGTGTACTTAGGGGAGGAGTGGACGGTGACGCTTTCCATTAAAATCGTCGCTCTGATGACATGCTCATTCGCATCTGCACACTGTATTCAGAACAAACCCGAAGCACGCACAGAACACACAAGCAGCGCGCGCGTTGCAGCACGACTGAGAACAGGGCTGGGACGCTGTCAGAGGAGCTGGAATTGAGCATCGGAACATGCTGTGGGCCGGGACAAGACATTACGGGCAGCTGGCAGCTAGAAGGCCGATCGGCAGGAAGCCTGCCAGGGAGCTAGCTCAGAGAGAAGAAACTTGGCCGAAACTGTTCACCAAGTCACGTGAGAGTCTTAAGCGCACGTGGCAACAACGCCCAACATCTGCATACAGGGTGGCAGACTGTGTGCCTGCGAACCTGCAGGTTACTCGGTATGTAATCAGCAAGCCCCAGTAGGGTACGTTCCAAGCCACAGCAGAGTTTCTCACCAGGGACAGAAGAAGAAAGGTCAGACAAAGTGGTCGCGGGACTGAGAGGCGCAGGCGAAATGCAGATGTATTGAAGCTGCGCATCAGAAGAGCTCCACACCTTGACACGACTTTGGCCGACACGGTCTCGGGCAGTAGTGTGGCTCAGAGAGTCAGTAACCGGGGTGAGACACATTCAGCCCGAGTGAGAGGTGAGGTATACGGGCGCCGAGCAAGTCACACAAGTCAATGACAGTGAATGAGCCATGTGGCGTGAATAAAAATGCATACATGGATAAGTATAGTTGCTTATGATTTATAGGTGTGTTGTGCGGGGCAGGCGCCCCGAGCCATGTTGTGGTCGTAGTTGTTACAGTTGATGAAAGGAGGCTTGAAGAAAATGATCGTCCTGAAGGAGAAGCCCAAGAGGAATGAAAGGAAAAACTAGTCGCCGCGCTGCGGCTGAGGAACAGAGACGGGAAGCTGTGCCTCTTCATCAAGGCGTTGGACGATGCTCATCTCGGGGTCGACAAAGGAGACAGTAGGGCTCTTGGCTCCAGCACCGTTACGGCTGCCCGTGCCCGTCCTCGAGCCAGTGCCCACGACTTGCACGGGCAGGCTGCTGCTTCCATGGTTGGACTGGGCGGTGCCGCTCCTCTTGGGCCACCTGAACGGTCCCAGGCCCGGGATACCTGACCCGTGCCCGTGTCCGTGGCCGCTGGATCGGCCGGACCGGTGCTGGTTCAGCGTACCGCGCCTCACGCGGCGGCGCACAACGCGTTTCGTGTGGAACTCGACCGCACCGTAGATGACGAGGTTGAGCAGACCCTGCCCAAAGATCATCCAGCGACTCATGGCGCGCACGCCCGTGGGCGGGTTGCCGACAAAGTCGTAGATGATGCGCACGGTCGAGACGCCGAAGAGCAGCACATAGCCGAGCGGGAACCAGAGCATGAGCAGCGCCGTCTTGCGGTTCAGATAGCTGCTCATAGACTCTTGGATGTACTCGGACGAGTGGTGCGAGGCCTGCGTTCCTTGCCCGACGCCGGCGCCGTCAGAACGCAGCATCGCGAGCAGGTCCATGTCATCGTCGTCTATTGACTCCGGAGACGCGACGGGCACAAGACCCTTCTCGAGGTCGAGCACCGAGGAGTTTTCGGGGTTGGGCAGGAGCATGGGCTTCGGGCACAGGATCTCGGAGGACGTCTGCGCCAGCGTCCCCGGCGTGCTTGGCGCGGACTGGGTCGGGTTAAATGTCCGACGGGAGGGGGAGTCGAGGTCCACCGCCGTCGTGCCGTCACTCGTACCCGAGATGGCGCGCTGCACCGCAATGTCGGGAAGCTCCATGGTGTCCATCTCCTTTTCCTTCTCCTTCTCCTCGCCCTCGACCTCCTGCTTGATCTCCTGCGGCGCCTCTGCAATAGGCGTCTCGTCGTGCTCGTGCTCGTGCTCGTGCTCATCCTCCTCGTGCACAGTGTTCGTGGGGCTCATCAATGGTGGGGAGAACACCCTCTGGTGCTGCGGGAAGTTGGCGAGTGTCGAATTCGGTCGTCGGATGAAGCCAGCGAGCAGCGAGTTCTGCCTGTCGTTGCGGTCCGAGCCGCCGTATCGCTGTCCATCGACTTGGAAGGGCGGAAGCTCGACACGCTCCCAGGGCGGGATCCCGTCGTCCTCCGCCACCACCGGCTTGCGGTGCAGGAGGTGCGGGTTGAAGTGAGGGAAGTGTGGCATGTGCATGTGCGGCATGTGGGGCATGTGCAGGTGCGGGAGGTGCGTGTGGTGGTGTCGCGTGCGCTCTGGCGGGGCGGATTTCGAATCTCCCCTGGAGGGGAGGGAGGACTTGCCCAGGCTTGAAGTCTCAGTGTGGTGTTCATCGATGATGATCGTCTTCTCCTGCTTCGTGAAGAGCCTCTTTCGGCGGCTCTTGCTCCGGCTGTTGAGCCAGGAGCCCTTTAGGCCGTGCGACCAGGAGGAGCCGCTGTCGTTGCTGAAGCCCGTGCGGATCTTGTCCGGCCGCTTCAAGAATACGTACAGCTTGCCGTACAGGATCGCGATGACGACAAAGACGACGCCGCGGGGGAGGAACTGAATCAGCTCGCCGAATAGCCCGCTGTCGTCCTGGTAGTAGCAGATTCCGCCCGTGGGACCATAGCCGTAGAGCACGTAGCCGACGACGGAGACGGCGAAGGAGATTGCCCACACGAACAGCCAGTTCCAGTACCAGTACTTCTCGAGCAGAATGGTTGTATTGCTGAGGGGGTGGATCAGGATCATGAATGTCGTGAACGCCAGAGCGAGCGTCCAAAGGTGCTGAGAGAAGACGATGGCCGTAAAGGTCACGCCGAGACCGTCGCACTCTACGCTGTCCTTCACTAGCGGGTGGCCGGCGAGCTGCTGAATGCATCCGATCAGACCTGTGATACCCATCATGAGGTCGGACACAATGAGTGACTGCACAAGTCGCATGCGTGTGGTCGATCCGCGGCCACGGAGCTCGTTACGCAGTGTGTTGCCGAGAATAATCAGCGAACCGATCGTGGTCAGGATCTAATGGGTCAGCAAGAGTTCATCGAGAGGTCCTTTCGCCACGTCCGTCCCACTAAGGTATATATCGATTTGTGTCGGACAGGAACACGGCGCCAAGACAACTTGCACTCACCAGGATCACAATGTCCACGGCGACGACCCAGGTGTCGTTCTCGACGTTTGTAATCTGCGCCGCAATGTGCGCGACATGCTCAATTTCGATCTCGACATACTTGTCGGTTTCGTTCAGGGCGGTATTGATGTCAAACATGGTGTACTAGCGCCTGCGGCCTGGGGCCGAGACAGTCGTTGCTCCTTGGGTTGCGACGTCGCTGCTGAGTTACTCTAGTCGAAGAGGAGAGGAGGAGGGAGAGGTGTGAGTCTGCTGCGTTGCGTATCACTTCGTGTAGCCAGATGCTGGTGGTATCGGGCTTTCAATTTTTCGGTGACCAGATCTGTCGGAGACTCGGTTACGTTGTCTGAACTCTCCGTTTCGGGCGTCTGTCGTCGTCGTTCAGTCGCTCGTCGTCGCTGTTCGTCTGTCTAAGCAAGAGAGTATGTCAAGATGAAAGTCGACAGAGAACGGCTCAGCTAGAATTTGCCCACTGCTCTGCTGATGACGCCCGGACGAGCCGGACGAGTGCCCATCTCGTTGCCGCCCCCGCTTGCCGCTGTGCCGTTCCAGCAAAAGCAAGGGTGATGGCGTTCGGTGTATTCGCGGCCCTTACGACAGACCCACGCCCCCGGCGCCCAGGCCGGGGGTAGTGGTGGCCGAGAGCTCTGCGCAGCTGTAACAGCGCAGCTCTGCTCTCACCCGGAGCCGATGAGTCGCTCCACAGCGCTGAAAGCCGGACGAGGGTGGACGAGGGTCGAGGGAGACGAGAGGGATGCGAGAGGGGTTAATGAGACATGAAAAAGCCACTTATCTTATCCCCTGGGAGCCCTTCAGGAACGCGCTGTCCCTGGGCAACAGAGTCGCCGGTCTGGTCGGATGAAGATATTGGCAGAGCAGAGGGGCAGTGCTGGCAGAGGTTGTTCGGTGCGTTTGTGCGTTGGTTTCCAGAATCCAGGGAACACAAAAATGGGCCGGCGCAAGCGCTGGCTTGGCATCAGTAGTGAGCCTGCGTAGAGCACAGAAATCAGTCAGGGTCTATCAAGATGTGGCAGAAATTCCACCGATGAATCAGAATACGAGACACACTACTCATCACCTCAGCCGGCCACCGAGACCTGCTGCCCCTGCTCCCCTCGTCCCTTCATTAGAAACAAGCCAAGGTCGACCCACGGACGCAGAGTATGTAATCTCACTTGGTCCTATGGACAGGTGGCTGCGGACCTGAATTCGACCTGCCAAAAGATGGCACGGAGACATTCCGATGTCCCCCAACTTCACTACCAGGTATGCTGACAGGGCCTGAGGGGCCTGAATTCAGCGGGAAGCATCAGATCTCATCTCCAGTCTTTTGTATCGGGCAGCACAGCCAGATCCTCCGAATCCGGTGACTCGGACGTGACCCGGGTTACGAACCGGTAGATCTAGGCATGCACGCGGGCCGCCGGCCGAGTCAGCCCAGTAAAGACCGTCCACAGTGCGTCCACGGAAAGAAGCATACTAGCTTGCAACACAGATGAGATGAATGAAGAGTACAATGGAATGCTAACTGCGAGTGGAGCAAAGTAGGTGCCAAGATGAACATGAGAGTTAATTATGAACCTACGATCGCGAGGCGCCAGCGCCAGAAGCAAGCCAGACGCAAGCCCAAGTGAGTCCGAGCTCGAGACATATGCTCGATCGGTGGACACGGCGGACGCCGACGCCTGAGGCTGGCGCTGCGGCGTTGCGGGACGTTAACACTGGCTGACGATGGCTTACTGCTTCCTTCATCGTGCATCAATCAGACTGGCGGAACACTGCTAGGGGGCAAGGGCGGAGGGGACACTGTGTGAGCCACAGAATCAGAGGCGGCGACGCCGGTCCCGGTACTTCATCAGCCATCGTCCTGCACATGCCCCAGCCTGGCCCGCTTGTCAAACCGGCGTAGACTGGACGAGGCTGCAGAAGGGACTCGTCTCCATCGCCAATGCCTGCTGATTTGGACACCTGCAAAGGGCAGAAGTGTCAGGAAAAGAAGGGGGCTGGCGTCCAGGGCCACAGACGGCAGAATGTGACCCTTGCTCAAGTCTCACCAAAGTTCGCCAGTGCCGAAGAGCCCATGCCCGAAAGCAGAGCCTAATGCGGCTGACTTCTCAAATCAACGTGGTGAAGAGCTCTTTAACAAGGATTTTGCGAGAACGATGGCAGTATCGTTCATCTACATTGATTCAGCTTGAAGCTGATCAACATTTAGTTCATGAGTGCTGATTCAAATGGCAGCTGGAAAATGAAATACCGTTAAATTCGTATCGCAACAGCCTGGCAGTGATACCATCAATGATCTCCGAATGAGGTAGGTAATTCCACGTCTCCACATTCCTTTCATCGCAACAGAAAGACGATAGGGGAGATGCGGCCCGATGAGCAGGTACTCCACGGTCTGAGTATTCTATCTGAACGGCGTCTTCTTCAAGAATCGTGAACCCAGAGCCTGCGGCGCTGCGTGAAACAGCCCTCCGAGCCGACGAACCAGCCGAATTGGAAAGTCCTCTTACGTTAGCACAATGGACGTACGAGGCTTCAACGTGCATGCCATGCAGTTCTCGCGCGAGACGTGGTTCCTGGTTTACCCGTGAGAGTGTGGAGGTTGGGTAATGAAGTCAAGCGAGCTTCAGCCGGTGGCTTGGGTGTTCGGCTAGCAGTGGACTGATGGGCTGATTACCGACCAGCACCGACCGCGGCGGCGCACGTTGTTCACATGGGCAGAACAAGGTACCATCACAACTTCTGAGATGGTGGAGAACGTCAGCCTCCTCGCCTTTGTGTCTCGCATATCTGTCGCAGTGTGGAGGCAGGTACCGCAGCGAACATGACGATAGCCGCGGTGTGGAGGCAGTGGAGGGCTCGGTATGGAGATCCGGAACATGCAGCGCTCACTGCACGACGCACAGGTGACGCCATGCACCATGGTTTACTGAGAAAAAGTTGGACGAACGGCCGTATCTGTCCGTGGTGCTCGCCAAGGCACACCCAGAGGCACGCGCCTAAGCTGATTTCCTCCGCGAGGGGGCAGATATGCGAGCACCGCGAGGCTCGCCGAGCCTCGTGCACTGAGTGCTATCCCCACACTTTCCAGCGCAGTATGCCGCATGCAAGCGTCTGCACGAATCAGAGCGGGGCGTACAGTGCATTCGAGCGGCTGGACTCCGCAGACGAATGCGTACCCCCGTGTACCCCACACTCAGCCGGTGGTAGTGAAGAAAGGGACGCCGCTCAAATCCGGTCGATAAAAGTCCGAGTCTGGAGCCCCCGCACCCAGTGTGACCGGGGTGCCCGGTGTCTCCGGGTTGGCCGGGTTTCCTCGCCGGCACATCCCACCTACGTGAGCCATCGCTTCGGCTGGATCACCCGGCTCCTTATAGCCCGCTGGCTCCGCTCCATCCACTTGTTTCTTTTGTTTCTCCTCGCCCAGAGATCTCTTTTGCCGTCGTTACACCATCATCAGACTTGACACTTACATCATTGACGGCTGAGACACCAACACAACCACATCAACACTCGGCACCGAATCTCAACCACACAAACAACCATGTCCGCTCTCCGCTTCGCCCCCTCCTTCCGGGCCGCTGTCCGCTCCACGCCCGGACGACAGTTCTCGACGTCCTCTGTGCGCTGCGCCCGTGACACTAGTGCGCGTGCGCCGCGCTCGGGCGGGCGCAAGTGGGCCACTGGTCTGGGTACGTGTCCCCCCTGCTGTCCATTGTACATAAGGCTGACCAATTCCAGCTCTCGTTGCGGCCGTTCCGATTGCTTTTCTCGCTGGCGCGTGCTACCCGCCTCAGCTCGTGCTCATGTTCAACCCGCGCTACTCGCCCCCTCCGCCAGACAAGGACAGCAAGCACGGCCAGGCGCTGATGGAGGAGACGGAGCGCGAGCTGCAGAACCTCATGGTCGTGGCACAGCTGCGCGCCAAGCAGGGATGGTACGAGGCGCGCCCGTACGAGAAGTTTGACCCGCGCAAGGTGCACAACTCTCTGACTGCTGGCTCGCTGCGTGGACCGGGCAAGCTGGCTGTCCCGCCCATTGCGTTCGCGAAGGAGGACGAGAGCGAGGCCGTCGTCATTGTCCACCTCGGACGTGCGCTCTGCGGCCACGACGGCATCGTGCACGGCGGACTGCTCGCGACCGTCTTCGACGAGACCCTCGCCCGCAACGCCCTCATGGTCCTCCCCTCGCACATTGGCGTCACCGCCAACCTGAACATCAACTACAAGTCGCCGTGCATGGCTGACCAGTTCGTCGTCGTGCGCACGCAGCTCGAGTCCTACAAGGGCCGCAAGGTGAACGTCTCCGGACGGATGGAGACGCTGGACGGACAGGAGATTGCCAACGCGACCGCGCTCTTCATCGAGCCCAAGTGGGCCCAGTTCCTCGAGTCGTCGGGCGTCACCGAGGCCCTCGGCATCCCCAAGAAGAAGATGGAGGAGATTGAGATGGCCGTCCCCGGCGTGTCGGGCGTGACGGGGGAGAACAACCGCCAGGTTTGACTCGCGGTCTAGGCTGACCGAGAGGGAGGCCTAGACCCCGACGACGATGCCTGCGGCTAGCGGCCGCAGCAGCACGGCCCGTGGTCGCTACAGGCAGCAAACAACCTAGCATGTGACGCTCGGCGTGGGACGGAGCTCGTAGAGTCCGCTCAACGTCGACGTCAACAAATCCCGACCACTCACACCATTGCAACACTCGCACCACGCCCATCTCGCCCCCGATCCGCAGTTGAGACCCAGTTAGACCCAGTTAGACCCTCATATCGTCCTAGACCCAATGCTCATTGTAGTGCCTATTCACTTGTATGGAGACATGATGTATACCTCTAAGTCTGACGTTCAGAAATTTCTGCGACTGCAGAAAAACAAAGTTGGTGGGGCTGACCGAACGATACGCCCACGGAGGGCTTTGGGCGGCTCGGCAATCAGCCCGCCAGGCAGCCGGCATCCGTTCTCTCCGGGGTCGGTAGTTGTGGGGCAACCAGCACGTAGAGCGGAAAAACCGTCCGCCCAGACCTCCCTCATGCGCAGGAGCTCGAGCGTGAGAGAAGAGCGCACGTGGTCCAGGCCACGTGGTCCAGGCGTACCTATTTCACAAGATACAGGAGATGGAGCCAGCACGCCTGTTCTGCACACCTATCCCGTCGCGTCCCCTCGCTTCCCTCTTGCGTGCTGAACCCTGCGCAGAGCGCGCAGAGCGAGCGTGAAGAAGCACCGCTCCGTATTCCGGTCGGGCTTACAAGTTCTAGGCACTTACGCAACCCCAGCTCTTACTCTTTGCCCTCCCTGCCCCGTAAAAGCTACCAGCATGTACCGATCCGGTCCTCGCACGCAGGATGTGCAGGGCGCAGCTGTCCGTGTTCCAGACTTTCCAAGCGCGCCCCTACACTTCCTCCGTGATCCGTGACTTGCACAGCTCCTGCCTTCCTTCTGTAGGACTGCGGGTCTGTTTGGATTGCGCGGTTTTGGGCACGCCCCTTCCCTGCGTTAGTTGCCTAGTCTGTCTTGGCATTGCGCCTGTCGCAAATACAGATGCACGATCGAGCATCATAGACCAATACACAAAAGGTGATGATTGTAAAGGAGGGTATATACATCAAGGAGAGTCCGTGGAAAAGCTCTAGAGCGTTAAAAAAGAAGAGGAAGATTGTCAAGGTACGGGGCGTTGCGTGGAGGGACGGGCGAGCGGGAGTCGCCTGCCCGCGAGCCCTCACTTCACAGGATTGTAGTGCTTATCGACATGCTCCCACTTAGAGGAGGGCGGCGAGGAGCGAGCCACCAACAAGAGCGAGCGAGGGGACGAGGGCCGAAGCAGCGCCAGCCTCCTTGGTGCCGGCGGCAGCAGAGCCAGAGGGAGCGGCAGCGGCACCGTTGGTGTTGCCGTTGGTGGCCTGGGCCGAGGGCTGGTTCTCGCCCGCGGACATGGAGAGGGTCTGGCCGGCGGCGCCCGACTTGATGTCAGCCGAGGGGCTGGTGAGCTTGTTGGGGATGGCGGACGAGGTCTTGGCGTCAGCCGAGGTGGTGGCCGAAGCGGAGGACTCCGAGTCCGAGGACTGGGCGGCGTTGGCGTTGGTCGAGGGCTGGATCTCGAAGAAGCCCGACTCGGCAAGGATGGCGTTCTGCTGGTTCTTCTTGGCAGAGAGGATCTGGATGTTGAAGTCGCCGTCGGCGTTGGCGTCGGGGGTGTACGAGTACGAGTGCGAGTTGGTGTCAACGTTCTCGGCAATGATCTTGACGTCGTTGTTCTTGTCCTTGATCGCGAGGTTGAAGGTGTCCTCGTCGGTCGAGACAGAGGTCCAGGTGATGGTGGTGGTCTCACCGCCGTTCCACTTGGTGTTGTCGGTGGGCTGGGTGATGGAGATGGCCTTGACGGCGGCGAGGAGGGTGAGGAGGGTGGTGGCCTTGACGAGCATTGTGGCTAAAGATGTGCGAAGGAGCGTAAGGTAACTGTAAAAGTCGAAAAAGTCGAAGCGGAAAGGCGACGAGGAGTTAAAGAGAAAGGTAGATGATGGTGAGGAAGGAAGGAAGGAGTAGTTGGATGATCAGTAGGAAAAAGGAAAGCATGCATCGCTCGGAGGAGCAAGGGCAGCGCAGGGCCTAAGAGAGGGCGCTCATCGCCTCTCGGAGCAGAGAGGGGGGCAGGATGCCCAGGGACCACCGTGAGGCGTAATCAGGTGAATCAGGAGTTGAGCGCGAGCAGAGTCGAGATAGATGGCCGCTGGCCGTGTACGAGCGCAGAACATCTGCATCAGGCAGCACCCGAAAAATGCTTGGTAAGAGAGAGGTTTCTGGCGCGCCTGGGCCGGGCGCGAGTCGCGTCTCCTTCTCGCGTCCCTGGGTCTGGTACTCTGAGTGATGAGTGACGGCAGCGTGTACCCTGGAAATACCAAGTGAAGAGTATTCATCTTTGGCCAGGGCCTGCGAAGCCTATTTGCCTCGTCCAGCCGGTCGAGCACTTCTTCCCAGACTATCGCATATATCGCATTCTCTCAATGCTTTCAACGCGTACGAGATACTGCGCAATCTCAGCCCCTCCCAACCCCCTTCGGCTTCCCCTGCCGTCACTGCTTGTGCGCACTTCTACCCCTCCTGTGTCGTCTCGTCACTGCACCCGTCCACCTTCGTCGGCAGCAGTCGACTAAGGCTCATGAACACCGCAAGCAGCCGCAAGGCTATGCATAATGCGCACGGCGCACAGACTGGCCTTAGATCTAAGCGGACACTTGTGATCCACATACCCAGAAGCAGCAGTCCACACCGCTGCGTCTGATAGGCCAGGCATGTTTGGTTCCTGCGTCCACAAAGGGTCCAGCAGTCCGTTTTCCTGGGACAGCTGCATTCTAGACTGCACTGGCATGTCTAGGCTTCCAGGCTACCTGACCTTTGGCGTGGTATGGCTGAAATGAATAAATGGCAAGACGCGACTTGCGCGTTCGCAGGAACTCGCAGTTTGTTCAGCGAGATGGCGTTCATGGCGTTAGCAGAGGCGCAGAGGCGCGCCAGGCGCGAAAGCACGGCTGCCAGTTGGTCCACTTTGCTGAGAGCATGTGGGCGTGCGCGTGCCTCCCCGCCTCCCCTCCTGTCCTCGGCGGCCTTGGCCTGCAGACTGCATCGCATTGCGGTCGGGGCGTACGGGCGCCGCCCCGCCGTCTCGCTCGGAAGTAGCAAGGACGACGTCGGCCACACCCTCCGCTCTGCGGTATGCCCGGGTCGGACCTGTGCCGCGATACGTTGGTTGATTTGCGTGCTGTGTGCATTGCTTTCCTGTACCTCGTCCATTTCTTATCTATCTACAGAATCGCTGCGACATTCGGACCGACGTCAAGCCGCCCCCTTATCATCGCTTTTAGCTGCACTACTAATCTACTGCTTCTTCTTGTCGTCACCGCCAATAACGTCCTTGATGAACACGACCGCCTGCCTGACGGCACTCTTGGCGGCATTCGTGTCGTGCATCGAGTTGACCATGACAAAGTCGTGGATGATGCCTCCGTACCTCACGGCGGTGACCTCGACGCCCGCGCCACGGAGCTTGCCCGCAAAGGCCTCGCCCTGGTCGCGGAGCACGTCACACTCGGCGGTGATAACGAGGGTGGGCGGGAACTTCTTGAGCTGCGCCTCAGACGCCTGCAGCGGGCTCGCGGTCGGCTCCTTGCGCTGGCTCTCGTTGCCGGGGGGGATGTACTGGTCCCAGAACCACTTCATGCCGTCCTTGGCGAGGAAGTATCCCTTGGCAAACTCGTTGTAAGAGCCCGTCTCAAAGTTGGCGTCCGTGACGGGGTAGAAGAGCGCGGCGGCCTTGAACTGCACGCCGTCGTTGCGCTCAGCGGCCATGATGTTGAGCACGATCGCCATGTTTCCGCCAACACTGTCGCCTGAGATCACCATGCGGGACCCGTCGAGGCCCTTCTCTTTGCCGTTCTTCACGACCCAGACCGCGGCAGCGTAGCTCTGCTCGTTCTGCACTGGGTAGTGCGCATCGGGCGCAAGCGTGTACTCGGGGAACACGACGGCGTAACCGGTGCCGACGCAGAGGTCGCCCGCAAGCCTGTCGTGCGTGTGGGCAGAACCGAAGACCCATCCCGCGCCGTGCGTGTAAAAGACGACGGGCAGGGTGCCCTGCGCCCCCTTCGGCTTGAGAATGCGGACCTTGATCTTGCCCTTGGTCTTCGGGGAGTCAACCTCGATCCACTCCTCGTCCACCTCGGGCTTGGAGATGGGGTCGTCCTGGACTTTCTCGACGGCTGCGCGACCCTCTGCAGGAGGAAGCTCGAAGAGGAAGGGCGGCTTGGAGGTTGCTTCGCAGAAGGCCTGCGCGGCGGGCTCGAGGACATAGTTGTGCGGGTTTGCCATGGTGCGGGTGTCGCTGTGTTCAGTGGGTTCGTTGGTCGCTGAAGCTGGACGACCGGGTGGGAATGAGGGTCAATGGTGGTGTTCAGGCCACAGCTCCTTATCTACTGATTACTCCACCTGTGTCAAGGTCATGTCCATCCCCCACTCGTACAGCCGACGGGCACATGATGCTCTCCTGCATGTGGTTGCGTAAGATTTCACACGGCTACACGGCTACCCAGGCGTCTGGAGCGGTCGATCGTGTCGTAAGGTCGAGGTGACTCACGCGGACACCGGTGACATCACAGTTCGTCTCTGACTATCCGCCTTCCACCCGGCATCCTTCCACCCGCTATCTCGCCTCCATGACGGACACTTCACACTCGGCACCGGTAATCAAGAGGTACGAGTACAGGGAGTAATCAATATCCATGCGCATGTGGGGGTAATGTACGTTGTTGCTACGTGTGGGCGTGAGAATGTTATAGAATAGTATATTGCTAGCCAGTAGCTGCCAATCACTGCCTGCAGTGTGGCCGACGGCCTTTGGCCCAGCGAAGGTGGCAGACGCCGGCGCGGTGAACCTGGCCGCGCAAGCTCGCTTGTCATTTCGTTGAACGCCGAATGGATTCGCTGGAGATACCCCGGCGATGCACCTGGTATGTGCTGTCTCCATAGTCCGACGCACGCTTTGGCAGATCACAGCCTCAGCTCCATCGCCATGGCCGTCTTCGCCCTCGTCACCTCGACAATGGCAGCCTCGTGCCCCATAGAGCTCACGCTCATGGCACTCGTGATCGAGCTCTGCTTCCTGTGCCCTCTCTTCCGGAACGCAGGGATCGGCTCCTCAAGCCCGTCGTGGATGTCCTCCGACCCATGGTCCAAACTGTACGTCGCGTGCGTGTCGGCGCTGTAGTCGAAACTCGGGCGGGCGGTGTCGAGACTGGGCCGGCAGGTGTCCAAGCTCGGCCTGGTCTGGTCGAAACTCGATCGCCCATGCGTATCGAAGCTCGGAGGGCCATGCGGCCCCCGCGCGTCCCAGCTCGGCGGACGGTGGTCGAAACTCGGCCGTCCGGTGTCGAACGTGGCAAACGTCCGGAACGAGGCATGCGTTGTGTGCGTGTCCGACGTAGCGAGCGAGGCTATACTCCACTCGTCGTCCTGCCTGTGCCTTTGAGTCGCCGGCGCAAGCGAGGGCTGGTACACGTCTCCGAGCACCAGCGGGGTCGAGAGCGGGAAGCTCGATATCTTCTCTGCGCCTCTCCTTGTAATCGTAACCTTGCGACGGACGGGGAGTTCGAGTCCAGACGGCGTCACGCGGGCTGCGCTCGCAGCACTCCCAGTGCTCTCGTACCCGATGACGGGGGTGCGGGTTGCCTTCCGCGGCTCCTCGTCACACGATGCGAGGACGTGCTCAGTGACAGATGCAGAGGCGGACTCAGTAGATCCGGCCGGCTCAGCGAGCACCTCCTTCTCGGGCGGGAGCGGGGTCGGCGTAAATGGCGGAGTGAGGGGGACGCCGAACGGCTCCTCGCTCTGCCCGCTCTGCGAGTGATCGTTGGACAGCGACGGAGTGCTCTCGTCCTCGCTGCTGCGGCCCGAGTCTCCCCTCTCTGCACGCTCGCGCTCGAATCGTGGCGGGAGGTCAGGTAGCGGCTCAGTTGGCGGGCCGTGGTTCAGGCTAAGCCGCGCCATCTGGGGCAGGGACCAGGACTGCGGGATGGTGGCTGGGAGGTCGGGCAGGCCCACAGCGGTGCCGTCGTCGGCGGCGATGTCCGCGAGAAGCAGGTCGGGCGTGGACAAGGGATGCGCGGTGGACGCGGTGGACGCCTCGTCCGTGAAGAACGACTCGGCCGTCATGCCGCTATGTGCGGTGTGGAAGGAAGCTCGGTGGCTCCTGATACTCGTACGGCTGCGCTGCGCATCGTACAGCGTTCCAACCGAGGCGGATGCCTGGTGGCCTCTTCTCTGCCAGGAGGTACGCTGCCTCGAACCCGCCGGGCCAACCGTGGCAGCAACGCGAGAGAAGGGCATGTTGAGAGGACCCATCTGCGGCAGTGGCGGGAGATGCGGGGCATCACCCCTCGTGTGAGGCAAAGGCGCGCTCTCAGGCCCCGGAAGAGGTTCGTCGACCTCGTCCAGCGCCAGCATGGCCGGCACACTCGCCGTGAGGCTCCTTCGGGCCGATAGAGAGGAGCGCGGGCGCGACTGGAAATTGGAGCGGGCAGCCGAGAAGCCGATCGGCGCCGGGGGCGTACCGGCCACCCTCGGCGCTTGGGGTAAGGGCGGAGGAGAGAATGTCGGAGACGGTGAGGAGAAGTAGGCCTGTGTCGGCGGCGAGAAGGATCTCGTTCGTGGGGACCCGGAGAGCGAGCGCCGATGCGCTTCCGCACGGTCGTCGATGTGCTTCAGCGCCGGACTACCGGGCACTGACCGTGCGAGCAGGCTTGAGCCGCGCTGCGGGACACTGGGGAGCAGAGCTGGATCCTCCCACTCCGGCGCAGCGGTCTTGTACTCTGGCACGATGGACTCGCGAGTCGGTACCGAGGCGTAGAACGTGCTTGGCCGGGTAGGTGACGGGGGCATGAAGCCAACCGAGGGTACGAAACTGGCCGTCGAGCTGTTTGGCAGAGTGCCGAACTCACCCATGTCGTGGATCGAGACTCGACGGGAAACTCCTGAGACACCTGAGACTGTCGAGAGATGTGAGGACGGCCGCGGACCCCGCACGGGCACTGCACGAGGAGCAGGCACCGTGTGGACCGGCACTCGACCTGCACGCAGCTGCATGCTGTCTGGGCTGACCGCATTGATGGCATTAATTGCCGGCACGGGCTTAGGCGGCGTTGGCACCGGTACGGGCATCTGCATCGTCGGTGGCCGACGAGGCGTCGCGGATGCCACTTCAAGGGGTTCCTCATCTGGCCCAGCGCGCAGCGGCTGGAAGCCAGAGAAACCCGTATCGGCCAGAGGGGGCGGGGTCGGTGCTGTTCTCGGCGTCGGAGTCGTCGATGTGGCTCGGAACGACAGCTCTGAGGGTGTGCGGGGTGTCGGCGTCGTCGAGAGAGGGCGGTAGGAACTTGGCGGCGCTTTAGGGTCAGCTGCAACGGGTTGCAGTTGTAGGCCTCGACTTGTATGCTGCAACGATACCTTGAACCCCGGCCGGCCGGGGACGTCCATGTGTGTTATGTCGTTCAAGACTGGTGTAGAAATGACTGGACGGCTGCCTGTCGAGGCACTCCGCTGGACTCCGGGACTGCCGCGCTTTGAGAGCTTGCGTACGAGCCCCCCGATGCGGGTCGATGGTGTGCGTCCGACACGCGAAGGACCGCACGATGGCGGCCGGCCCTCCTTTGGCGAGTTCATGTTCATGTCCCGGATCTGATCCATGTCCGCCTTGCTCGGTATCGCTATCGTGGGTGGACGTTGACCCTTAGGCGTAGGCATAATCACGCTGGAGCGCTTCAAACCGGCTCGAGAGAACTTTGGCGCATGGCTCATGTCCACTCCTCCAGGCTCGTCGTTTACGGCCTGTGGAGCTGGTCTGCCGCCCATCGAGGCAGATCGCACCGGCGCTGTCCCAGTCGCTGGCAAGTCGCCCCACAGTCCTGGCGGAGCCTTGCGAACAGACTGCTGTCGCCGCGGGGCATTCTGGCGCTGGCTAGGGCTGCGGCGCGGACCCTCGCTCGGCGGCGCCAGCATGCTTCCCGTGGAGCGCGCTCGGCGGACCGACGTGGCCGGGGTTGACGGAGACGATGCGCATCGCGCACTGGTACGAGATGGCCCCGCCTCATTCGGGCTAGGGGCGCAGTGCACGGACTTGGCCCATATAACCTTGCCGCCCCCGCGCACGGTTGTTGTTCTGTTACGATGCGCCAGCGATGCCGAGCGCTTCGGCCGAGACGTCAATCCGAGCTCCGCAGTACCCTTGTTCTCCGTTGCGGTTGGGCTGTTCTTCTCGTCGTCGTCGAGATCCTTGAGCTCCTGGCGCAGAGGGGAGGAGAAGCGGACCTTGCTCGATCGGTGGCGCATGATCGGCCGAGGCGCTTCAAGCGCCATGGCGGATGTCGAGCTCGAAGGGCCGGTCACGGTTAGAGAGGGCACGGGCGGTACGTCCTCAGGTTGCGGACGCTTGATAACGTCGCTTTGAGTCGAGGTTCGTGCTTGTCGCCGTCGAGAGTTGGCCGCAGAACCGCGGGTAGCACTGTGCGATCCTGGCAGTTCCTCGTCGTTGCTCGGTTTCCAACTACTTGGCGCGTGAGCGGGTTTGATCCGTCTCAATTCGAGACCTTTAGGAAACCCATCCGAGGCCACCGTTTCACCCACTGCTCCGAAGCGATCAGAAGACGGAGGAGCGAAGGCTCCCGCAATCGCGGGGCCGAAGCGGTCGCTTGCCGGCGGCCGTTGTGCCGCCGGCATCATGACGGAATGATGGAGGTACGGTCGATGAAGCTGGCGTGTCAAGTCCCTTCAGACCGGGAGCAGCTAGCGTCTCGAGCCGGGCGTGGAGGCTCTAGCACTGCCTGAGCTGCGGTAATCGCGGTTGAGCGGGCGATTACAATCTCCAAGTAAGCAGGCGGGCTACTGGAGTCGGCCGTTGAGGAAGTCGTGAGAAACGAGAGATGTTGATAGAGATGGAGAAGATAACAGTCGAAAGCGGCAAGTGTTCAGTGAGGAGAGCTATCGGCTGTCAACAGCGCGACAGTGAGAAGTGCTGATAGACCGAGCAGACGATAAAGTCTATCTTCGCTGGAAGCCTGGTCGCGATTGTTTGATAGGGTTACGCTCCTGCCGATTGCCCCGGGGGAGGACCGAGACGGCTTAACTTGTCACCCAACCTTGTTGAGGGGAGTCGAAAATATCCGCTGACGTGATGGAGGCGTGGTCCTCCTGCAGCGCAGACGATTCTTGAGAAAGTTCGGGAGGGTAAGCTGGAATGCAAAAACGAGTGAAAAACGACGCAGCGCAGTGGATGTTGACGTCTCGTTCAACGACTGGTGCATACGTCTGATCACCTGAACATTGCTGCACGAGACTAGTCGGTAAGTCGGTCCATGACATCCAGTCCTTGGGTCAAGTCAAGGAACTCGTGCCTAGTGTTATTATTGGCCTGGCCAGTGTTGACCAAGGGGGGGCTGTGGTTCACAGAACGCCCAGGGGGCACTTCGAATTGTCACAAGATGCGAGGGCTGTAGGAAGAGGGCGCTAGTTGGTCTTGGAACACATCCAACGAGCAGTGCCGAAACGAGCTATAGTATTCGGACAGGGAGCGAGCCGAGGGCAGCTCCAATAGTAGCTCTGCTCGGCTGCCGCCGTCGTCAGGCCAGGAGGAGGGTAATGTCAGTGGGACGGGGTCTCGTCAGGGGAGTGCCCAGGCAGCCGTCATGATGATGGCAGCTTGTTCGTAAAGGTCACCCAAGAATCCCTACGACCCAAAGAGGACAGCACAAGAGATGCAGGGGCTGCAGGGAACGTGAAGAGGCTGCCTGTCCAGGGGGCTTGTGGATGTCCGGAAAACGACAGGTAAACAGAGCGAACGAGGAACCCAGGAACAATAGGGAGCTAGGGTAACCCGGTGCCTGGTGTGTATTGTAGAGTTGTCTCTTTCGGTTGTCAACTGGATCCAGCACTCTGCTGCTCACCTCAACACAACGTCCTTCCTCCTCAGACTGGCGCCGCTCAAGGACGCGCGACAATGGTTTCATGCACAAAGGGTTCAGCACTCGATATTCACCTCCGGCAGTGACCCGATAACCTTACTGTAGGCGTCGCTTACAAGCCGTCTTCGGAATAGCGGACTGCGTGGGGAAGAGTGTTGCTCTTGCACCTGGGCGCAGCGTGGCACGCTCGCACTCGGAGACCGCACGGCGCATTGAGCGGTCTTGGCGGTGCAGTCGTCAACGACGAGAGTCTATGTGATGTTACTGAACTGCTCTGATCACTCGTGCCTCTCGCTCTGCTCGCTCGTGAGTGGGCCAAACGTTCACTGGGGAAGTATACGCAGCTCCACGTTGCACTAAGGTTCACACACAACGTTAGTCGGGGTTTGCCATGCACAAAGTGGGCCATGCCTTCGCAACAAGGTTTGCGTCTGGAATGATGGATCATCCAGGACCTGGGTGGGCAGCAACACGAAGGCGGCGTTCTTGCATTTGGCCACGTCTATAAAGGTGTTCTTCCTCACAACGCTCCGCTCTGTGGCATGGACGAACTACATAGTTGAACGTGTATGATCGGCATGAGGTGGCAGGTGGCAATGTAGGCATGAAGATCATCAGAGCCCTGTCGCAAGTGCGTGCGCATGCAACATAGGATAAAACAAGTAGAGTTGCCGCCGCGGGTTGACGGGCGGCATCCAGGCGGATCCCGGTACTGTCGGGCCGCTGGCCTTCCGAAGCCCGGCAACGATACGTAGGCGGTAGGCTGGTCTCGGGCAGTGCGGCTGACGACGCACTCGTTGTCATGGGCGCCTTTGTCGTCCTGCGCGCCGTACCCCCACCTTGTGTAAACCGCATTTCAGTTTTGCCTTGTCTTACTCGAGTGTGCGTTCTGATAGAGATAAGCATTTCACTCTGGGTGCGCGTCTGGCACGAGCTGGCACGAATGATGAGCAAGCGCGTCGCTGGTCCTCGATGCACAGCAGAGCAATCAGGAGGCTTTAGGCATCTTTAGATTCAGTCTCAGAGCTAATCAGCCAGCACGAAACGAACGAGACGCTTTGCTTGGACCCAAAAATCTGGCACACCGAACCCCATATCCCACGATCTCGGGTCCCCTAGCTCGTGCTCGCCCCTGATGAATCCTGAACGTATGTAACAGCGGGGGTACGTAGAACCTCTGTGATTCACCTGGTTCCAGCTTGCAGGTCTGCATGCTCAGTATGGGTGGGGGGAGCTTGTGCCTTTCGTTGGGCATCGCATGGGCGCTTGCGAGCTTTGCGTACCTCAACAGGAAGCTCTTCCTTCAACGCACAGCAGCGCACAGAATCAGGGTTCGATCATGAAGATCAGTCTGGCAGATAGCTGCCCGTTCGGTCAACCGCAAGCGGGCATGACACTATCGCCGCCGGCACGCAGAGCGTCTCGGTTGCTTACCTTCGGTCACCAGCAGTTCGCATGACGATCGAGTGAATCACTTGCCGTCAGCAGGCTGCAGAATATTGTCAGTTCAGTTCGAAGTTGCCAGATCGCCTCTCCCGGTCGTACTCTTCGATTGTGTTGACATTACAAACCCAGCGACGTAGCCGTGGGCAGGGAGGTCATGCGTTCTCTGGAACGATGACCACAACTGTCCAGCAAACCTTGTCGCTCGTAACTGCCACTAACATGGCGTCGCCAGCGAAGTCCATGACCCCTCGCCACCGCACGGGAAGCGTCGAGCGCCCGTGGCCTTTGGCGTTGGCAGCTTGGCTATTTGGCTGCTCCCGTGGACCAGTCTGGGGCCTGGCAATCGCAGTGGACCCAGCAGAACGTCATCATGCAGCATACGCCGCTCGGACCTGCGTACAGGAACAACAGCTACTACGGGTATCGCGGTCCCGGGGTCGCTGTGCCCGAGATTCTCATCGTATTCACACTGCATCCCCGAATGGCTCACAGTAGCATCTGCTCCTGAGGCTTGCAATACTTGCCGACGGCTTGAGAAACGAGCTGCTGTCCGGCTGGAGGCACAAATGCTTGCGCAAACCGTTGAGGCGCCACGGCGCCGCACCTGTGCCGTGCTGGGTTGCACCGCGCGCTCGTACGTGCAATGAGGGACAGATTATGTCTGGAGCGTCGAACCGCGCGACGTCGGCCATGAACCGCCCGTTCCTCTTTGTGCTGCGGAGATGTAGCCAAACCATTAGTGCCGTTAAGGCTGGCAGCTACAGAGTTGTTATTGACGTTCAAGTGGATAGAGCTGTGTCGCTTATATCTTTTCTGATCTTGAACATGTCCGGGGCATGTCCGACTCGGTGAGCACCTGCACCTTCCTACTGACCTACGGAAACTGACTCACGTACGGTTCCGATAACCCGTCCGCAATCTAATCAGAAGTGACTGCAAGGTCGGGGCACGATGCACGGATACTCGTGATCCTGATGACTGCCCGTATTAAACCGCGAGTCGTTCCGTGAGGAACCCGTCCTGGAAGTCCTTCACTCATGTCCATACAGGTATCTACAGGTTCACTGTCCATTTTCTATGCACGGCAACGCCCATGGGACCTCCTACTTGCAGCCAGTGCCCAGGTCGATTCCGGTGAACTGTCCGTCGGTGGGAACCTCGACGTGGAACGACGGCATGCGCGCGAGCTGGATGTTGGCCTCGCCCTCGGTCTTGAACTCGAGTACGTGGCCTCCGATCTTGCGGTCCTCGGAGATGAAGTGGAGGTGGTCACCGGCAGCGTTGATCTGACCAGCGTATTTGGGCGTGTGGAAACCGACCATGCTTCCCTTGATGTTGGCGTGAGTCCACTCGACCTGGCGGGACGAGACGCCGGCAAGGTTTTCCATCGGGTACGCCTGGCCGGGGGGCGCTCGGATGCGGAGCGTGAACGTTCCGTCGAGACGGTACGAGACGAATTGGTTGCGGATAGTAATGTTGCCCCACCAAGACGGCAGCTGGGCGGAGAAGTCGGTCATGTTCGCTACCTGCACGCTAGCCTCCGCCTCGGGCTCAAACTGCGTCACGGCCATGAAAGGTGTCTCCGTCTCGGACGGGTCGGGCGTGGACACCTGTCCATCGGCCGTGGCGTGGTACACCACGCCGTCGACGACGATCATCTCTCCGCGCAGCTCGCCGAACGTGCCGAGACCCAGGTCACCGTACTTGAGCACGTTCTCGATGAGGGTGCCGTTCGCGGCAACACCCTCCGTCAGGGCGGCGATGTTCGAGTACTGGTGCAGTTCGTTCGCCTTGACCCATGGGCGATCGTGTCGGTGGTGGCCCTTGCCCTTGTTGCCCTTCCAGTGGTCCCACTTGTCGTCGTTGTCGTCGGACTCATCCCGGTGCGGCACGGGTTTGGCGACGGCAGAGCCCAGGAGGGCAGCGACAGTGACGAAGGCGGTGAGCTTCATTCCGACGATTTTATCAGATAAGGGCTAGGATGATGGGAATGTCGCAGCAGTATCATCAGCCTCGGCGCTTTATATGGACGGGAGGACTGCCCACATCTCGCAGCTCTCTGGCTTGCGCAGCCCGGACGCGAGCAACATGCTGGGAAATCTGCCGGTGAACTCAGGGGGTGTACCTCCCAGCCTCTCAATGAGTGTCCCCAACTTTGCGAGACAAGGCCGAAAACGCGGCGGCAGGAGACGGCAAAGACGGCTCAGATCTCATCATGTGAGCCCGCCGAAGCAGGGTTGCGAGCAGGGCTTGCGCAGGAACCAAATACAGAACGTCATTCGAAGGCGCCATCGGGCCTGGAAGCAGAGACAAACCCGACTGACCAGCCATAGAGCTTTCCTCGAGAATGAGCCCCAGTTTCACTGGACCGGAATAGCTGAAGGCCGTCGGGCGGGCAAGAAGAAGGCGACAGTGGGCGATCCGCAACTACCGTGCACTGGGCGTGGACCAATTGCTTGAGGGCTGGCATCGGCTAGACTTGTCGCGAGCACGACGGCCAGGTCTAGGTTCCAGTTACGAGAATTGTACGGCGCGCAGGTGATCAAACAGGGAAAGCTTGTCCTGCGGCTCTGAATGGTCCCAGCTGCCACTCCGGAATGGGTGCCCGCTCTCGCTTGCTTCGCTACTCAGGTGGTCGGCCGACATAGGAGCAACTGTGATACGTACAACCGTCACGAGACTGCGGGGTTGGCTCGTTTGAAGATCTACGGTCCCCCCGCCGGTTATCTGATATGTGCGGTCGACGTATAGCGACGTATGCTCAAGATCCTGAGGTAGACGTGGGGTGTCGGGGCGGCTCTCAACGGATTGGTCGCGGCCCTCCTCCACAGGGCCGGTGACAGCCCCGCGCTCCAACCCAATACCAGACGAGCCGATCCTGCGGCCAGCTGCAGCGTACGACATAACTGGTCGAAAGCCTTCGTTATCGTCAGGCGGCTGCATAGTGGAATGCGTCTCGGAAAGACTGTAAGCCTCTTGTTGCTCCAGTCCCATCCCGCCGCTGACATGCGGACGGAATGGCTTGGCTGAGCTTATCTCGAATGATGACATGGCGGCTGACAGGTGTCACTGGAGTCACTTGACTCGCCGGCAGACCGGCGGCATTGTGCGGACAGGAAATCCGATAAGCCACGAGTCAATCGGTGCGACGCCTCCCTTCTCATGCATTTTATGCATCTTCTGAACAACCCACGTCGACCCGCTCAAATGCGGGTGTAGTACTGGAGGTCGAGGCCCTTGACGCCGCCCTCGAAGACGGACTCGTCGGACGCAAACTTCTGGAAGACCTCAGTCTTCATGTGGGCTACAGGGCGCCGTGTCAGTATTCCCACCGCGGAGATAGGGCTTCACGTACTAGCGATGGCCTCCTGGTCCTTGTACTCCTCGAAGACGGTGAAGGCGAGGGGGTCCTCGTTGTGCCTAGCGGGGTAGTAGAGGAGGCAGCCGGGCTCCTTGTCGGAAGTAGCGTAGTCGCGGATCGCCTTGAGGCCTGGATGTCAGCTTGGGTGAACCGCATAAGGTGAGGTAGCTAAATGGCCGACGCAACACGGGGAAGACAGTCGCGGTACTGCACTCACCCTGCTCAATCTTGTCGGCAGCCTCGGGGCTGGTAGCGCGGAGCTTGGCAACGAGAACGATGGGCATGGTGAGTAGGTTGCGATGTTGAACGAAGGAGGCGTGGGCGATGTGGAAGCTGACAAAGACAAGTCTTTTGTACTCACACCAAAGGTACGGGGACCGGCTACTTGATCGCCATCGGTGTGGTCTCGGTCGCACCCGATCCGAACCCCAACAATCGCACCAGAAACATCACGTGGACTCTTCACCCGCCCTCGCTTGCACGCACCACATGCATCGACATGTCCGTCGCCGGAGCGTCGGTCCAACGGCATCAGACTCTGCAGTTGCATTAGTAGTCATCAACTTACAGCACACTACGGGCGGGCCCAACAGCCGACCTGCAAAGCATCAGGGGTCCCCGCCCGACTGGCGGAGAGGTTGCCGCTCTTATCGGAGACTCGAAGTGACATCGGCAAAACGTCCATAGATCATCTAGATACAGGGAAGCACAGTCGTTGGTCTACAGGAACAAAACCCATATGAGCGTAATGAAACAAACGTTAGAGGTCAAGATGGGGTCGTTGAGTGGTGAAGGCCATTACATTGGCGTGGGGAACATGAATTGTTCAAGAGACATGGAGGAAAGTCCAGGCTGAGGGCCAGCAGAAAGCGCAGCTTGCTTCAGTTCGTCAAGAGCATTGGCCTGAGTCCGCGCAAGGTGCATCGTCAGCGCGATGCGGCGGATCTCGGCGATAGCTGTGTCGGCGTCGCCGGCGGTGATGTTGGCATTCTCCGAATCACCAACCAGCGTCAGACGGTGCGCCTCCTTGATCAGGACCTTCGCAATCATACTCCAGACGAGCACGACGAAGGCGTCAACCTCCGTGAAGGGAATCGGGGGCACCGCACGGAACAGCGTAACGCTTCTGCGGGCGGCCATGACTGCCTCAGTGTTCTCTACTTCGAGTGAATTGATGTCGTGCAGAACCATGTGGACCGCCGCGATCATGTGGTGGAGCATCAAGGTGGCAGGAGTGATCTCCGGCTCAGGCTGGCCGTCCTGCTCCGCATGGGCGCGTCTCGTCACCGGGAACACGCCGTCCTCACCCAAGCAGTTGGTGAACTGCTCGTTCGCGAGCAGACAACCACGGAAGCGCCCCGGGTTGCGATACTTCGGCTGGTCGAGGTAAGCTGGGGGCTTGGGCTGATCGGGATCACGGTGCAGCGTCAGGTGGTACTTGTTCCAAGCCTGAGAGTAAGGTGAGTCATCGTCGGGCTCAAGGTAAGCGAGCTTCGACGCTCGTTCGAGGATGATGACCACCTTGAGCCATCGGATGTAGTGATTGTCACGTTGTGTGTCACCGACATTGCCGAGGAACAAATCTTTCACGGTGATATCGTCTATCTCGGAAACCATGCCGGCCGAGATGTCGGCAAGAGGGCGATGGAAGGGCGTCTTGATGTCGTCATCGTGCATTCCGCTCGGATAGCCAGTGGCGAGAGCACCGGCACGATCAATAGAGAAGGCAGCCCAGAAGGCGTGGATCCTCTCGCCGAGCTCCACTGCATCCTCTGGCGGCGGGAGGAGGGAGTGCTGGTTTCGGAGGAAGGGGTTTCTTGGTGGCGGTGGACGCAGGGTCATCGAAGAGATACGGTGCAGACCACAGGAGACCGCCACCCTCACAGCCAAGCCACCGAGGCACCAGCCTTCGTGGTGACGTCCCGAGGCGTAAGAATACGCCGACAGCAGCATAGCAGCACGCACTCCATCGATGAGTCTGTCCACGGTCGATGTCGAAATGTCGAGGTGGGTGCACGCTTGCTCGAAGAACTGCTTCTCCATGTTCGACATTTGAGGCGCGTTCGAGATTCTCGTAGCCCAGAGGTACATCGTGTTGAGCAGCGCAAGAGACGGCCGCCTTCGGTCGGCGAAGGTCATCCGGTACCTGAATCGAGGAACGCTCATCTCGAAGAACAAAGTGACGTGAGCGAGGAAGCAGTCCAGAAGGATTGAGCGGAACGAGTCCAGAAGACCGTCGTATTCCGCTCGCATGCGCTTCACAGAGGTCCCGTCCGGCTTCAGGAGGACGTTGCCGCTTCCCTTCTTCCTTCGCCTGATTTGCTCATCGTCCTTGACAGCCGAGCTGTTCGGAGAGAACAAGAACTCGCCCAGGCGTTCCGTCAGGCCATCAACATTCGTTCCGGCGTCCGCCACATATATGCTGGCCGTTTGCCGGTACATCCTCGAGGCTTTCGGTCGCTCGGTGCCCGACGCATTGTCCTCCGAGTTAGGGGTCGACCCTGACACAGCTCCAAGCCCATCTGGGGTCGGCGGATCCGAAACAGTCGTGATGTAGTTGGCTGCGGATCCAACTCGAGAGCCCGCGCTCGAAGTCGTCAAGACACTCTGTTGTCTTGATTGGGCGGAGGGCGCGGGTGACTCGAACATTGGCTGCTGGTAGTCTGTGTTCATGTTCGACGCGAATGGTTGGGTCTGTTGGGCCTGCTGTGATCCCTGTGCCTCCATCGGCGATTGGAACTGCGCCTGCATTGGTTCAGGAGCTCCCGACATTTGTGAAATGTCAAACACCTGCTGTGGCACCCCATCTGCAGAGGTCGGGACCCACATAGCGGGGTCGTAGTAGACTTCTGGGCCGGTCGAAGGAACATAAGGCGGCATGCCAATGATAGGCTGAGCCTGGTCGGCAACGAAGGGCGATGGGGTCGATAAATTGGCACTGAAGGAGTTCATCCCATTCAGGTCATTCCCCAGGCTGGCGGGTGGCATGTTCGGCATGGGCATGCTGTTCATTGGGCCCGGGTCAGGAATACCCTGCCCAATGAAGTCGAAGGACGACGGGGGTTCTCCCGTGTAGAGCATGCCGACGCTCATTCCGTTTGCAGCAGCATTGTCCGGCTGAGGATGCACCATGCCTGGGATATGCTGGTTGCCATTGACATCGTATAGTGCTTGCGGCGGCGGATTTTTCGGAGGCTTGGGAGCCTTCACCGGCGGCCCATATTCGCACACCTTGTTGTACTTTGTGCAGTTCGTGCACATCGGGCGATCACCTGAACATTTCTGAAGCGGTCAGCTTGTTACATCGGCGACGTTCCCACGTCACGGTGACTTACGAGTTTCCGCCGCCTGCAGAACGTGCACGCCATCCCACGCTTCAAACCGTAATGAGGGAAGTGAGAGACATCGACCTTCTTGGGGCCAGTTCCGCCCGGTGTCTTTTCTGTACGTCAGCCGTCGAGTTGCATCAGTGTGCTCACTGGGAGGGGGGTTGGGGGGGGCATCCTTCTTGGACGCATCGGGCCTGGGGTCAGTAATGGGTGACATTACTGTCACGAACTCAGCGCTTGAGCCTATCTCGTCAGCACATGACGCCCCGACATCTCTTCCGAGACCAGATCTCACCGCTCTTACTGCCTTCCCCGGCAGTGCTCATGGCTGACAGTGTAGTGCAATTGAGTAGATTGTCCGGAGCAATTTTACTGTGAATCCAACAGCATGCGGGGTGTGTTGGGTGATTTTCGATTTACAGGTAGCGATACAGTGTCGGCGTAGGTGGGAGGCACTGGAACGATCGTGTATTTGTTTGGGGGAGTCGAGAAGATCGTGAAGGGAACGTGTCGGATCTGCGATATAGATACACTGGACGTGATAGAGGTGTGGACAATAATAAGAGATCGCCGCCGGCCTCAATGTCGGAGCCGGATTGGGGTCGAACGATTAAAGAGATAGGGTGTTGAAAGCGATGACAGCCGTCAAGCGATTAACAGAGCCCTACCGGTATGTCCGAGATCGAGGATGAGCTCGAGGTCGGAGAGGAGAGAGGGTGAAGCAGGATACGTTTAGAGGTAGGAATGTGGGATGGAAACGGCGATGTTGAGCACAGCAAGAGCGGTGCGATGTTGAACTGGAACTCGTCGACGCTAGGCGGCTTAGCGATCGCCTAGCACCGTCCGACCGAAGAGCGAGAATGGCCAGGCAGCCTCGAGCTGGAGCGAGATGAAGTGGGAGAAACAAGAAATGGATGAAGAAGGAAGATGCACGCGCAGAGCAAGGTGAGCGACGAAGGGCCAGGGCGGCGCCTGCTATGCAAGATGAGGTTGATTTGGGTTCAGTGCGGGTGCTGTACGCCACTAGTAATCTCCCATTAGCCATTAACCTTTGATCAATGTGACGCTAGTGGTCGGTGACCTTTCCACTCGGACCGGCGTCAATGCTTTCCATGTCCACGCATCACAGCGCACGCCCGCTGCTGCAGAAGAGCTCGGAGCTAGGCGGCCAGCCTGGAGCCACTGCTGCACTAAGGTCCTACCCTTCCGCGGCCCCAGAGACCCCTTACCTTCTCTTGGGCCCTCTCGCCATCCGCAATCCTGACAGGGAAATTGTCATGTTACCAGAAACCCAAGAGTCATGTGTGCATGGTCAGCCGCTCATGCGGGTGTTACGGGTGACCAGTCCGCTTATCTGGGACCGCTACGTCTGGCGGATGAGAGAAATGCGACGACCCACAGAACTCTGTTCCTGCTCCCGCATAGAACACACACAGCTCATCCTGCGCGTCATGTACCTAATATAACTCAGGACATCAGGACCGTCATCGTATAAACGTACGATCCAATTCTGTTACGTCCCCCTATCAAAGGAGTACGTCTCCATATGGCAACTGATTAACCCAACTCCTGTCAGAAGGACCGGAGCCCTGGCATGCACGGCCGCCGAGGGCGCCGGAAGTATCACCGGCCCTGCCGTTGTCAGTGTTCGTAGACTTCCAGACACCGCGTTCTCAACTCACGCTAATTTCCATCGCGCAGCGGACTAATTACTACATTTAGGAAGTACAACATGCGCCTTGGGAGTCACCGTCATGATACGCTACGCGCTGGCGTGCACATGACACTTTTAGACGCACTTGCGCTTGGAGCAAACGCTGCGCAAAGAGTGAGGCGGAATGTCGATCAGACGCTCCGCTGAGGATATCGGAGTCGCCGACGCTCCTAGTGCCGGAGACTCCTCCAACTCAAGCTAAACATTCCCACTATACAGTGAAGCGCTAAGCTTCTGCGCGGCATTGCAATGCGAACAAGGAATAGCGCAGGTAGAGGCAGAGCCGACGCGCTTTGGCATTGGAGAGGCTTACGGCGTAATGACGAACACGCTTGATGAACGGCGTGCTTGAATTTGATCGTGCGCGGGTAACGTTACACAAGCCCCGCTCTCAGAAGTACGCTGCAGAACTGATCAAAAGACAGCTGATTGGCGCCACTCGCAAACATGGAGACCATATCAGTGATCTGTTACCTGTTAGGATCGAGTCACCATCGAAGCACAATCTAGACTCACCTCGTCGTCCGACCACATCTCTCCCATCTCCCTTGCCCACTTCTTAACTTCCTCCTTGGATAGCGTAACGCCGCCTTGCGGCTTAAGCATGTCCCAGATGTCACGACCGAGCTCCTTCTGCTGAGATGAGAGGTGCACTTTTGGCTGGCGTTTCTGGCGCCGCCTTGGCGCTGGCGTCGCTGATGCAGACTTCTTCCCATACTCGGATCCTTCGTCCTCCTCATCTTCGTCGCCTGACGGCCTGAAGTCGTCCTCGTCGGAGGACAATGAGCTCAAGTCGTCTTCCGCATTGTCAATTTCTCCTTCGTCTTGCAATTCGTCGTCGTTCCCGGGAGTCATGAGAGCGGCACAGACGGCCCGCCAGTCCTTCAGGCTCACGGCGCCGCCGCTACCTTCCTCTTCATCGTCCCAGCCAGCAGCACTAGCTCGGAACACGGACAAGACATCCTCGTCCGAGGGCAGACCAAGTGATGCCAGGAGAGCTGGCACTCTTCCGATTGGTACTCGTTCGGATGGCGTGGCCGGAGCCGTTGATGCCGCGGAGAGCTCGTCGGCTACGAACCCCCCACCTTCCTCGTCGTCCGGGATGAAGCCTCCTCCCTCGTCATCAGGGATGAAGCCTCCCGCATCGTCGTCGGGTATGAAGCCGCCAGCATCATCGTCTGGGAGGAATCCCCCAGCCATTTCGTCATCTTCTGGGAGGAAACCTCCAGCCGGAGTTGACCGGGCCGACGATTTGGCCTTGCGGTCGAGCCGCCGCCGTTTCGTGGGCCGGCGAAGACCACGATTAAACGCCCGGTCGATAGCAGCGCGCTGCCTCTCGGAGAGCTCGAGGAATTCCGGATCGGCGTCTTCCTCCATGCTTGATAATCGCGATGATGAGAGGAGGGTGGAGTAGGATGTTGGGATACTCTGGGCAATAACAAATCTCGGCGATCAAAAGTACAGTCAACTTCGGCTCATCTGCTCCCGTCCGTACCGTACGTCACTGATCGAGGAAGGACAGTTGACGCTTGTACTTCGGTACCAACCGCCGCCTTTCAACACCCAACGACCAGCCATGGCAACACTGCATATCGGGAAACAGTGTCAGACCTGCAACCTTGTCGACTTTCTGCCCTTCACTTGCCCGCATTGCTTAGGGACATTCTGCAAGGAGCACGTCCATCAACACGGCTGCGCAGACTCTCCGTCCGTCGAGAGTTCGGTGGCGGAGAGCTCTCGGAAGCGGATCAAGGGGGTGTGCACTCTCCCTGGCTGCGATTCTGAAACGATAGAAAGCTTGGGAGGATACGAAGACACCACTGTCGATGGAGTAAAAGACTCAGACGAGGACATTGCCCGGCAAGTGAGGTGCAAAGGATGTAAGCAAGCCTTCTGCCTCATGTGAGCATGTGTCCCAGCTGATTACCACGGGTCTCTTAACTGACAGCAGCCACCGATCCCAGAACGCACACAACTGCGAGGCGCCGAGAGAGGACACTGCGCGACAAGATGCGACGCAAGCACGTATAGAGCGGGCGAAGAAAGAGATGAGCAAGCACTTCCCGAACGCAGCAAACCGCGAGCGCCTGAAGATGCCTCCGCAGGTAGATAAGAAGCGGGAGCCTCCAAAGCCTGAACAGAGACCAGTTCCGCCTTCGGTCCAGCAAGCGGACTCCACCGCGGCCCCGGCACCAACAGCTGCTGCTCCGATGCCTGCTGCCACACCATCAGCGGAGGACAAGGTGTTTAAGCTGCACTGCATGAAGACACGATCTCTGGCCAAGCCGCTGGACCCAAAAGTCAAGCGAGAAGACTCCGTGGCTGTGGAGTGGGTCGTCGCGGCGGCGGAGAGAGTGCGCGCCAGACCGCCAAAGTACGATCCAAGCAAACGCGCCGCGGAGCTGGGAACGCCCAAGCCCGAGCGCCTCTGGCTTCCAAACGTGAGGTCAGATGCTCTTGATTAAAGCTGACATCAGGCTATTCCCGTTGGAAAGGTGTACGATACCTTGCTCGGCAAGGCGAAGCTGAACAACGGTCAGGTAAGGCTTGAATACAACTCCTGAAGCTGACAGCACAGAACGTAACTCTTGTTCGCGTCCCAGGAGAGCCAGGGCAGCATCAAGCAGCGAAGCTCGAACTGTCGCAGCCTGTTGGTAAAGCTCTCAAGACCGGCGACGTCCTGGCTCTTGTTCGAGACTGGACAGCGTAGAGGACGTTGGTCTTCCTGTCGATCAGGGAGTTGCGCGACGGGGCCCGAACGATGGAGTCAGTGGAGTTCCCCGTTGTGTCGTATCCTTCTGCGCCCTCCATCCTGGAGTCGGGTATCTATGCATATGGGTATCGGAGTTGAGATGTTTACTTGATCTTCGCCTCGGCAAAGAGGACCTTCTTCTTGACTGAGAGTGTTAGCCAATCTTCCACCTGCAAGGAAGCACACGAGAGCAGTGGACAGCAGAAGCAGGCTCAGCGCGGAGACTTGAGCTGCTCAGCCTTGTTTGCAACTCTGTGCCTTCCTGATAACGTGCTACTCACTGAGAGGGTCGTACTTGAGCATCATGAGCTTCGGAGCGGTACGGATGCGCGAGGTCGTGTAGAAGTAGCCAGTGAGGGCGGTCGAGACGAGCTTGACCAGCATACGCCTGGGTTCCGTTAGCTGCTGTTCGGAGTACGCGAAGGCTGTCTTAACTTACCGGGACTTCGCTTTGGCGGCCATTTTGCTGATGGTGGTCCGTCGATGAACGTCGGAAACTCGAAATCTCGGGACATGAGCTCGTAGTGAAGCGTGAGCGGCGAAACATTCCTTAATTGGTCCGCAACTAACGAGCGTTCAACCTCAACGATCTCTGCATGCTCTGTAGCTCTGCATGGCATGCATAGGGGATCTTACACGCACAGACATCGCAGATGTGCGGTCTCGGGTGGTACACTTCCACTGTCGGCCTATGGGGACGTCTGCGTTGTCTCTGGGCGCTGAAGCATCCGTCAGGTGAGCCAACCAACAGACACTGGCTATGGTGAGACAGCGAGGTTACCGCCTTGCAATTGCACGAGTAGCATTCCTTAGCAATTTTGACCACTATACATGCTATACACAATCTTTGAAGCCCTATCCGTCGCTCCCGTGCCCTCGGTGCTGTAGAGGTCAACTTTGATCACAGGGAGCTTTGACAGTATGACTCCAGGTGCGCGCCAGACCTCTGGTGGACGTTGAAAGTGGAGGTCTATGGCTTTCCAGTTGCCACGCTCGGAAATAACGGCGTTTCCATCTTCGTGGCCAAAAACTCTGAGTGAGGCACTGGTGCGTGCCTGGCTCGTGGGTGGCCTGGCGGGCGCTGCTGCTGGCCGCTGAGTTTTCTTGCGTTCTGACCTTCCCTTCCTCCCCATCCCTCAACTTCGACCAGAAAACAAGTGAGTGCGCGCGACGATCTCAGCGGCAAGGACAATTTCAATGGAACATGCGGCTGGAACGTCAAGGCAGGACGGGAGTCACATGGAACGGAAGAGAAGAAGGATCAGAAGATCGGGTAACGCCTCGCACGACTAATCGAGGACTCGTTGAGGCTTTCTGAAGGACTGGAGACTGGAGAAGCAACGCAGGGCGTAGAGCCGTGCTCCGACAACGGCTTCTGCGAAGGTGCCCTGCTGAGTGGTGCCTAGAAGAGGACGGAACACAGCGTTTGCGAAGAGACCTCGAAATAGTCACCTTGCCGCAAGATCTTGAAATTTGTGTTGCAACGTAGCTGACCTGACAGAATGGCTGCCCGCCCCACCGTTTCCGTCTTCTCTGCCTCCGGCGAGGCCTCGGGCTCTGTCCCCCTCCCCGCTGTCTTCACGGCTCCCATCCGTATCGACGTTGTCCAGGCCGTCCACAAGTCGATCGCCAAGAACCGTCGTCAGGCTTACGCCGTTGCTGAGAACGCCGGTCACCAGACCTCCGCCGAGTCGTGGGGTACTGGTCGTGCCGTCGCTCGTATCCCCCGTGTCGGCGGTGGTGGTACCCAGCGCTCTGGTCAGGCCGCCTTCGGTAACATGTGCCGTGGCGGTCGCATGTTCGCCCCCACCAAGACCTGGCGCAAGTGGCACGTCAAGGTCAACCAGAACCAGCGTCGCTACGCCGTCGCCTCGGCTCTGGCTGCCTCGGCCCTCCCCTCGCTCGTTCTCGCTCGCGGCCACCGCATCGAGAAGATCCAGGAGGTCCCCCTCGTCATCTCCTCCGCTGCTGAGAAGACCGAGAAGACCAAGGCCGCCGTCGAGCTCCTGAAGTCGCTCGCCGCCTACCCCGACGTCGCCAAGGTCTCCAACTCTCGCAAGATCCGCGCCGGTAAGGGCAAGATGCGCAACCGCCGCTACCGCCAGCGCCGCGGCCCCCTTGTCGTTTACGGCAAGGACGAGGGCATCGTTCGTGCCTTCCGCAACGTCCCCGGTGTCGAGACCTCGCCCGTTGACGCCCTCAACCTCCTCCAGCTCGCCCCTGGTGGCCACGTTGGTCGCTTCGTCATCTGGACTGAGGACGCCTTCAAGGCCCTCGACAAGATCTACGAGAACAAGTCTGGTTTCACCCTCCCCGAGGCCAAGATCTCGAACACCGATGTTACCCGCATCATCAACTCCGACGAGATCCAGTCGGTTGTCCGCCCTGCCGGCCAGCCTACCCAGAAGCGTCCCTTCACCCAGAAGAAGAACCCCCTCCGCAACAAGGCTGTTCTCTTCCGCCTCAACCCCTACGCCAAGACCCTCCGTCGCCAGGAGCTCCTCCGCCAGGAGCGCAAGGCCGCTGGCAAGACCAAGAAGACTGCCAAGACTGGCCGTGCCGGCAAGGAGTTCGCCAACACCCTCTTCGCTGCCTAAACTCGTCCTTTTGGTTCAGTAGCGTAAAGTGTGTTTGTATCGATGCATCCATCGCCCCCCTAATTCCATCTGCTGCAGTTCTGTGACTGATAACGTTTGATTGTGCATGATGAGATAAGAGCGCGCTATGTGTTGCGCTGCCGAAGATGCCGGGCGAACGTCCGGCGTTGATCCGAGGGATCCGGTGGCCGTGAAAGAATGTGACTGTAATCCTAATATCATAAGATTTACCGCCATTTGAACCAATGATGCAGGTGTAATGGGTCCTTTGAATGGTTGCATTAGGGAAGCGCTAATTTTGATCCCGCAGCAAAAGTTGGCTGAGAAGTTCGTCACGCCGAGTACTGACGATTCGCTGCCATATTTATCCCTCTTGGCTGCTCGCACTCTTCGTACCATGTCGACTCGCAACTTCAGCCAACCCAAGAGGCGCGGATCCAACTCGATGCTCCCTCCTCCCAAGACCTCCAAGATGTCGGCGGAAGCGCCCGTCTTCCAGCCTCGCCCCAAGATGGAGGAAGAGGACCCCGCCGTCGCCGCGAGCGCCGCTTCCGCCCCTAACCCTAGTGTCACGACGGGTGAGGGCGGCCAGATCCACGGAGGTGCCAAGGAGATCGACTCGGACACTCGCGAGAAGCTCAACGCTGCCGTTGCGGCCAGCCGTGTCACCCGTCCTCTGCCTTGCAGCAGGAGACCAGCCGCTGCCGCCAACATGGTCCCTCAGGCGGCTACGACTGTCAAGACCGGAGAGGAGAAGGAGAACAGGCGTCGACTGATCGTGGTTCTCAGCCAGGTGGGTATTCTTGCATGCTAGGGTGTCGGAGGCAGGCCGTCAACTCGCGTGAGAACGGTGGAAGCTAGCCGCGGCGCTGGTTTCTTCGGTTCTCGTTCATTTGTCAGCAGTGAGCTAACATTCACAGGCTTGTCTCGAGGCGTACAAGATCAACTCGTCGTCGTCCAAGGGCAAGGACGCGAAGTACGCTCTTCTGAACTGTGACGACCACCAGGGTATCCTGGCCAAGACCGGCCGTGACATTGCCGACGCGCGTCCGGATATTACTCACCAGTGTCTCCTTACGCTGCTCGACTCTCCCCTGAACAAGGCTGGCCTTCTTCAGGTGTACATTCACACTGCCAAGGGCGTTCTCATCGAGGTTAACCCCAGCGTCAGGATACCGAGAACGTTCAAGCGTTTCTCTGGTCTCATGGGTGAGTTGGCTGACAGACGGCGCAACTGACAAGTGCAGTCCAGCTTCTCCACAAGCTCAGCATTCGTGGTGTCCAGGGCTCTGAGAAGCTTCTCCGTGTCATCAAGAACCCCATCACCGACCACCTGCCTACGAACACGATCAAGCTCACCCTCTCCGGTGACGCGCCGACGGTCCGTCTCTCCCAGTTCCTCCCGACGTTGCCCGAGACGCATTCGATCTGTGTCTTCGTCGGAGCCATGGCCCGTGGACCGGACAACTTCGCCGACCACTACGTTGACCAGAAGATCTCCATCTCAGATTATTCTCTGTCTGCCTCGGTCGCGTGCGGCAAGTTCTGCTGCGCCATGGAGGAGCTTTGGGACATTGTCTAAGTCACCTGCGACACCACCACACCTTTAGAACAACAAGCTAAAAGGGCAGAGTTCGACCTCTCCCCTCGGCTGCCTTGGATACACACAGGCTGATCCTCGTAAGCCAGCAACACACACCTACAGTACCCCCATTAAACCCCATTCCCACCTATCGATAAATGCCATAAACATCCCTGTCCTGTCTGTTTCGTTTTGGTACCCCTGGTTTAGTAGAGCCCACAACCGACGGGCTGCGTCCAACCGCCAGCGTTGCTGTGTATGCATCTAGTCAAGAAATAACGAGCGGGCGCTAGAGACACACGGGGCAAGAGGTACATGAAGGGCACACGGGCACAGTTAGCAAGCGGCCTTGCTTCTCGAAGACCGACGCCAACGACCCCCCGCTAACCGTTCGGTTCTGAGAGCGACATCCTGATGATTGCCGAATCCGAAGTCCGTGCAGTGGCTGAAACGCACGCCCTCAACATCAGTCCGGCACATCAGGCAAGTCGGGCACGCGGCTGACGCACCCACACCCAGCATCACGGATAATCAGATATGCGAGTGACATCGTCTATGGAATCTACACAATACGGCTACAGCTCGTCCCGGAGCGCAGTGGGCTGCTCGTCGCCACCATCCTTCGCCTTTGGCTTGCCAGCCCTCTCGGCCGCGTCAACTTTTGTGCCCGCCCTGTCCTCCTGCTTCTTCTCCTCCCGAACGCCCATGTTGCCGACCTCGCGGTTACGGAACTGCACCGTGGGTCTGTGCCTGTCGTCCTTGCGCTTCTTCTCGGCATCTTTCGGGTTCTTGAGGTCCTGCGCCTCCTTCGAATCCTTCGCGCCCTTGCCACCCTCGGCCAAGTCTTCCAGCGTAATCACCGGAAGTCCGAACCCGCCTCCGCCTGCCGGTATGTCGTCGTCGTCGTGCAGGCCGAGGAAACTGATCTCAATGTCCTCGCCCTCACCTCCCGCGCCGAACGCTTTACGCACGGCTTCGAGAATGAGGGCCTTGGTAGTCTCGTCCATGTCACCGCCGGCGATCTTGAATGCAGCGAGATCGTCCTCAGTAATGATGTGGCTTCCCTTCTTCCCCTTCTTCCCGCCCTTCTGCCCCTCAGCGCCCGAGTCCGATTCGTCCTTCTTGGCAGCCTTCTCGTCCTTCTCCACCTCCGAGTTCTCGCGGATCCGGCTCTCAGCGTCCTCCTTCGCCTTCTTCTCCTTCTCGATCTTGGCAGCCTCGAGGAGCTTGCCCTCGTGTTCGAGGCGCTCGCGCTCGATGCGCTCCGTATTCCATTGCTCGAACTGATCATCCTCCATCAGCTCGCGGCACTTGATGCCAGCGGGCTCTACGTCCAGGGCGCTCTGCGGCCGGAAGGCGGGCAACGAGCACAGACTGGGCGTGTAAATGACGAGCACATACTGACACAGCGAGACCTCCTTGATCATGAAGATCGAGTCGCCGCTGCTCAGACTACAGTGCATCTGCACCTCGACCTCACGCGGCTTCCGCGTCTCGGCGCACTTAGTGCCGAACGTCCACCGCTGCACGAGGTAGCGCGACCACGGCCCGATACCGAACGTCGTCTCGGGCATCGCAGCTTCCTCGTATTCGTGATATTTCCCCTTCGAGAAGCCAAGGTTGTACGCCTCGTAGTTCGTGTCTTCCTTCGGCTCGAAGCCGTTCGGGCCAGGTTTGCCGCCCGGCGCCTGGTGGAACTGTCGCACGTACTGGTTGTGACAGTACCTGGATTCAGTTAGAGCACTCAAGAACGGACAACTTACGCATATGTAAACCAGCCGTGTGTAGCGTAGAGACACCTGTCTTCGAGGTAGTCCAGCGCCTGCCAGGACTTATTAGGATCCGGCTCCGGCTCGTCCTGCTTCGCCCTCGCCGCAGCCTGCTGCGCGTCCGTAGTGTTCTTGCTGGGAAGGGCGCACATATACGCATGCGGCACGTCATATTCCTCATGCGTGAAGTGCATGCGAATGAGCTTCGGTGACGTTTGCGATCCAGCAACCTCCCCCGTCTGCCGAGCCTGGACCTGGTGCCCCTTCTCGAGGTCGTCCCTCGTGACCTCAGTTGATGTCGACGCTTGCGTCGCAGAGGACGAGCCCTCTATCCGGCCCCGATCCTTGTCGCGCTTCTCATTCCCTGATCGTGGCCGCAGGTCGAGCCAGTCGTCGTCGCTCGCGAGACCGTATCGTTCGCACCGCTGCGCGTCGCTCAGCTTGATGGGCCGGTCGGCGAGGAACTGCACCTCGTACTTCGGGTACGCAGCCAGGTCCTGCAGTCCCGACGGGCTCGCACCTGCCAGCGCAGCGAGTGCTAGCGTGCAGATCGCCAGGTGCGTCATGGGTCGTGAAGGTCGTGTGGTGATGAGTGATTGTGAATTTCCAGGTTAGATGCGCGGATGATGGCGTAAGTGACGTGCGTGCCAGGGCCACGTTTCAGACCTCCACTTCTGATAGTGGCGGGGCACAGCCGATAGCGACCACGATCGCATCCCGTCTGCATTAGAGCAGGACAAGCACTCGGCTCGCTGAGCGTGGCAAACAGATGAGGACTAAGTCTCTTATTTGCTAATCTCCCGTCTGCGCCTGCTTGATGTCAATATTAAGTCATGAGACACGGTAATCGGTGACCGCCCGCCACAGTGTCGCTGATCGCCGACTCGTACCCGGTCGGTTATTGCCACCGGCCGAGATGTCGCGACTCTTCAACACTCCTTTCCCCACTCGCCGGCCACCAACAACTAACGGGGGCCATGTCGCCGCGCAATCCGGAGCCCATCGAGTCTCTCGTTCTTCCGCTGAAGCCGGAAAGTCTGCAGTGAGTGCTGCCGTGGCTCGTCGCTGCATCCTCGTCAACCGAGCTCTATATTTGGTTCGGAGTGATCTAACCCAACATTCGGGGGTAGAAGAGCCTGATGACTCAACCCTTGAATCTGCAGCTAGGATTGCGTAACGAGCTGACCCCAGATGCATTCACCGTTTTCTTGAGTACACGCCGACCCCGCTGCCGCACCCTGTGCCACGGAAGCGGACAGCTGCTGTCGCCATCATGTGAGTGAGGCGAGGAAGGGCGCCGATCATCACGACGTGGCAGAGGTTGCTCCTTTCAAGCTGAGATGACGTACGCCTTCAAGCTTTCGCGATCCTTGAATGGGCATAAGCTGACCACCGCAGTCTGTTTGTAGGACGGAAGGGTGACCTGTACGTCCTGCTCTCAACGCGAGCGGGCGACATGCGCTCATACGCGGCCGACACAGCCCTCCCTGGAGGGAAGTATGACGAGGGCGACGAGGACGAGGTCGGCACAGCAGTGAGTTACAGCTCCGCTGACTCGAGACGAATAAGCTGACAAGCAGCGCCGTGAAGCATACGAGGAGGTGTGTTAGACCGCCCCAGCCCCGACTAACGCCCAGATCGGACTACCCATCGACCCCTCCCGGGTGCGCTATCTGTGCAAGCTCGACCCCTTCTTCGCGGGCAACCAGCTGATCGTGACGCCGGTTGTATTCCTCTCCGTCGATCGGGAGATCAACCCCGTCCTGAATCCGGACGAAGTGCAGTTCCTCTTCTCGATGCCGCTGTCGAGTTTCCTGCACGACCGACCGAGTGACATCCCAGGCTGGAACTTTGGCCTCAGCACGCGCGTCAAGCCTGCTCCCATTGGCAGTGTGCCGCCCCCACCTGCGCCGGGGTATGCGGAGGAGAAGGGCAGTCTCGGTGGCCGCGACGGGCGGTATTACATGTACCGCGACATTGAATGGGGAGGCGGCCCGGTGCGCATGCATCGCTTCCTGACGGGAAGGGAGGGAGGAGGCGTCAAGCCCGTGTACGGTCTGACGGCGTGAGTTCACGCGGACTAAGCTGTGAAGGCGTTCGAGATAAGCTGACACTCAGCGCAATCCTCATCCACGCCGCGATGGTGGGCTACGGCCGCCGCCCGAGCTTCGAGCCCTTCGCGCCAGGCCAGAAGAGCATGGCGGAGCGCGTCCGCTACAACATAGTGCACACTGGTGGTGCACTGAGGCGAGCGGCGCAAGACGAGAACATGCTTGCTGCTTGGCTCGAGGACGAGGAAGAGGGGACGAAGAAGGAGGAGGCCAAGAAGAAGGCATGGGACGAGGCGCAGGCCCGGAGTAAGCGGCTGAATGAGCGGAAAGCGACGACGAATGAGAGTGTGCCGGAGAAGGAGAAGAAGGACAAAGCTAAGTTGTAGACCATCTCTGTAAAGCTCATGAATGCAATTGGGGTATATGAGCAGGCCTCACACATGACGATGAGTTGCGCTTCAAAACCCTCTGCAGACGTCAGTGTATCTCGTTGCTCGCTGCGGTCGTTTCCGACACTCGACAAATGGTATAATGATCCAGAATGCACAGGTACATCTCAGCAGCCCCACACCGAAGGCTGGATAGCAGCCCGTACAGCACGTTACATGATGGTGGTGAACGCTTAAGCCCAGGTCGAGGGGCGGTTGGCGGCGAACCAGGCCTTGGACTTGGAACGACGGTGGGGGAGGGGGAACTTGAGGTCGGGGACCAGAAGCTGCTTCATGTAGGGCCTGCGGATGTCCGCGGTCTTCTCGATCTCGGCAACGCGGAGGATCTGGACGTTGCGGAAACGGGCACGGTGGCGGGCAGCCATGTCCTGGTACATAGCCTCGACGGCCTCGGCACGGGAAAGGGCACGGAACTCCTTAACCATCTACCGGATGTTAGTACTGCGCGATACTGCGATATCCCAGCGCGAAAACTTCCACCACCAAAACTCTCCCCGTTCACAACACCTAACACTGCCTCCCCTGCGCTATCATCCCTTGTCCGTGCAAGGTGTACTCACGTTGTGGGTGCCGGAACGAGAGTCGTAACGGATCCAGATGGCGAAGTTCTTGACCTTGAGGGGCTTCTTCTCCGAGATGACGTTGATGGCAACAATCTCGCCAGAGGCCTTCTTGGCCTTCTTGAGCTGGCGGAGGTAGTACCAGTAGCGAGACTTGGCGACAACGTCGTTGGGGGCGAAGATGCGCATGCGGTAGAGCTTAGGCTCAGGGTCCGCCTCGGTGGGGAGCTTGCGTCCAACGACGGAGTACTCAGTGAAGCGAGCCATCCTGGGGGTCAGCTAAGCTACACGGGATTCCTCTGTTCAGCTGCAACGACGGCGACTTCAGTCCTATTCCTCTTCCTGTCCTTCGTGTACCCTTGCAGTCGATCATCGGTCGAGAGATGTGTTGACAGTCCAGCTTGATCGTCCAACCCCACGCTCTGCGAACGCAGTCCCAGACCGCCGATAGCACCAGCACGTTTCGCCACGTCCGACGCGTTCTGGCACTTCGTCGCTGAGTCCCGAGCCCTCCTCGCAAGACATCCTGATCCACCAGCCATTCCAACAAAATCTTCGTCGTCCGAGCTGAAATCTTCCAGTTGACCGACGGGATCGCGAATTCGATGGGGTACACGAAGCAGTCGGCAGGAGTATGTCGAGGATTCCGTCGTCGTCGTCGTTGCGCTGCGAGTAGCTTACTCACTCGTCTGCTTTTTTTCTTGAGGATTAGAGAGCGAACGGTAGTCCAAACGACGGATGACCACCACCTACCGACTGGGCGCCCAGACGCTGCCAGGCCGAATCTGCGCGGCGGGAGTATTTCCCACCAAACTCGTTTACGGGCGACGGAGCCACGTGGTTGCCTTCTTAGGGCCGACATCTAAGGCACGGGTACCGGCTTGGGTTATGTCCGACAGTCGCGATGCTCGTGCCTGGCTGTGGGGGTCCGCAGTTGATCGGGTCTTTGTCTGTGGAGTCTGTCGACTGTCAGCTCTACGGACTAGACTGGGCCGCTCAGGATCAGCTCTGCGAGGCGGCAAGTGAACCCCGTATCCCAGACAGCACCCCCTCGCGGCATCACACATTCTGAGTAAGTACGTTGCATGGCACACCCTAAAGAGTAGTTAAAAGAGTATAGGAAACAGGTGGACAACAGACAAGACATGAGATGTGGCGCTAGCTACTACGTGAGCCCGATGGGAGTGTGTCACGGTGGATCGTTCGTGTCGTAAATCATAACGTATAAAATCATTAAGTCGGGATCAGGTTACCAGTGAGCTTGTAGCCCTCCCAGACTGCCTGACGCGCGTGCGGCATGATGCCCTCTCCGATCATACCGCGTCCAATGAGCGCGTGGAAGCGCGCAAGCTCGTTCCCGCCACCAGAGTAGAGGAACGAACCGCAGGACACACCGATCGCGACCCCGAGCATGGTCCACGTCACTATGCAGGCCACGCCGGGGGCGTTGAACTCGGCACCGCACAAAGTCATGGAGCGCCGCTTTGGCGGTGGCAGCTCGCCCCTCGCCTTGCGAGCCTTGTATGCGTCCTCCATCACCGGGCAGTGCACGCCCGACTCGCGCGCTGCTGCGAGATACGCGCTGTCATCCTCGTCGTCGCTGTCCAGGGCGTCGTAGGGCGGGTGCGCGTCCTCACCGCCGTCGCTCGTCAGGCTCGGGAGCGAGGTGAACTTTGGCGTTGAAGGCGACGACAGCGGAGACGCCAGAGCGTCTCGGTCGCTGACCTCGTTCTCGTCCACGATCGCAATGGCCGTGCCTTCCGGCAGCACCTGAGACTGCATGACCTCGTTGCCGGCGCGGATGAGTGTACGCGTGATGGTCGTCTCGATGATGCGGTCCTCGAGAATGTCGCCCGTCTCTGGTGTATCAAAGCCACGCAGAATCTCTAGTCCTAAGCTCTTCGAGATCGTCGAGTCATCTGGTTTGGCCGCCGGCGCCTTGCTGGATGGGCTCATTGAGTGCGACAGGTCGGCCTTGAGCCGGTCGATGGTCTCGCGAAGCGTCAGGTTCTCCGTTTTCTGCACGTCAAGCTGCACCTTGCTGCGCGCAGCGTCGAGTAACTCCTCTTTCAGCTGGCGGTTTTCTCGGCTCAGTGCATTGTGCTCCTTCTCGCGCCGCTCGTCTTGTTCTCGCCACTCCTGCTCCTCCGCATCGTGGTTGGCAATGAGCGCCTCCTTCTCGTCCAACAGCTCACGCAAGTCCTGCGTCTCCTTCAGTTGCGCCTGGTAGCGCTTCTGCAGGCCCGAGAGTGTCTCTTTATATGTCTCTTGCGCTGACTTGAGACCTGCGATCTGCGACTCCAATCCCGCCAGGTCGGTGGTCAGAGCCGCATTCTTAATGCGCATGTTCTCGGCGTCGCGCCGCGTCTCCTTGTGCTTCGCCTGCTCTCCTTCGTACATTTCCATCGCCTCGTGCGCCATGCTCTCGCTGTCGGCCAGCTGCCGCTGCAGTGCGGCCTCGGTGTCTCGGAGCTTGCGCTGGGCGTCCTCGAGCTGGGTTCGGAGTGTGGCGGCCTCATCCCGCAACGAGTTGGACGACGATGTCGTGAGCTTCGCTAACCGCGCCAGATCACGCTCGTGGTCGCCACCGTTTGGCACTCGCAGCTTGTCCTCGATCTCGTTCAGGTCATTCAAGTTCATGGCGTCCGGCTCATGTGCGTCGTCTGGAAGCTTGCTCCTGCCCTTTTGCGTCGGCGACGTGAAGAAACCGGCGACGTAAGACGTGCTGTCGAGAGCGGGTGAGCCGGGGGACTGAGGGTTGTCCATGCTTGGTGGCGGCGAGGTGGCGGCGATCGAGCTGGCGATGCTCGCACTACGGCTCGGGCCGGATCGAACGGACTCTGGACTCTTCGGCATGTCGTCGGGACCGCGACTCAGCTCCCGGCTCTGGCGCCGCCATGACGTCGGCGGGTTGGGGCGAGCAAAGGCGGCGGATCCAATGTTGTTGTATTTCTCTGCGGCTGGAGCCCGAGCCGAGAAAGGCGAGTCGTCGCGAGCGGAAGACTCCGATATGGACTTGCTTCGAACAGGCTGTGGCGCGGGCTTGTCCTTGGCGGAGGGTAATGCATAGTTGGCCCCAGGGAAAGGTCGCGGGATCGATGAAGTGGATTGGCTGAGCTTTGAATGCTGACCGCCAGGGCTGGTGTAATCGCCGTCATCCGACGACGACGATGAGTCCGAGGGCGATCGGATGCGGTCCGACACTCTTCTAGAGTGCGTCTGCCGTCCGTTCGAGGGTGGCGATGTTACCGACGGCGAGGTTGCTCCAGACTTTGGACGTTCCTTTGCGAACAGCCTGAGGTCAGTCATGTCCGATCGCCGCCGAGGTCCACTCACGACATGAGATTCACGAGCTCGGGGTGCGCCAGTTCTGGGTCCTGCCCAGTGTCAACAAGGCTTAAGCAGGTCACTCGGATGTTCTCGATCACATCTGCACTAAAGAATTCGTGATCTTTGCACTGCTCTAGCACTGCGGTCAAGTCAGCCTTTGTGTGTGGTGATCATCGGGAGGCTGGACAGCACGAATTGTGCACGGGCCGCACCCTGCCGCAGCCACAACAAAGTTCGTCCGATGTGCAGCACTCACAGTCTGGGAGCTCGCTGAGCTTGACGACGTCGTGTCCATGTTTCTCAAGCAGGTCGTCGGCGAGGTGCTCAAACTCCTCATGGGTGGACAGGGGCGGAAGCGGCTGCGACTTGTCGGACCTGGCGTCGCTCTGCCGGTTCGCCATGGTGAAAAGGGGGCGCGGGTTGGCCGCAAGGTCGATGGGCGAGAGAGTATTATAGAAGTGCCGTTGGTGCGTATAGAGGTCGGCGGCGGTGAAGGTGACAAAGGCGAAAAGGTGACAAGCGGAATGTAGTGACAAAGAAAGGGATGTTTGCGACGACTGCGATGAGAGTGTTTAATGTTGATTGTTGTTGATGTGAGCTTAAGCGCGTGTTTCTGGTGCACACTGCTGCACTGGCTGGGCCGCGAGCCGCCTGACGCAAGCACCTCTGCGCCCTGAGCAGGCAGTCCAGCTGCCAGCCAGCGTGCACTCGAGCCGGAAAGATTCCGTCTGCTACCCTGCCTTCCGTGCCTGGGTGGCAAACCTTGTCAACACGAGACGCTTTCCTTCCGCTGCGGTCCGATCGCGCGGCGTGCGCGTCATGGGCCATCGCCGACCACCGACGCGTTCTCGATCTCGTGCATTACTCAAATCCTTACGCCCTCGATGACTCACCGCTGAACAATAGACGGAGCGTTGCCCGCGAAAAAGCCAACCACTCGAACGCAGGTGGCCATGGAGGTAGATGGCTGCATACGCTGTGCAAGCGACTGTGGCTCTGCGAGCGGTTGTTCTCGACATCGGCCCTCCAGACTTGACCTTGACCATCCGACTTCTTTTCAGCCCGAATGCCTCTCGTCTTAACAACATCGCTGACGAGAGCACACGCTTGGGGCGTGAGGAGCAGGTCATGTGCGAAGACGATGTCCAGTCAACCCCTGTCGCCAGCTGTGTGCATGCAGTCGCCCTCCTCCTTTGGTTCGCCCCGGGCGCTGAGGTCCTGTCGTCGTCGCCTCTACTTTTTCCCACACTTCTCGTATTCTCTTTCTTCTAACCACACTGACGTCGCCACCAGCATGAGCGTAGCCGCTCACGACTCCAACTGCAAGATCGAGCCCGCCGCCGGTAGTATCGCGGCTGACGACGTGATCGACATCACTACCGAGCCGGACGGTGCGGATGGCCCGCTCGTGACCGAGAGCGACATCGAAGCTTTCTTCAACGCCACCAAGGGTATTGCAGGCGATACCGCTGCATCCCATAAAGCTCATGCCGCAGACTCCACGGGCCCGCAGCTCGACATGACCGAGGCCGCCAGCGAGGTCGACGACAGCCCTGGCAGTGTCAAGAACACCTGTGAAGTTGGAGAGGGCGAGGGCGACGACGCTGAAGTCGAGGCCGAGGACGCAAGCGAGCTCAGCGACCCCGTTGGGTTCGGCGAGGCCAACCACGAGGCCAATACCGACGAAGCCAGCGACGATGCTGAAGGGGATGGAGACGAGCACTGCGAGGAGGAGCACGAAGAGGAAGAGGACGCCAGTGGCGAAACGGACACCGGTTCGGAGTACACCACCGAAGTTATCACCAAGACCACCCGCCGCAGCACTCGCACTCGCGCTCGCGCTCAGAGCATCGTCGCTAACCAGGAGCCTCAAACGTGTGAGGCGCTCGAAGAGTCCGAGGAACATAAGCAAGAGCAACCCGAGGAGAAGCTCACCAATCCCAAGAAGACGGCCACAAACCGTCGTAGCGGCAGGCGAGGCAAGGCTGTCAAGAGCGAGGCAGAGCCCTCTGAGGAACCTCAGGAAGACGGCCAGGGGAACGCCGATCCTGTTGAACCGATGCAGGAGAGCGAAACCGAGGCGGCCCCCGTCAAGCGTCGCGGCGGCCGCAAGCGTGCCCAGCCTGCCAAGGTCGGCTCACCTTCTCCGCCTGAGGGTCCTAAGCCCACCAAGCGCTCGCGCAAGCGTAAGGAAGATAAGCAGGAGAGCGACCACGACGATGTTAAACCCGCCGTCGACGAGGACGGAAGCGTCAAGCGCGGCAAGCGCTCTCGCCGCGCGAAGGAGAAGCCGGACCTTGACTGTGATGCCGAGCCTGGCGCGGAGGAGGAGAACAAGTCCACCAAGCGTGCGCGCGCCTCCAGGTCGAAGAAGCTCAAGCTCGACGTCCAGCCCAAGATGGAGCACGCAGAGCCCGCCAATGGTCGCCGCGCCAAGTCCGAGCCTCTTCCCGGTGCTGAGGCTGAGCTCTCTCCCGACCTGAAGACCGGCAAGTCCCACAAGACACCCAAGTCCTCCGGCCGCCCCGCCGCCCGCTGGTCCCCAGAAGACCGTACGGCGCTGTACCTTGCTGCCGTCGAGGCGAACTGCGGGGGCAAGGTGCGCACAGAGCGTTTCCAAGCGGGCGTCGCCGGGCGCAATGCGAAGCAGTGCTTCGACGCTTGGCAGAAGACGGCGGAGCCCTTCATCATGAAGTATCTCTCCGAAGAGCCTAAACCCGTGCCCAAGGACTGGAGGGCCGAGCCGACGGGCCGCAAGGGCTGGGACGGAGCTGCGCTGCAGGCTCTCTTCGACGCTGCAATCGGGACGGAGACGCCGCGCTTCACGGAGGGCATCAACGGCCGCTCGAAGGCTACGACCCGCGACACCTGGAAGTGAGTAGCTGCGGAGACGGGGCTGACACCAGTCGCACTCTGCGTCCGGGCATCATGGCTGCGTTGAAAGAGAAGGGTGACAGGAGTGCGGCGTGAACACGATCAGTGCCGAATTGCGCCTCCCTGCTAGAGCCAGGCGTTACATGTGTGAAGGTCGTGCCAGTAGTCATCTCGATGTATAACTCGCTCTGTGACGAAAAGCAGCGAGCAAGAGGGAGAAAAAGTGAGGCTAGGGAGTAACTGAATACTCTCTTGACGAGAGTGGGATTCGAACCCACGTCCGAAGACTGCGGAGGATAACTTGAAGTCACCTTAACACAGCGCCTTAGACCGCTCGGCCATCTCGCCTACGAAGGTCGAGGGGCGCAGCAGGCAGACGTGCGCTCGGGACGGAGTTCGAGCAATCTCCACCTGTGGCAGCCTCGTCGATGTTGCTAACGAGGGACTTCACGGCGTGGACGCAACAGAAGGTAAATGGCACGATGCTCAGGTTACCCAGGGAGGTGTGGCGAACAAGGAAATACATCGCTGTTGCAATGGCATATGTACACTTATGGAAGGTGCCCGTACATGGGTCGGTGCGCCGAGGAAGTGCAGCAGCACCACATCTGCGTCTGCCCTTCCCATTGAAAATGAAGGTGTAGACTCTCTAATTTTTGGACACCATGGAGGGAAGTGCACCGCCGTCAACTAGTCGCTGAGTGGACAGAGGAGTTAAGGGCGCTAGGGGGGACTCACTCACTGATGTTGGACTAGCTCCTCGGCGGATGAGCTACCCTGACGCCAGTGAACACACGGAGTTGACATCGGTCCCTTTCTTTCTCGGCCACAGACGTGCCTGGACATCCACGACGATATCGAATCAAACCCAACGGACGCAGCAGACTCGGCAGGTCGTTGTCTACTTATTATTCATTATTAACGATAATTTCATTGGAATTCCTTCTGCCGATTTCGAATATCGTATAACTGTCGCCCGGTTAACTGCTCTTCGACTGCTCACCATCGGTGCTCATCTCCACTGAAGTAATGCAGGTCCATTATGACCAGCAACGGACAAGAGTCCGTTGCAGAGCAGTCTCCGGGGTGAGGAGGGCCTGGAGTCCCTCAAACCTTCTGCTAGGGGCGTTGCTCGCTGGACAAGGGGCGGTGAAGTACTGCACCTACGAAACGACTTGCTGCGCCGCCACACAGGACTGAGGAAACCCAGTACCACCGGACGGCCTCCGCTGTGCTCATATAGCACTTCTATTGAAAAAAATTATCAGAAATCGTTGTCTGGACGGTTAATACTGCCTCTTTAGCACAGTGGTAGCTGCGTTCCTTTCGTATCTTACGTAACCATCGATTCTCGGTGATTCACGATCGGTCGTACACATCGTACTAGGGAAAGGTCGGCGGTTCGACTCCGTCAAGGGGCAGATCATCTTTTTCGGGGTCGTTTCAGTCTTTGGGTGGTATGGAGGGACAGCGAAATTTACATTCGTTTTTAGATCTCGTAGAGAACGGTTCGAGTGGAGGAGGCTGCGGACCGACCGACACGGAGGCAGATCTGAGATCAGTGGTGTGTGGCGCCACTAGTCGGGTGGCGGGGCGCTAAGATCCAGCTGCGGCAGGAGGGCGCACCCACTCCGTGAAGGCCTGGACCGGTGCGCCTGGACCGCTCCCGCAGGCAGCAGTCTTCGCGCAGTCTGAGCTAGTCGGGTGTGAGGATCAAGGGAGGGCCGTCCACGTTGTATCTTAACCATTCACCATATCGACTTTTGCCACTCTTCCTTCCGTTCAACATGCGTTGCTTGACAGCATACGCCTCCCCTTCAACCTCGTTCGTCCCCTTGAGGAATCCCTCCCAGAATTTGACCAGGAATTGTCATCTACTGGCGCCCTGTCTGCATATTCTCTTCGTCGGGTGAGTCAGCGCGGTGGTTCGTTAGCCTGTGGCGAAGAAACCCTCATGGTCATGCTAACCGTCAGGACTCTCCCAGCGGTGTTCCCCGTACGAGTATCGAGCGAGAACCGACCTCCAGGCCACTGAGCGGCTGCTGGTGTCGTCTCTCTGCCCCTTGTGCGGAAACTCACCCAAGGGGTGGTTTCATCAGGAGCCGGACTTCCGCATTTTTGGTAAAGTCGATCCTGTCGCCTACGATGACGACCCGACCGCCGCGACCACGGAAATCATGCGCCTGGACAATGACATCGAGCGGCACCTGCACAATTCGCGTCGGGTATGGGAGCAGCACTCTCCTTCCCGCATATCCCCCCGAGCCTTCAATGACGCGATCGAGGCGGCGAAAGTCAAGGGCTGATCGAAGGTGGCGTTGAGCACGTACGAGTCGGCAAGGACGTCCCTGGCGAGAAGTTCCACGGCAAGCATCCCGGTCTCAGTTTCTTTGGGCGGTATCGAGGCCCAGGACCTGCCCTCTCCTGTTCTGCGCTGCGTGCACTGTCCGACAAGGGTGCCGGCATCGTCGAGGTTCAAGAGGACGCTGCGGACGAGTCTGGCGAGGACGAGGCGCATGAGCGCAATCTGGTCGGCCCCTTTGTCGACCTCTGGACGTTCGACCTCGAACACAAGCTTCTTGCACTCGCTCTCCTCTTCTTTCTGCGTTATCTTCGCACTTGCACCCCAACGCTAAATGTTGGGGAGTCGGCTCAAGTGTGCAAACTGCTCTCCCTGACAGGACCAAGTCAAGTGGAGAGGGTCCCCGAGATTGGTGAGGACCCCCCAGTGGACCTACTCCAGTCCTTGGATGTCCGGTGGAAGGGTTACGCAGCTGAATCATGGTGGACAATGCAGGGGCGCGTAGTGGTGTCTCAATACGCACCTGAGCATTACGCGCTCCTCTGCATAGTAGGCGGTGGCGGCAGGGCTAAGTACGACCCGGTCGTCGAAAACGAGGTGGCGCGCCTAGTAGTATTGGCGAACAAAGCGGCTCTCATAGCCCTCAAGTGCACCGAGGAGCATGCGCGCGCGCACGGGAGACCGCGGCACCACAACCTCGCCACGTTCACGAAGCTCAGAGACGAGGTTGAGGTGAAGATCAGGGAGGTCGGTCTGGAGAACGAACTCGATGACGCACGTTACAAGCTTGCCATCAAAGCGGCATGGTTCAGTTCTCGCCGGGTGGCCGCTTCATACTTTCGTTCTCGGGCCGTCGACCAACCGATGCAACGCCACGACACTGACGCATCCTAGCGGGATGCAAAATCAAGCGGTCGCGACTTCCTCGGCACCCGCTTTTCGGCTGAGCGAGAGCAACAATTCGTCGCGCTTCTGCGGGAGGACGAGGAGCGGCAGCGTCGAGGAGTCCCGCCGCGCGTGGCTCGCAACCCCCTCCGCCCACTGTTTTGTTCTTCGAACGAAATGTGGAAACAGTATCACCTCGCCCAGCCGGAGGGCATCGACATCATCCGCTCGGCGGCCAACACTCGCGTCCCCCGAACCAACTGCCGTCGCTCCACAGTGCCGAGGGAGGTTCGTCTGTGGCAAGTGCAACGCAAGCCGACCCACCGCCAATCGCACAAACCCTGGATCCAGGTCCATGACGATCCAGCTGTCCGGGTACGAGAGCATGCAACGGAAGGCAGCGCATATCCGAACGGTTTCGATGCCGTGTCGTGCGACACCTGCATGGAGACCGTGATTCCGATCCCCGACACGGACGGGTATGCGCAGTCCTGGCGGCACGCCTGCTCCGCGGATCTCGCACCGGGGGCAGAGAATGCTACCATCGTCGAGCACTTGCGCGATGGCTGCACCAGATCACAAATCCACTTCGTGTCTGAGCTCTTCGCCTTTCCTGAGCTTTTGGAGCAGGCCGCGCAGGGGCTGGAGGAGCACGACTTTGCAGATGTCGTGAGACGTATCTTGGACGAGACCGTGGACAACCCCCCGCGGTTCCGTCATTTGGAGGAGGAGGCGGACAGCGCACCACCAGTGCTGGTCGCACCGGGGTCGTCAATGCGCTGGGTCGCTGAAAATGCGATCGGCCTCGCCCACGCCCTCGTGGCCGGGCGCTTCGAGGAGCCCGAAGGCTGTCGACTGCCCGACAGGGTACCGCCTCGCTATCGTTCAGCAAGAGTCCGGCGGGCGCCGTCCGCTCCACCTTCACCGGGGTGGGAGCGGGTCCGAAGCCTGAGAAGCGCCAGCTCATGTGCGCTGCCCCGATGTCTACGGCAACGAGGGCGAAGTCGGTCGGGAAGTGGCCCTACAGGGACGACTCCGAGATCCAGCAGATGCTCGCCGGGCTGGACACGTGGAACCCGAGCAAGTCTCTGGACGTAAGCAACGCTCGCACCGGCCTGCTGACAACTGCAAAAGCAGGAGGGATTGGGGTCGTAGACTTGAGTGGGGCTGCACTGGCGCCCCAAATAACTAGCCTTCTTTGTAGGACCAGACATCCGTCCGTCACCGAGGCAATGTGTGATGCATCTAGAACTAGAGCGGGAACCGCGCTGCACGCGGACGCGCCAGCTTCTAGCTGCCGATACCGGGGCCACGCGCGATCCGATGAGAAGCCTGAGCTCTGGCCGCCCCTTCTTCCCGCTGCTCGCGTATCAATGCCTACGCAGAGGCATCTTATTCGACGATAACGGAGCTCCACAAACGTTGCAGAGTATCTGACACGCCAAGACAATGGACAGTGCCGCTCGCGGGCCATTAATCAGCAAAAGGTCAGGCGCGTGCGCGTCGCAGGTGCCGTGCGTGACCCTGGTGGTGGGAGTGTTGTCTGGAGAGCTCCTTGAGCCACGCGAGTATCAATGACATTGCTCGGTTTCAGGTGAGGAATGTAATCCGGCGCACTGACCAAATTCAGCTCCGCACTTGAGCTCTCTATCCGGCCCACACCGGATCCGAGGCGGCGGTTACGTTGGTGTTGACTGTGTTTGGGTGTGGACAACTCGCGGTCCCTCGTGCATTCCTCTGTCCCGGGTCTCCTCCGAGCGGCCGCCTCTCGCCAGTCCGACCCGCGGGCATCACACCCCTTCCAACCTTCTGGCCTTCGGCGGCGTCTCAGCGTTCCTCACATGACGTCGTAACACCGCGCCCACGGGCACAGACTCGGCATGATATTGCTACGACCTCCTCGATGTCGCTGTCCTGCCGCGTCCACTTTATCTGTGTGCTGCTTACTCATCCGACAGCCATGCCAAGCTCGCCCATCACGCTCGTCGACCAGATCTCGCCGTGTGCTGCTGGGCAATAGGCCCAGTGCGCGGGCTGAGGCTTCTCACAGCGGATCGCGCTCTTGGCACAACAGCGAACCTTCCGAGCACTTGACTTTGGATCTCTGCGATCTGTGTGCGATTCATGATCCGGGACAGTCTATAAGAAGACGTCCAAGACGCCTCCTTCCCACAGCCAGCAACCTTCACCATGGCCGACACTACCACCACCACTACGACTACGACCACGACCGCTCCTGCCGCTACCACCGGTGCCTCGCCGACCACCTCTACGGGGGAGAAGAACATTGTCGTCTTTGGCGGTACGGGTGCCCAGGGCAGTGCCTTCATCCGCGCGCTCTCCGAGTATCCAGGCTACAAGATCTTCCTCCTCGTGCGCTCCGAGAAGCCGACGCCGCTGAAGGACCTGCCCGGCGTCACCGTCGTGCACTCTGCCGAGTATGGCGAGCACCCCGCGCTCGCTCTCCGTGCTACGCACCTCAAACCCGGCGAGGTGTACGGCGTTTTCTCGGTTCAGGGGTACATTCCGGAGAAGCAGGAGATTACGCAGGGTGAGTCGAGCTGAGTCGAGTTTGTGTCGGTGGCGGATGAGCCTGATCTTGGAAGGCAAGGCACATGACCTCCAGGTGGCTTCCGAACTGCGCTGAGTGAGGCTCGCGGCAGAGCAGCGTTCCTGCTGCGGCTTTGGTCTCATGACTGTTGCTGCCAGTGCGCAGGAACGGAAAGTGGCGAGCTGAATAGCTCAATGCATCCCACGCACAGAGCTAACAACCAGGCAAGAACATTGCGCGCGCGGCGAAGGAGTGGCAATGCCATCACTTCATCTATGCGTCTGCGAACTGCAGGTCTGAGGAGGTGAATGACGGGATGCACGGAAAGCGCGTCGTCGAGGCCGAGATCGAGAAGCAGGGTTTCCCGCTCGTGACCATCCTGGGCGACACGGACTTCATGGACAACTGGCTCCCGCACGCCGGCTACAGCCACAAGCTGTACCGCACTGTCCTGTGGCGCAAGACGTTCACGCCCGAGCAGCTGGGCACCAAGAAGATCATGCTCGTCTCGACGCGCGACATTGGCCGCGCGGGCGCCAAGGCCCTCAACGAGGGCATCACGGGCAAGATCCCCCTTGCGGGCGACAAGCTCACCATGAACGGCATCATTGAGACGTACGAGGACTGCTACGGCAAGAAGCCCGATGAGGCCATGGGCCTGGCCGCTAGTGCGGTCAAGTATGTCTCGTCCGCCATCAGCGGTCTCAGCAACGTGAGTTCACAAACTTGCTTCCTACCTCCAGCTTCAAGCCTACGGAAGAACGGCTGACGCCCAGTTCTACAAGAACTTTGACTCCGAGTTCGATCTCGAGGTGACGCGCAAGGTGCTCCCTGACCCAGAGGACTTCAAGTCCTTCCTCCAGCGCACGAAGGAGGAGCAGCCTACCCGCCGCCTGTCCTTCACGGGCGCGCACCGCAAGTCGTTCGACAAGAGCGCCGAGCGCAAGGCTTCCAAGGACTCGGCGGCGAGCCACTAGGCGCAAAACTTCGGCTGTGTATCGGAAGATCGTATAGGTGATAGCTATAGCTCTGTAACTAATCTGATCGTAAGGACCATTCGTCTTATGCAAAGTAATCGTGTGGTCTGGGTGGCGACGGTGCGTGAGATCTGACTGTGAAGGTAGGAACGGCACAGTGAGATCTAAGACGCCGAGTTCAACCGATTTCCTCCAGGAACCAGATTCCGTCATCGACTTGCGGGGCCAAGACCTGTCTCTGGTGGAGGGTTAACGATCGACTGTGAGACCTTCCTCGACGTTGCTACATCCCCAACCACCATGACGACACCCGAGTGGCGCACCGTGCTCGAGCAGCAGCTGAAGCAGCACGCCAAGAGCAGCGTGTACTCGTTCGCAACGGCGAGTCCGGCTCCACACGTGCGCTACGTCGTGCACCGCGAGTGTGAGTGAAGTCTGCCCTGGCCTGCTCCTCCTCCATCGAGACCCGGGGGTGGGGGACACGAAGCACAGCTTGGCGAACGGTGTGACCAGCTGACTCCAGTCTCACCCTCTCATCTCCTCCTAACCACGACGGACCGGCGCATGGCCAAAGCGCGGCAGATGGAGCACGGCGCCGCCATCGCGTGGCTCTTCCCCTCGCTCGTGCAGGTCCGGCTCGAGGGAAGGATGATCCTGTATCCCTCCCCTATCCCATTCCCGAACCCGCCGGCGACAACAGCAGAAGAGGACGCCAAGACTCTCGCGGACTCTTTCCCGAAAGACGCACCCGAGTCCGACCCGCAGTGGTGGGAGAAGAAACGGAAGGAGCTTTGGGACGGCCTCAGTCCTGAGCTTAGGGCGAGCTTCTGTCGACCCAAGCCCGGGGCGGAGCTCAAGGATGACCCGAACAACTGGATCGACGAACTGGTGAGTTGTAAGCCAAGGAGAAGCTGACGCCAGCCTGCTTCTGATGACGGCGCAGACGAGAAGACCAAGGACGCCCTGGCCCGCGCATGGGAGAACTTTGCCGTGCTCGCCCTCCAGCCCGAGAGCGTCGAGGTGCTCGACCTCGGCTCCAAGCCGCACAAGCGCACGCAGTGGACGAGTGCGACGGATGCCCCGCGGAAGACCGAGGTCGTCCCGTAACTCTATCGTCTATGCATTATCCTACATGTATTACAGTACAATCTACCAGCGTGCCCGCTAGGCCATCTCGATCTTGGCTCGCGCTTCCCGCGTGCGCGCCTCCCAAGCCGCAATCATGCTCTCGCCCTCCTTGCGCATCTCTTCGTGCCGCAGCTTGAACTGCAAGCGCACATAGTCCTCGAGCGTCATGCTCTTCTGCTCCTCGGTCAGAGGCGAGTGCTTGCCCTCTTTGCCGACGATGGCGTCGACGGCGTGCCGGACAGACGGCGAGCCCTTGGCGGCTGGTGGCGGCGGCAGAGGAACGTTCGGGTCGGCAGTGCCCAGTGGCCGGTTCGGCACGCTCTTCGTGGAGGCGGAAGGTGCCTCGCGGTTGCGCACCGGCTCAGTCGCGGCGGAGAGCTTCTTTCGCGGCAGAGGCTTGGTCTTGCGTTTCGGCTTCTCGGGTGACGGTTCGGGTACGGGCTCGGGATCAGCCTCGGCGATGGGCTCTGGCTCCGGCTCAACGACGGGCTCCGGTTCTGGCTCGGCGATGGGCTCTGGCTCTGGCTCCTTGGCAGCCTCAGGCTCAGGCTCAGGTTCTGGCTCAGGCTCCGCAACAACCACCTCAGGCTCCGGTTCCGGCTCCGCCTTCTTCTTGCCCTTAGCACGTGAAGACTTGGACGGTTTCGGCTCGGGATCCTCAGGTTCCGGTTGCGGGAGCTCCAGGCTGTCGTCGACGTCCTCGTCCACCTCGTTTGCTGTCGACGCCTTGCTTCGGCTACGGGTCGAAGTCGCTCGCCGCGTAGACGTGGATGACGCAAGCTCGCTGGCCGATGAGTTCTTAGTCGCTCGTCCTCGTCGCTTCGGCGGTTCGGGTTCCTCGACCGGCTCCTGAGCGACAGACGCCTTTGGTTGACGTCCCCGTCGCTTCGGCAGCGCTGTCTCGTCCTCGGTGGCGACAGTCGAAGTCGAAGCGGCAAGGACGGACGCCTTGGTCGTCCTTCCTCGCCTCTTTGGCGGTTCCAATTCGGCGTCAGATTCGGCAGCGGTGGTCGCAGCGGTCGTTCGTCGTGTTGTCCGACCCGCAGCCTTACGGCCCTTGGTCTTCGCAACCTCTACCGTCGCCGTGAAGAAGGGGCAGTCGGGTTCCTTGCGGTGATGAATGTCCCTGCTTGTTAGCGCGTAAACATAAGAGGGACACACCATGGGTTGTCGTCTTCCTCCCACTCGACGACCTCGTACTGGCACAAGGGGCACGTCGTCGCATCAGGCGCCTTAAGCCCCGGCGTGTACACAAACCCAGCAGCAGCGAGGTCCTTGGCGGTGGGCTTGTTATGCGGCCACCAGTCCCCGAACGTGTCTTCACGGTACCTGCTCATGCGATCGGAGCTGGGTAACTGGTCCGTCGACTCGTAGACTTTCCTGGATGGTCAGCAGAAGGCGTTACAGCAGTGACAAACCTCAGCCTGCCCTCGCCACCGTTCGCACGGTCGACCTCGATCCGGCAGATGACTTCCTTCCATGCGCACTCGCCGTCGCGTCGAACGTGCTCGGCAAAAGGGTCGTCGTCCTCGTCCCAGCCGCCGAGGACGAGGCCACACATGAAGCACTTACACGTGTCATGAGAGTCGACGTCCTTCTCCTTGCCGGGTTGGTGGTAGAAGCCTGCCTTTGACAGGGCGGCGGGGGTGAGGTATGGGTACTGTTCGGGATCGAGTGGGAACGCGACCTTTGCGGCGCGTTTTGGGCGCGTCACGGCGTCGTAGGACTTGAGCCGCGCCTCGAGGCACTGCATGGCGAGGGAGCGTTGTGTGTCAAAAGAGACTGGGAGTGAAGCAACAAGATCGAGTGCAAGATAGCGGGGTGTGTCTGGCGAGATCGGTGCTTGTTGATATACGACCCTTCGAGTGACTGTACTTGCTGCCCGCGTCGTTATTTACTTTCACGTTAGTCGTTTGTTTGTGTCTGATTCAACCCCCGCCCCCCCGTTTTGATCCCGCAAAGTTAGGCGCCATGCGGCGTTAGGCGTGGGACCCCGGCCCATCTGCCTCCGGGCGCCTAAAGTTTCCGATTTCAGTCGCCTCCGACATTTTCATTTCCACCGACAGCCGGCAGGACGAGGCTGGACTTTTGCGGCTGGCAGTGATATCGTTGCTCAACCCACACCACACCCCCGACCCACCATGTCGCTCATCTTCCGCCGAGCGCTCACGACTGGCGCGGGCCCGTCCAACTCGATCCCGCTGGCCGTCAGGAGACGGCGGACCGAGCTCGCCGAGGCCGTCCAGAAGGCGTCCCCCCTGACGCAGCCCGAGAAGTTCACCGGCCCCGACGCCGAGCCGTTCCCGACGCGCATGGAGGAGGAGTTCCAGGACCACCGTGCCGCGGGCAACTTTGCTGGCGAGGAGTCGGCGGCGCGTGCCAAGTTCCTCGAGGTGAACCAGCTGTGGCGCTCGCGTGTGCGTGGTGTGTCTGGTGCGGCGGCTCTCGAGGGCGGCGCGGCCACCCCGGAGAGCAAGTGGAGCTTCTTCGAGCGTGCGGGTGAGGGCCAGATCCCGCTGAAGGAGGGCATGCGTCAGGCTGTTGTCGGACAGAAGATTTGGCTTCCCAACATCCAGATCCGCCTCGTGCGCAACTTCACCCCGCCCGGAGGCGTACGACCCCTGGAAGGCGACCTTCCGTATCCCGACCGGTATGACAAGACCGACCTCCGCTCGTACCTCCAGGCCGTCTACGGTCTCGACGTTACCTACATCCGCACCGACGTTTACGTCGGCAACGTTACGCGAGGACGCTCTGGTGAGGTGATGCGCGCGCTCCGCAGCGACAACAACTACAAGCGTGCCATTGTCGGTCTCCGGGAGCCGTTCCACTACCCTGACGACGTCGAGGAGATGCGCGCCGGCCAGTGGGGAACGCTCGCGGAGGGCGCCGCCCAGGCCGAGGAGCGTGAGGACCTTCTGAACAAGGAGTTCGCCGTCGAGCACGTCAAGTACTACCGCAAGCAGATGTCGATGAAGATGAAGGGATGGCGCTGGAGGCAGAACCATGCCAACGCTGTGAGTTACCCTTCAAGGCGCGCAACTGACAACAGGGAAACACCGTCCGCGAAATCATGGCGCGCCGTCTGGCTCGCGAGCAGGCGATCGCTCGTGCGGCCGAGGGCCTCGCCAAGAAGGACGTTGCTCCCGCCGCCCCGGCGCCCGCCGAGTCCGCCGAGCCCACCGAGCCCGCGCAGCCGCAGGCGTCCCAGTAAAAACCGCAGTAACCCAACTCCACAGTATATATGCATTATCTCTCAATTCTCCACGCATGCAACGACTAGACTTGATATACTCGACACTTGGACCTGTATGTCCGTCGGATTACATTCACAGTAGGGGCACTACAACCAGGGATTATAAACTGGTAATACCAGGTGGGTATCATCTCTTTAATTGTTCGTGGTCTTCTTCTAAGCTATGCGCCGTGGCGCGCGAAAGGCTCGTCCTCGGTCGACGACTCGGCGCCGTGCGTGCGCACCGAGCCGATACTCTCGAGAGGGCTTACGTCGGGGCGGCGGCCGCTCGTGGCGTCCGGGCCAATGACGATGGTCGTCTCGTTGTGGCTCCCGCCACTAGACGACGAAGGGGACGACAGCGCGTAGGGCAGGACCCTCATGCCGATATCGCTAGTATCGGATGCATGGCCGTCGTCCAGGGGGTTGGGCAAGAGGCTCCTAACTTCGTGTCCGTCCCTGCTGCCGATTCTGCTGCTCTTGGAGCCAGCACGGGAGTGCGCGCGACTGTGGGTGCGCGAGTGCGAGTGCTTGGAGTGGGCCAGATCCCAGCTCTCCGCGTCCGCGGCCGCTGCGTCCTTTTCGTCGGCGTCCTTCTCTTCGCTCGGCACCGCCGTGAAACGGGGCACCTTCCGCGGCCCTGCCGGAATGCGCGGCAGGCTTGTCACGATCGACTCCTCCCCGAACCCGAACGTGGTCACTTGCTGCCCCGCACTCGCCCGGTTCGACGCCGAACCCTTGCCCGTCCCCGAGCCTTGGGAGATGTAGTCGCGCGAGCCCTTTGTGCCGATCGTGCCACTGCGGTGGGACGCCTCCTTCCTTGCCTGAGCGCGGCAGGACAGGCCGCCGAGAACGATGGCTAAGAGCAGGATCAGAGCACAGATGGACGACATGACGGCCTGGATGTTCCACGCCGCCCGGCTGTAGATCACGGGCGCGGTGAGGACGTTGCTTTCCGCTGGCCAAGGGCCGGCGACGAGCGTGGTGCTGCACAGCGTTTGAGCGGAAGAAATGGCCTCCTGCACCTCGAGACCGTCGCAGTTGATCGTCCAGCAGTCCTGTTGTCAGCTTCAAAGTTTACTGCCACGTTCGGCCGCCATCCGCGACCGACACTCACCATTACAGCCTTCAGATACTCGTCGTTCCGACAGAGACACGCAAAGTCGGTTGGGTCGCACTTTCCAACGGGAGCGCGGAACAGGCACTTGCGGACACATGGCGGCAGCCCGTCGATCATCGTTTGTGGGCCGGCGGCCGCCGCGTTGGCCTGGCCGCCCTGGGCGGCAGGGCTTGCGGGAGAGTCCTGCGTTGCCGCAACCTCGCCACCGCGGTCATCGCGCTTCCACGGAGCTTCGCGGTCGTTCTCGCGCTTCGGGTACAGGTCGACGGGTACGGGGTTGACGATGGGAGGCTTTTTCTTGTGAATCGGGTGATCGAGCGGCAGGACCGTTGCAGATGGCGCATCGCGCTTGAAAAGAAGCGGGTCGACGATGGGCGGCCGCTTACTGTGAATGGGGTGATCGAGCGGCAATTCCGATGTAGGGGTCTCCTTCGCGCGCTTGATCGGAAGAGGGTCAACGATGGGGGGTTCCTTCTTGTGAATAGGATGACTGAGGGGAAGAACGGTGGGTGTGAGGTCATCGCGCTTGATGGGCAGAGGGTCGATGATAGAACGTTTCTTGCGATGAATGTCGGGATCAAGTGGCAGATCCGCCTCGTCTCGCTTTGTAGCAAGCGGGTCGACAACGGGCGGTTTCTTCTTGTGAATGGGATGGTCGAGCGGGAGCGCCGTCTCCGTGGTACTCGGTGCGCGCTCCTCGAGCACCTGGGTCGGAAGATGCATACTGGCTGAGGGCGAAAAGGATAAGGAGTGTTCTCGTGTCGGTGTGTCGATGTCGTCTAGAGCTGAAGAATGCGTAAGTGTGAAGAAGGTGAAGAGTGGTCAAGTTACGAGTCGCGGGGGAGGCGGTGCTCGTGAATGCAGAAAAAACAAGTCTGCGCCGCCAGCTACAGCAGCATATGTATGCGCGTTGCGGTGCTGGAGGACAGCGAGAGAGAACAATAGAGCCGTGGTCATTGTCACACCCGGCGTGCTCGCGCTGGTTGCGCCCACATCGCAGTGGCAGAGTCAGTACTGCCCATCTCAGCCATATGGCGCCGTCGCATCGATGCGATGGGACCGACTCAGTACGCAGCACGCGAGAGCATGCGTCATGGGTGCCTCTGTGCCAAACCTAGTCTCGCCATGTATTGCTCGTCCCGGCCGTAGATGTTGCCGTGAGTGGAACGTCAGAGAGTCAGAGGATGCAGACAAACAATGGATCCGCCATTGTTCCTGTCCCAGCGCCACAGGCCGCCACCGGCACAGAAGTCGCATCCACAACGAACCTGCTGCGCCGGTCGCGGCACCGATCACCTCGAGATGAGCGCACCGAGCGCTGTGGAGCATGTGTAGAATGGTTCAGACGGCGTCGGCGGCGCACGCCATCGCCCAGCCGCGGCGGAGCCGAATAGCCACATTCGTCTCTAGCGGCGAAGCGCATCTGACTCGTGCACCTCCTCAGTCTCACCGAGTGCGCCTTACGAAAAGCAGTGGCTGTCATGTTCAAGACATGGGCACGCTCTCAGACAGACGATCCAAGGCGATCCGCGACATCCAGAGACGACCGAGCGCTGGTGTTAGATTGTGGTTAGGGATCAGCTTGTGTGCGGATTCCAGTGCTTCCAGACTTGTCCTCGACCATTGTTGTCACCAGCAGGTTCCTAGACCGAGGCACGGATCTCAGACAGAACAACAGAACAGACCTAGTTCGACCCACAGACCGTCGCGGTTCACGTGCGCCCGCTGCGTTACCGTTATCCGTGGCATCCCAAATGTATGCGATCGGTCTACCGTGTCTACTGCGATTAAGTGATGGAGTGCGTTCCGTCGATGCCCCAGCAGCGCCAAATACGGTCGACGACGCGGAGCTTGTCGTCGCGGTCGAGGTTCTGGTCCTCGAACAGGCGGATGTCGGAGAGGAACGCCTCGCGCTTCGAGCGCTTGATGCCCGCTGCCCAGACGCGGAGGCCGCTGACGTCCACAATCAGCATGCCGCGGTCGCGGTCGTTCATGCGGCCGTCCTCCTTCGTCGACGTGATGAGGAGGCGCTCGATGCTCCGCATACCGTAGAAGTATCGGCGCTTGCGGCCCTTGCCGCGCTTCGCACCACTGGTCAGGTTGCGGATCCAGCCCCAGACCATCCAGAGGACGAGGATAGAGGGCGCAATACCGACGAACGCGAACGTCAGCTGCTGGCTCTGCAGCAGAGAGTCGAGCTGCAGTAGCGCGACCGATAGGTCCGTCTTGGTCTTCTGCACCTGAATCAGAAGCGTGCGGATGAGGTAGCCGAAAATCGCGTTCTTGATAGGAGCGCGCATCTCGCTCTCGTAGACCTTGAGCACGCTCTCGAGGTCGCCAGCGTTGACCTGGTCCTTCAGCTTCTCGAGCTGCTGGTCGTTCATGTGATAGTAGTCCTTTCCGAGATCCATGACCATACGATCAAGCGACTCGCGATCCGTCTTGACCGTCTCTGGCGCGACGCCTAGTCCCTCGCCGCCGCCGCGCATCGTCTTGGTGATGTGCTCGATTGGCTCCCAAACCCACTGCACGAGGAAGCCGCGCACCGTCTCCTTGGCGTTGACGAGCTGCTCCTTCAGCCACTCCTTGTTGTTTCCGAACAACCGTCCGGCGTAGTACAAGCACGGCGGGAGGAGGAGGAACGCGGGCCAGTATCGTGTTGCGAAGGATGGCCGGCCGTAGTTCTTCAGCGTGTCGCGGAGATTATTGCGCGCCTCGGGCAGGCCGACGGTCATGAGGTCGAGCAGGGACTGCGCCGTCGCCTCGGGAGCGGGCAGCTCAACCGTCTTCGTCTCGGCAAGCTTAACCTGCTTCTTCGGCTTGCGCTTTCCGACGCTCACCTCGTGGACCGTCTTCTCGTCCGGAGGTCCAGTCTCAAGCACAACACAGAGCAGCTTGTACACACGTGTCGTCTCGTCCTCCATCGACTCTGTCGAGAGCATGCCGTTCGTCTCGCGGCCGGCCCAGTTCGGCGCCTGGCTCGCGAGAATGCCGACACGGCGCGCAGCTGCGTCGCGGGAGAACTGCAGCGCTCGTACGTTCCCGATCATCTCGTTCCGCGTCAGCCGTACCGGGGACGTTATCGCCGCAAGCTGGTCGGAGATCTTGTCGGAACCATACCCGTGCAAAGGACGGAAGAGGCTCCCGCGCTTCGGCCAGTGGATGCTCTTGACCTGGTTCCAGATGCTGCCCGGGGTCAGGGTGCTGCCGACAGCGTGGAAGATACGGTTCGGAAGTGCTGTGGGGTTAGCTCGGAAAGAAACAATGCAGCTGTGGAGGCAAGCACTCACACTGCACGAGGTAGATGACGGCGCCCCAGCGCGACTGCAGTCCAATCTCCCAGTACGTGAGGTCGTCGTCGAGCTCGAGTGCGCTGTCGATGAGGTCATCCGTGACGTTAGACCAGATGATCGTGACTGCGCGAGCGAGGATCTCCGCCTCCGCAGCAGCATCGACGGGGCTGACGTTCGCGATGCCACTGATGTTGCCCGATGGATTCGCAATGTCTTTCAGGAGGTGGGCCAGCTTGCCCATCGACGGCGGGTCAGATGCGGAGAGCTCGTCGAGGGCATCTTTCAGCTTCTTGGACGGGGTCGGGGAGGTGGACTCGGCGCTGAGCTTGGAGGGGTCGGAGACGGTGAGGGGGATGGAGGAGAGGGCGCCGAGGTTGTGTTTCAGCTGCTCCTCTGAGAAGCTCGACGTTGGACTCTTGCCCATCGTGAAACTTGCTAACCTGCGTCCGGGGGCGTTCCCGGCGCAGCTGCTATGCACAGGTGGTGTGAGTCGAGTGGAGTGAGTGTGCGGATGTGAGGAAGAGCAACAAGCTTCAATCGAACTCCGATCGATGTCCCCGTCCGGTACGCGACACTCGAAGGTGAACCGCGACCCGTTCGTTGACCCAGGACATGACGTAATTCGTCCATTTACATTCACCCAGCGCCCATGTTTCGGAGTGAGCCCCCCCACTACACGTAATAAGATGTGTCACGCGATGATATCAGACCACGTGCCTCCACCACAAATCTTGGGAGAAGTTCGAAGTTCTGAGAGCCAGGAGGTGGTACCGGCTGGGTGTGGAAGATTTGACCTAACCGTCAACAACAACAAACAACGATCGACCCCGACCCCGATCACGATCACACGACATGTCGGGAACACTGATCTCGTCCCTGACGTGGGTGCCGCGCGGCAAGTCGCTGGCGCACCCGAAGAAGTATGAGCTGAACGACGAGGAGCTCGAGCGCGTCGGCCAGATGGGCGGCGAGGGTGTGCTTGAGCAGCTCAAGGCGCAGCTGGCGCAGATGGAGAAGAAGGAGGGCGACGAGTGGGAGGACGTGGACGAGGAGGATGGAAACGAGTCGGGCAAGGAGGACAGCGCAGACGACGACGCGATGGAGGAGGACGTCAAGCCGCACGACCCGAATGATCTGTCCGCATTCAAGATGGACGAGTATGACGAGGGCACTGGTTCTGGAGATGGTAAGCTATCCAGATCGATGGAAGCTGACAAGCAGCGATGGGCGCGTTCGCCAACATCAAGGGCCTGACGTACTACGCCAACAACGAGGAGGACCCGTACATCACGCTAAAGGAGGACGACGAGGCTGCGGAGCGGGAGGAGCTCGAGATCATGCCGACCGACAACGTGATCATCACGGCGAGGACAACAGAGGACCTGTCCTCTCTCGACTTCCACGTGTACGACGAGAGCAACGAGGCGCTGTACACGCACCACGACCTGATGATCCCCGCGTTCCCGCTCGGCGTCGAGTGGCTCGACTTTGCGCCCGCCGGCTGCTCCTCGACGAACGCGGAGCGGAGCGGCTCCTTTGTCGCGGCGGCGACGTTTGATTCCTCGATCGAGATCTGGGATTGCGACATCCTCGACCCGCTGTACCCGAGTGCGATCCTCGGACCCCCGGGAAGCCTGGAGAAGCCCGAGGCCAAGCCGAAGGGCACGGGGAAGAAGAAGCGGCGCCAGATGGTGCAGCCGCAGGCGAACGACGAGTACCACGTGCAGTCTGTGCTGAGTCTCTCGTGGACGCCCAAGTTCCGCAACCTGCTCCTGTCGGGAAGTGCGGACGGAACCGTCAAGCTGTGGGACCTGACGCGCGAGAGCCCGATGAAGGCGCAGAGCTCGTGGACGCCCCACGGCGGCGAGAAGGTGCAGGCTGTGCAGTGGTCGCCGCCGGCGGGGGACACGGCCGTCCTCAGTGCCGGCTGGGACAGGACGGTCAAGGTGTGGGACCCCATGACGAAGGCCGGGGACGGGTTCGCAGTCCACGTCGGCGCCGACGTCGAGTGTATCCGGTGGGACCCCCATCGGCCGACCGACTTCTTCGTGTCGCTCGAGAACGGCCTCGTGCTGTGCTATGACGCGAGGGCCATCTCGTCCAACTCCGACCCCCTCTCGACGCAGCCCAAGTGGACCCTCTCGGCTCATGACGGCGCCGCGTCCGCCCTCGACCCCAACCCCCACATCCCCGGATGCCTCATGACCGCCGGCATGGACAAGCTCGTCAAGATCTGGAACATTGACGAGTCGGCTGGCGGTCGCGACATTTCGCTCGTCACGTCGCGCGATCTCGGTCTAGGCAAGGTCTTCACCGCCCGCTGGTGCCCCGACGTCGAGCAGCCCCTCACCGTGGCCGGAGGCGGCTCCAAGGCCACCCTCCAGGTCTGGGACGTCTCGGTCAACCCGGGTGCTAGGAAGGCTTTCGGAGAGCGCATCAGGCAGCTCGGACGCGAGCTCAAGGAGAAGCAGGGCGGAGGCGTCATCGTCAACAACGCCGGCGACATGGGCGACGACAGCGATGAGGACATGTAGAACAACCCACAACCCACAATTATGCACATAATACCCTTAGAGCAACCACGACGCAGAGTCTATATGTAATGCAACAAAACCTACAGGTCTCTACAGCAGCGTCTCACGATCTCACGGCCGCGTGTGTACCCGCTTGCTCTCACTCTCTATCCTCAGTCTATCCTGTAGCTTCCGCTCACCTCCCCACACTCACACCTCGTACGCCGGATGCCTTCCTCCCTCGACATCTCCCCTGCGTCCGACCAGGCTCCGCTTGTACTGGTCCGAGCTGCGGCGCTGGGCCTCCTCGTCATCACTCTCGTCCTCCTCCTGGAGCTGAGTGAGGGCGACGCCCTCCTCCTCGAACGCGTTGAACAGCGTCGAGTTCTGCTGCTGGAACAGCCTGCTGCGGCGCCCGTGCCCATTCGCGGCGCCACCCTCGGCATACGCGGGCGGCACGGCGCCGCCGTTGCCATAGTTCCACAGCGTCGCGCCGCCCTGCTGGCCCTCCATGCTCATGCGGCCCGACATAGACATGCGCGGGTTCATGAGGCCGGTCTCGAGGCTGGTCGTGTGGTGCGGGACCTCGGGCTGGCGAGAAATGTTGAGCAGGAAGACGCCCATGAAGATCGTGAGGAAGCCACACAGGAGCGAGATGGTGTTAACAGCGTCGGTCGTGTTGAAGCCCTGGAAAAGGATGGCCGAGGCGACAATGGTCGCGGTCGTGAAGAAGACGTAGTAGATCGGGTTGACGACGTTGGTCGAGAACGTGTCGAGCGCCTTGTTGAAGTAGTTCATCTGGATCAGGATGCACGACACGACGACGACGCCGAAAATGTACGTGCTGATGTGCGTGAGCTGGTTGTTGCCCGCGATCGTGAGCTTGAGCGCGATACCAAAGCCCTTGATGGCCATGACGGACACGGAACCGACGAGCGAGCAGATCGAGAGGTACACCATGGGATTCTTAGTTCCATAGCGCGGCACGATGCGGAAAATCATAAACGTCGAGAACACGGCGACAAAGCCGAGGTACAGCAGGAACGGCAGGTTGGACGCGTACGCGAGAATCTCGTCGACCGTCTCGACCTCCTTGTCGCTCGGCGCGTGCAGGACAATGATGACAGAGCCGATGATGCAGCTCGCACAGCCGCACACTCCCAGTCGTCCGAGCTTCTCATCGAGCATGAACGAGGCGAGGATCGCACCAATGATGACACTCATCGCTCAAGCGGCGTTACGAGAATAGCCGGCGCAAACGTGTATGCCGCGAAGTTTGCGACTGGCATGTCAGCTGGCGGTTCACATTCCCAGCTCACCTTCTCCCACTACCATCGTGATCATTCCCGCCCACCAGATCGGATTCTGGAGATACGCCAGATCGTCGGCTGCATGTCAGCTGAAGCTCAAGAGTACCGCAAAGCTAACTCACAAGCATTCCTGGGCCCCGTCTGCCGCTGGTGGCTGTGCGGGTAGTCTGCTGGTCGCTTCCGCGGCATCGTTCAGTCCCTGCTTGGTCAGACCTGGCTACTGTCATTGCAACAATGTAGCGCACCTTCTTCGTGATGATGAAACTTGATCTGTGGGAAGGCGTCAGCGGGGCGTCAAGCATGGCTTGCTCGCTCATCGCAACTTGCCGCTCTCTGGCGGCCGGGCGCGATGAGGACAATGGACAACATACCCAATAGCGGCGGATGAGGAGAACGCGAGCGCTAGCCCGATGTACTTGTCTTGCACCATGGCGATGGGGATGCCGGGGTGGTGTCGGGGGTGTCGGGGTCAGAGGCGGGGCGAGCGGGCGGGGGCAGTGGTGGCTTGCAAGATGTTAAAGATGGGAGATTGTCAAGACGAGGTGGAAACGTCGAAATGTGGACGGGACCCGCAATGCACATGAGCCACCGGTGTCGTCGTCCCAGAGCCGCAGGGTCCGGCCACGAGCCAAGCTAGAGAAACGCGGGGACATGGGTTACGCGCAGGCGTGCGGGCGCAGCGGTGGGCTCTGGCGGGGACGGAAGCAAATGTCCACCCCCCTCACGGACACTCGCAGGACATTGGGAGCACTCCGCATGCACGCCACGTACGCATCGTCAGCCCCGGGCCGCTGGTGCGTCGCGCGTCGCGGTCCATGCACCGAGATGCATGCATGTGGGATCGAAAGAGATGCCCGAGAACTCCGTGAAATTGGTGCGTTTCAGGAGGCGTCGTGCCCAGCTAATCCACTTGTTCAACTTTTATGGAACACGTCGATCCCGCCGGGTCTGCGAAACCTTAACACGTGGCGCGTCCTTTGGCCTCATTTCTACCATACGGTGGTTGGTCAGTGGTGAGGGGATGCAGGCAGCCCGCCGATGTGGTGTGTGATGCACCGCCGACGCCGTCATGAGTGCCGAGTCCGATGTGTTACACTTCTCCCTCGCCGTTTCAAGTGGCGCAGAGGAGGCAGAGGCGGTGCGCCTGATGCAATCTGCACAGATTCCCGACAAATCTCCTGACCAGACTGCCTCTGCCCTCGGGCAGCCCAGACGAACTGACGGTTACAGCCATCGTTTCATGCTCCACTGAAACCTTGTGCACCGGTTGAGCAGGGATCCAGCCCCAGATGAGAGGGGCGACTACTCCACGAGTTTGAGAATTTAACATGCATATTGTATCATGAGCTACAGATATAGAAGCAGAGGGACAATGAATGAATACAAGGTATCCAATGCAGGGCAATGCGCTTCAAACGGTTGAGGGTTGATGATTTGCTGTGTATGAGAGATGTCGATTAATCGCCGGCCTTGAGATGTGGCCGCGAGGGGCTGTATATTTGTTTTACTCTGTTGCTGATGATAGATGATACCCGTGATGGAATTACGTCGTGTCTCTCTCGTCCTCATGCCTAGCTCCACGGGAACGACTTTTCCCACTTGACAAACTCCGAGTCTTCGCCGAAGCGACGCTCCATCCACTCGCGCATCGCGACCTGGACCGCGGGCGCGTTTTCGGGCTTGTCGACGTCGTCGTTGATGCACGCCATGGCGAGCGTCTTAGACTCGTCCATCGCCTTGGTGTCGCCGTTGAGCTCCTTCACGTTGTGGATCATGTTGAACCGCGACTCTGTCCGCGCGTACACGTATGCGTAGCGCGAGAGGAGCTTGACGGTCCATGCGCGCATGTTGACGCCGCCGTCGGAGCGCGGCTCGAAACCCTCCCACGCATCCTGGCCAGTGCGGACGTTGGCCTCCATGGAGAAGTCGGCCTCCTGCCACGTCGGCGTCAGCGGGAGCATGGGTTCGGGGCGGCTCCATTGCGGCGCCTCAGTGGACGGCGGGAAGAACACGGCGTCGACGCTGGGGAGGAACGCAGACAGGGCCCGCTTGCCCGACTTGCCGAGGAGCGCCTCGGTCATGCAGTCGCCGCAGCGGCCGTCGCCGAGGAAGGCGAGGAGCTTGAACACCTCGACGGCGCTGTACTCGTCCTCGGTCGAGAAGAAACCTTCCGGGAAGCAGCGCGCGATCTCCATGCGGCAGATACGCTGGCCGTCGACGATGTTAGGGTCGGGCTTGCCGCCATCGCGGTGGTACTCTGCGTCGAGCGACGTGTGCATGAGGCGCGTCGCCAGAGGGTGCTCCCATCCGGCCTCGTCGGTGTACTTCTCGACGTCCTTGAACGTCTCACGCTCGGCGCGCGTGACCTTGATCAGGATCTCCTTCTCGTCATACTCCTCGCCCTTGCGGAGGCCGAGCGCGTCGCGGATCTCGTTCTTCTCCCGCTCGCCGATCATGCCGTCCTCGCCTCCGAGACGGGCAACGGCCCACGTCCAGAGCAGTGCCTCACGCCATCGCTCAATCTGCAGCCACGTCCACAGCCACGCCATCTCGACGTCGGCCCGCCCGCGGCGGCTCTCGCGGAAGCAGCGGGTCGCGGCCTCGGTGAACACCTTGGCAAACATGACCTCGCTCTCCTGCGTGATCGCCTGGGTCATGGCCTTGGGCATGTGCGTCAGGTACCAGCGGTCGCGGTAGACGAAGCGCTGGCCGATGAGGATGTTGGCATGGTTCAGGCCGCCCCACTCGCCGGGGGTCGACTTGTGCTCCGGGATCAGCTTGAAGCCGACCTTGAGTCCGGGTTCGGGGCGGAGCATGGGGCCGAGAAGCGGGTGGTGGAAGTCCGCAAGACTGAGCTGTCTCATGAGGAACATGTCATCGTTGCTGAGGATGAAGTTGGGGCTGAGGTCGTTGACGAACGGGAGGCGGCTCTCGATCTCGAACGAGTTGAAGTTGGGCAGCGAGAGCGAGCGCCACTCCTCCTCGTTGACATCCGCGATGGCGTGGTCCAGGGATCCGTCCTCGTCGCGGGGGAGGCGGAAGATCTCCGAGTGGAAGTGCCACTGGACGTTACCAGGGCTTGCCCAGTCAAGCCACTCAGGGATTTGACCCAGCTGCCACCGGTCGGTGTCGCCCTCGATGTCGTCCGGGAGGACAGGGCGCTCGTCGTCGGGGAAGTCGAACGCCGCTGAAACGACGTGAATCGTGCGGAGGCGTTCCCGCAGCGACAGGGCGAAGGAGCGCAGTCCTCCACGCAGCTCGCCGTTGTCGCGCCAGTGGTGCGACTGCTTCTTCAGCGAACCAAGGCCCTCCTCCTCCGACTTTTTGTTCTTAGCAAAAGCAAAGTATTCCGAGGAGGCGTTCACAAAGAGCGTGACGAGATCGACCTGCGGCCGCTTGGACTGGTGGGTAAAGTTGAGGGTGCCGTGGGCGTAATACTCGATAAGCTGGTCCAGAGGCGGGCGAGTCGTAAGGGGCTGCAGAAGCGGTGCCGGCGGGGTGACATTCACGTCGACGGCTTGGATAACGACGTGCGTCGGGTCGTCCTGGATCATGAAGGAGTTGTACTCCGAGTTGTCACCAGCCCAGTCACCGTAGACATAGTCGGTTCCTGAGAGTGTGCTAGGCAGGTTGTAGCTGTAGGTCAGGAAGGCGGCTAGGAGAAAGATGAGCGAGATAGCTCCGCAGAGCAAGAGCACCACGAGCGGGCGCCTCCGCCTTGTCCTGCGCAGACTTCCTCCGACGTAAGAGATCATCGAGGCCTTCTCGATGTCGGCATCGTCGTTCGGTATGGGTGAATATTTCGTTGATTGTCCTGCCATAGCCGATAACGGGATGGGGACCGAATTTGTGAGCGAACCGGAGCCGTCGTTGTGCTAGCGTTGTCAGGTCGTCTGATCAGAGCCGCGGCGATAGTAGCGATAAGCGGGCTAGGTCAGAAATGCTGGAATGCGAGTGCCGTAGCGGGAAGTCGTGATGCGAATGCGAATGCAATGCTTGCGTGAGTGGCTTATGAACAGGAAGCGATGTGCTGCTGCTGTGCAAGCGAGTCGTGAGATTGGCGCGATACAACTGCGACTGCGCAGTAGAGGTTGCTGCGACCTGCGCGGGGAAGGAATCGGGCCGACGATATATAACGATAACCTTGATGCGATGACTAAGTCAAAAGATTAACGATTTCGCAGAGTACCAGCCTCTGCGTCCTCGACGGAGATGATGCTTGACGTCGTTTTGCCGTTGCGCAGAAGTGTTCCAGGCGTTATGAGCGTATCCTTAGAGTTGAGGAGACGAGGGGCGGGAGAGTGTATTGTGTCTCACACGACAGTTTGTAGATAATGGTCTGGTGGGTAATACCCCACACTCGAGTGCTGCGGTGGACGTCGCCCGACTGCGTCAGATCCGCCAAGAAAAGGGGCTTGGCGAAAGTTTGATATCGTTGGGTGGCAATTCGTTGGTCGAGGAATGGACAGGGGCCTCGAGCCGGGAGTGCTGCGCTGCAGTGCTATTTCGATATCGACGTGGTATCGGGTGGGAAAGTGGTGTATGAGGAGATGTTGAAGACAGCGGTGGGTCGAAAACACAAAAGGTGACAAGTGTAGGGAGGACTAACTAACAGGGGTGGCCGATGTGTTTCCTCGCAGTAGTGCAGTATGCACTGTGATTGGGATATTGCGGCTCCGCCGAAAGCTAAACACTAAAAGGGTGGGAGGTGGACTCCGAGCCGAGGGCTGGCTGGCTGGAGGGAGGGCTGGTCGTACTGGCGGACGGGGTCACACGACAGCGGTCCGCCTCGCGCGCCTTGCCGTCTGTGACCGCTACGGTGCCCGTTGTGCTCGGTACGCTCGGCTTGGGGTCCGTTGCCAAGAACTCAGGAGCATGATTGGTGCAGGCGCGGCATACCGTCGCCGAGGGGGGCGAGTCGTTTGCAGGGAGGTTGGAAGACTGACTGACGCCGGGCCGGCGGGCTTGGGAACAGAGGGAAGGGAGAATGCGCCGGCGAGCTGGGTGATCTGTACCGGTGATCATCCGTCAGCTTTTTCGCCAAGGGTTCAGTGGAACGAATTTTTGCACGGCGTCAGGCCCGAGGGCGCACCCTCACCTGCACCCCGCTCTCGTGGGCCGTGATCCCGGTGCACTCCGCGGGCGGACGCCGCAAGGACAGAAGGATTCGACGCGCCTTTCCTTTCTCCGCAGCAGCACCGCCCAGGATCATCCAGGTCCAGGACCATAAACTAGGATCCAAGCGCCGCACGCACCCCTCCTCTGCGCGCCTGCCCTCTTCCATTTGTCAGCATCCTCGTATCGGCGCACCTTGACGCTGCATGCTTTTGCACTTGACGGCGCTACAACCTTAGCTGAAACAATCGCATTGGGGATTGCAACAGCTGTAACATTGCACCGAGCGACCTCCATCTGGCCCACCGACTTCAATGTCAGCCTCTCTGCGTCCCTTCGCCATTCCCACCGACCGGCGTACCAGCGGCCCGGTGCAACTCTGCGTCGCTTCTCAGCGGGCCCCCGTCCGTCCAGGGTTTCTGGGCAACAGTCCCGTGACTCGCGGCTCGGCGCGGGCTCCCCTCTGCACGCCGCGGCGCGGCGTGCTTGCGTGCTCAAGTGGTCGTGTGCTCGGCGATGGGCATGGGACGATAAGTCAGCCTCTTCCGTGTCTTGTGTGTCTTGTCATTTGACAATCAGCAACAAGACGCTTGCATAGCAAAATGCTTGGCGTTGAATGCGCACCGCCGGGCGCAAGCCATGCAACTGTGGATAGGAGAGGGTGCCGACCTAGCCGACGTGATACGAGGATACGGGCCGATACGCGACCAGTGCGCAGCAACAAGAGGGTTTGTCGCGCATTCGAAAGCACTGTCCAGACCCCTAGCATTGCCTCTACGACTTCGCAAGGGGACAAGGAAGCTGAGCAAAGCTGGATAAGCGGGGCGCCCGCAGTCAACAGCGTTTACTTCCGCTGATCTATCATGGCCACAGAGGTACTCACAGGCGTCGTAAGACCTGCCCTCGCCCGAGGGTGTGGGCGACTTGAGCCTAAGTTCTGCGGGCCTGGTTTGTACTCCCTTCTTTCCTCGCTGCATTCGGCGCCTGGCTGATCTTCAGCTTTAGACTTAGGTTGGACACCGCGGAGGCACAGAGCACAACGTCCACGAGGGCAGGGTTGCAGGGGAACCGTCAGGTCGGAGCCGGACCGTGCGCCGGGCGCACCGTGTTTCCCGCTCAGAGGTCCTCCTCACTGCATCCCCAGTTCGGGCTCATTGTAATGCCGCCCTGCCTGATGCCCAACTTGTTAAGACACAAGACGTGATGGCGGTCCATCGATGTGCTCATCGTGGGGTCAGCTGCAATTCAGACTCATTCAGACTGAACTGCCAGCCTCTTCCCCATTCAACACACACCTCGCCCATGCCGTGTCCCCGCGTATGCCAAGTTATCACATAGGGTCACAAGACCCAGGCGATATCCGGAGAATATCAAGTGGAGCAGCGTGCGTGGATTCGGCGGGTTCGGGCGCCGGCACGTGATCTCCTACAGAAGCGGGCGGGTGGGATCGACGGATAGCAGCTGGGGAGGCAGCTGGCTCGGTTGGCGATCAGCCGCTCGGGCACGAGCTTGTGGCGTGCATTCCGTAGACACAGCAGAACACTACTGACTTTCGATGAACACATTCGTCTTCATCGCGATCAGAACGCCTCGAACCCACTAAGACGTCATGGCGCGCCACTTCCCGTTATCTAATGAACTAGCCATGGTGCGCCGGACGTGAAAACAGCCGCAGTCGACTGCGAATCCAGACTCATGGCACGGTTCAGAGCAAACTGGCTGCGCCTCTTCCTTACCATCCATAGCTTTAACTCAGCTTCCGGGTTGCGATGTCTGCGACTATCTGTGCGGAACCCAATCGAGAAGTGGCAGATGCTCGATTGCATGATCACTGCTCACTGGCTCGCAGGTGAAGTGAACGATCAGCTGTCCCGTGTGGTTCAGCAGCGATCGAGGTCACCCATTCACACCTTTCCACTACCAGGTCTCACTGACAACTCCGCAGCAGCTTGCCGCGGAGCACGCTGCTCGGCGATGACGGAACAAACATCCCACTCCAAATGCCTGGTACTGTGCCACTACCAACCAACTTGTCTGCAGCCTCGGCTGCTGCGTTAGTGTAAAATCAAGTGAGGTTCACCTCTGCAGTATAGGTGCCGGCGCCATCCCCGTAGACGTGCCAGGAGCAATCTTAACAAGAGCGAGAGTTGATTGAGCCCGAAGGTAGTCTCGCCCCAAAGAGCGAGAAGCCGATTCTATGTCAGTGAGACAGTGTCAGTGTCCGAAAAGATTGCGGACCGCAAGGTGAAGTAGAAGACACCCTCGTGATGGTTGTTGCGTTGATAGTAATCCATTATACAGGTTGATGTTACAGTGCATGTCGAGCAGGAAGTCCGTTGCGCGAGCTGAGTTATGTCATCGCTGCGGCTGGCTGCCTTCCTCGGCTGGCCGCTCGTCCTCCCCGCCTTCGACCTCCTTGTACACCAACCTCACAAGCTGCGGGACAGGTTCCGGCCCTTCTTCCTCGGTACCCTTCGCCGAGCTCTCTGTAGTCCGGGTTAGCCACACCTATCTCTACCCTGATTGATGTTCATACTCACGCAACTGCTCTAGAATCGTCCACACGTACGACCAGTTCTGCATGACGTCTCCGATGGCTGGGGTTAGCTTTGGACTGGGATGAGGGAAGCACGTACCCTTGCCTCCATCTGCCATCACGTTTGTGCTCTCGGCGAGCTTCTCGACACGCTTGACGAGGTCGCCGCTCGCTTCCCGCAGTGCTTGCAGGCCAGAGTGCTCCTGTTGTTTCTGCAGGAGGAGCTGCAATGATGGGGGAAGGTTGGCGGGGATCTGCGCCATATTGCCCTACTCGCGGTAATCGATCGACCGAGAGTGATGGTCGTGGGAAGGGGAGGGTCGCGAGGAAGGTGGTTGTCGTTCGAGCGAGGGTGATCGATGTCGGTGCAGTGACGCGGTTGCGCGCGGTGCATTTGTTGACATGAAACCGCGAGTGGTGGCAACGCGCACCGTGGGAAGAGATAGCACGTGGTTTGTCGTCACAACCGGTCATTGCCGCCACCCACCCGTACACAGTCATCAAGTGTCTGTCACCTGTCTGCCCTCCTCATCTCACCTCATCCTTCCCTTCCTCTCGAAGACAAGTCAATATGCCGCAGAAGTGGGTCCCGCTCGAGGCTAGTCCGGAGGTAAGCTACGTTGCCTGGATCGTGTAGCTGACATCAGGTGTTCAACGAGGTCCGTTTACTTCGAGTCACAACGCCCGTCCCATCCGTAATGCCATGGACGCGATGCGGACAGCTGAGACTCCAGTGCCCTCCGAGCTGACAGAACAGTGGTCTCAGCCGCTCGGCCTCCCCGCCGCCCCGCTCTCGTTCCAGGACCTGTTCTCGCTCGACCCCGAGTTCCTCGCCTTCATCCCGCAGCCGGTGCGCGCTGTGCTGCTCTTGTTCCCGCAGCGAGGTGCGCTGGCCCAGGCGCGCGAGGAGGAGGAGAAGTCGGGCGAGCACAAGTTTGACGGCGATGTGTGGTGGGTCAAGCAGACTGTGAGTACGCGCTGTCTCGTCCGGCCTGCCTAGCGAGTAGCGAGCTGCGCACCGCCGATCGCTCGTCGAGACGATGTCACTGTTTGGCTCGACGTGCAATGTGGCAGAGGGGAAGGAAGGAGCATTAGGCCATGCATGATGATAGAATGAGCTGTGCGTATGTCGCGATAGCTGACATGCAGATCTCCAACGCGTGCGGCTCGATCGGACTCCTGCACGCCCTCCTGAACCTGCCCGAGGGCAGCCTGGAGCCGGGAAGCAAGCTGGTCCAGTTCAAGGTGCAGAGCAAGGATCTCGACCGTGAGCTACTCCCATGTCATTGTCAGCTGACGATTCAGCAATGGCCCGCGCCAAGCTTCTCGAGACGAGTCCCTTCTTCGAGTCTGCGCACGAGTCCGCCTCGCAGGGCGGCCAGTCTGCCGTGCCCGAAAACGTGGATGTCGACACGCACTTCATCGCCTTCATCGAGGCCAAGAACAAGGAAGGCGACAACCGCGTCGTCGAGCTCGATGGTGGCCGTACTGGACCTTTCGACCGCGGACACTGCGATGACCTTTTATCTGACGTAGCCAAGATTGTGAAGGAGAAGTACATTGACCGCGCCGACGGGGACATCAACTTTAACATGATCGTGCTTGCGGGTCAGGGCGAATAAGTGTAGTAATGCAGTAGACAAATGATGACATGAGACAACGGGACGAGTACAAACACAACTATGAAACTGGATGAAGGGACTAGGAGATGTACACCTTGCGCAGCTTTGAGAAGCCGCACGTCTCATGCGTGCGCGGGCAGATGCAGACGTCAAAGTTGTTCTTCGCCATCTCGGCGAGCGCCTTGGACGAGTACACACACCCGTTGGGGAACGCGAGCGGCACATTGTCGCTGTCCATGACGTCGCCCGAGATGCGGCACACCAGCGTCGAGTTGACATGGTGCGCCATCGGCACCTCGCGCGCGAGTATGCGCACGTCTTCAGCACACGTCGGGCAGTCGACGTTGGCGGGCGCGTCGGCGTCGTCGACGGGCGTCTTGGGCGCGACCTCCTCGGGCGACGGGGGGCGCTCGAGCTCCGGCAGAGCTTCCATGCCCAGGAAAGCTGAGAAGCCCGGCACCGGCGGGAGGATGGGGTGGATCGGCGGCAGGGGATCGCGTGAGCCGACGGGAGACTGGGGAGCAGGAGCACTCTGCGCCTGGCATGCTGGCAGACGCAGGCTCGACAAGCCGGCTGAGAGCGAGAGCGCGAGCAGGCTCTGCGTTGGCAGTGCGTACACCGACAGGAAAGTGCGGCGGAACTGCGCACGCACCGTCTGCCAGCGGGAGGAGTCGAAGAGTTTCTGGTGTCAGCTAGCTCTTCAAGCCCTCAGCTAAGCACGCTATACTCACGCGATATGCCGGTACACCCGTCGTCGGTCCGAACGCGAGCAGTGTCATGGCCTGGCAGAATTCAGCGAGGTGCGTATTCGCCCACGCGGCGAGATTCTTGCGCGCGTACGCAATGGCGGCCTCCGTCTCACGACGGCGACACAGCTCGATGAACTCCTGCAGGCGTAGTGTGAACTCGAGGTTGGACTGCGTGTTAGCTCACCGTGTGGCTCTCGTGGCTCTTGTAGCTTAAGTAACCCACGTCCATCTTCTTCAGCGTGCCACGGTTTTCACCACACCACGCCAGCGCCTCGGCAACCGAGTGTCGCTCGACGAGCGCGGCTTCAATCCGACACAGCTCCGAGAAGAGCTTGAGATCCACGAGGTCCTCGATCCCGAGCGAGGCTGCAAGGACGCGTGCAGTCTTCATCCGCCCCGTGCGCAGGAGATGGTCGATGATGTACCTGTCGAGTGTGCGGTCACTGGTTGTCAGCTCCAGCTCAGAACGCCATCACAGCTCACCCGTCCATCGGCTTGGCCGGCGTCGCAGGGGTGGTGTTGCCCGAAATCGTATCGAGCTGGGCGGCGAGTGCGTCTCGCGTCTCGCCCTCTTCGTCAAGGAAGCTAACGCGCTTCTCAGCCTTCTCTGGCTGCGGCGCCGCCAGCCCATCCTTTGCCTCCTTGCCGTTGCTGTCCTTCTCCTTACTCTCCGAACGCTCCCTGTAGCTGACGTCGGCGGGTTTGCCCCTCCCCTCGTCCGCCTTCTTCAGCCGCGTGTCTAGCAGCACGTCCTCGACATACTTGATGCGCTCGCGGATTACGTGGCTCTGAGATCCCGGGCCAGGATTCGGTTGCAAGTCGTCCAGCTTCCGCTTCAGGCCGCGGATACGCTCGCTCGCTGTGTCGAGCTTGGATAGCGCCAGCGCCTTGTCCTTCTCCTCGTCGCCTGAGAGCGCCTTCAGGAGCTGCGACAGCTGCGCTTGCACGTTCACGAAGTCCTTCTCGACCTGGCGTTGGGCGCTGCGGTGATAGCGACGCAGAAGCTCGTATGGTGTCTGCGTGTTAGCTCTGCCTCCCATCACACAGCTGGACAGCGTCGTCCGACTCGCGCCTTCCCCCTTCCCTGGCGGTGGCAACACCTTCACCCTTGGTCACCGGACAACACTCACGCGGATAAGAGGCTCCTCCAGCAGGAGCGGGCCGTGAAGCCCCGTCCCGGGCTTCATCGGCGGCATGATGGGTGGTGTATGTTGTTATCTGTCGTTGCCCGAGAACATCAAGTCAGCCGACGTCACTGCAGTGTGGGGGTGGAGATGGGGATGGGTGGCGGCATATGGCGACGGGAGCAGATATACCTCCACTTCACAGCAATGATCACGGCCTCCACCGACGCGCGTGCTGGGCGTGCGCGATTCACGATTGTGAAGTGCATGAGATGCTTAGGACCGAGTTCATAAGTGCACAAGTACAACATTTCTATAGACATCTACTCGTTCGCTGGATTCGTATCGGGTCGTTAACTGTACGGGGAGCCTGCTCAGAGAGGGGTGACTAGGCAGCTCACGCGAGCTCAGCGCTCGCCCAGACTGCGTCGTAGGTCGGCCCACATCGTTCCAACCTCTGCATCGTCGAGCTCGGTGAAGCGGATCAACTTGTCCGACTCTCCTCGCGGCATGGGAGACATGGCGGGGGACGACTGGCTGTTGGGCGTCGACGGTGTGACGACCTGTCGCTGTCTTGAGGGGTCTAACTCGTCGAAGAGCGCCTGGCGCGTCGACGTCTGCCGCGCACGCTGAGCCGTGAGAGACAGGAACGTCTGCTTGCTGTGGTGATACATGCTGTCGTTGTCAGTTGAGCGTCCCTATCCCTCAACTTGAGAAGAAAAAGTCGGCGCCCGAAGGCACCATCGGGCAAGTGCGATGAACCCTTTAGCAACCAGGATCTGGAAATCTCGAAAATGTCGAAATCTCCGCGACCGGCGCTGGCGGCCGCCCCACGCTGCAGACGTGCTGGGGACGCGTTGGGGACCCATGGGAAACACTCACGACCATACTTGGCGGTTCACCGCCTCCTCCTCCTTGACCGCGTCGAGGGCTGCGGTCTTGAAGCTGGCCTTGAGCGCGTGCAGGAGGTGCGCCACATGGTCCACTTTGGGCTGCCAGTGTGTGAATCTGCCGCACGGAGTCCACTCCTTTGTCTTGGGATCAACAAGAGCTGGGGATGTCAGTGGGAACGGAACATCGATTAATTAAACAAAGCGAGGCGAAGGCACTGGCTACTTGGCACTGGTCCAGACAATCGGCGGCAGTGGACGCCACGAACAGTGTCAGAAGGAGGCCAGACCGAAACGAAAAAAGTGGACACGGTGCCAAAGAATAGAATGTGGGCAAAATCCACAGACCCCTGCCACATGACGTCGGTGCCGCAGCAGATGATCAGCAAGGGCGCTCCGGTGTCGGCGGATGCGAATATGGCCCTGTCACGCGAGGCGTGCCAGTTCCCATCGATCCCCTCGTTATGGCTGCTTCGCCGTCAATTGACACGGCATGTGGTGGTAGAGTGTGGCGTGGGAGTCGCTCGCTAATTGCGGCGACCACGGTCACGTCCGATGGTTGACACCGTTTCATCGCCAAGCCCCTCAAGCCCGATCGTCCTGATGCGGCCAACGCAAAGACGACGTTCTCCGAAAGCGTCGTTGACCCCTTACGCCCGATATCGAGCGTAGTGAGCGGGCCCGATCACCGCCATCCGGATGTTCCTCCCGTGCCACACTCAGCGCCACCACCACATCGCCTTGTACACCCAATTAACGAGATGGTACGACCTTGCGTTCGACATAATGAATCAAACGTGGCGGTCTTGAGCAGGACAACCACAGGCACCGGCGAGTTAACGCACACATCCCACGAGCCCGACAAGACTTGTGCGACGCATGGTCTGTATCAGACGTGAAGAGCCACAGCACGTCATACAGCGCCGCGTCCATCTCCTGGGCAATCGCCTGTCACGATGGCGGGATTTATCGTGTCCGTGAGCCACGTCGAAGGATGAGACACGTCCCGGCCCAGAGTCAAACGGATGACACTGGGTCGTTCGACGCGCCTCGGTTTCCAAACGCCTCGGTGTCCAGCGCCCCGGAATGCGAAGAACCAGGGGAGCGCCTCGACACCCTCGATATCCGCCCAAGACACACAGGAACCAAAGGGACCACGAACAGAGGACTCACGGTGGAAGACGTCGGTCTCGAAGTGCACGGCGGGCCGAGCACGGGGGAATGACAGAGGGAACGTGAGGGTGAAGCGGAGCACAGATCCGGCGTACGGCCCTAGTAACATGGGTCAGTGTCCAGTGGGCGCGTGGTGGATTCGTGAGAGTGCGCGCCAACACAAACGCGCGCGGTTGCGTGGCGCGGAATGTCACTCAATTCAGAAGCAAGCGATGGCGACGTTGCGCTAAATGAGGCGAGTTGCGCGACCTCGCGACGCGGCGCAGGGCACTTCCATTCCATTCCACACTGTTTGTGCGGTAGCGTACGCATGTTCAAACTGCATCCGACCCCGTCCGAGCGCTTCCGAGCATACCGCCTGTCAGGCTCTCGGCGATCGATAAGAAGGGGGACGAGCTGTTTGCTCGCTTCCCCGCGTCTGTTTCGGATCGCGGAGCCGAGCACCTTGGGCAGATGTGTCGTCGCATGCTCTTCCTTCACTTTCACATCGCAAACGCAGACTCACCTCGGTGCACGAAGAACATTCCGGCCCACTTCGTCAGTGCCTCCGGGGTTGGGACGAGGTACATGCCAGCGGGGCAGTTGCCAGGGGCGCGAAGCGAAGAGCTGTCCGTCAGTATACGTTCCGCTCTCACGAATCGGACGGCTTCCGATAACGATGGCCGCGGCCTCGTCACCCTGGTGCGAGGCGTCCGGGCGCCGTCGCTGGTCAAGGCAGTGGACATAGCATGAGCTCTTCCGTGCGGAACGGGTGAGTGGGACGGAGCTCGGTTCGAGCTGCGTAGCCGTGACCCGGTAGTGCGCAGCGACGTGGGCTTGAGCGGCCATCGGGCAGCGACGCAACTGGACACGGCACGACGCAATCGCGGTATCTGGAATTATCCAGTGTTCTGAATCGGACCTGGTGCCAGCTTCCAGTGTCACGACAGCGCTTATCGCACAATTGCATCGCGAAGTCTCTTCGTCTTTCGGGATTACGCAATGGAATCGGGCGACGTGCGATGGACGATCGGACAAGTGTCACATGCCTGGCCAGGGCGCTCGCGCGCTGGTTACACGTTCCAGACTCACTATTCTATCGCGATTTCGGCGGCCAGCAACGGGCCCACCTCCTGCGGCGCTCCTTCCCGGGGCATTGTATGTCTGTTAGTTGTATTTGCAGTCGGTGTGGCCAGGGAGGCGAGTCGGGGTTGTCGAAGAGCTCGGAGGGTCGATCGGGGAAGGCGTGGTTGATCTTTATTTTGGCCGTTGTTGACGGAGTTGGGTGGCGAAGGACGAATTCCGTGCCAGACTGCGCGATCCGGTCAGCCGGTGGAGGGCGCAAGTGGGTGGAGGTTTCATTCCACGTTGCCTGAAGGGGTCAGAAGGACACACGCGAGAAGCGCGTGAGTCTCACGCCGGTTGCTTCTGGTGTGGACGTTGAGGAACCGGTAATACAATTTCCCGCTTTCCGTTCCTCCGGCCCGACTCACCGGTAGACCGGTGGTCACCGCCGGATGATGCGCATGTTTCGCTCGGAGATGAGATGCATAACGGACACTATGAGGTACGGCTCTCGATATCGGGGGTCGGCTTACGGCACTTGCGTCACTGCCGTTCCCCAACTTTGTGACCCGGACGCTAAGCAACTGGTCGCCATGTGAAGCAGAACGGAGTATGCACACGGCTGATCAAACCCGGTCTATGCTTGAGAAGTCACAAAACCTACATGATCAGGCAGAAGGAAGCAGCGAACTACGGCACAGTGAGCTCCGCGAGAAGACCGGTGAATTGACGGGTGACAACTGCATGACGCTTGCGATGTCGCGATGTCCGTGTTCGCCAGGCCCCAAGTGGGACAAGTGGGATGTTCCTGCTGAGTGCAGACACCAGTGGGTCAGAGCGGACATACATCAGGTACGTCTGAGAACGACCCCGAATGCATTCCTGGGCACTGACGAAATGGTGGACTGATCATTGCATCGATAGAGTGGGAAGTTCGCCGAGCGAGGGGACCGTACCGCGCGAGGACCCGAAGTCGCGTGTGGGTGCGAGCGCGTCATTACGTGAGTGGTGATGAAAGAGGGGGGAAGGAACATCGGATAATGCCCGCTTTCGGTACACTCGCTTTCGGGGTTGCGCAGCATCGCTCCTTGCCCGTCTGGCACCGGTGACTTTCGGATGCAGCTTCTCTTCTTCCAAAGTTATGACACAGCTCCACTCGACCACACGATGTTTAGTGACTGCGGCCCGCATGCGTCGCACGATCGCAGCATCGAGGGATGAGACGATATGCACCAGTGTGAGAAACGCACGGATCATGGATCCGCACAGGATCGCTGGATCCTAGATTACTCCTAGATCATGGGTTGGAAGCAGGGAAGGGGTGTTGATGATGTGCGCTGCGCAGTCGAATTCAGACACTAAGGCGCAATCTTCCGCCCAAACCACTTCGGCGAACACGGCCGGTTGCAGGCGGCACAGTCTGGTGCAGGGTTGCGCGAGTTCTGCTAGACTCGGTCAAAGTTCGGCAACATTCAGGAGACTGACAACCCTGTAATCTACGCAGTCCTCTTCTGCTGTGTCATCAGCGCGAGGTCGGCCGTGTCAGACGCGGAATCGGGGGGCTGGAAGCTTCGACGCCGGGTGCGGATCGTGCGGCCCTCCGCGTCCGCTAGCAATAGTCGCTGCGGGTTGCGGCGTATGCAAAGCGGTGCGCTTGCTCGATTTGTGCGGTATGCGCGGTATGTGCGGTTCGGCGATGGCGTCGTTGGCGTGGGCTGGCTCGGCGGTCGGTCATGATGGGCCATGGCACGCTTCGATAGACCGACCAAGCGCATGCGATACAATTAGCGGCGCTCTCCGCCATTCCCG